TCTCTCTCTCTCTCTCTCTCTCTCTCTCTCTCTCTCTCTCTCTCTCTCTCTCTCTCTCTCTCTCTCTCTCTCTCTCTCTCTCTCTCTCTCTCTCTCTCTCTCTCTCTCTCTCTCTCTCTCTCTCTCCTATGGCAAAAGCGCATGCATGGACCTGCTTGCGCGCGTGTATCCCTCGCTGCTGCTGATGCCATGTGCACGCAAAGGGGGCCTTCCAAGAACTCTGTCCCATCGGGAGCCTCTAAATACCGCGTACTTCCGATGCAGTCGCTTTCTCCATGAGGGCGAGCGGCTCCAGCACAAATGCCATCGTACGCACTGCCGTAACGTGTCGAATTTCGCGGAGGGGGGGGAGGGAAGGGGGGAAAAAGTACCCCTTTTCAGTGCACGTGGCGGTTAGGATGACTCTCCCCAGCATGCACGCGGTGTGTGTATGCGTCAGCGAACGGAGGTAGTCATGCGCGATGGAAAGCTCCTGCGCTGGCTGACTGCAGCCTTGCTTGGCTGCCTCCTCCGAGAATGTCATCTCTGTCTGCAGATTCCCCTGTCGATTCCCCCCCCCTCCCGGGAAGAAAAAAGGTCTCAAATGACACAGCTACACACAAAAACACCGCGCTAAGGACGCCCGCGCTGCCACTAGCATCCCGTCCTCGTTCGCGTTGAAGCCTTCCCTCGAGAGAGCTCATCATCGCTTGCCTCTCTCGACACTAGCTGCATGCCGGTCTTGTCTTGTCGCCTTCCACAGCCAGGCTGCGTCACATATAATATATATACGAAGAAGGAGAAAACGCCGCAGCGAATTGTAAGTGCCCCTTTGCCTCGTCACCCTGCAGCCAAGCGTTCCGAGCGGTGACGCTGCACACACCGCTCCTAGCAACGAGACCCGGGGGGGTTGCTCGCGCGCCAAAAGGCACTGAATACACGCTGCAAAGACTCTATTTTCTGCTCAAGGAAATAGAAATCACCAGCCTTGCAGCAATAAGGCGCGCTAACACGCTTGGTCAAGCAACACCTGGGGCTGCTGCAATCGCGCAGATCTCGCAACCCGTACGCGGGTTCGCCGCTTTTTACACCGAGAACTGCGTGAAGCGGCGCTGTTCACAATTGAGCAGCGTCGACACATCACAAATACACCACTTTGAATATCCCGTGTCTGCTCTGAGGAACTCTTTGAGCTCCCGCCTCCGCCTCCGACGTCGTCTGCAGTTCGACTGTGCAATGCAGACCCCCCGAGAAGGCTTGGGCTCCATTGCAGATTGCCTCCGGAAGCGTCCCTCTGCGGGAATTCTTGAGCCCTTTTACGATGCGCTGTAGAAAGCGCGCGAGACTCGTGGAGCGCTTTCCCGCGGCCTCTCTTTCTTCCGCACGGTGCAGCTGAACAGGAGAGACAGAGACAGAGAAAGAGAGAGAGAGAAGAAAGAGACGCCGCTATCGCGTGGCAGCACCGAAACAATGGATGCGAGGGCCTCTTCCGCAGCCGTGGAGGCCCCTCCTAGAGGCCACCAGCTGCTGAGGAATTTTCACAAGCGATTGCATCTCCAGCTGCTGCCCTCCGCAGATCTGCAGCTAGCGGCAGAGAGCTACCGCTGTTTTCTGCGGCGACTCTCTCAGGCTCAGCAGGATTCTGGAGGCGTCCCCTCGGGAGGGGGCGTTGGAGAGGGTCTTGGGGGGATGGCGGAGGCGCTGCAGTGGGTGCAACAACAGCAGCAGCAACAGCAGCAGCAGCAACAGCAGCAACAGCAACAGCGGCGGGAGCTACAGCGGCGGGAGCAACAGCGGCGGGAGCTGCAGCCGCAAGAGCCTCGCGCAAGAGACGCTGCGGACGCGCAGTCTGCCACAGGCACGGAGATGGCGGGAAGGGGGGGGGGCGCTGCGACGCTCATGCTTCCTTCGCTGCGTCTAGAGGCAGCAGCGGCAGCAGCAGCGGCAGCAGCAGCGGCACTCCCTGGAAATCTCCAAGAGCTTGGATGGGGGGGAGCAACACCCTGTTGCGTGGAGAGGGAAGGGGGCACTAAGGAGGGGCCCCCCGCCTTCGACGTTTTCTGGAATCCCCTTGCAGAGGCGGAGGCTGCAGAGCGACTTTCTTGTAGCGATCTTCTGACTCCAACTGCAACTGATGCCAAGACTGCGGCAGGAGGAGTGCCAAGAAGGGGGTCCCCTTCTGGCGAAGATCCCTCCCGCCGTGGCGTGACTGCTGCCCAGCAGTCAAGAGGCTCCCGCGGAGAGGAGCAGCAAGCTCAGCAAGATCGACTTCAGGAGCAGCAGGAACAGGATCCGCAGCAGCGCGAAGGAGCTTTGCGAAGCGGTGGCTTCGGAGAGGCGTCGAGACGCAACGAAGAGACGCCTGTCACCTCCTACGTTTGCAGCTCTTCCCTTCAGCGGCAGACCTTCCCAGAGGAAGCTCTCTTGCCTCCAGAGGACGAGATCTTGCAGCTGCGGCATCAGCTAGCAGCGCTGCAGCTCCGTCAACAGCAGCAGGAGCGCGAGTGCGCAGCTGCGGGGGCAGCGGCTGCAGCTTTGCGGCTGCAAGTGCAGCAATTGACGGAAGACATCAACTTCCTGCGCCTCAATTTCAGTTCAAGGAGAACAAGGGGGCCTTTCAGACGAGCCGAGGAGCTGCAGCCTCCGCCCTGCGCTGCTGTCTCCGGAGGGGAATTGCTTAATCAGGAACGTGACGAACTGAAGGAGGGAGAGGAGGCAGGCAGCGAGCTGCAGCAGCAGGCTTCGTGGAGCTCCAGGGAGGAGGCACTTCGACAAAAGCTCGCTGTCTACAAGCGGGAGTTGATGCTTCTTTCCGAGCAGAATGCGCGTCTTCGGAAGGGGGGCGCAGCCGCTGAAGGAGCTGCTGCTACGTGAAACCAACAGGGAGGAAGGTCTCCCAATAAGGAGATGGTGGTGTCTCGTAGCTTACGGCAAGTTCCCCCACCTCTTTCCTCCCTCCTTTCGTTCTCCCCGCCCCCTTCCGCTGCACGACTTTCGCTGCCTCCTGCTCTCTGCATGCATGTGTGTGGAGCACCCGACGTTACGCGAAGATTTCCCCCCTCCCCCTCTTAGATCGGGTAAGGGCGAGAGGCAGAAGGGGAGTTTCTCGCTCAAGGAGGCGGAGGGCGTGTGTGTGTACGTGCGGCTTCTTTTCGGATGGGAGGCTTCTCCAAGGACATAAATGCTGCACCTTCGGCAACACGCATTTTCCAGAAAAGGGGGCTCTCAACCGACGGGGGGAAAGGGGGGAGAGCCATCTGGTGCCTCTCAGGGGGCCCCTCATTTTTTTGGGAATGTAACGCAGGGAAGACGGGATACTGCATCAAGACAGACAGCAGCACGACTTGCTGTTCATTAGGCCCAAGGACGCATAGGCTGACTGCTGTAGAATTATACATATATGTACATACATGTGCTGTCTGCTCAGTGCAGCCTTGGGTATATGTACTTAAAACTTGGTGGTCTTGTTTCTCTGTGCTCTCTAGCTTGAGGGGATGCCAGAAAAGGAATTCTCAAGGTGAAGGTGGGAGGGGGTGGGGAAAGGGGGTTGGCTTTAGGAGGCTTTGTCTTAGAGAGTGCCGACGCAAATGGGCCCAGCGGTTCGTGAGGTTAGAGATGCCCTTAAAGACAACACAGTACCCAAGGCAGCTTAAGCCTGTGCGCTCAAGATACACGCAGAAGGCAGACTGGCATGGTGTAGAAAGCTGCTGCTGCAGGGCACCCCTCTGAAGCAAGCGGCCCGCACAATACACGACCTGCTGCGACTCGTATTATGTCCCCTAGAGACGCAAGAATCGATGTCTTTTCTCTTTAAAGGGGCTACCCTTCGTCGAAGCGGATGCTGTTCGCCTTAGGTGTCAAAGTCACTTGGCATGTTGCCGCCTGCCCTACGGATGTGCTTATTCACGTGTCGCATTAATCTCCTTCCCCCGCCCCCCCTCTCTACCCAGTCTGCCGCAAAAATCCTACTCAGTCTGCCGCAAAAATCCTACTCAGTCTGCCGCAAAAATCCTACTCAGTCTGCCGCAAAAATCCTACTCAGTCTGCCGCAAAAATCCTACCCAGTCTGCCGCAAAAATCCTCCCGTCACGAGCAGCCTGCGGAGGACGCACGGGGAGGGGGCCAGGCGTTGCAGCCCCCGCGTGCGGGCAGAGAGTCTAGCAGTGTAAGTGTGCTGCCCTCCACACGCACCAGGAAGCAGCAGCAGCTGCTGCTGCTGCTGGCACCAGTGTGTACTGGCAGCTGAGCTGCAGCGGAGTGCGTCCCTGGGATTTTGCTGAAGTTTAATAGACCCTCTCTAGACAGGGAGGCAACCCTAAAGAGTGACTGCGAGGAGCAAAACGCGGAGGAGAGCTGCCATCGATAACTTAAGACCACCAGACAGCTCTGCTTTTCGCGCAGCAGCAGCACCTAGCTTCTGCCAACTCCCTACTACTACTCAACTGGCCAGTCCCCAACGAAAAGCTGGAGAGGCAAGCAGGCTGCATGCGCAGCAGCTGCACCAGCCAACAAACTCCCGAGAGAGGCTCTCTTTTGACAGGCGTCGGCACACACACACATACACATACACACATCCATACACACACGTCTCCTCCCCGCTTTCTCTGCACGATTCGGAGTCTTCTGTCAGTCCTCTTGGCCTTGAGAAGACCCCGAAGAAGATTCATCTTCGCTGCTGCCACTGCTGCTGCCGCTGCTGCCACTGGTTGCCTCAGGCTCTTCTTCCTCTTCTTCCTCCTCCTCCTCCCCCGCCTCCTCGGTGAACAATTGACGCCCGTCCTCCCGCTCCTCCCGTCCAGAATCAAAGAGGGGCCCCCCAGAACCCCGGGGGCCCTCCTCGGTCTCCCCTGGCGTGCGATACTCACTGTCTGCGCATACGCAGACATACACATACATATATATACAGATATATATACACATACATATATATATGGATACATACACACATACATATATATACAGATATATATACACGTATATATAGATATATGTGCACATCAAATATATATATATATATATATACATATATACATACACACATATATACACACACACACATACATACATGCGTATAAATGCACACGACGGGACAGGAATGATGCGCATGTCGCTGTATGCCGAGCATCCCTTATCTTGAGACCACATCACAGACGATGTATAGTAACAGGAGAGCGTCGCCGATTCTCTGCATTGGTTGCAGCAGCAGCGAAGGCTCAGACAAGGGGCGTACCAGAACTGCCCTCCTCAGGGTTGAGCTCGTTCCCCGTCTGGCTGGAAGGCCCCTCTTTCTGCGGCATTTCCTCTTCCCCGACGGTGACTACGACTCGCGGCTTGCGTTGGCTTGCTCCTGCCTTCAAAAGAACGCGTCTAGGACCTGCCAGCTGCAGCAAAACACATTCCTCTTCTGCCCCAGGGGCCCCCCCCTTCGCCTCCGCCTCCGGGGGTACTACCAACACCACTGCCCTCTCCGCTCCCGCCGTCGTTCCCACAGACGGAAGCTGCAGGCAGCAGCAGCAGACATCGCGCAGTAAAATGCAGTCGTATGCAGCACGTTTGCCACCCTCTACCACCACCATCAACAACACGAGGCGTAAAGGATCCGCATGCAGCAGAAAAACAAGGTTCCCCCTCTCTAACGAGTCAGCAGCATGTTTTACAACGCCTTTCAACAAACGGCCTCCCTGAAGACAGGCATTTTGAAGGCACAACATCAAGCACCAGGAAGGTGCAGGCAGCAGGCATCGCGCTATGCCTAGAAAAGGCCACCTCAGTCGCTCTCTTTTTCTCTTTTTCTTTCTCTCCCGCAAACAGCATCGAGACTTACCTGCCAAACGTAGTTCCTTCTAAAGCTATACGACACGGAAAAGTCTCCTGGAAGAAGCCCACCCTCCTTCTCAGAAGCAGTGCAGGCCCCCGGTGCTGCAGGAGAGATCTCCCTATGCCCATCGCGTAAGTACAATGCATAAACAACTGGATCAGCTGCTTCTTTGTTGCTAGGCAAGAGCATTGCCCATGGCAGTGCCTGCTGATCTTGCTTTTGTTGCTGTTGATCTTGTTTCTGCTGATCTTGTTTCTGTTGCGCTTGTTGCTGTTGCTCTTGTTTCTGTTGCTCTTGTTTCTGTTGCTCTTGTTTCTGTTGCTCTTGCTCTTGTTGTTGCTGTTGCAATGCAGCATGGGGAGACGGCTGGTGGCATAGCGCCGCAGCCTCGCCCTTCGGAATATCGAGACCAACATGCAGCAAGCGCACGGTGGGGTTCACTGACTGAGGAACTAGCCTTAACACCTGCATGTCATACCCGCAAAGATATAAAGCGAGCTGAGAGGTAAACCTTGCACGTCAGACAGGCAGAACACAAATGAACTCCCCTCCATCCCCCGCCTGCTCAACGCTTCCCAGCATTCATATATACATATATTAATATATGTATATAAATCTGCGTGCGTGTAAGCTCTTCAACAGGGGTTCCCCTGTCTCTCTCCCCCGTAAATGTCGCTCCTCCCCACCCAAGCCTCTCACACCAGCACACTCAGGCCATAAGGAAAACATCGCAGAGCTCAAATAGCTCTAGACATGGACGCACGCACGCCATCCGCATGCTAAGAGCAGTCGGGGCACAAAGCAGCGAATACATGTAGATATATATAAATGCGTACCCTTTTGACAGTGAGATGGGGCCTCGTTGGATGTCGAAGTGTCGCATGCAGCTGCTGCTGCTCGTGCTGCTGCTCGTGCTGCTGCTGCTGCTGCTTCCTCTTGAGCAGCCGCTGGTGCTGGGAAACTGCTGCGCCCTCTGAGGCTACGGACTCCGAGGCAGCCCCCAAGGGGCCTCCACGAGCGAGGGGTGCATGCATGCCATCGGGAAAAGATCCTGCGAGGCGCTGCCGCAGTGAGCGGCGGAGGCTTTCGGGTATTTCGGGGAGCGTCTCTAGAACGAGAGCAAGATCTTCGCTGTGCAGGCCCTCGAGGCACTGTCTCAGAGCGTCTGCGCTTGGCAGCGGCCTCCTGAGCTGCTGCTGCTGCTGCGTGGGAGTCGGGGGAGACGCATGCATCGCCCCTCCCCCCGCAGAGGGGGCCCCTCCGCTCCGAGAGGGGCCCCTCGACGAAGAGGAAAGAGGCGCCTCCAGCAGCAGCCGCGGATATCCTAGGGGGTTCACCAAAGAGGGGAGCAGTCCGGAGGCGTCGAAAGGCGAAAGCAGCTGTTGACTCCACGCTGCGTCTACTACGGAGGGGCCCCCCAGGCCCCCTGTGCTGGCGTCTTTCGAGGGATCGCAGCAGCCGAGGAGACGCTTTTTCAGGGGGTAAGCAGCGAGACGGGGAGCCAGCGAGAGCGTCGGGAGGGGCAGCTCGAAGCCTGGGGAAAAGGCGAATGCACTGCGGTGCTGCAGATAAGCCAGAGACCCCAAAGGCTCAATGACTGCCCGTGAAGGGAGGCCCTCTGGCAGCAGCGGGGGGTTCGGGGGGCCCCCCTGCCTGGGGGCCCCCGGAGCGACCCCGGGGGCCTCCGAGCGGCCAAACGCGCTGCCGCCGCTGCCGCCGCTGCCGCCGGAACCACCGCGACGAATGGCTCCGCCAGCAGCAGTTCTGGGGGGGGGCCCCTGGGCGAGACGCGCTCGCGAGGCTTCCATTTGGGAGGGTAGAGTGGAGAGTCGCGGCAGACACTTGGGAGCAAACGAGAGTTCGCCGTCGCTGGTAGGCGGATTGTGGCAGGTGACCCTGCTGGGGAAGCGGCTCCTGTCGATCCTTCCCGCTTGGCAAAAGCCTTAATGCTGCTTGCGCTCTTTGGGAAGCGCGGGGGGAGGGGCCCCACCCAGCAGGCGGGGGTCGGGTACCCTGCCTCGGAGAGCCGGGTGGAAGGCCTCCTGGGGTCGTTAGCCGCTTCGAGGACGGAGCAGCGAGAGTGCTCTCAGGATTCTGAGAGTTTCTGACCTCCTCTTGCGCCTCTTAGGCCGAAAAGGCAAAGAGGGGCCTCTCTCCCAGTGAGGGGCCCCAGGGAACACACAGCCAGGCAGGGCGACCTCGCGAAAAACGGAGTGCGATGTGCGACGCGCTGCGGCAAATCGCATGGAAATGCAGTGCAAGGGAATCAGGAAGGGCAGTCTAGCGTCCTAGGAGCGAAAAAACGGGGGCCTCCCTCCTCCCCTGGCCGCTTCGGGGGGGCGGGGCCCTTGCAGCTTCAGTGCAGCGGCGGAGGGCAGACAGAGAGGAAACCGCTGAACGCGTAAAAAACGCATCGCATTCCAATGCCGCGATATATCAGAGAGTCGTGTAAATAGGGGACTTCGCTGGACGAAGAATTCCTATTCCGTGCACAGCGCTCCGTGTGCGCAGGGGGCCCTCTTCGTCTTTCACAGAGGGACGCCCGACGACGCGTTCTTTTTCCCTGCCTCCGGCTGCTTGCGAGTTCTTTCAGCATTGCTGACGCGTCTCCACAGTCTTGCACGCGGCTGCTCGGGTGTACGTGCAGCTCGCCGCGAGAGCGCATAATGCCGCCCTCCGCCGGGCGGCTGCGACTCCTACAGCGGCAGTTCTTCCGTCCGCAAGGCCACCTCAGCAGAGGCCCACAGGAGGGGGCCTCTCGCCGCTTGTTGCGGAGAGACCCCGGAGCGAGGGCTTCTAGCCACACCCGCAACTACCGCCTGGACGCCCTGCCTCCCCAGGTGTATGTACAGTGAGTTCAGGAAGGGCTGCTGGAAGGAATCGCGTTCGAGGAGCCGTGCTTCCTCCTTCCCTTCATTCTTCCGCATGACAGAGGAACCTCCACGTTTCGGTAATTGTGGGCGCTCCTCGCAGTTCAAACGCCTCCCGAGTATCCTCTGCCGTTCTCACGGCACCAATTTCAAGCCCGTTTTGCCCAACGTGTGTTTGTGTGCGTTTGTTTGTCTGATTTTGCCCCTTTAGGCATGTAAAGGACTTGACTCAGGGACCTGCACTCTCGAAAGCCATCGACGGCTTCAGGGAGGGCCGCACCCCCGCGAAGAGCTGCCGAAGCCAGGGGCACAGCAGCAGCGCTGTGCATGCGCAACAGCAACTGCGGCAGCAGCAGCATAACTGGTTTTCAAGTGCATATCCGTCTGCAAGGACCCTGACTCCTGACTCTTCCCTCGGTATATCTCCGCCAGGCCCAGGTGGAACCCGCAAGGATGTGCCTGCACCGAACGTACAACCCAGGGCCCCTGATTCTGCAGCAGAGAAACCGCATGCAGAAGATCCTTACGTGGCGCTATCTTTGCGGGGGGCAGCGGCTCGCAAGCAATGAGAAGAGCAGGAGCTTTTGCTTCCCCTTTCGCCGCGTGGCAATGCGGGAAAGGTGCCTGCCTTCTTTCATTCTTGTACTTTATGGGTATTGCTGTCTATCTAGGTCGTTTCTCGTACGCATGCGCTCTCTTAGGAGACTAAGGGGAGTTGCACGCCTGCGTAGGTAGAGGATGAGAAAATACAGAAGGAAATAAGTAGCCAGCTAGCTAGCAAGCGAGTAGTATATTCCGGAGTTTTGTACGGCGGGGATTCCTCCCCATACGGCGTCATTAGGGCCGAGTAGTTGACAGGGCAGAATCCCTGTGTTCGAAAGGCTAGAGAGGACGTGCCTCCAAGCTTGGAGAATGCATGCATCATTCATGGCGCGTAAGGAGGGGGCCTTTAGAGGCAGGTCCCTCAAGGAGTATTCAGAGTTCCCAAAGGTGGCCAGGTGTTTACCAGAGGGCTCTTCACGGGGGGACCGGCTGGGGGGCTCCCCCACAAAATAAATCTTCTATCAGAAGAAGCCGTTGCCAGAGTTGCAGATGCCTTATCGAATTGCAAATCCTGTATGTGCAGAGGCAGCAAGGGTGCATAGTGCTACGCACTGATTTGAGGAGGCACTAAATGGGTGCTTTTAGGAGGCAGGAGTGGCACATCAGGGTAAATGAGCCTTTTCTTTTGTTTTTGTGTCTGCACCTGCACATAATCCATGTGCTCGCAAAGCTCCCTTATCGAGAGCGATGTCCGAACGTCCACGCTGCAAAGACGGGAAACAGCCAGAAAAATGCGCGGTCGGAGACTGAGGTTGCTGGGGCGATAAAGAAAAATACTATAAGTATAGAAGCCCCCTCCTTTTGGTGAGGTGATCGTGTGCCAACTACAGCACGCCTGAATGAATGAATCTGCTCTTTGGGGTTGTTGCACTATGTTCAAAACACAGAGTCCGAAATTTTGAACAGCTTCACTCTACATCCGGGTGCCCCGCTGTTGCTCCCCAAAAGTTGAAAGCGTTGCTGATGCTCTATGTACGATATACGGCAGGCTGTCTTACAGTTTGATGGAGCTATCGGCGCTGCCAGCTGCTAAGAGGGTGCCGCCTGCGTCAAAGGCGAGGGCGTTGCAAGGCAACGGGCCTGAGGATATGGGGAAGGGTGGCAGCGAGGGAATTAATGAGGGGGCAAATGCTTGCCAGAAAATATATATGTATATATATATATATATGTAGGCCGCAGCAATCACCCGTTTTTCACAACTTCACTGTATTATTTTTACCAAAATGCACCTCGTAGCACCCCATCTGTTCCTCTTACCTAGTTCCATGTGAAGCCACTCTTCCATTTTTCTCAGATCGCGGACGCTGAGAATTCCTGCTGAGTCGCAGGACGCTAGGAGGCCCCCCTGAAGACCGGCAAGCCATACCGTGTAGAGCGAGATGCGGCTTGCAGATGTTAGAAATTGAGGGCAATGGAGCAAGGGGTAACGATCGAAAAATGCGGCTCAGATCATGAGATCCCCATTGCAAAGCGTCTGAAATGAGTGGACACTTGAGTTCTTCTCAATGCGCAATTGTGCGTCGCCCCCCCTCATCGTGCTGAGGAAGAGGCATAAACTTACCTGGCTGCTGAACTGCACACTGTTGCAGTTGCTTCGGTGCTCTCGGAAGGTGTGGACGCCCCTGCCGCTCCGCATGTCCCACAGACACACCTGAGTGTACAGAAATCATAGGCAAGTAAATTTCTTGGCGCTTGTGTGCTCCCTGTATCGCTATGCGGGGGTGCTTTCTTGTTTGTGTGGGGTTCTGCCTCCGTGTAACTTAATTCCCTCTCTTGTATGTGAGCTGGCAAGAACCTCTCAAGGGACTGATTCGAACAAGCGGCCTCAGGGCCCGCAGCTCCTGCGTACGGTGGAATCTCCAGAGGCAGAAGCCACAAAATTTGTGAATGGCTGGAAGGCTACTGCGTTAACCGACTTGCTGTGGCCCCGTAAAGTCTGGCGGCACCGCAAACTGAATGCAAGTCCAAACAGACAAATTGATCAGCGAGTTTCTTGGCTAGTCATTTATCTTGCTGGTTTGTAGAATGCAGATTGAGGTCAGTCCAAAGAGCAAGCTTAGCTGCTAAAGGCACACCGAAGGCCGTCATGGACACTGAAAGTGCTCGTGCTTCGCGTTGTGGCGTTGCAACTAAATTATCCGAATAGAAAGCTAGTGGAGTGGAATCAGAGAGAGAGATGAAACAACGAGATGAGGAGCAAGCAGCGGCAGAACGAGACGTATCGTTCTGTCTCGCTGTAAGGCTCCTACAGCATCCTCAGCTGCGATGGTAGTGCCACCAGCGGCATTGTACGGTGTCTCTAGCCCTACACCGAAGGATAGCTGTGTAAAGGGGAGGAGGCAGCCCTTTGGACTTTGGCGGCCTCCTGCTGTGAACTTGCATCATCATGCCCACCTGTTAAGGTCGAAGCACTTTAGAGTGCTGTCCTGACTACCGGTCACAAGAAAATCTCCTAAGGAAAATATGTATGCAGATTCCGAGGGAGTAACCACGTAAAATTATCCGGTGTGTAGTAGTGCATAGAGCCATCCACCCGCGTACCGTTAGCTAAAATGAAATACCGAGCTTGCAACAGGCAAACATCAGATAGGATGGGGTATATCAGTGTTCAAGCCTAAGGGGCTTCTTGTGGTGCTATCCAGTATGCCTTCGGGTGGGGCTACTGGGTGTTTGCATGATGCTTCGTCTGCCACCATTAGAGAGTATTGTTTGGCCTTTGTGTGGGGAAGGGCGTTGATATTTGGCGTGCGCATGGCTTATTTTGTGGAGTGACACCGGAAGCGGCCCTGGGTGTCGCTGTCGCTGCAGACTTGCCTTGGTCATGAAAGCTGCAAGTCCAGACTGGCCGAGTGTGCTCTCTGAATGTGTGAAGGCACCTTTCCTCAGTGACGCTCCAAAGTTTGGTGCTGCAGTCTCCAGAGGTCGTCACAAGCAACGCACCAAGTGGATGGAAACGTATGCATCCTAGCCAGCCCTGCAGGATCAGCACCAGCATTGCGACAACACGAGCATGAACCCCGCTGTGGCCTGGCTGCAGAAGAAGCCCGTCGTTTTTGTACTGCCCTTTCGTGTGGGCAGCTGAGAGGCGGGCGGCTCATTAGGGCCTTAAAAGGCAGCAACAGGCCTTTTTGCGGAGTTGAAGAAGAGAGGACGGCACGTCTAGAGAATCGCAACGGCCGAAACCTCCGTCAAGACGCGTCGACACTGCACATTATCCACCCTAAAGGCTTTTGGAGGCCGCACCTCATGTCCCTTGCCGCTCATCACGAGCTCGCCTGAGGGGAGCTGCCAGAGTTTCCACGTGCAGTCGTCGCTTGCCGTTGCCACTGCGAGGGCCACAGCAGTAAAAGGGACAACAGCAGAGACAGAACCAGGTGTCGCCTTTAAACCATCGTGGAGAAAAGCAAAGATCGCCGCGCTTGTCTCCCTGTCTGTACAGTGGACGGTGCCTCCACCCCACCGGAGCATCGGAGGACTCACGGCCAGCGTGGCGGCAAGTGGCAACGGCCAGCGCTCTGCATGACATCCTAACGGGTCGGCAGTTAGCGGTTTGCCGCGGCTGGCTGCTGCTGCTGGCGCAAGCCCCTTCTGGTCTATGGCTACGGATTAGGGGCTAGGGGTGTAACTTGTGGTCTATGGCTACGGATTAGGAGCTAGGGGTGTAACTTGGAGTTTGGAACGTACAGAGGGGGAGAGATGGGTGGAAACAAAGACTGGTGATGGGCGCAGCATGGGCTTCAACATTAAGGAGGGGTTGGAGGGACTCGGGATACACAGCAACACACTGGCCACTGCTGCTTGTGGGGATGGCCCTTCGCCCGGAGGGCCACTGCGTGTCCAAGGGATGACCTTCTTTTGTTGCATTCCCACATCTGCTGACACTGCTCGAAGCTCCTTTTTCGCTCAACTTCGCTCCCCCCCCCGTTTTTACTGCGGTTTTACGAGAGCCTGTCTTGCCTCGGGCTTCCTCTGACTCGGCCGAAGACGATTCTTGACGCGTGAGGTCCTTTGCATCCTCCCTCTCTGATGCAGGAGCCTCCTTCCCTCCCGCTTCACTGTGAGCGGCCAGGCGACGCTCCAAAGCCTCGACGCGGCTCTGCAACCTGTCCCTTTCAATTGCTAGGAGGGCTTTGCCGCGGAGAGCAGCCTGAGGCCGCCACTTACGCAAGAAACGTGTGCATCAGTGCCGAGGAAAGCCCATAAGGGGCCTGGGGAAGCCCTGTGCGAGCACGCTTAGATCTCCATACAGCCCATTATAAACCCACAAATCAATTGCATCCTAGCATGCCCCTTTGCAAGCAATGCGGCATTCTGGGGCCTTCCCATAGTTGCCGGAAGACCTGCAAAGGGCTTTGCATTGCTGTGGATGCGGGCTGAGAGGACCCTCTGAGAACCCCTGGCGGGAGGCAAGCCAACTTTCAGTCAGCTGTATGGCTCTTTCGGTCAGAACAAAGACAGCCACGTACTTCATTTTTCTTACGCAACCCCGCTATTGTGTCCTGCAGGGCCTCTACCTCCGCCTTGGAGCGCTTAAGAGCAGCTGTACAGAACCTCCGCACACCTTATATGCAGCCTAAGTTCTGAATCCTTATCGCAAGTTGCCAAGCCCTCCAAGGCCCTGCCACGAAAGGCTTTCCTCCCATGGCGGCTCTACCGCAACGTGTGTGCGTGTTGTACGTTGTTCAAGGGGCTTGAACACTCACCGTTCGCCGCTTCCTTCTCGTCTTTAGCTCGGCGGTGATGCATGCGGTGAAAGTCTCTTTCTTTCTTGTAATGATCGAAGCAAGCACTGCAAAGAGGCGACAGGCTCTGCTTATCTGAGACACATTCCTGCACGGCCCCCAAACTGCAGAGTTAGAGCTACCTGCTCCTGCCAGCCTGCTAGAGCTCCTCAATCCCCTTACATTGGGCCCCCCGCAGCTCTCCCTAGCCGCCTGGTAAAAAGAATTGCAGTTTAAATCGGCACCTTTTTGTGGCTGCGAGCTCCTTTGAGCGCTGCAGCTCCTTCTTCAGGAACTCAACTTGCTCTCTGAGCTTTTCGTTCAGTGCGAAGACCGGTGGCACTCCTGTCCCGCAAACCGCCCCCTTCCCCTGGCTCTTGAGCTGCCTAGTACTGGAAACGTTGCATCCGCTGCTATCCTCCAAGTGGTTTTGGTACCTAGGAAACAGCACACAGATCCAGTAGGCAGGGAAGGAAGCCCTAGGGTAGCAAACAGTGTGCCCTAGCACTCGCACAGCTGCTGCCCCGATGCGCCAACCCTAAAGCAACAGACCATGCCCCATATATTTGTGTGTCGTGTCTAAATAGAGTGCCAATATATTCTCTGGCACTGCTGCAGATTCCCGCAATACCTCGACACACGTCCACATGTGCTTATTCAGAGCAAGAGCAGTTCGAGCAACTTTGTCCTTCTAGGTGGTGCGTGCTCGTTGCTCAACATGCCTGCAGCTGATTCCGCTTATGAGTCTATCCTTGTGCCTTAAATTGCTTCTCTACTTCCCAGCTCTGTCTAAGAGGCCCATATCAGTGGTTCCATTAAGGCTTTTTCCTGTCTGGCCTCCGGTTCTATCTGTATACCTGCATATTTGTGTGCGTGTGTGTGTGTGTGTTTATATATGCGTTTGCTGAGCCGCTGTGCCTCTAAGCTGTGTCGAAAGTGCGTCAAATTGCCTTGCCATTCAACTTGAAACATCTCGAGGGTTTTCTGCATGTTGTGGGACACAAGAAAGTTGAGGACAAAGTCATCTTCTGCTTCATGCTGGTACTGTAGCGAAGGCTGCACCGCGGCCGACTCTGCTAGTCGCTGCGCTGCAGGATTAAACGGGAAGCCACAGCAACAACCTTGGGCTGCCCCTTTGCTGAAACCAGAAAAAAGACTAAGTTGAAACTCCGCAATGAAGGGCACAACACAGTGCAGAATGATCTCCCAAAGTACACGGATACAAACCGGCGGCTTGAGGGCCTTTTAAGTGGGGCCCCTCTGAGAACACTTTTTCAGGGGCTTGACAATGCGCAGCATGTGTGTAGGAAACAAGAAGATTATGGAAGAAGAACTCTGCCCCTATGCACTCCAGACTAACTCAGGAATGCACGTGAGAGACATCACAGAGACACTCCGTAGGCAGCCCTTGCGAGATGCAGCGGCTAGCGAACTATTGTTTGCTTTGCCATAGAAGGCAGATGCAGATATTAAAGAAAGGTACGCTAGTTGCCCGAAAGCGGCAGAGCCCGACTGGCTTTTCAACGCTCATAAACGGGTGGTTAATTGAATTCGGCTGTCACTAAATGAAGTTTTAGTTGGGAGAGCGAAGGGGCCAGCGGTCCTGAGAACACGCAGCTGCATAGGGGCACTCAGTGCATCTGAGACCTTTTTGTTGCTTGAGAATTTCCTGTGTTTCTGCAACAAGCATTTCCAAGTCTTCGTCGTCCTGAGGTGGTAGTTGCCTCGATATGCTGTTTTCCCTCAGCGCTCCGTCCTCCGGCAGTGCAGCGGCAAGGTTTGCGTGAGGTCCACTGCTGACATGGGCTCCCTTTGCGTCGTGATACAAGTCTTCCTCGAGCTCTAGGGCCAAAGTCTCGTAGTCAACACTCTCGGAGCCGCCGCTGGAGAGACTGAGGGCTGCATGGGAAGCAGGAAACTCATAAGACCTTATTCTTGACTCCACACTGCCATGTGTTTATAGATGCTTTTTAGAAATACCGTGAAAGGGAAGGGGGAAGTTGGCCAGCACGACTTTCGCTCAGCACTCAAGCGCTAAGAAGGATGGTGCCCGACCCTATGTCGCCTCAAAGGCCAGTTCGTAAGAGGACCACCAATGCAAGGAGGCAGCACTGGTTGGCTAGAGAAAGTCGGCCCTATTTTTTACAAGTGCCAGTGCATCCTCCGGCTGCTTTACGTTGCAGGTAGCCCCTTTGCATACACTTTACACGCGATGCGTAGCAATGTATTTAGTGCAGAATCTGCTTAGAAGGAGTACGGGGAATCTTGAAGGCCGGAGATAAAAGAAGTACTCAACTGTTTCGTGTCGATACCATGATGCATCGTGTAGCGCAGCACTATGTCCCAAAGATACATCACAGCTCCGAAGGCATTGCTCTAAGCCGCCTTGTCATTTTTCTCAACACCTTTTCCTATTTACTCAGAGAGAGCCTTGGACCATCCCCCTACAGGGACTCTCCTTCGAAAATTGGCCGGAGAGGCACTTACCGTCTGCCGTGCCCTCAGTATTCGCATTAGCGGGTGGCTCCTCAGTAGGGACATGGTTCAGCACTTGAGACATTTCCACCCTGGCGCTTTGGTGCGTCGCTGTCATTTTCGGCAGCTCTTATCAACCGCACTGCTCCAGGGTCACGAAGTGTTCGACTACCAGAGTAAACGCGACACACCGGCTGGCCGCACGACTCCGAGAGCCATCGATCCACAACCCGCGGGACGGTATCCGTGCAACAGCCTACTGGAAAGGAGCGTCCCTGGTCGGGGGGGGGAGGAAAGCTCTTTTTTGCTGCCGGCAGCTCTAAGCACTCCTGCGCGGCTCTTCGCCTAGAGGCGGCAGGGGGAGAGGAGCGGGGTAGGGAGCTCTAGTGCATGCAGATTTCACGCTACAGTCTGCTATACTTCATTGATGGGGTCAGCGATGCCACGGTTGCATGACCTCCAAGGCACATTGACACTCTGTATGGCGGCCAGCAGAGGTACAGCTACTGCAAGGCCCTTCCTAAAGGGTCAGTGGCTCTTGATTATACTCTTTTTCTACCCCAATGGACTCATAGACCTAGCAGACAGCGTCCTACGCATTGGTAGGGCCCCCAAGCCCGCCGCCGACAATATGCTTTGCAGAAGAGAGCCAGAGACCAGCTCGTGGCTTCTGCAGATCTTTTCTTGTCGCTCATAAATACATTTTGGCTGGCGTTTCTAGTTGGGGGTTCGCGAGGTTCAGGGGCAGCCCCGCTGCGTAGTGATGCTGCACTGTGACGCAGTCACTCGTTGCTGCTCAGGCCTCCATCCGCTGGCTGGGTGCTACAGGACTCCAAGAGCGGACCCCCCACGTGCGAATGGATCATTCAAAACCTTATGGAGAATGGTTTACATGCGATCTAAGGACGATTGGGGGAAAAATTGTAGCGGCTTGCTCACACCATAGCTGTATAGCCACCTCGTGCTTCGGTGACTGTGGCATGCGGCAGTTGACTCATGACGTTTGAACGGCTTTGCAGCACTTCACCCGTTGGTGCCCTTGGTCACGCCGAGACTTGCAAGTTTCTGCTACTCTTCTTGGTGTGGCGCTCTGTTTCTTTCCCCGTGTAGCCAGGCCTCCTTTGCCCATCATGGGCTGGTCCTCCTACAGTGCCCCCCGAATTCAACTACCAAGAGGACGCACTTGATCAAGATCCCGCATCATCTTCAGGCCATCCAACCTTCGGGAATTGATTACCCGTGGTGGATCCGCACAGACAGCCGGTTTCTGCACGAGGAGATAATGAGCCGCGCCAGACGTTTTGGTAGCAGCACCGTTAGACCTGTTCATGGTCTGTGACAGAGCGCTCTTTGGCCGTTCTTAGGGCTTGTCAGGGGCATCGCTGCACACCGGCTGCCTCTGCCTGCCCTTTTTCCCGCGGCTTCCCTCGGCTTTAGGGCCCCCGCACAGCGTCTCGGTGACACTGTGGGCTTTCATCTCCCTCTTTGCTTCCCCTGTCCGTTTGATGGGTTGGCTGCCACAGTACCAGCGGACTGTGGCGCCCTCTAGGCCGTATAATAGACGCTTTCGTAGCCGGTTCTGCCCGGTGTGCTTGATGCAAGGGCCCCTTCAAAGTTTTCAACAAACGCCTTCTGAACTTTGCTTGATGGCGGCTTGCCCTGCATCTTAGTCTTAGAAGGTGCGCGTGCCTCGCCGATCTGCTCGGAGGAGCAGCCCTCCATGGAAATACTATTTCTGGTCTGACTCTTTCGACTCCCCCTGCTGCTGCGCGCAGTTCCCCAGCCAGCTGTAGCTGTAGAGATCCCCGTTGCACGCTTTTCCCAGTTGTGCAGATGGGTGCCATGGGGAAGGATCTTGTGGCCTTGGCATCTCGGCATTTGCGCGTAATGCTCGAGAAAGCTCCTGGCCCCAAATTGTTGCTGCTTGACAGCGAGACGACTGGCATCCTGGCTTGTGCAGTCTCTCAGTCCGAGATTTTGCAGAAGGAAGTGAGCTTTTGAACATGCCCTTTTTCTGGGGGCAGCACTGCATTTCGCCAAGGCGCTGCATGCGGCAAAAACTCCACTAAATTTGAGCGCTGGGAAGGCTGCTGCTGCTGCCTGCAAGGCTGTACATACATACATACGTAGTGTATAGGTGTCTGTGTATAGGTGTCTGTGTAGGTGTGTGTGTATAGGTTTGTCTGTGTAGGTGTGTGTGTATAGGTTTGTCTGTGTCGGTGTGTGTGTATATGTGGCCCTTTGCCTGGGGTAGCGCCATGTGTAGCACAGCACTTCTGCGTGTCGTGCATGCGGTTTGTCTGTGCATTCCGAGACAGGTTTTCCTAGTTGCACGCCTCGACGCTTTACCTTCCGGATCCTTTGAGCACCTGAGTGCCGTCTGCTTTCTAAGACCAACGAGCGAAAACATCCTGCTGCTCTTGCGGCTGTTGCAGCAGCAGCAGCGACAGCCTCGGCGACTCTCAGACGGCCAGCAGGATCTCGAACAGCCTCTAGAGGCTCTAGAACCGCATAGCCGCATAAAGGAGCTGCATCTCTTCTTCAGCGGTGCACTTCAGAGGCAATCCGAGATGTTGAAGCGTCTCGCACGCCAAGACGAGATCGACAAGATCGCACAGGTCCTGCTGGCACTGCCTCGTGCTTTGAACTTCGTGCTGCTGCCGCTGACTCGTGCTTGAATTTTATGCCGCTGGCGCTTTGCGCTACTCAGAGGGGGGAACCAGGAGGGAGGGGGAAGGAAATCGAGAGAGAGAGGCTACATACAGTACACGACAAGTCCTTCATTGTGCGTGCTTGTCGCTTCGGCGAGAAGTGTAGAATCCGACAGAGAGCATGGGTAGCAGTTCACAGCCTGCCCTTAGTGGAGTACATCTGTCAGAGGATTGCGCGTTCGTTCCCCGCCGTGGCTGCTGTTGTGGGTAGACCCACAAGAGATACTCTCTCCGTGCCGCATATCCATGTACTTGACAGATTGCTCGGCTGCACAGCCGAGAAGCTTGCTAAGTGCCTGCTGCTCTTCCGCTTGCGCACCTTCAAAGGCAGTGGACTCCCCGTTCTGCGCTGGCTGTACGCCAAACAGTGCCGCCTTTGGAGGCGCTCCTCCTTACGTTTGCGCATGCGTCGCCATAGCGTTTTTGCCGGCTGAATGGTCTGCGCTTCAGGTGTATGAGGTCTTTGTAGACATGTATCCTCTCGGCCCCCGCCTTTTCTCTCTCTCCGTTCCCGCCGTCTCCCAGCTGCAGGTGCGCGCCGCTGCCTCCTACCTGAGACGGCAGCATCTCTTTTTTATTGGTGGCGATCTAGTTTGCGGGCTGCATGCTGTTTTCTCTGCTCTGCCTACATGCGCCGATACGTCAAGAGGCTCCTGTACATTGCTGGAGAGTCCAGTGCATGTTTGTCTAGTGGTTGTAGCCAGCGCTTGCCCTCCACAAACCGGGTGGGGGGGAAGGGGTAGGAGGGGGAGTTGCTGGGTAGGCGTTGTGTCGTAGGCTTCCATGTTTGCATTGGCGAGGCTCATAGCGGATGCCTTCTGCAGCGGCGACACGCACGGGATGACAAGTGTATAGATGTGTCGATGCGGCAGCCTGCGAAGGGCGACTTCCTGCACTGTCACGGCTCCATCCCTCGATATCCATGAGTGCAGGGGTGTTTATCTTTGCTTCTCGCATAAGAGCGATGCACAGCGAGACCACACAAAAATGCAGAGAGCCGCAGATGCTGCGAGACAGCATTCGGAGGGGAGTGGTGTGGCCTGCAGAATAGAGAACAAGGAGGGGAGAAGGCTGTTTGTATACGCGCATGGCTGCCTTGCTCTCTTGCTCAGAATGCAGTCTCCGTCTGTACAGCACAGCAGGTTGCCGAAAATGTGACATTTGACTGCAGCCGTTGTGTGGCTGTGGGTACGATTGTCTGCGCTGCGGCCTAAGAATAATGTCCTCTGTCTACCAGCATTTATTTGTAGCGTGTATTTTTCATGCGGGAGACTCTCTCTTTTACGCGGCTTCTTCAAGGAAGCAGCAGCCTTTTAGAGTCCATTTGGCGGGAGCTAGCGCGTGAGGAAGGCAGCGAAGAAAGGAAGGGAAGGGGGGCTGCCCTTCTTCCCTCGTACAAGCGACTGCCGGCGTCTGTGTGTGCTGCTATGCCCCTCCAGATGCAGAATCTGTCTCTTTGGACGGCGTACGACGAAATGCTCTTTCAAAGGATGGTGGATGGCCTCTTTTCTTGCATTGCTCTCCTGGGTGGAGGCGCTGTGATCCGCTTTCTTCGAGGCAGCGCTGTTTGCCAGCGCCTCGCTGCTGCTGTGCAGAATAGAGTTGCAGAAGCGAGGACGTTTGCCTTGCAAGCGCAAGCTCAAGACGCAGGTATGGGAGAATATATTGCGTGCCTTGCGTAGAGCCAGCAGCTGCAGAAAGAGCAGCTTTCGACAGTAGCCTCACAAGTTGCCAGGGTCGTAGTAGTCGCGTCTCTGCGGAATCTACGGGCCTGTTGTTCATTATGTGTGGGGTCTGTGCTTCTAATTTTTTTGTCCGCATGCGACGTATTCGCTGAATGATGCCGTTTGCATATATCCAGCCGCCGCTCAGCCCCTGCCGGCAAGCTGCTACCAGGCCTCTAGGAGGGAATTTTTTGAAAGGGGGGGTTCTGTTGCGCTTTTTCTGCCTCTACGAAGCGCACTCTCAAAGCGAACTTCTCCTCTCTCTACGAACTTCGATCCACTGCAGCGGCTGCTGCTTGATTGTTTGTCTTGCGTGCAGTGGCGACGGCCGAAGCCACGGGGCGCCTGGTGCTGCTTTTGTTCGACAGAAGAGAAGACCCAGTGACACCGCTGCTTAACCAGTGGACGTACACCGTAGGTAGCAGCAGCAATGTAGCAATAGCAGCAGCAGCAATATAGCAATAGCAGCAACAGCAATGTAGAAATAGCAGCAGCATCAATGTAGCAATTGCAGCAACAGCAATGTAGCAATAGCAGCAGGAGCATCAATGTAGCAATAGCAGCAGCAGCATCAATATAGCAATAGCAGCAGCAGCATCAATATAGCAATAGCAGCAGCAGCATCAATACAGCAATAGCAGCAGGAGCACCAATATAGCAATAGCAGCAGCACCAATATAGCAATAGCGTTGCTTTATCTGCACGTTTAGCAGCCTTCGCCGAACTCTACGGGAATAACAGCTGAGCGCGACTTCTTCAGGCTCCCCGCGCAGATGGCTAAGGGGCTTTCAGAGGATTGCTGTGGGAGCTGGGGAGGAGGAGAGGGAAAGGAGGAGGAATCTCGCTTGCATGCGGAGGTTTGTCTCGAGTGCTGCAGGGTGCTCTCATTGCGGAAGAGTGAGATGCGTCTCCGAGCGATGCTTTTTTGAGCGCAGGCAATGGTGCATGAGCTGCTTGGAATTCGCCACAATCGGGTTGATCTGCATAAAGTCTCAGGCATTGTGGAGGACCTCAAGGAAGTTGTTCTTTCCACGACTCAGGACGAGTTTTACAAGGCGGTAAGCTGCGGCGCTTTGAGCCGATCAGTGGATTTTTCGGCTGCTTTCAAGCCGCGCAAAAGTTTTGCTTTCCCGCATGCATCGTTGCCTCTGCTTCTGGGGCAAAGGGGCTTAAAGGAGGACGCCGTACAGAGCGCTCTGCTCAGAGCCTCAGGTGTCAAATCAATGCCTTTGCGTCGAAGCGATCGTGAACGCGGTCTGTACGACCGCTTGGTTGGCACCTTGCGTTGCTGCGGCCTCTGCAGAATTGCATGGCAAACTTTGGCGATCTGGGAGTTGCAGTGAAGCAGCACGTCAACGAATACCAGGAAAAGGCGAGTTCGCGTGATAGAGAAGGGCCTGCGTATCTTGTAGCGCTGCGCGACTGCCTGTGCAAAGCAGCGATCCACGAAAAAGCCTTCCTGAGCACCCCACTATTACCACGATGCCTTTGGCTTTGGCAGCGAGGAAAAGAGGGGGAAGTGCCTGAGAGGCTTCTGCATGGGGCTATCGTGTGTGCTTCGTGGTTCAGACAAAGACGCATGCGCAGATCACATCGCTTGAGGCGATGCGCAACTTCATTGAGCAGTATCCAGAATGCAGGAAGATGTCGGGTATGTGGAGTTGGCCTCCTCTAAAATGTCTTTCCTGGCTTGCGCTCTGCAGAAGCAATTTTTTATCCCTCCTGTTGGGGGGTTTCCTCGCTCGTTTCGCCGCTGCATGCGGCTGTTGCGCGCGTCTCCCGCCACTGCCCCCCTGTATTGTGCTGGCCTCCTTCCATTGCTGCTGTTTTCTCTCAGGCTCTGTATTCAAGCACGTGACGATCATTCACGAGCTCTCTCGTCTTGTGCAGGAGCGGCAGCTGCTGCGCGTGTCAGAATTTGAGCAAGACCTCTCGACCCGGGAGGCAAGGGGAGAGCATCTAAAGACGATTCTGGAATTTCTTAGAGACGATACCATCACCAACATGGATAAACTGAGGCTCGCACTCCTCTACGCTATCAGGTGCGCATGCTGCGTGCCTGTTGATTTGTCCTCTGCGGCTGCCTCCTCTTTCTCCTCCCCGCTTTCTCCTCCTTGATGCCTGCTCTCTCTGGAAGTCACTCTCCTCCTGCTGTTGCTGCTGCTACTGCTGCTGCTGCGGTGCCAGAAGAACGCATTTCGCTGGTGCCCTCTTGCTGTTGAGGCTGGCCAGAGTGGCTTGCAGGGGTCTTTTGACGCGCAATTTTTTGGCGGGGAGGGCGTGCTGCTCACCTGCTAGGCCGCTTGTATATGCATCGTATAGCGGAGGCAGCTGCAGAGCATAAGCCGCTTGACTTTGCGCGAGGAATGGAGCCGCTTTTTGCATGGCTGCGTGTGTCGCACGCTCAGGTATGAAAACGACCCCAGCGTCGCTTCCCTCAAGGGCGAGCTGCGCAGGGCTGGCTTGGAGGCGGAGGAGGTGCAGCTGCTGGAAGCCATCACGCAGTATTCCAACGCGGCGATCCGCAGCGGCGATTTGCTGCAGAACAAGAGCTTCTTGGCAGTTGCTAAGAATTCCATCACGAAAGGGCTGCAGGTCAGCTCACCAGGCCCCTCCTGTGACGCCTCGGCTTCCGAGACAGCGGAGACAGACAGAGGGGTGGTGCTGGGCTGTTGTTGTCACCCTCTTTTGGCGCGTTGTTCGTGGCTGTCTCGTCCGTAGAAGACTGCACGCCGCGCGGATCGCTTCCTGAGAGGGAGGCAAGGGTAAGGGGGCTACTGCTGTTGTGCGCACAGGGCGTAACGAATGTCTTTACCCAGCACAAGAGCCTGATGTACTCAGTGGTGGATTGTCTGATCAAAGGTGAGAAGGAGCCCGCGCAAGAATTCCCAGTGTGTCTGCTCTTCAGGGGGGAGGTAGCCTCTGCGTACAGCTGCTGAGGGCAGGTGTTGACGGAGGGGTGGACAGCCAACCCTCTGCTGGCAGGGGGTCTGTTGTTGTTTGCTCGTCCATTAGCGGCTGCTTGCGCATGCCACGTGCATAGCCACGTGTGAAACGGGGCCTTCGCAGCTGCCTCATCATACAGTGCAAAAAGGATGATTTTCAGTGGCCCCCTTTCGCTGCGGATGGCTGGCTGCCGCCTTCAGAAGTGTCGTAGACTCCATGGTTTGTAATAGACCTCCTCAAAACCACCGTCTTCCCCTGCCTTACTGTGTGCATTTGGGTATATATTTATATGTTTTTTGCCTATCGAATCAGGCAGATTGAAGGAGACAACTTACCCCGTCCTCCAATCTCACCCCAGCCCGTACGGGGCCGCCTCCGCAGGCACGCCTTTAAAGGAAAAGCTGCAAACTGTAAGTCCAGTGAACAACCCTTGAACACCCTCTCTTTTGAAGCTTCAGGACCTTAGGTGCCTTCACAGAGGCTGTGGTGCACAGTCCGTGTCTCTTTTTTCGCGTAGAGCTCTGCCTAGCGGTCTGTGTGCTTGCTTCCCTTCCATACACTACGCGTATGTGAATATGTGCAAATGTATCTACGCACACGGGCTTGCCGGAAAGAACGGCGTATCTGCGGATTTTCCTCCCTTGCCTGCCTCTCCCCACGCATCCGCCTCCGTCGGCTGTCTTGCTGAACTTTCTTGCGTGTGCAAGGTTGTGGTATTCGTCGTGGGAGGGGCCACGTACGAAGAGGAGCGAGACATGGAGGAACTTAGTAGGGCCTCAGGGGTGTCTGTAATGTTGGGAGGTACCACCATGCTGAATTCTCGCACCTTCTTGGCAGACGTCTCCCAGCTCATAAAGGGGCACACCCTGTCTACTGCCATTCCAGTATCAGCATCCTGGCGCCCCTAGGGAAGACTCCCCTCTCTGGGAGCTTTCTTGAAAGATTTTGCCTCCCTTCTTCCTCTTAAAGAGCTGCTGGGGGGCAACAAAAAGAGGGGGCCTCGCATCGGCCTCCCGGAGGCGGGTAAGCCCCGCCCGCTGCGCACGGCAAGGCGACCCCTTGCCGGCTGCCAGAGGCTGTACGTACACCTCGCGCCTTCTCCCGGTCGAGGCGGCAAACCTAATCTCCCTAGTGTGGAGTCCTTGCTGCCTTTTACTGGTGCGTGCTGGTGGGGGCGTCCTCCTCTGGCACCTAAAGAATGCAGAAAAGGGGTGGAAGCCGTGCAAGTCTGCAGGTGTCGTGCCTTGCGCGTGTTTCAGCGCGAGGAGCTCTGTGCGGACTTTCTCTGCCCTTTTTTCCTTCAAAACAGGCGCATGGGTCTCCGCAGTGCAGCACCGGGCCTGTGCAAGGCACTGCGCAACTAGCGGAGGCGCGTATGCGGCTTCGCAATCGACCAAGTCTCGCGTAACGAGCACTTGGGATCTGAACACTAGTGAGCTAGGACCTTAGGGGGGTTAAGCTTCTAGCAGCACCCCTAGTGCTCCGCCTTCGGGCGTTGCAATGTGCTGCCGCAGGCAGCCAACAGGACCTGTAGTAAAGGAGCCCTAAGCGTGCTCTATTAGCCCTCGAACGCTATACGACGTGCAGATGATGCTCCTCTGCTAAGCAGCTGGCTGTCGCCCTTTCTTTCTGTTTACCCTCCGTTTTACTGCATGTGCACAACCCACCAAGGCTCATATTTGTGGGGAGAGGTCTGGCCATCGGGGCACACTCACCCTGCCAGTGAGCACACACACGAACACCCTGCGCTCTCCCCCCTCCGTCAGGTTTTCCTAAATGCCAGTCTGGCGCGTGGATGTGTTTTCTGTAGCCTCTCAAAGGCCGAGGGGAACCTCACGGCGATCTCGCGCGCCAACTTTGCTGCCGCTGCACTCTTGTTGAGGGCCCCCAAGCGGCGTGTGCGACCCCAGGGCAGGTCCAGGGATACATCCATGTGCGAATCCAGGTCATATGAAGAGAGATCCGAGAGACTTCCCGCAGGATCCATCTGACTGCCAGTATCACTGTAGCCCTGAAGGCCCCCCTCCCTAGCAGCAGGCGCCTCATATCCGATAGTGCGCGCGGGAGACCCCCGCCGTCCCCTCCGGATACCCTCAACGCACGCATGCATAGATCGGCGAATCACCGAGGGGCTTCCTCGCGAGGGGAGCGATCGCACTGATTCCTCGCTTCTTCCCGAGCAACTGGCCTCGGTGGATCCAGGAGAGGACACACTTCCCCCTGCAGGCATCCCTGCACACAACGCCACACGGGGCTGTGCCACGCGGCGGCTAGACGAGGCCCTTCTGCATGCGGCAGCAGCAGCCGTCACACGAAGCTCTTGAGCTGCGTGCCGCATGAGCTGCCTCAGCTGCTCCACAGTGCCGCTCTCCGCAGCCTTTGCCGGCGAACCGTCCTTGCTGTTGCGACAGGCTGCTTCTGCGCGCGCTAACCTCCCAGGCCGCGGGAGCCCCCCCCCTCCAGAGAGCCTCCTACACGACAGGGGCACCGACGGCTCATACGGGTTCAGTGGCAGCGGGAGCAAGTCGTAGCCTACGGCTGCCAGTGCCTCCTGCATCTCCTGCCCTGCATCTTTGCGTGAGATGCCTGACAGACCGCTGCCGGGGGATTTCCGTGAAGGCCCCCCAGAAAGCGCGGCAGGACGCTGGACGCCGTCACACACACTCAGAGGGGCTGAACACGCAGCCTGGTTCACGATATAACCCCTGAGATCGCGAATAAGCTTTTCCAGAAATCGGATATACGAACGCCAGCGCCTCAAGGTTTCACTTTGTTGCTGCAGGGCTGTAGCGTCTCGCTCTCTCTCGCGGCAGAGGCCACTCACGCGCTCTTGAAGAAGCGTCACCTCCTCCTGCCGATTCCGCAGCTGCTCCTCCATCAACGCACTTCGCTCCTCTAGGGACCGAAGAGTAGCCCGTAAACATCCAGCCTCCACCTGCGCAGACGCACAGCGCGCATCAACACCGTGCATGATGCACATGGGGATGAAAGGCGCACAGCCCGAGGAGTTCTGCGGTGACTCCTCCCCTCGCTGCTCGGCTTTTCCTGGTCTCCTGCAGACGTTGCTGAAGGCAGGAATCGCAGAGGCCGAGACAAATACGCCTCTTGAAGGGCCCTCATGGACATGCACGCTACTCCCTGGCAAGCCACGCTGTTTTCATATGGGACTCTAGAGACGTTCGGCAAGTCATCAGCAGCACCTGTGCCTCCTGCTTTTCGGCCTGAAGTCGCAGCCTATTGTCCAGCTGCTCCTTCAGTTGGCTCTGCAGCCTCTTTTCCGTTTGCTCGAGTTCACGAGTCTTGGCAATCTGAGCTCCTCGGGCGGCTGCTGCCTCTGCCCCCTGAATGACTGCTTCCGTAGCGCAGCTGCGAACTTCTTGCTGCCGCTGCGCTAGCTCCTCGCGGAGCTCTATGCAGCGGGCTTGTAGATCTTCCAGCTAGAAGGCACACATCCACAGCAGATAGATACGCAAACACACAGCCTCAAGTGTACATCGAACCCCCTGAGCAGCTCTGCACGGCATCCAGTTCCAGATGTGCAGAAGCGCACTTTCATTAAAGCCAAAACGGTAGTAGCAGGCTCAGGAGCAGGGAAATGCAGCCAGGCAGGGATGCACAGAGGCACACACGCACTTGACGCATGCTCGACGTAGCATAAGAAGACGCCAGTGCAGTGCGTGCCGTCACAGGCATATATATGTACATATATATATATATATATGCAAAGATGCATGCATACGCATCCAAGCACCGGGGTAAGGTGAGCTGTCCCGGTTGGAAGAAGGTACTCAGCAGTTAAGAATTAGCGCTGAAGAAGGGCGCAACCCTCCAGGTCAAAACTGATTGTATAGTGAGGCCTGCGGTGCCCTGAGGCACTGTCATGCGTCTTTATGCATCGCCACACAGGCCTGTCACTGGAGATTTCGTAGGGATGTATTTCTGGGTGGATATGCATGCGAGGGGCACGCCAAGAAAGGACGCGCTTGTTCCCCTCGGCTCTGGCCACCCTAGAGCTGCCCTACCTCTGCTTTTCTGGAGGCCTCGTTGCATCTCATTAGCCCCAGCTCCTCTCTCAGCTCAGCTGCTTCTTGTTGACTTTGCTTGAGAGCTAGAGTCTGGAGCTGAAGCCGCCTCCGAAGGGCCTCAGGATCGTGCGACGCGAGCTCCTCAGCTTCCGCCTCCTCCGTCAAGGCGAGCGCCACGGGGATGTCGCCTGGACACGACGCATGAGACGCATGCAGGAAAATCATGGGATTTCGCCAAAAGGAAGCGCTTGCTTGAGCTGAACAAAGCAGCAATCTGCTTGTACGTATGCCTCCTTAAAGGCCCAACGGTATGACGCGTGCCAAGCTCACCGGGCTTCGGGCAGCAGGCATTCAGGTAGTCGGCCTCGTCATGCATGCTTCTTATTTCTTCCTCCTGATCCCGCAATTGGCGCTTGAGCATGTCCACCTGGCATTTCAAAATGGCGGTGTACGTACTCTCTGCGGGACTCTTTGCCTCATGGGGGCGCCCTGTGACGGCCCCCCATGCATCCTTCCTGGCAGCGCGAAGTTTCAAGTTTTCCTTTTTTAGAACCTTGGCTTCGTATAGAAGCTTCTCGAGAATCCTTTCCACGTGCGTTAGGCGATCGCTCCCTTCTGGATTCTCTGCGAGCCCGTTTCCTGCGGGGAAGGCTTCTTCACTTTCCAGAGCTAATGCCTCAACACCTTCAGAGAAGCTCATCTGGTCCTTCAGGGCAGGCTGCGCTTGCGATACGCACGCGGAAGCGTTCAATCTGCAGGAATCACGCGTGGAGTGTGGACGAGAAGAAGCGGATATACGATGATCCGGGGAGTGAGAAGCCCCCCCGGGCACCTTCTTCGGCTGTACGCAGCGCCGCACGGGGCCTTGCTGCGGTAAGACCTCAAAAAACTGATTTCGGTTGCACTGGCCGTTTCGGAAGGTTAGAGGAGATCCAGGATTCATATCACGGGAAGTTGAGACTGCGCGATGTTGCGATCTCCCCCTAAAAGGCTGGGGACGCTGCGTATTGCCGGCCCCAGCCACACCAACAGCTCGCCTCGACTGGCGAAGGCCGTCGGAGTCTTCATTGGAATGCTCGAGAGAAAATGGTTCCTCTGAGGGCTGCGTTTCCTCACAGCTTTGTAAGGTTGGAGTTCGGTGTCCAGCGGCGGAGAATCGATGCTCTGGATCTCCTGTGGCGAAGGGCGGTGCACGCTCATATGGACGCCACCAGCTAGGCTCTGGCACGGGAGACATTTCCTCAGCATAAATGCATCTAGGAGGAAATGCGCTGCGCTGCGGAAGGCGAAAACTGTGGGTCCCGATTTCCCATCATGGACACACGAGGCGGTGGCCTTCAACACCTCGAACGTCTCATAGAAAGCAAATCGAAAGCACAACAAATTACTTGGATGCCAGCCATTACGCCGTAGCGAATTTTCCGCCTCCGCGAGGAAGATACAGCTTTGCCCTTGGATATCGTAGTGGTGCTTCTCGAGGTCCTAATGCTCGGGAGCTGCGAAATCGAAAGCCAGCAGGGTGCCCATTCGATTCCCAATAGTCACATTTGCTAAAGTCATGGTGACTTTGAAGCCTTAAATCGCGAATTTAGTCGGAAGATCAGCTGCATAATATACGCCAAGCACAGTTGGTTTGCTGCTGTCTGGAAACGTGCAGAGATGGGCCTGTTCAAGAATGCCTTCTAGAAGAACCCAGGACGAATAATGGTAACTGTACATCAAATAGACAGCAATTCATACTTCAGCAAGACGGAGCGAATACCACACATGCAGCACTTCCATGGGCGACGGGCCGGTCAGCAGTGCTGGTGCCCATAGGTCTTAATGGTCTTTTTCAACTTCATACTGTGTATTCTTCCGATAAGCCTCATGTTTTAAGCTCATGAAAGTTTTTAGTCATTTCTTTCACATCGTAAATTCCCAGGACATCTTTCGGGACTTTCCCTCTTGCGCGCTTCCACTGGGAACAGTTTGCCGTGCCGCCCACTCCACATGTAGATTTCAGGTGTTTGCTAGTGCCAATCGTCATTACAATTAACATGTACTTATTCTACACCCGTGTCATTAGGTTTAGCCCCACTGAATTCTATTCTGTCTCACGGATGAATACCTTGTTGCCTAGTTTGCGCGTTGTCACCGCACCGTAAGAGTGAGAGAGTGCCTCAAATACATTTGAAGCATAGTCTTTAGTGCCAACGCTATAGGAGAAAGCGTCTCGAAATTCTCTCTCTATCTGTAAAATAGGTTCGCAATTTGTGACCCCTGCATAGTATATCCTAACTCTGTGTGCCGCTAAGGTATCGAGCCGTCCACTGTTCCTCACCCACGACCGTACTGATATCTAATTAAGTTTTCAGCCACTAAAAGCGTAGCTTTTCCAGAATTCTACGCTTTGTTGTGTAGGACAGGTAACTTCATACTGTAACAGGAGCGTCTGCATGTGCGCTAAGTAACCATATGCAGAACAGGATGCTATTGTCACGAGTGTTCAAAGGTTGCAGCGGAATCCAGCTCTGTGATCTTGCCTTCTCGTGGGTTAAACACAACGAGGCGTAAACATAAAAAAGTGAAACTCGTTTAAACATCAACTGCTAAATATTTTGATCGGTTTTCGAGTTTGGTAGTGTAGCTCTAGTCTCATATTCTCTGCTTTGAGACTGCTAGACCCCAAAGCATACGAACGCTGAAGATATCGTTACTATGTAGTTATTTTACACACCTAGATCTTCATTTCGCTCTCACCTCGCAGGTTTCGGCATAATTGGAGACGGGACAGCCATGGCGGGAGTTGCTGTGCCCTCTGTGCGAAGCAGTATATCAAAATTATCAATTAATAGAATTGCGGGGACCAAAAAATCCTAAACGACCTTCAACATTTAACTCACACCAGAAGCCCAAATATACAACGCCAACACGCTTTAGTAACAAAAATGGCAGGCCCTCGGCATACGCAGGCCCCCAAAGGCAATGCGCTCGACAGGCAGCTATGGTAGGTGGCTCCTGCGGGGCCTGAAGTCCTTTTAGGTGGTAAGCTAGTTGGTTTTAAAGCAATGCCCACAACAGCTCCCGAAGCATTTGTGAGCAACTATGCGTGCTTTTACTTCATTAATCTGTAAGTATCGCCATACATTTCTTGGAATACGTTGGTTTTAGCCCTTCAGGTGCTCTGTTTGCTGGACTCCTGCTGGCTGGGCTTCCTAACCCTGTTCGTAGGCTCTAGTCCCCTTGTCTGTTTCCCGCAGTACGGAGATCTGGAGAGCTATCTTGCCTCCTAACTCTTTGCCCGCTTGTCCTAGCAGCAACAAATAAGAGTACAAACTGCAAGTCGTCGCATGGCGAATTGTTCAAGCACTATTTAGAACATAGAGATATGAAACTCCCCTGGAGTATAGAGCCTCAGAGAGAGGCTGATGTAATGCAAAAGCATGGGGCTCGTGGGAGATCTTTCTTCACAAAGTCCCAAGCACGCTAGTGGTAGCCTGCTAAGCTACACCTAAACTCTACCTACTCCGCTATATACATATATACATAGCTAAGAATTGGCACAGCAATCAAGGCTAGTAACCAGATCAGGCACTAGAATGGCGCCCATATTTAGGTGTATTCATTTTTCCCGCCTTATCACACCGCATAGAGTCCCATTTGCTGCATTGGGTACTGCTACCAGGTTTCAGTGAAACGATGAAAACAACGAGCAGTTGTTTTGTAGAGCCTCGTAGCCTTCTTGGGAATGAACAACGCCCACTGCTACGCCATTTATATTGGCTTAAGGATAAATGATACCCAGGATCAGGAAGGGCAAGTATCCGAGGAGTTGTGATACGGCCAACTAGGGTCCTTGCTGTTGCATGGGGCATTTTAAGCCTACATGCATGAAGTTTCCTAGAGTAGATCGGTCAAAGGAGAAACAATCCGAGCAAACAAATGAATGTTGTTCCAATAGTAAGATGCAAGCCAATAAAATATCTCGATTTATGGGGAATAGACAAATTGCATTTCTGTGTCGTTTCCTCGGATGCTAGATTTACTTCGCACGAAGTGTGAAGAAGCACTAGCAAATCTGGACCACAGTTATCAAGTTGTATCAGTGCAGAATTAGCCTGGTGAGTGTATCCATGGGCAGGAACAATTTTTTAGTCATCTTCACCGAGTCACGACTTACGTATGAGGCTTCGCACTACTCTTATGCACTCTGTTTATTCGCCAGAGAGCCTGCTCCCCCCTGACACAGTCACTTTGTTCAATTACTTCAGCTTTGCTCATGTGCTTGCAACTCCAGAGTATCAGTGATTTTCCGACAATAAAAGCAGGTGCGTCTTTTGAGGGGATACCTGAGGCTGCTTTGGACCAGGGGTGCCCTCTGGCTTTCTTTTCTTATCCATCTTAACCTGTACGCTAAAGGTGGTGGACACAGGCTCCACATCCCAAAGTTCTATGTCCCATCTTGGTTCCTTCTTTTCATCTATCGGCAGGCGTTCTGCTCCTCTGCTCTCGGAACATAAAGTAGTCCATCATCTGTGAAACCTCTACTGATCGACTGTTCGATTGCTGAGCGGATTGCTTGGCAACCACCTAAAGTGATGCCCTAGGTAGACCGCAGATGAACCAAAAAAAATGTTCTTCTGCTGTGTGGCTTTTGTCAACCAAACTCACGAATTCCTCGGAATACCTATCTGGTGATACATGTTCCTGCATGAGTCCCTTCAGGTCTCCCAAAGCTACCTGTTGACCTAATCTTCGCAGAAAATGATAGGTTAGGGTTGTAAGAAGGCTTAAAATGTAGAAATCCGTGCAGGGAAATGACGTGCGTACATGGATAGCGCCATCATTGAAGTGGTTCGTTTCCAACAAACATGCTACGAGGAGCATCTGCTTCGGTTTATATGTGGGGTACACAAGGAGGTCCATTTCGAACCCGCAGATAAAGTCCCCGAGTACTGCTGGTCCTCACGCTCGTCATACTTTTCTGGTCAGCGTAACATCGCTGCCTTATTCATGATGCCTTGTGGGATGCCAAAGCGTGCCCTTTCACCAATTGTGGAGCTACTGCGTTCACATTAGCTTGCACGGCGGCCTGTGTTGCCTCAACAAGCGTTGCAGCACCGTCAGCTTCCATCAGCAGAGGGCGTTCCCCCAGACTATTGCCAAAGAAACTAATGAATTGATGAATAGCTTGACTGAAAGCAGACAGTTTTTGTAGGGAATACTGGCATCCCAGTAAACCCGCAATCAGTGGCCGAGCAGAAGAGCGCTGCATCGCATCATAGCCTTTGCTATCAAGTGATAGACTCGGTATCAGATGTCTGTAGGAAAAGACATTTTGAACGAAGGCACAGTACGAATCTTCTACAAAGTCATCAAGAGAGAGAAAACCATTCCCCCACCTGTTCGTGTCCCGCGCTTCCTGAAAAGTGCAGTAGGACAGCATGTGCGGGACTCCGGTCCACTCTCTAGGCATGCCGAGCATTCGCAGCCAGCTACGCATAGCATCTACTTCAGTCGCGCACAACGATGCTTCTGGTTGCAACGATACAACAGTAGTGTGCAATAAACAGTGTAAGCGGAAACAAGAAATACTTAGTCAACTGCCAGGTAAAAATTTAGTATATCTACCTAATGTAGTAGAATGTGATATTGGGTGTAGCTAGGCCTGCTAAAAAAAAAAACAATTACTTCCATTCCTGCTGTCCTGCCTATCCGAAGGCTAACGCCTTGGGCAGAGAGGGCAACAAGGAAGGGAAAAGCACTTGATGAAACACTGAAAGCTGTGTATTTTCATCGGGCTTTGAGTAGGGTGTGTAGATCTATATTATGCATCGAGGGATCCCTCCAACCCTACCCCGCATCCACCCTGGAGAAAGGTGTTTACCTGTTTGTTCCAAAGAGCTGCTTCCTCTCCTCACCAGGGCTTCACGGGGCTCCAAGGGAGAAAAGATGGCCACTTCGTGTGTTAGTGCGCCCTCCCAGCACTTCACCAGTTTCAACCAGTTATCTCTGGCGCCTCGGTGAACCCACCTGCAGACAGCATTCCAATTTATAGTCTCCGGCTAACCCTGCTCTGCACAACATAGATTCATGCGACAACCATTCCATCCGTTCTAATCTGATTATTAAAAGGAGATAAAGCAAGGGCAGAGAAAAGTGCTTCAGCACAGCTCGGCCCCGCTGCAAGAGGGCATTTACCTAGCAGGAGGGTAGCCGCGTGCGTTAATCTACTTCAGGGTGTGCAGGCCACTGGCAAACGCAACGATGTACATCTAGTGTTATGACTAGATCAGGCAAGGTCTGGGCCCATTAGTACGGGCAGGACAGCGTGGGAATGTGCAATTTCAAGTTTGTAGCTCCAAATTGCTGTGGTACCCTGCTCTCCCGTTGTTGTTGCTGGGCTCGTACTGCGGCCAATCCTCACCTACGCAGGTAGTCCTCCAAGTCACACCTAACTGATATTTGTTCCATAGATGACAGCATGATTATTCCTTTCTGATAATGCTTTGCTGCATAGATTCGTCGAGTCCATTCTTTAGAGCTTTATGGTGCTACACACCGCCTCTGCGTGGACCCCGGCTGCAGGTTTGCACAGAAGGTGCGGCTACGTCCATCCCTGCTGTCCGGCCCACCCGAAGGCTGAAACTTGGTGGGATATGTAGGTCCAAACGCAATGCAAAGCTGAATAGAAAGCTTTTAACAGCCCTGCCAAGAAGATTTCACCTCTACTCGATTTTATCCCTCATGTTTCTATGGTCAGGGTCGAAGGGGAGCCAGGGCCGGCGATTTTGCACACTCTGAGCTATTGGACTATTCACAAATAGTTGTACGTTGCGTGTAGCGGATCCTTCTAGTATGGTTCTGGCCTCACCATGCTACAGACAGCTTAAACGAACGGTCAAGTCCAGTAGCCGATTTCGTAATAATTTCAATTAAATGTAACTTTTGAATTAGATATGCTGAAGGGTAGCATAGCTGGTACACCTCCTTCGTGCCTCCCCGCATGCTGAAACCTTTTAGGGCAAGAGCAACACAAAGGAGACACATTTCTAAGTGCATGATTGATATCTACATATTTTTTTGCTTTTTTTATGTGCCATTTCTTGTAAGGTGGATTGTAGGTCCACCGATATAGAAGCCTCATCACGGGACTCCGCAAATGCGTATACAAGGCGTGGCACGTGTCAATTTACGTAGGGTTTAGAGTATCTATTATAGTATATAAGGACTTGTAGGTTTGGAGAAGGACTATGTCGTTGCACACGCACAACACCAGCCAAATGGAAAGTCCACATGAGCCCTGTAGTTCCATGCATGCCCAGCATAAAATAGACATACCTCAGAAGAAGCTGTTTTCGATGTTCTTTCAGTCCGACGAAGAGTGAAGCACAAATACATCTAAAGTGACGGAGAGCAGCTGCAGGTGCCAAGCAATCAGGTGCACTCGACGTTTATGGTAATGCCCCATAGCGCTACAGGAAAATACTCAAGCGCCTCTGCTTAGTATTCCTGCTGCGTCACATACACACATTATCAAATACTCGAAGAGGGCTGAAAGACTTATTACAAGCTGCACTCAGTGGGTGCACTCAGGTGTCCATTTATCGGTCTGAGGATTTCAACGAAAGTGCTGCATTGGAAACAAATCACAGACGCTCCTGTAAGAAGTAAAATGGCATACAGGATCAATTTTGTTTGAGAGGTTGGCAGGTAGCTGATGTCAACTGACAAAGATCTATTTTTCCGGCAGCAGGAACTTTATTGTCCACAGAGCACAACGAGGATCCTAATGCTAGCAACGGATGTAAACGTGACGAGAAACCTTCCTTTTCTCCATGGTTACTGTTCAATACTCTAAATACAGCGACAATATCTGTTAGGGCACCGGGAACTATACCTAGCGCCCACAGCAATGCTATTCATTTTGGGCTGTCACATACAGTAAAAGATGCTTACATAACGACAGTCACCAGAAGCTTCCATCCGCTAGCTTCACCGGCGAAGATAGACCTACGCTATATAGAACTTTTGATCTGGCGCCTGCGGATGGACGTGGGTCTACCCGAAAATGGTGTACTCCCGTTCATGGAGGTACTTTGGTATCAGCAACAGAGGCCGCAGAATAGTGCAGAAATGCTACCTAGCTTTTTTCAGAGGCAGGCATTCGCTGCGCTCAAAGAACGATACTGTATGCGATAGAAATGCAGGTTTAGGAATGTTAATTGGATTGCCTACCGTGCAACAGGGTAGGATCCCTGAAAAACCCACCTTGCCCAGGATCCAGGTGGGGAATCGAGTTACTGCCTTGCCCACAGCCGTAGATTGGAATCAGGGTAATTTTAATGCACATTGCCAAACTTCTCCTATTTTTGCGGATTCCTTCTGACACCTCGTACCATTTCTCTAGACTTGCACCTTCTGTTGCACGGGATAAGCGGGCGGGGGGTCATCTTGAGTTACCTTCCTCTATGAGGGCGCCATATCCGGTCTAATGAGCAGTACTGCGGAGCTATACTGGACCTACGAATGCCGGGAAATTAAAATTCTAGAGGCCTACAGAAAAGGAAAGGGCAACTCATTATTTAACAGGGATGAATGCCGCGATGAGGCAAACGAGGCTCCACTACGCACATTCTCCCATGCGTCAACACCAAGTACTAATTATTGGCACTTGAGATGCGTGTGATACTACTGGAGCGAGCTGCAGCTCGCCTTGGTTCCCGAGGCCAGCAGTGCTTCACGAGTCTTGCGTGGAAACATGGGCGCGCATCGTTCACACGCTGCTTACTCGATACATCAAGCCTTATATCGATGAGGAAAGTTTTTCACAAATAAATGGCTGGGAACCACTATAGTAGTTGAGAAATACACGCACTTTACGAGCGAAGGCCTTGCTCCGGGACCAGTGCACAAGGATGGCGATCGTCGTTATCACTGTGTCTACAAGCCACTAGAAGTTCCCTTTGCCACCGAATGCACGAATTCCATTCCAAGGACGAGGTCTTTTTTTAGTGAAATATAGATATGGTTAGTCTCCAATGATGTAAATTAGGAAGACGAAGACCGGTGAGGCGCAGGTGTGGCCAACCCCACGCCGCTGCTGCATTTTGCTTCCGCCCTTGTGGTATCAGCGGGGAATGCCGCAAAGAATATGGAATACACCATTCAAAATATCGAATGATGTGTTCAATTTGTTGGCTTTGAAATACCTGGATTGTACTAGGGTTGGTCCCATGGACCGCACCGCACGTGCTGCCCTCTTCACGGTTCTTCTCGCCGCGGGCTGAGCATAAATACCTGCTGACCCTCGCGGCGCCTTCTTCTATAATCCAACAAAAACTGTTTGCACAGCCCATCTTCGAACTTTCCTGTGCTGTGTCTCCGGCATCCGGAGCGTCCCTGAACAAATGCACCAGCGATCCTCGGATGCGCATGCAGTTTTACTCGGTGACTTGTGCTAGTCTGACCAAATTGGCTTCTTTTGGCTCTATCGACTTCTTCCCCCTTGATTCACCGACATACCTTCAAAGCTGGACTGCAAAGATATCTAGCGCCAGCAGTTTTGATGGCCAAGTGCTGATCGCTTGCCCTGTGCTCCAGTGGCGATGCGCCATTGAACCGGCTGTTTGCGTCTACCTGGAGACTCCAGGGTCTTTGTCCATCTTGATCGAAGTGAATGAAGCATCCTTGCCCTGATCTGTCGTCCTTCAATATATGCTGCTAGCCGACGTGCTCGCACGGACTTGCGGGGAGAAGCTGCTAGGCAATAAAACATAATGCCTTTGGGGCCGTGTCAGATTCTCTCTTGATCATGATCGCGCAAACATTGGGATGCCTGCAGGAGATCGGCGAGGCCACAGACTCTGTTCTGTCCAGCATGAACCTGCGGCCGTTTCTGTTACGACTGCCCCTCCCTGCTAAAGATGCCGGCTCAACCATACAGGGAATTTGCGAGAAAGTCATGAAGAACCGTTCACTATCGCACACCAGGTCAAATCCCATAGATACTCACACTGAACAACCAGATATTTCGCGGTCAGAGGCCCAAGTGCAGCGCATCCGTGAACTGCTCTCAAGTGAGAGTGTGGCCGGCTTCGTTCTGGTGGTTGTGGAAAATCCGCCGTTAGAGGCGTGTGAAGGTAGCGATGTGCACTACTGCCCAGTTGCAGGAGGTATCATGGAAGTTCTTGATCCCGTCGAACGCTCCCTGAGGGCAATCTGGTGAGGGAGAATTCATAACAATGAATGATAGTAGAAGATAATACACATTACACACATTTTAATCGAATCGAGCCAGATTCAGGATCTTGTGAATCTTCAATTAGTATTGGTAAATTGTAGGAATCGTTCGGGCTAGCGAATGCTCCTAGGTGTTCGTGGGTTGGCGACTCGCAGGTGTAGAAGATCACTGCCGCTTGACGTATCTGAAGTCATCATGCGCGCCCTCTCACTAAGGCTCTTTGCGTATGGTTTTGCATCTAGCCAACAGATGGTGCCTAACTTGCTGAACAAGGATTCCCTCTCACTCTCTAAGACACCTGTAGCAAACCGTCTTATCAGCTGCACTGAGGAAAGCATGTATCTATTCCCTCGAGACGCAACGGCCTTTCTGAAGACTCAACTCTGCATGTCCAAGCACTGGGAAACCCCTTTGGATGGCGGGAGTCACATCGACCACCCGAAGGCACCGTAAGCAGCGGCGGCGCTCTTTCCCAGACGGCTAGGTTGCCTCGAACAGTCCAGGAATGTCTGCGGCTGCTCCCTCGACAATGCATGTGGTATTCTGTAGATCGTTGTGCGAAGTCACCTCCTCTGGTATCAGCATGTACACCTCAATTGAGCGTTACGCTGCGGTGTTTGCTTGCAGTTGCCGATGTGGCAGCGTGCGTAATGTTGCTGGCGCTTGGCAATTTTCGGGCATCAGCCTGTCGCGTTTCGTCAATTACTGGCGGAATCATGGAAGAACTGCTATTCCGGAAATCTCCACTATAGTCATGTCCCACTTTCCGTTGCACATGCGCCCAGCGCAAGGGAACAGCATTGGGAACAGTGCTAAGAGGCGGCAGAGACGCACTTTCGACTCCATGAAGACGGAAGAGGGGTCGAGGGACGAGGGTCCAGTAGATGGCAACGTAGCCGTTAAGGAGGCGCCCTCGCAAAATGCATCAGGTGTTTCAGATGTGATGACCCCATCACGACGTGAGCTGCGACGGGATCATGCCTCTCCCACAACTAATAACCATGCGGAAGCACAGCAGCGACAGTCTGATGCGGCAAAGGTGGAGGGTGGTGGCGGGGCATGCAGCCGAAGAGCCGCTGACGCGTCGGAGATGGCAGCTACTGCGAAGCCGAGGGCAGGCCAGCAGAAAAAGAGGGACGTACGGTCGATGCGGGCGCCCTCAAAGAAAGGCAAGAAAAAGGTTACACGTACAAAAGGGGTATCAGTCAAAGGCATGGGGCGTTTGCGGCGGGAGTTTTGACGGCTATCTCAATAGTACTGTTCGCGTGAAGTGTGCAGGCATTTGAGCCGTTAGGAGAGATCGCTGTGTTGAGCATCGGGCAGGGCCTCGTTTGTTCGCAAAGAAAGCGTCGTCGAGTTGCACGCTGCAAGCAGTCACGCTCTTGTTGGATGGTGATGAGTTCACCAGTCGTGCGACCCAATAGAGAGATAATTGTGGTGTGCACGTCTAGATGTTGCCTAACGCAGGAAGTGTCCTGGCTGAAACGTGGCTAGGTATTTCGCGGAGACACTCGTAGTGGTGGATCCCGCTTCCTGCGGGTAGGCGTCCATTTGATTGTTTGGAGCCAAGTGCGTTTTGTTGACAACTCACCGGAAAGTGTAGTTCCAGTCATTTGTACTACACAATCCAGTTACAATGGCGTGATTTCGTAGCACCTTCGTCAAAAGTAGCTGAGCTCTTTAGAACTCATTGCAGCCGTTTGTTTCAAGATATACGTAGCTCTGCTTAATCAATTATAGGCCCGCGTAGCACGATGGGCAAAAAAGTTTCTCCATAGATGGGCCACATGTCAGTAATACGCATCCACGCGGTCTGGGAAGCCGAGTCGTAAACATTTCTTATTAGAGAGGTACAGGCGGTTTCATCACCGGAGGAAGAACATTTTCGCACTTAAACAAGATTTAGGATGGTGGAAATCTTGTCCTAGTGACGCTGCTCTTTGAACTCGAGCACTAAGGGCACATGCCGCCGGTGCTGATCAATGCCCTTGCTTTTAAAAGCCATGAGCCAAGCAAGTGGCACTTTCTACGTAGTAAGGGGGATTCTTTACGTTTCGAAACTTGTTGCACAGTATAGGTGAGGGAATCCCCCCAATTACGTAGAAGGCGCCATGTGCTTGGCCGATAAAATCAAAGCATCGTTCACCTGCAGGTCGTCAGCAAGAAGTTTCTACAGTCGCCAACAAATTTCGATGTACAGGCTAATAGAATGCGCTTGTAACAAGGCGTTGGGAGATGTGCTGCCATTTTGCTGTAGGCGGTCCCCTGCTTTCGTGTACTATCTGAGTGGCCTCAATCCTGATGGCCAGCCTTGTCTGTACACCGGGAGTTTTACCAAGGTGTAAGGTCGCCCTTCACTTTCCCGCTTCTGTTTTTCCAACCTAATGGCGAGCACCTCAGAAAAAATAAATCGCGCATTTGTTTTAAAGCTTTCACTTCCACCTATGCACACGAAATGCGCACGATAGCGATGTCAGGGTGGCTGGATCCTCGATTTATAGTCCGTTTCCGATCTACGTGGGAAGACACTCCGTCATCTCATGCGACGCCCCATTGTACTCTAAATTCCCTTGGCATGACGCGAGGCGATTTCCTGGACGTCAAAGCGTGGATCTTTTTGGTCGCACGGAAGCTCCATTTCGATAATGGAGAACGTGCTGCCTTCAAGGTACATGCTTTCGTGCTTCCGTGTTCTCCGGTATTCTCATATCACGCCTGTAGGCCTGTGAGGCTCTGGGAACCCTCTTTGGAGACCACAGGTGCTTCTCCCTGGTCCAGGGCACGCTCGCTGGTGTACCAAATGAGGATCTCCCTCAGATCTTGGCGAGCTGCTGCCTGAAGTTGACCGCACAGGTATATTTTAAGCTCAAAATTATTCCTTGGGTCGTTCAAGTAAATAGCACATTAACGCTCCAGTTTGAGTCTCAAAATAATGACGCCAATCATGATGACTTTCTTGTAAGATGGAAAAAGTGGGCTGGCATGTGGCGCCTGACACTTATAACTTGCGCAGAAGATGATGAATCTTGAAAACATCTGTGCGCCCTCACTCTTAGGCTGGCTGGAAACAATAATCTTCGCATGCTTGAGCTCCACGGAAGAATTCTCCTTTAGCGTATGTTGTACTAGCCTTATGCTTTAAAATGACCGTGCCATGCACTGATTCTTCACAGCAAGCCACTGCTTTGGACATATTAGACTTTCTTCACGTTGCGGGATATGAATACTTGACGCAACAACTACACATAGTGAAAGAAGATCATCTGCTTGATCGGGAGACCTGCTGTCGGCTCCTTGCATTCCTGCACTGCAATAGCTTAATAGATTGCAGTAAGATGACACGATGATGCACATTTGGTCGAGGGTCTACGCTTTTTCCACTCAAACAGGGCTCCTCGCACTATCGGTGTTTATTTTTTCCTACAGCCGTCAACCTGCTCCATTGCGAGCAGCTCTACGGGATATCCTGATATCCCTTCTCGGAGCCGACGTCGTCAATCTCGTAGGAAACTTCATGACTGATCATAATGTTTTCTCACTCCATGGTTCCACATGCAGGCAGAACCCATTTTAGCTGCTATAAAGCCTCGCCTGCTTGATGAGATCAATGATCCAAGACTAGCCCTACGAGCATACCTTGTGGTTAGTGAGAGGCTGATTTTCCATGTTTGCAAAGACACAAAGCACACGCTTCAGGGTATCCACCGGCGAACCGACAAGTCGTCTATGACCAAGATTAAGGCCTACCTGGAGAATTTTTCGTAGAGTATAATTTCTGCCTTCTTGCTTTTCTCAACCGCCTCTGCAGTCAAGACGGACTGGAACGGGGTGGGTACATGGGTCGACATGACCACCTGTCCACATCGCTATCAATGGCTTCTAACCGTGAATGTATCTGGCACGAAAAACAAGGAAAATGCGTGGAAAAGTTGATTCCAGCTGCGGAAGTGCAGCCTCAGGCACTTTCGCAAAGTGTTGCCCCTTCATGTATAGGACCTATGAGCCTAGCATATTCATCATGTAATATGCATTACGAAACTTCTAATTGAGGCTGCAACGTTACGCGATGGTGGGAATTACACGACTAAGGAGATATACCTACATTTCATCGTAGTGAAAGGCTCTACTAAAAGCCCTGATCTTCCTTTAAGCAGCTCTGCACAGTAGCGACCACTACGTATGCGGCTTTACTTGAATGTACATCACTGCCTCTTGGCTGGTGATCACGTTGCAAAAAATGACTACAGGCTTTTACTGGAAATGGGACTGAACTACCAATTCTCTCAAAAGTATTGTGTTGGGCAGTTCGTCAGACACTGTAATCTTGTTCTTTGAGCAAGCATAAAAGTGGTGATGTAGATGAGTTCCTGCATGGCACTTAGTTGTCAATTTCCTAATTGATTTGTAGCAATAACCCTTTTATTCATTCAGCGTCAATGAGTGATTGCATGTCACGAACTACCATTTTAGTAAAAGACGGGGTGGGTAAATGGGTCGGCATGACCACCTGTCCACATCGCTATCAATGGGTTCTAAACATGAATATACTGGCACGAAAAACAAGGAAAATGCGCTGAAAACTTAATTCTAGCTGCGAAAGCGCAGCCCATTTCGATTCATTGTACTTTCTTAGGGCACCAGAACCCTGTCTTTGAGCTGATCAACTGATGCGTGCAGCAGTATTGAAGCGATATTCGGAGTCGTCTACTCGCGAGTGAGATCATAGTGATGGGTACCTGTGGACCGCAACAGCACGGTGGTTCCACTCTAATAATGTCCGTGTCTTCATTATTCCGATGGTAGCTGCGTCGCTAGTATTATACATGCCGCTTCAAAGTAATATAACGGAGACGCAAGATTTCCATTCTTGCGTCCCCGAATCACCATATGAGCACCTGCTTTCATTTGCCCCTTTCCGCAGCAGTGCGGATTTACTTGCATGCTGCGGTGTATTCTGAAACATTTGGCAGGTCCACCTCTCTTATACACGATGGCGTCTTCGATTTTGCGTTAAAGTATTTTTCAATACGGAGAGTGTCAGAAATTCCCTCCTTGTTTCGAACTAAACGGACTTTGTAACCGGTTGTGGAGACCCACAAACGATTACAAAAGCGGTCTGTGGTTTTGAAAGGCCCATTGAGGGAACGAAGGAAAAGAAGATGTCATCGGTACCATTATTCAAATTCCTTAACAAGATGTTGTAGAACTCTTGGCAATTTACACCTCGCGCTTTCGCAATCCTCAGGGATCCATCAATTTGATCTGACGCGCGAGGAGACGGCTCCGGTAGTCGCTTCGATACTTGTGCATGCACCAGTTGATTTTCTCAAACAAAGGATGCTCTTGGTGCCGTGAGAAAGTATGCTGAAGCATCACGCCTAAATTTCGCTTCCGTGTTCCCAAATAGCACATGTGTATTTCCAGTATGTTACTGAAATCCCGCGTGTCTTGCGGATGACCCGATTGGCACACACAATCGCAGCCAACCCGGAGTAGAAAAGGTGAAACGATCACTCTGAGGATCTACCATGAAAAATTATCCAATTATTTGCAACCTATTGACCATATTTAGCGCTCACCTATCCCAGATTGCCTGTTAGTAGTCTCCTGTACTTCTGCATGGCAATACCACGAACTGACGAGATACCGACCGATTTCAACATTGAGTGCCATTAGAGCGTTGTTCAGCTGACATTCATCATAGATGGGTCCAAAACAGTTGGCGATTTCAAGGGTTGAACCTAGCCCCTTCCTGAAAACTCTGCCGCCAGTCGTTGTTTGGTGGAAGACTTGTCAGATTTGCAAACTTGGCTGGCTTTCACCAGCAAAGGTACGCGATAATACGGCCTCTCTTGCTTTTACTCGCAGGTATCCTTGCCCGAAGGTTCCCTAATGCCTCATGCTCTAACATAGCTTCCTATGGTTTTCCTAGCACCACAGGCAAATCACAGATACCAAATACTCTGCATTCTGGAGTTTCTGTGCTCAGTTTGCGGTGCAGAGACAGCTGAAGGATGGTTTTTTGCACGGAAGCGGAGCAATCACAGCCTTCACCACCTTGTATAATTGTGCACACTGAAGAGCTCGTGCAAAATGAGACCAGCACGCACACAGGACCCCTGGCAGTCCTTCCAGCCACTGAAATTATCGCTACAAAACTGCTGCCACCCACCCAACCGGGCAGCCATCGCTGCAACAGCAACAATGTGGACACGGGCTGTACTCTTGGAAGTAATGCGGACAGCGGCATCAGTCGATCCGCCGGCCGCTCGTCTACAAGGGCAGTGAATACAATAGCAGACTCCGCTGTGCCGAAAGGGTCAGGCGCGTTTCAGTGATACATCCTACAGCTTTCCTGCAAACCGCAAAGTCGCTTATTCCTGTCCATTCTTTACATTTAGTTTGCTTCCTGTGTAACGACGAAATAAGTGCACCAAGCCAAAGAATTTGGGTGTCCAGGTTCCTAAAGTATTGGGCCCGACGTATAGGCGAAGAAGTTGCACAGCTCCCCGACAGCGACGAATTTGAATCCGTATATGCGAAGAGAGAAAAAGTTTTGTTCCCCTTTCGGTCTACAACAACGGAATGGACGGCGAATACCGCAGGAGGTGAGGTAGACTTGACGACACACCGATGATACTGCTGCGTGATTATCAATATTATTATTATTAGTGCGACGAAAAGTATTATGGAAGAAACAAAAGACATTTTTTTTGTGCCGCAGGGATGGTTGTCCTTTTAATGCCGTGGGGACCTCTTATGATGCTGCTTGGCTTCATTCTGGGCTACTTCCTTGGCCTTGGGTTGGCAATGGCCAACGACGTGTGCCGCTTACGAAAGAATACCTCCGCAGCTGCGCAACAGAAGGTATTCAGTGCTAGATTCATCTTGTCCGTGAGCGAAAGATAGTCTATGTATTCTCTATCCGCGTGGAGAATAATCCTACATGACTCAGTGTATTTAATTGTGTGAGTGACATGTGGAATACTGCAGCGAAAGATAGACAATTTGATGCGGTGGGCAGGGTACCACTTTGCCAGCAGCAACGCGCAGCTACAGCTAGTCTTCAAGGTCATAATGGAATACGAGGTACAGCGTAGTTGTAGGGAAAGAATGTAAATAATCCACTTGTGTAGAGCTAGACGTCACCTGCTCACAGTCATGTTTCATAGCCGCTATTGCTCATGCAAATCATTTCCTCTCCCACAAGTCCCCCCTTGTGTGTGTTTGGCCTTCCTAAGGTCTTAGCTCGCCTGGGAGACATATCAAGAACTGCTCGGTCACAGCTGCGTCTACTCTACGACTTTTTGTAGGCATGACACTCTCCTTCCACTTAAACAAGAGCCTAAATTCGGAGCATGCAGATCAGTTGAGCTGCGATAGGAAATGGCATTCTTCCCATCTGTTACCCCGCAATATATTACGAACTAGGTTGAGTGTGTGTGTGGGTGTGGGTGTGGGTGCGGGTGTATAATGCAGATGCCGAGGTGACGTTGGGCATTGCCTTTGGCTGTATCTCGACTACTTTGAGGCTCAGTACAAGAATATGACGCAGGGCGAGATTTCAATGTGTGCTCTCACCTGTTTGGTCTGCACGCAATGCGCTGCCACCCGAAGGTAATAACTTGCATATAGGCAGGCTCCCAGGTCTCCAGCAGGGCAAATGGCACAGCTAGAACACGTCAAGAAGCTCTTCAGATGCGTTTTTCAAAGTCTTGCATGGAGGTCCCATGGTGTCGCTTCTATGCTTTCTGCAGGCCGAGAACCAAGCCCCCCGTAGTTGAGCGCATGGCAAACATGATGAACCATCCCAACATTAGACAAGTCTTCCAAAAGGCGAAAGCGCCAAACCCTAGACAAGCAAGAAATGTAAGGAATGCATAACTCAAACTGTACACTATACACCTGCCTATTTCCAGAAGAAGGGACATGCGAGCAACGTAGCAGAAAAAATCATTAAAGCGATAGGTACGATAAAGATTGAATTCATATCTGCCATTCTGTCCCTATCCTGCCAGGAATACCTTTTACAGAAAAATATCAAGATAACATTTTTTGCGTACCACTCTTGCACAGGATGAACGGACGGAGAGGTGCCTCTTCTACGCGGACAATAGTCAGGAAGTGCAGGCGTTTGTGATGAGGGGTCGCTACCTCTTTGAATGTAAGACATGCGGTGCAGCGCCATGCTGTAGATGGATGCTCCTCAGTGTGAATACCGCAAGACAAATCCGAATATCTCCGACGCGAAACCTTATTCAAGGCTTGGTGCATATTGTCTGAATATACGCGAACATAAACAGTTTACCGAGATAGAGCTGTCTAGCATAGTATCCCACGTATAATGGGAGATTGTTCGCAATCTGTGAAGGAAGATTTTGTGGCTGTGGACTTGCTTCAGCTCTTCACAAAGACTGTACAGCTGGGAGGAATTTGCTGAATTCCGGCAGCGATTCATTTACAGACGCGTTTTCAGAGAGCATGGAGTCAGATGCATCAAAAGAACCCCTGGTCAAAGAAGATGTAACTCAAAGTGCACTTCGTGTAAGAGCAGCGCAAAATGTCAGGATATGCGAAATTTCGTAGGGATGGCAATAAGAAAGCATTTCCTATGCTTCATACAAAATGCATAGCGCCTAAGAGGGCTGTCTCATCAAAGTTTCCCATCGGTACTGTGTGACGGCTAAAGTTTATGGATCACAAGGTGTTGTAGTCGACTGCAGTGCCACGGAATGGTGGGGTTTTTGCGTGTCCGTGACAGCATGATGAAGGAATCCAGTCTAACACCAAACTGCGATGCATCCCACTTATCCTTGTACTTTTATGGAATATCAGGGGGAGCTGCGGCCTCTGGAGAACTTCAATGTGGCGTTTACCTACGGAGTATCGATTGAACGTGTAGTGCCTTGTAGCATTGAAGGCACGAACTCCTCAGTAGTACTTCCGCCGACGAAACATCTCGTGACCACTAATGGTGCATCACCAACAAAGCAGCAGGGCCAAGGGAACTCTTCGAGTGGAACTGCAGTCAAGGAAACCCCGGTAACATCGAGTCAGCAGCGAGATCACACTAATGCAACAAGTGGTCAGTCAATACTGCGCATCACGCATGTGAAATCGTATTTTTATATATGGCCAGCTCCTTATGAGTGCAATGTGCGAACCTGGAAACCTCCTCTGATTCCATAACACTCCATCTTTTCAGGCAGCGACGCCCTGCCCTGACAATCTACTCAATGCGTCAAACCCAATGGTCGGGGGAACAAATTTTAGAGAAGAGTGCCACCGCAGCGTGACCTTCTAATTACAACATTGGAAGGTCGAGCTCACTTATCATTTAACAGCGAAAGTTGGGATGCCATCGGCTCCATTATGTGCTTGCGGTAATAATATGGTTGCCTCAGCACGTTTGTTCAAGAACTACGAAGATTTGATCAATTTTGACACCACACTAAAGCATCAGACTCCTATGTAAAATAGATCATCCAGCCGGCTTGAGGCCCTGACTACAGCTGTGCTTATAGTGCAAAAGGCACATCGCAGCCGCAGTGTCAGGAATCATGAAATTTACCCCTTATGAACTCGAATGCTTGCTCCGCCTGGCAACAAAGTTGGCGCGGTTGGGTTTGGAGGTGTTCGTTTCAGTGCTCCCTACGAATTCCAATTCCTCGATGAGCGCGAGCAACACGACCCTGCAGATACTTCGTGGGAACAAACGGTTAACCAGCCTTCGATTCAGGTTTACAAGTACATCTCTCCCAATTCCCCCGTGGTAATCGTCAAGGCATACGCGAATTTCGAAGGAATTCCTCTGGCTGTTCTCAGACACAACATCCAGGAAGTCAGCTGCCGCCTCCTTTGGTGAGTTAAACCAGGCTTTGGCTCTGCTGTGAATATGCTCATGTCAATGGCAAAGAAGAGGGGAATCTCCGCCTTGAGAGGACAGCTGAACTGTTCACCACACGCGTGGTAGATGTGTGGCTCGTCTCTAGGGATACCACGTTCGCAGACTATCGCATCATAGAACATGATATAGACGGCTGCGAGATTATATACTGCGTTATGAAAGCCCCATTTCCAGTTGCCAACCGTGATTTCCTCCAGGTAAATATCTTCCAGCTGTTCGCACAGGCAGTGCACCCGTCTTGATTTACGAATCCTACTAATAGTAGTTAAGCTGAGCTTGAAAAATCAGCCTAGGAGAAAATGATTGAATGCGCTAGCAGTTTCTGGTTCTAAGTGTTTGACTCATCAAAATTCTTCTGTTCCTTTCTTGTGGCTGACGTGCAGTGGAGGCGAACGCTTAGTTGCCCACAAGAAGGATTTGTTAAAATGATGATGAGGCGAGCTAAGCTGCTCCTCTGAATACTTCTGCCCCCAAGAAAATCCACCTGAAAATGTTGCCTTTTTCATCCTTGAACACAGCACTGGCGTCGGTCTTGATCGAAAGACTTTAAGCCTTCCCCTTCCCTTGCCGCAGGTCGGCCGACCATCCGTCCGTCCCAGAGCGGCCAGGGTGTGTGCGTGCAGAAACCCTGATGTCAGGTAAGACTGCAGACTTGCCTAAATCTTTTCCGCATGTCAGGAAAGTCATAATATTGCATCTGAATGCGCGAGACACTTTCGGGTGCCTTTATCTGCCCGCAGGATACCTCATGCGGCAGTGCCAGAATGACCCGAACTCCTCCACATTGTTTCTTGTAGCGCAGACCGATGTTAAGGGTCTGATTCCTAAGGTACTGTGTCTTACAGCAGTTGCTAGGGACGACTATGAATGAGCTCCAGCCCTCCACAGAGTCTAGCGCCAGAAGTGCGAAAACACAGCACAAGGCAAGCAGTGCTGCGAGGGCACGGCTGTGATGCCTTTGGTTTGGTCTGCTTTTGCAGTGGCTTATAAATTCTACAGCAGCCCGCGCGCCTGTAGGATGGGTCGAGAATCTTAGGCGAGCTTGCTTGAAGTGCATGGAAGACCGTAACCCCCGTTCTCTGCAGTGGTGAGCCTCCAGCTTATTCGGTTTGCATAACACATATACAGCACTTGGATTACAGCAGCCAAAGGCCGCAGTATCAGGCTGCTGTCAGTTTGACGTTTTCGTAGCTGTTCAAAACTGGGGTTTCGATGGAAAGTGCGTAGTCACCAGCACTGTACCACAATCTGAGCGGAAACTCCGTGGTCCTGTGGAACCTAGTGTTTTGTTTCAAAGAGAGTGGACCAAAATATTCCAGCATGAAGTCATAGGTCGTAACTTTCTAGTAATCCGTTCCAGCAATACCACATGCCCCTTCGGCTGAGCAGCAAACAATTCTCGAGCCCTAGGAGCCATACTGAAGCAGCACTGAAGGGGACTGAACAGTGCCAGCAAGGACGCACAAATGCACAAAGGCGGGGGGATCCAAAGCGGGTTGTGGCTGGAGTTTTTGTAGGGGAGTGTGCATGTAGTGAGTCTTCAAGGCTCGTCTAAACATGATGGCAGTAACACAATGCTTCCAGGGGGAAGCGATGTGAATAAACCCCAAAACGATACGCATAGCTATCTCTCTGGAGGTAGTGAATAAAAGCATGACTCAAAGTCTTGGAGAAAAATTGTACCACTATCGAGAATGCCGATTCGCGCCCAAAGTATGCGAATCTACCTTTCTTTTTCTGTTAGCGGCTGTAAGTATTAGCAAGTGTCCGCCCTCTCAACACCGCCACTTCCGACGGATGGCGCGGAGCACAAAATATAAGGACGATTTCGTGCAGGCCAAGCCTGTTAAGCTGTCAGAAGCCGTGCCACATGGATTTTCGTCTGACTTATGCTGATACATCGCGGTGGACGGAAAGCAGAGAGCCCCACCTTGGTGCATATGACAAGGCCCAAGGAGAAAACGGGATCGAAGCGCTGACTAAAAGCACGCTCCACAGCAAATTTTTAGTCCGCATCCCACAAACTAAAGACCGAGGCAACGTGGGCGAGGACCGTGGCGAAACAGGAAGATTTGAGTTTAAGCAGCAGGAAGGCTAGCAGGATGAAGAATAACCAGTTTCCACCGAAGGTGCACAGGCCGAAAATGACGTAAAGCATCATGCAGAATTCGCCACTATAAAGGCGCCTGAGGTGCAAAAGCACAGCCCAAGTCGTCAAAGTGCATCTCCCACAATGCAAAAAATCAGAAGGGGCGCGAAAATAACTGTGCTGAACATCCTATGTATGCACAGCCCTAGTAATCATCTTTCCGGCGCACTTTTACCCCAATTTCGAAACAGTACGATTTAATTTACATGAAATTGGCTGTAGATTCGAGAACACTGCTGTCAAGGGAGACATCAGCGTCTGTCTCCACCATTGCAGGTTCTTTGCTTACACGAGCGAAACCATTGAAGTCAAAAACTCGTGGGCCTCTAGCTGCTCCAGAGGCAAGAAATTCTGCGAAAACAGAGTAATGGCCAAACGCACACACTAGTCATACATCAATAACCACCTACCGGGCACAGCCCTATGGATTCGTCAATACAGGCAACCGCGTGTAGTACCAGAGAAGCACTCTAGGCTAGGCATAAAAGAGAAAAGAACATTAGGTCGTTCGTGTTGCACATCGTTCAGCCCATGCCATGCTGCGACGGCGGTCATCGAAAAGGAGCAAAGCACAGCTGCCATCAGTCGCGTCCCCTCATAGGGTGCAGATCTGAATGGCTGCAATTCAGCAGCTGAGGAGGTGAAAACGCTGTGCATGCCTCCCCCTTACTACCTTAAATTGAAGAGTAAGGGCCGGAACGCCGAGAAAAAGCAAGCAGTTTGCCAGCCTCAGGGCGTCGGGCGGAGACACGAACATCCGGGAGCTGTCCCTGTTTCTTGTTTCCGAATGCACTGGTGGCCTCTGACGCTCTACGGAAGGTTCTCGTGTGGAGGCTGTGTGGCCTCCTCTAGAAGGATCTTCTGCGCTGCATCTGTCAAGCAGTGCAGCTCGTGCTGCAGCGCCCTGGCTCTCTTCAGCTGGCCCGTTTGGCCATTCCATTCTCATCGAGACGGTGCATGACGAAGATGGCAAGCTCGCGTTCGCTCTATTCAGTTCATCGCGTCCAGACTCACCCGAGGCAAGCGCTGGCTCCCAAGCCCCAAGGCGGCTGGTGCCAGCGCCGGTGGGAAGCTCTTTGTGCGTTGCCTCCTCCTCGTCCCTGCCTGACCCTGCAGGCGCCCCAGGCTCACGACTGTCGAAGTCTTCACACGCGCTGCTGTCGCTGCCGGGTGCGCAGCATGACAGATCTGGACGTCTGCTAGAGGCTGCAGTGACCTGGCGAGGCACAACTCTCCCTCCACAGCGCCCTACGACGGAAACGACTCGGCATCTAGCCCTCCTTGCCACCTGTAGCATCCCATGAAGGCCTTTAAAGGCCACAGCACTGCAAAGGCGCAAAGTGCGGCTGAGAACAGCTCCGAGAGAAGAAAGAGGAATGCAGGTGGACCACTGCAGAGGGTCGAATGCATCGCCGCACAGGCACCCCACGAGCAGGCGGAGTTGAAGGAGAAACGGAACAACTCCAGCTGTCAGGCACACGGTAAACGATGCGCATAGCAGCATTGGGGTGGGGAGAACGAAGGCGTGAAGCAGGAATAGCAGCTCCAGGAAAAGACACATACGCGCTGCTGCAGACAGTGCAAAGTGCGCCACGGCGCAAGTCACGCTGGGGTTAAACTGATTGACTCCAGCGCCCCCGCCATCTGGTACGGTGTTTGATGTCTTCAGGTAGCAATACATTCCGAACTCAGCAGCCACTAGGAACCCCGTACATAGCGCTACAAAGATAAAATGACGGGGACCTGGCAGGAGCGTCTGGGAGTCCGAGAGCGCTACATGGCGTGCCAAAGCAGCAACTTCGGACCAGAAGCACAGAAAATAGCACCAAGAGAAGACTGCTACAGCGCGAGCAGACGAAGGGGTCAAACGCGTGGTGAGGGGAGGCAGATCGTCAATGGAGCCATCCAAGCCAAGCTCCACGACCTCTGCGTGAGACAGCACATCGTGCAGGAGTGAACGCCGCGTCCCGGCAGCAACCGACATGTTGGTGTTGCGTCATGATAATCGCTCAACGCGATGCAGGTTTCCTCAGTTCCGCCTTTGGAAAATGCAAGGCTACGCGAAGCGGCCCAGAAGCTATGGTGCTTGGCTCCCCAATTTCGATTCTCAGATAGTGCCACTTTACTGCCCCAATAACACTGACGTAAAGAGGAAAAACTGGTCAATGCCAACCCAGCACGCACGTTACCCCTTACATGCAGAAGCAGCCAAGGAAGACCCAACGGCCGCACTGTTCGTTGCAGGAGAGTGGCACAGCTGTCACAGATTACATGGCACCTAAGAACGCTCCGTCATACGGAAGAAAGGGGCAGCATCTCAGTGTTCTCCCACAGAACTAGGAGGCGCCTTGCCGGACGCATGCGAGGTGACTACGGCCCCGTAGTCGGCAGCCGGATGGACGATCCACATCGCAAAACTATTGGCTATGAACGCAAATTTCAGAGGGTGTTTGACTTGGGTCTTTGAACTCTTAGTTTCGGACTTCCTGTACCCCCACAAGACTTACCAGATGCTCGGGCCGCGTGCACACTGAATGTTGCAGGTCAAGCTGCATGTGCTTCGATAGAAAGCAGTGATATGCGAGGAACCCAAATTACAATATCCAAATACGCATTTTCGGCGTGAATCATCTTACTAAAAGCTGGGCACTGCATACTTCGTAGCATTGTTCCTTACTTACTGAGAGCTCGGTTGCAAAGTGGCGTGGCAAGCTGTGGTGTTCTTAGCAGATACTGACTGAAAACAAAATTATTCAGGGGTTGGAGGCTAATAAATTCCTAAGTGGCCTGAACACAAAAAAAGCATCTGGCTCTTGTTAGACAGGGCCACCCCCGGCTACAAGGATACATTCACTAGGGCTTCTCGCTAGTTATCTGTACGATTCTCTTGAGTGTGCTGATGGCGCAGCCAGCTGCAAATCAGCTGTCACGCAACTCTATAACCCAGATTTTAAGATCCCCGGATAGTGGAAACAGAAGCTTTCAATGGAAAGTGGGTGACATGTCAGTTCGTAAATCTTGTTTTTTGGACAGTACTTCCAGCACTATACAAGATGGCGCATTGTTGTGTGAGAGTGCGCGAGATGCTGTGTGCAACTAGGTCGAAATGCTCAGAGTTACAGTCCTGCAATGCAACATGATTCACGAAAGCTGTTCGCCCACTCATCCAGTGGTGCCGGAATCGGTAGCATTTCAGGTTTCCACAAGGTGGTTGTCTGCCTTCGAGGAATATATTTGGTAATTCAGTAGGCTGAGTTTATATGGCGCAAGCCTGGTAGAGAAAAACCCCGTGACAATCGAGTTAGACTGTGGCACAGCGCGTGCTGATGCACCAATGGTGGCCTGCAAGCTGAAGTATATGCAGTGACTTCACAGTTGGTAGAGAGTCATGATTTTCCACTTGACAAGCTGTTCTTGGACGCATGCGTAAAGTAGTGCAAATCTGCTCTCACAGCATGTCGTTTTGAGTCTCCCGCAACGGCAGGTCCTGTGAGAGGGGTAGGGCATGCATGCAGCTGCTTGCGTAGGTCTTTCTAAAGGTTTTCAAGAAAAAAACTGGTTCTCTATCTCCAGACAGGTATGGTCGCCGTAAGAAGGGGCAAGTACTCGCAAATTTGATCAGCTGATTTGTGATGGACCTCATCTTCCGTCCTTATAGAGCATGTTGAGCCCTACGTCCAGCATGTTTGTTGAAGGGAAAAGCATTTCAAAAGTTGCCTCCATCTGTTCAGAGAAAGTCAGCTACTTGCGGGAATTACTACAGTTCAAGTCCTCGTATAAGTCCCGGCTAATCAGCTCATGCGGATATCAGCTTAACAGCACGCATGAAGAAAGTTGAGAAAAACTGAGAGAATGAATCAATCATCGGATTCAGATGTCGAAAAGCATGAAGCTTTGGCCTGCAAAAGCTACGGCAGAGACAAACAGTGGCTTTATCAGTGCGAACGACAGGACTAACAGAAATCTAAAGTCCGGTAGTCGCAGAATTGGCAACGATTCAGCAATCGAACAGCCGATTCAGGGAGCAAAAAGCAACTAATCAGGTACTTGAGATTTTCGGGGCAAGTGAGAGCGTCTCTTGGGTCTTAAGGTGAAAAGGAGGAGTCAAACTGAACATTAGAACCTATGGATATTGGAGCTATGTCAACCGGCCCTAGCCTACAGCCTATGGTGAACGCAAACCAGAGGACAACCGCACTTCCAAGAAGCCCTAGACAGCCCCAGACACACGGAAACAGTATAGAAAATAACGCCGAGACGACAAATAGAAAGTCCCTGCACTCACCTGGCGTCGCAATTAAGCGGCCAGGGAGGCTGAAGCCCCAGTTGGAGACCCACCATGGGTCAAAAATGCGTTGAGAAAGGCCTCCAGTACTGTTCACTGGTTGATCCCTCTCCTTGCTACTGGACGCAAAGTGGATCTGTTATATCCAAGGGGACGGCGGAGAAGCGCAATCTGCGTGTGAAACGTTTGCAGAGTCCTTCCTGATTATGTCTGCCGAAGGGCGGCGTGGAGCAAATATTGGCAAGGATATGCATTTAAATGCTACTTCAGAGCAAAGCAGTGTCCTACGTGCATGGTACATAACGTTTCTCTTGGACTCGTGCACCGTGGCATTGTTCTAGGCATGCCATGGGTGGCTTATTGAAGGAGTGCGTGAGGATACAGCTGCTCACTGTGAAGGCTAGTGTGCCGTGAAGCCCCAAAAATAGGCCTTTACCAATCCAGCTACTAAGGCTTATGAAGTGTTCGGTGAGCGGGAAATACTTGGTACCTGGACAAGCTGAGGCAGAGTTTTTATTCGGGGCTGTTCAGCAGAGCAACAAGTAAAGACTGTTCTCAGTATGCATTCCACATATGGCTATGTAGGCAGCTTTTAAAGTTTTCCAGTTGAAACTTTCGCCAAGGGACAGCAGGGGAGCGCAAATCAGGGGGAGTTCGTAGCGGTTGTGCGCAATAATGAGAAACTCTCAGCGAGTTGGCCACCTTTTGGTCGTCTAGCGCACCGCACGAAGCGAATAACTGGGTCTCGGCACCATGCTATGTTGCGGTATTGGAAGCCTCCACAGCACGAAGAGTAGATTGAGCGACAGGCAGATAATTTGCTGGGAACATGCATAAATCGACCGGTGTTTTAAGGCACAACCCGGTTTTGGTGCCGGGAAGGGCCAGAGGGTGGCCTGTTTGCGGTTGTGTAAGTTCAAGCCTCTAAAGGTCACTGTGAAACATCAGCTGTCGAAGCCTTATTTTGAAGAATTGATAAATTACTCAAATTAACATTATTCTCGACGTTTGACGTCACAGACACTCCTATAAGTACTTACTGGCTCTGAAAAGCCGCGTTCCACACTTTGTGAGATGAAGGGGTGTCCATTATTTTTACACACCGGCAAGCACGTTGCGAAGTTCTATGGGCTTGCATGACTTATCCCAGATTTCGTTCCAGGGTTTGCTCGGAGCCCTACTCCGTTGACTTAGCAACTGAAGAACACGCACTCTGTAACTTGTACGGAGGAGGCTGATGCTGCAGCAAGAACACTCGCCGGCCGCCTTACAACTCTTTCCGGTACTCGCACCGTCCGATTTGGAGCATCATTTTTTCTTATGAACCAAAACCTACTCAGCGGTGGTTTGCTGGTTCTTTAAAGCACCGAAAGTATGGATCGACATTCTTATCGCGTTACCGAAACCGAGCAGCCGTATCCAAAGCGGAGAAAGAAACATTATGTGAGGTGGCAGGAAGTGAAATAATGGCCGCAATGATTATGGACGTCAACAGAGTGCCTAGACTGTGTATCAGTCGTTTGTTTTCTATACTTTGATAACCCCGAATTCGCTCGCTGGCTTGGACGCCTCCCACAGGACTTCACACTGAAGCACACCAGAAGCGCGATTGCAGCGGCCGCTAACGCACTCTCCCGACGCCCCAGCGGTCCAATATTGTGCGGTGCAGTCGCGCCACACAATGTTTTTTCTCGTTTTTCATTGCATCTGCGTGATTCTGATGTGCTGACAGCCATAGTTCCGCTACTATTGTCAAAATCCAGAATAGGAAAAGGGTAAAGCATTGAAGCGGTGTGGATGTTCTGACATGGTTCGAAAGCAAAGAGAGAACTGGGGCAACTGTACAGTATGGCTTAGCTCCACAATGGGGCTGTAGACGAAGCATATGATTATGCTCTTTTGGGCCTTGACTTGAAAGGCTATCATAGTTCTTCTGGGTGACCAAAATGTGTACTGCGGCAGAGGACGAGGCACCGTGATGCTCAGATCGTCAGCATTGCAAGCCGGGAATTCTTCCAAACCCGGCCACTTGAAATTCCTACTGTTCCTTCAAAGGTTTGTACGGATCTAACAGTGGACGATTTCAACTACCGGGTTGGGGCCAGGAGAGCATCTACGTCGATGTCGACGCACTCAGCTCTGATGCCCATCTAATCCGTTGATCCACTTCTTTCACGGCTCAAAAGAGTGTCTCAACTATTCTTTACCCAGTACAACAGGCTTTAAGTGTCAGGGGCATTGCTGAGAATGAAGATTCGAAGTTCATTAGTGCGTTCTGGCGTGCCTTGATGAATCGCCTACACACCTGCCACAAGATGACCACTGCGCGCCATCCCAACGTAGACGGACAGACAGCAGGGCAACCCCAGATAACCGCCATATTTGCCGCTGTATACTCATACAAAACTAATCGCTTGGTTCAATGTTCTCGCTTCTGTTGAGTACGTTTCTAATACAACAGTACACTGGTCAACCGGTTTCTCTCCCCCACAGATTCTGTACACTGAGGGGCCCTTACAATCCAAGCCTGGACCTGGGGGATTGGCATTAGCAGCCACCCTTAGTAGTAAAAGATTTGGAGAGCAGCTGGCTAGTGCACGTGAATGTTTGCGCACAGCTAACGAGAAAAAAGCACGCAAGTGTGCTGAACAGTAGCTGGATGTGTGCTTCAAGGCTCTATATTTGGTCTTGGTGGATCGACAGGCTTTCCTAGGTGCACCAGAAGTAGCCAGACGAAGAAATTTGCGGCCAGGAGTTTAGGGTCATTCGCAGGCTGTTTGATGAATTAATGCTGTCGTTTCTTCAATTGATTCCTCTAATATTTGAAGGTGTCACAGAACTATGAACACTAGCTTCCTGAAGTTTAAAAGCTCGCTATCTTATTCGCGGGCTTTGCCGCGCATATGAGCGACCAATGTGCTGACAGGAAATTCATATAAAACCGTACACTCGGTTTTTCTCTACGACTATTGATAGGCGATATTGTGGGTTAAGCTATGCCACCACTTTGCACTGCAGTTGCGATTATTAACCAGAGCTTGGTCAAATTTGACGAATTGGCTTGCATGTTCGGCAATCCTGTTTATTGCAGGGAACGCAGGACTATAAGATAGAATGTTATGTGCGTGCACACCAAATGCTACGTCCAGCTAGCTGTGAATGCTGGGAGTGCTCAGACTGTCCGGCCCCTACATTTCTAATTGTCCCTCTGCACTGATATCGAAATCATAAAGCACTGACAGGGGCGAGCCGCATTCGTTTAATAACCGGTCAAAGAATTTTGAAATGAGTTTCAGCTGAGACTACAGTTAAATGTGTCCCTGCGGAGACAGATGGAATGCAACAGATCATAGATGGAGTAGAAATTGAAGAATGGATAAGTGGCTCACAGCTGTGGCCTGTGTAAAGGGTACATTCGAGTTCAATATGGTTTTTTCATTATCCTTATGGCGCAATGCATGTTGAAATAGTGGACATAAGAAGTGCTTCTCTCGCTGGCTGCCTATGTCCTCTCGTGCTTGAGCCACCTTGAGATGCGGCCAGCGATAAAAGAGCTCTTTTAGGGGGGCACTTCACAGCTTTATCCTAGCTTGAATATGGTTTAATGGTCCAGGATCTTTTTTCTTCTGGCCAGAAAAGGAGCTTTTCAAGTGCACTAAAAGGACAGCCAAACCAAGCAATTCATACTGAACAAAATATAAGCTACATGTAATTATACGTCGCCGAGCCGAATTAGCCAAGCCTAATAAAACACATCCTATTTTTCTGTGCACAGAGCTACCATGTGCACCTCTCTGCAAATGCCGGAACTGCTCAGGGCTGTTAGCTATTACACCCCTACTGTGTCTGTTCCCCTCGTGCTAGAATCCTTTGGGTTCAGGGCCAGAAGAAGCAGGATCCCCTTAAATAATATGGAGAAAAGACTTTAAAGGGGCACTGATAGGGCTTTGAAGCTGTGGGTCTCATTATGAGGACCCTAGGAGGAGCGTTACACACGCGCATTCACTCTCGTAATATGGAGCCAATCCTGCTCTGCAGCAAAACAAGACGGAGAAAATAATCAGACCAGCGTCCAATACATGAATAAACCTCGAGCAGATATACATTTGGTCGAAGGAGCTCCTTACGCGTAAACTGGCCTCTTGTTTCGGCGGAAAATGCACTAGGGTAGAGGCAGCGGAGAGCGCTAGTGGCAAGTTGCGGCAACAACTGCTGCAGCAATGCTTCACTAAGAACCAGATGAAGCCAGAATATACAGCTTCTTGAAATAAAAATAAGGGACCAGCTTTTGTGTTCGTAAGAGATGGACGAGGGGCCGCGGCGCCTGCTGCCACTAGCTCCACTGCGTGAAAGGTAGCGAAGTTCATTTGCGGGTGGCCAAGGTGTTGAGACACTCAAACAGCCCCTATGTCTCTTCTTTCTCTGAATCTTGCCTCGCTAATTTCGCTTTACCTGATCAAACTGCGTCCTGCAGTATCTCCGCCAACTGCTTGGTAGGCGGTCTTCGGCGCGGGAGACTCTGCGAGCTGATCGCGACTCTGCCCCTCTGTCGCCCCCCGCTTTAGCCCTCCAGTTTCATAGGGCCCAGGCTGCGCCTCCGTGCGTTCTAGTTTGTCTCTGTGGTTATCCCCCTCGAGCATCCTTGCTGGGCCCTTCGCTTCTCCCAGAGCATACCGCTGCTACCCTGCTGCCGCCGCAGTCGCCCGACCGCGAGGGCATGGGGCTGCTCTAAGCCAGAGGAACCCTGTCTTCCCTGGACCAATGTTTCTTCACCTTCCTCTGGATAGTGTCAGAAGCGCTCTCCCCCTTGCTGGCAGAAGGCGCTGCTCCCTCTTTGCAGGCGTTGCCTCCCTCGCCAAGGCGGCGCAAGCAACGTCCTTACCCGCCCCCCACCCCCACTGGGGTGCGCGCTGGCTGCGACTTCAGCAGCTAATGTTGTGATATTCCTTACTTTATCATTCACGGTTTAGTTGAGCGCGGCGAGGAAGTCGGCTTTCAGGCTCCCCCTCCCAGCCCGTCCCAAGGTGCAGTCATTGCGTGTGCAGTCGTGCAGCAGCACCGGGCTCGCCACCTGCCACTCTTTCGTCTTGAACAAACAGCTGCCAAGAAAGTCAACCCTTCCGCATTCCGAAATCTTGCTTCCTTGACACCGCTCTGCTGCCCCCTCCCGTCTCTCCAGGGGCCTCCCGGTACACCGGGGCCCACGCCGCCCGTACGACCTCTATTTCGGCCCTTAACGGCCAGCGGCGCTTCTCCCTAGGGGCTTTTTGGCGCTTTAGGGACTGATCTGCAGCCTGGTGCCCATTCGGCAGTGCGAGAAGCGGTCCCCTGCGCCATGGCGTCTGCGGCATTAGGGCGCACAGAGACCCCTCCCGAGGCGGCTGCTGATTCGGTTGCTTCCGGAGATTCAGCTGCAGCGGCAGAGGGCAGACGGAAAAAATTCCCGACAGGATCTGAACCCACTGATGTGCCCCCTGTGCCCGTTGCTGCTCCTCCAGCAATGGGCCCCCCCGAGAAATCCAGCGGGGGGAGCAGCCGAACCTCGGGCGATGACGACCCTCGTGGAGATGGACTAGACATACCACAAGATGAAGGTACTGCGCAGCTTCAAGCGCTTCCCCATGCAGACAACGCGGTCGACAGCTCGATGCGCAGCAGCCACGCTGCTGCAGCGAGTAGCTCCTCTCAGCGACAGGGTCCCCCCCCCCTGGGCTGCACGGCGGAAGAAGCGCCGCAAGACGATCGAACCAGGAGGTCTCCCGATTTTCTGGCGAATCAGGATTTCGCATCTGTGGCGGGAGGCTCCAGCACTGCTCCTGCGGCGTGTGTTCCTTGCGGGAGCGCCGAGGGAAGCGAGGCTGCGCAACAAGGAGAGCCGCTCGATGTGGCGTCTCTCTTTCTCCTTCCCTCCGAAGATTTGGATCCGTGGGCTTCGGGCGGCTGCGATTTGCTGCTTCCCGCATCGTCCTTCGTCAGCGCGGATGCGATCAGTCAACACAGGGGCCCCATGACACTGGGCCGTGTGGCACTTTTCATCTTTGGGTTGTTTCAAGGCGACGTTCGCATGGGCCTGCTTTCCGCGCAGGGGCGGCTGCTCGCGTGGCGCTGCCTGCTGTACTTGGCAGAGCAGCACGATCGGCAAGTCAGCGGGGGGCAGCAGCACGCCTCCCCGCAGCAGGGGGGGAGCAACAACGCACAGGCTCCCGGTGTCTCTGCTGCAGGGGATGCAGGGATGCGCAGACGGCGTCTGCAGCGAGAAAGCGTAGCCACTTCCAAGGGTCGCCGCTCAGTGCGGCATGCCTTCCTGTTAGACCGCAGCGGAGCAGCGCGCGCCGCCGGGGCGGGGGCCCCTGCGGGGCCCCCCCCCCTCGGCGGCTACAGCCCAGGGGCGAATGACGAGTGGGCGGAGGCTGAGGAAGAGGCCCCTTCGTCCATGAACGTCAGAGAAGAAGCTCCTGGAGAAACTGCAGGCGAGCAAGCGCTTGTTGTGCCCGGACTGAGCGCGGCTATGACTCTGCAGAGGCAGCTGCAAAAGGGGCAACAAACGATCGGCTTCGAGCGCCATTTCACCCGCTTCGTTGGGGGCACGATCGATCGGCGGTGGGCTTTGCAACAGCGGCATCTGCGCATTCCTTCGGAGGCTTCGAGGGGAGAGGGAGCAGCCAGCAAGGAAGAGCTTCTCGAGTTGAAGCTCGAGGAATATGGGGTTGCAGCCGCGCCAAAAATGTGGCCAAAAATTGCGGCTCTCCCTGAGAGAATTTTTGTCGGTGCGTTCTTCCTACAGGGCGCGAGCTGGCAGGGAAGCAGCCGTCATGCCGCCTGTGTGAGGTGGTGGGGTTCGCAATCGCGAAGGGGGCCACGTAGCAGTGTATTCAGGAGGTTGGCTGAAAAGTTTCGCTGAAAAGTTTCGCTGAAAAGTTTTGCAGTTGCTTCCGAAAACGACCGTGCCGTCCCGTGCATGGGGGGGAGGCGCGCGTGTGAGCACGACGAACGGCAGGCAGCCTACGTTGGCGGATTGCATGCAAAGCGTAGTCGCTTGAGGTGCTGGATGATTCACGCTTTGTGGGGCCGAAAGGGGGGTCGTCGGGTGGGTGGGGTGCTGAAGTCGGTCCTTCTGCTCCAAAATGTACGAGCAGCCCAGGTGCTCGATGATGGCTCCATTACGCATGCACGGAGCCTCTCAATAGCGACACACAGTCCGCCTTGCTGACGTCTGGGGTGGGTGTGATGCGACTGCAGGTCTCCCCGTGCAAGTGGCAACGTGGGTGGGGTGGGGGCGCAGCGACAGGGGGGATACTGGCCGCATGCTGTGGAGAGACTGTGAAGTCTCGCAGCTGCTGCCAGGCGGTGCCTTTAGAGCCACTTGCTTCTTCCCTGGGGATCCCAAGGTGAGACGCGAGGGGCGCTTAGGATTCAATTAGACAAGGTGCTCAATCGCGTTTGCTGCGCGTGCTTAGAGTTGAAGCAGCGAGATGCGGTTCCTGTCTAAATCTGCGCGTCTAGCGGGTAGCACAGACTCCTGCTCGATCAGCGACACCCTGTAGGCAAACCGGGTACCCCGAGCCCACAGGCAATCCATGTAGTACCTTGGTGCGTGGGGCTTCTCGTGGATTGGGCTTGCTATCCATGTGTAGAAGTCTGTGTGCTTCATGCACATGCACATGTAATACTCGTGCATGCACAAGCAAGTACGGATGTGCATGTGAATGTGTGCATTTGTGTGTGTGTTTGTCCATTTTTGTATTTGTATACATGTGTATTTGCCTGTTTGTATCTTTATGTATCTGTATGAATGTGTTTGTGTATGTACGTATGCAATAGTGCGTATGTCCATGTACATGTGTCTTGATGTGTATGTGTGTGTACATGTGCATATGTGTACGTGTTTATGTATTTCCATGTGTATGTACATGTATCTATCTATACATGTACATGTATCTATCTATCTAGTCCATATATATCTATCTATGTACTTGTATCTCTCTATCTAGTCCATATATCTATCTCTCCACATGTATCTATCTATACATGTACATGTATCTATCTATCTAGTCCATATATATCTATCTAGTCCATATATATATATCTATCTATGTACTTGTATCTCTCTATGTAGTCCATATATATCTATCTCTCCACATGTGTCTATTCAAATATGTACATGTATCTATCTATCTAGTCCATGTATATCTATCTAGTCCACATATCTATGTATGTCCATACGCCGATCTATCTGTGTCCATACATCTATCCATCTATGTTGATTGTTTGTGTACAGGAGTTCACTTGTCAAATACGCGACTTTGTGGCGCCGCGAGTGCCGAGTCCGTCTCCGAACGAGTGCGCGTGGCGTCTCGTGCCAGTGGAGGCGGATCCTCTGCGCGACATATATCCTGGCGCATGTCTCTCGGTTGGTCTTGCCGTGGCGAGCTCCCCGCAGCAGGAGCAGCAGCCTCACGGCGAGAATGCGGCACGCGCCTATTTTGTTGACGTGGTCGTCCAGGACGTCTACTTCTCGTTGGAGCAGGCTTCGCGGGCGAAGCAGGCGGTTGCAGAGGCGCGAGAGCACGAAGACACCCCCCCTCTTGCACTCAAGCAGGCTTTGACGGCAATCGGGAGGAAAAGCCTAGGAGGCGCAGACAGTGGGGGAGAAAGCGGCCCCCCGGAGGGGCTTCGACCGAACTGCGCAGTGCGCGCCATGCGGGTGATGGTACTGCGAACGGGGGGGGCAGCCAACGAGTTCGCTCTGGTATCCGGCCGTGTCGTGTACAAGTTGCCGTACGACCTTTACAACGGCGGCAGTGGAGTTCTCAAGGAGTCTCCTTGGAAGCAGCGTCAGCAGGGAGGGCCCCGCCTTGTGTGGGCGATCCCCAGAGCCCTTACTCCGGCGACTCCTGAACAGATCAGGGGGAGGGGGGCGAGTGGCGGGAGTGCCAGCGCGAGCCTCGGTGGCGAGGACGTGGACGCCGTTGCGAAGCGCTGGAAATACAAGACGCAGGCCGATAGCAGGGACTGGATTGCGTTCCCTCCGTTCGTTGTGGTGTATTTGGAGTTTGACGGCTCGGCGCAGTACACAGAGACGCACCCTCTCCTGCAGCGCTATCTGCAGCCGGAGCTTGACTTGGCTGCTTTGTCTCACGGCTCTTGGCGGCTTTGTCTTCCACAGTACGAGCACCCGAAGGAGTTGCCCGTGCTTTTGCCTCATCCTAGCGACTTGCCGCCAGCAGAGAAGGCGGGAGCACTCAGGCCCGAGGCTGGCGATGCAGCCGCTGAGAACGCCATTGTTCTGGAAAGCCCGTATGCGCGGAGCAGCGGCGTGGGCGCTTTCTTGGCGGGAGTCGAGGGCCGCACTGCTTTGAGCAGCGACGAGCTGGCAGACTCCCTCCTCGTCACGCATGCTTGCGAGCCGCCTCAGCCTGTTGGCGGCGCTCAGAGCGGCAGCGGAGACTCTGCGGGCAGGGGCACTGTCTTGAGCATCAACCATCTTGCCAGTCTTCTCTGCAGTGGAGGAGGGGACTCTGCACCCTCCAAGGAGCTGCTGGCGCGAGCCATTCCCTTCTTTAGAGGCGTCCTCCCCCATCTGGGGGCTCATTCCTCCAATTGGCAGCTGGACGTTGCGCGCTCGGCTCTGAGGGCGGCTGAACAGGCAAAGGAACTGTATGTTGAAGAGCAAGAAACGGAGGCCGAGAAGCTGAGGCTCCAGGGAATAGCCTTTACAGGATCTCTGGTTGGCAGTGGTGGTGGAACCGAGGTACGGTGAAGCTGCGCGGCAGCGCAGCAGCGCTTCTTGCGGCCTCCCCAGCAGACTTGTCGCAGGATATCGCTTTAGGCAGCGGCTCGTGTGCATCCGACGCGTGCCTTTTTGCGATCGTGGCTGCGCCTGAGCCCTCTCCTATGCTGTCTCCATCCGTGTGTTGCGCGCAGGGGATGCGGAGCCACAGAGGGACAGAGGCGGTTGGTACCGCGGCAGAGGCAGACAGCGGCGACTCCTGGGAGTGGGCGGGTAGTTCGGGGAGTCGCTACCCCACGAGCAGCGACATTTCGCGCTTCCTTCTTCGCACGTCTGGCCATGCCATGGGCTCGACGGCTGGCAGAAGCCTTGGCGGCGAGCCGGTGTTTGCTTCGGGAGAAGCAGCAGGGGGACCCCTGGGGGGTGCTGGCAGGCGAAGGCCGCTGGGAGCCGTCGCGAGTCTCCTGTCTCAGGACTCCCGCAGGGGATCGACTTCCGAATTGAACCCCTCCGAAGCGCGCTGTCGCGGAGAGGACAGCCCCTATCTCGCGAGAGGTGCTCTGGGGGCAGAGGGAGAACACCACACTACCCGCCGCACGACTGGATCTGGCGTCCTTAGGTCTCAACCGGAGGAGGCAGCGGCGGCTGGTCTGGGGGGGGGCAGTGCGAGGGTGCGTGGGATTCTGCCCACCTCGGCAGCCTTTGCAGCAGCAGCAGTTAGCGCCTCTCCTGCAGCGGCGACAGCAGCACGCCGCAGGACGCTTCCCCAGCGGGAAGAAGAGGAGGACTTCCAGCCATCCGTGAGGACTGCGGCAGCATCCGCCAGGCAGAGCAGCAGCGGGGGGAGGGCTGGCGCAGTCAGACGCGCCACTCGAAATGTCAGCTACGCAGCTCTTGCGGGGATGGATCAGGGACAGGATGACTCCGCGGTTCCTTACAGGCCAGTTAAGCGACTGGCGAGGGGAGAGCTTCCCGCAACGAGTTTGGACGCTTCGCATGCCGCCGCCGATCAGTGGGAAAACGCGCACACGAGGGACGCGGGCGCGGCGGATCTTGCCTCGGGAGAAAGCGTCTTGAGAGGCACTTTGCATCAGTGGGCGGCTCTGCAGCGCCAGGCTGCAGCTGCAGAGGAGCGACTCCTCAGCATCCAGGGGAGCAGGCCAGACCGCGCAGTTGACACGAGCATCAGCACCGATCAGCTTCATGAGGCTCTAAAAGGTTTCGTGCAATCCATAAAGGCAGGCTCTTCTTCTGCCCCCGTCGTCAGCGTCCCACCCATGGCCCGCGACAGGAGCTTCGCAGCTTCCCACTAGCGCAGGCAAATCGACGCCGCCTTTAGACTGCATGCAGCCCTTTGTTGCTTCTGTGCGCCACTCGGCGCGCCTTCCATGCTGCCGTGGTTTGATCATCCCGCTGCATTGGCAGAGGCCGAAGAGGCCCTTGTTTCGGCACCAGGGTTGCGCGTACAACAGGGAACGGGACTGAGAGTGGATGTTTACGGACAGCCGGCAGTTTCTGTGTTGTTCGACGACGCCCCAGCTGCTTGATAAAGCCAGCTGCCGCAGCCGTCATTGATTATAACAGTCGACGCCTTTTGTCTTTTGGCTGTGCTGATGGACCACTACCGGGATGTGACCTCTGTGAGAGGACATGTTCGCAGCAGGGATTGGCTCACCCACGCGCAGTGGGACTTGCAGGGGGTGCCAGACGAATTCGTAGAGCCACAATCGCGTATTTCCTTTCGTAGGATGGCTGCATGCGGAGAGAAGGGGGCCGACAAACTCAACGATCAGAAGACGTGCTAAGTGTGCATGGTTTCAAGCCGAACATCACGTGGCTTCCAGCGCCTCTTGTCATTCAATTCAATCGTTTCCCGTAGTGCTTACTAGAGGTTGGGCGCTCGGTTGAGACAGCAACAGGTGCACGCAGGTGGAAACACGGCCAGTTTGGCTATGGACCACATCATCGACGCGCACCTGCAGTGGAAATGCTGCGCTTTCTCTGGTTTGCCGCGGTGCTGGAGCCAGTGTTGGCGAATGTCAGGTATGGTATTGTAAGTGTTGCTGTAGCAATAGGCCTGCCCATTGCACGCTGACCTGTTGGAGAAGCCTTGAGGGGCTCTCTGGCTCAGACGTCAGCGACTTTCAATCGTGCTAGCCATCTCTTCCGCAATTGTGTCTGGCAGTAACTCCGCCGTACGACACCAACCGAACGCAGCATGCTGCTCAGTGCAAGCTTCACCGCGTTTGCCGATGCTGTATATCTAGACTCCCTAGACACCATGTACTCAGCGCACAATTTGTAGTGTGCCGTGGGTAGAGTGCCAGAAGGCATGGAGCTCTGGCGAAGCTGCCGATGAAACATTTAGTTGGCCTTGCAAAGGGGGCCAATAGAACCCAGCAAGGCCCCCACAGCAGTGCAGCAGGGCCCCATTCGAAACCCCTTGCCCGTGTTATCTTCGGCAGTCAGTCAACCCCGACACACTAGGCTGCACTGCTTAAGCAACAGAGGCCGCAAGTTCACAGCGGCAACGCAGGCATATGCATACAGTGTTACAGATATTGACGTCCCCAGGCCTATCCCCGTGCAAGCAGCCACTGCATGCCTCGTGAGTAGGTGTTCGAAAAACTTGCGCCCCAGCTTAACCAACACTGAAGCACAATGAAGTGGATATGCGAACAGCGCATACGCTGCTAACAGGGGTGCACATTGCATGAACTCGTGTTTGGTGTCCAAAACGCCTTGGAGACTGGAGGGTTGTGCAGCTTCCCGTAGTAACCAGAAACAAACAACGGATACGGCTTAGCGCTAATGAAGGAATTCGAAGTTTTGAGCATTTCCCATGATGCCAGGGCGTTCAGACATCCTCGCAGAGCCAATTGGGCCTCCACAGGCGCACAGGGCCTGCCTCGTCGCAGACGAATAGCTGTACCAGCACCTTGTGAACCCGCTGTGCCTTTCTCCGCTAAGCATCTCATGAGACACTCAACACGGCAGTAAGATACGCTGCGACTCTAGGCCAAGGAAGTCCAACCCCTAAAGTTGGGTTTGGCCCGCACCATCCTTAGCCACGGTTGCCTTTCCAGCATCGCCATCACCTCCTTAATTTCACCTCTGCCAAAATCCGCAGCAGAGGAGTCGCTTTGTACGCCTGATCCTGGTGAATATTGCATCTTCCTCCGCCGCTGCTACAACTCAAGAACCGGCTCCAACCGCTCCTGAGCTTTTGCCGATCTGTAGCAGCATACGTCTGCCAAGGTTACTCCCCTTTCCGCCAAAGGCTTTTTTCTCTCCAGTGGCTTCAGCAGTGTGACCTCCTCGGCAAATTCTTGTGGCCGTTCTTCTGATATATCTGGTTGAGTACAGAGCTGCGCACCTATGCAGCTGCAGCTCTCCTCAGCTCAAGAAGAGGAAAATAGGTGCCCAACGTCTATCCATTCTTCTGCATCAGGTAGGTTGGGTCCACTATTGAAAGAAGGTGCAGACATGTGTGTGTACCATTTTCTTCAATACCATGAAAGCAACACACGGAATGCCAGAGCTCTGAACTTTTAGTTACACTGGTCACATTCCCTTCAATGCTCGACACTTCACACTTGCGGCCATGGGCAAGGACGCTAATTCCTACCTGAAGGAATGCTGCATTCTCTGTCTATTCAGAAAAGCTGTCTGAGTAGTGCAAATCGCAGCACGTGGTGTTCCAAGCACCATTAAGTCTAAGCCACGATATGCACCCCTCCAGCGTTCATCCCTCCACTGCTTGCCCTGCTGGAGCGCCCTGCTGCTTGAACATCACTCCTGCCCTGGTCCAGTGGGAGGCACAGCGCAGTGGAGCTACTGTGTGCACTCCCTGTCCCCGCCTTTCCTGCAGAGTATCCGCCAGCAATCATTCTCCGTCAAGGTGGCAGGTCCTTTCGACACTATTTGCCTCTTCTCCCGAGCAATCCGTGCAGAAGGAGGCACGTCTCATGACACCAGGGCATTCGGTGCTCAAATGTCTGAAATCCTTGTGAAGTGTATCTCGGTTAGTCACCTTGTGTGCGTTACTTTCTGGTATTAGGCACCCGTGCCCCGCATGACCAGCGAGTGCATTAGTAAGTTCCATGGGCTCTTGCTCCGTTGCAAGGGTTATAGTGGATTCTCTGTGCTTGATAAGGAGGCTCTATTATGGACCTTTGCTCTGAAGGTTGAGGAGGAACATTTGTTGCAGTGGCGGCACTTACGGGGGATCGCCACTGGACCCGGGAATAAACCAGGTCCATAACCCGAGCCTTCAGTGTCTGCTACCTTCGTCTCCTTGATTTACCCCAAAAAACCTGCAGTGCAACCGGTGAGGCCTGCTGCTGTCTTCATGAGACGATGAATAGAGCCGTGTCACAGGGCAACTACTGCACAAGCCAGGCATATATCCAAGCGGCATAGCAAAGCCCCAATGTCCCACTACTCACAGGCTAATGGGTTCGCTGTTCGAAGGCAAGTGATGTTTCTCGCTAATACATTACAATTTCAGGACTGTTTGCGAAGACTGAAAGTGCACTATCTGTTGAACCCAAGATAACTTGCTCTTGTGCTTGGCTATTTGGTGAGTATCCGTGACGGCTAGTGGGATGAACTGAAATATGCACGTTATTCCGAGGAAGCTAGAAGACCGCTAATGAGTGAAGTAGCAGCAACGAAATCGGTCTCGAGACAACGCGCCTCCTCCCGCCCGAACAAGTGGTACGACAGATTTGCTGTCCTGGATTGCCAAGTTATGAAAACCTGTGAGGCATTATATGGGTAAGCACTAAAAATATCAAATAACAAAAGCGTATCATTATAAATGAATACATCTTACGGCCATTCAGGAAATAGGGTGTGTGAAAAGGCTCAGAGTTTTTCTCTGTGGAGACCTCGTGGACCTCGCATGACCGCCGTTGCCACACGCCACTCAAGGGCGTTGATGTGCAGACACATACTTTTGGGCTACGCAGTGCGGCCAAAGAATTAATGTTTGAGCTCGCTTTCTTTGAATTCCGTGAAATATCGATAATACTATTCCTTCGCATCTTCTTCTCACCTTTCCCGAGCAGGGCCGCGCATCTGCATGGCCCCTCGTCGCCAGCCTTTTGCCTTGTGTGTAAACTGGCTCATAAGCCAACGCGTCGTATGTGCCTTTGCTCAGAATTTGGAAAGAATTCAGTGAATTTCCAGTTTTCCGTGAGTGTGTCCAATGCGCAAGCATGAAAATACCAACCACAGGTGTTGATTAAATTCTTGAGTTGGGAAGCTTGAATAAACCTTACATGGTATATTTGGGCGAAAGCTACCGTCTAGTCCTAGGAAGAGCCCATTTGCTCAGCTATATGCGAATCGGTCATCAACGAGCCGCTTTGCAATGACAAACACAGAAATCTTCTGTGCCCGGCCCTTCTGGTTGACTCATCCGTTCCAGAATTACGTACCACACCAGCATAGATGAGGGCTCGGACACTAAGCGGCTCTGCCTTCAATGCAAAGGCATCTCCTTGTGCTTCAGGCCCGCGGACGGCGACAGATATATGGTGTATTAACCACGGCATGTTGCGTCGCAGCCATTGCTGATACGTATGTCCATGGCTTAGCTCGTAAAGGTTGAACGGGTACAGCCATGGTGCCCTCTGCGCGGTCCTCCTCCTCGGATTCCGAGAGAGATTCTTCTGTTAGAAGCTCTTCCACTCCCAGCAGCGGTTATATACAAGTGGGGTTGGCGGAAAACACAAATTTGTCATTTGAGAAGAATAACTCGTTTCTCAATTGGCTGTTGCTTCTCGTGCTGCTAGGAGGGTCTACTACCTGCGCCGGTATCTTTTACTACTCAGTTCCTTTGCGCCACGAACTGACAACGGCCGTGCGTACGCACCTTTCCAGCACACCTTTCAAAGAGGGTGTCTTTTCCCTACCCAGTTCGTGGGCGGGGGGATGGTTGAGTAGCTCGACCTTCTCCAGAGCTGTGGAAATTCACAACGTGAAGGCAAGTACACTTGTTCAGCCAGATAAGAGGAGTTTTACCATAGCTGCAGGCGCCATAATGACCTGGGCAGATGTGGAGGCCTGGCTTCTTAAGGTCCTGGCCCCTACCCTTTACACGGGCAACTTGGGGGGCGCCGTCGTAGTGCAACTAGCCAAGCTGCATCTTGTTAAAGGAAGTCTTGAGGAAAATACAGATACCTACACAAAAGGCCTTGTATACAAAAGATTAGAATTTTCTGGTAGGCCACAGCCCCTGTGTGAGTGCAATCACCCGCCAGGGCTGCCGACTTTCGCTTCCAGTTGGCCCTGGCACCAACAACTTTTCAAAACTGAAGTTTGTGCAGGACATATTGATGGATTCTTTCAAGTTTCCAGTACTGGTTTCTATGTGAACGTTGGTTTTTCAGTTGCTGAAGAGAAGACTGTCGACTTTGGAGAGATCCTCGGCGGAACGTATGGAGTTGACGCTACGAGTACAATACAGGCACTTGGTACTGACGGCTGGTGGACCCCACTTACTACAAAGGCAACACTTATAATTCGAGGAAGGGATGGCAACGGAAATGATTGCAGTATGTTTTTCGAGTCGTGATTTTGGCAGCTAGTAGCGTCGTTTGCAAAGTGCTTCTTAACACCCGAAGCAAGCACTCGCCGGAGAGGCCATCGATGCAGCTCGCTTTTTAGCAGAAAGCGCTCTTCTAGACTCTAGATAATGCAGTGCGACTGCTTTTTGATGCAGCTGCTGAGGTTTGCTTCGAGCAATCCCAGTCCGGCTTGGTCTCTGGGCGAGTTGACGTTATGACAACCTTAGTATCTGAAAGCACCTTGGCACTGGTGTTCGCAGCTTTGTTCTTAGCTGCGAGCATTGGTTACAGTGTCGTAGAATGGCTTGCCTTTGAACAGACGAAGAGAACACGCAGGTAAGAGAGGGCCCGCGTGAACGGCTTGCTCTGCGTGTTCGGCAAGCGCGTCAGCTCTCCCTCTATAGCACTGGGAGACTGCTATGCACATTTAGCTCTTGAGATCCAGACTAAAGTTCTATTTGCTCTCTAGTCTCGGTCAGCTTTATGCAGTGGCCGTAGCTTCCAGTTTCCTCAGTCGGGCGCCTCGACACCATGGAGTGCCATTCGCATTGCCTATAAGCTGAAAAAGACAAATTTCCCTCAGAAGAGCGTCAAAATGTTTCTGGAATCCTGAAATAGAAACTATATATGGGCCTTTTGGGATGCCATGCAGATTCGGGGAGGAGCATGGTCCCTTGTACCGCTATTTGGAAGACCGTTGGCCCTGCACACTGGTAGCTGCTACAAGTCTTACCAGCGGTACACTAATGCTGACATGCTGCATGTTGAGCGTTTTCATCGCCAAATCTGAGTACAACACCGTAATGCTGCATGCACTAGAAGGTCAGTCACTTGGTTCTTGCCTTCTGGCGCTTTAATATCGGCTTACAAAATTTTTTCCTAACCAGTTTAAGGCAGCAGATTTGCCCCAAAGCCCAAGATATAGTTACCTGTGAGTTTCAGAAATGTAACGGCTCAGATTTTGTGCGTACGCTGCAGTGCTGGAGAGCATAATGGGTGTTTTATTAATGGTAAACGGCTGGGCGTTCATTTTGCGGCTTCTGCATTCTCTTTCTGGCGCAAGTATCTTTTTCTTGGTTCTGGAGAAAAGCACTGCCGTTGCTGTAAACGAGTTTGGGGGAATCTTTGCCATAACGATCCTCTTGCTGCTCGGTGCATCGACATGCAACTACATCCTTCTAGGTGAGCTAGCTCTTTGATTGGCCTCTTAGAAGTTCCTACTTGACCAGGCTTGCGTTTACAGGATGCTAACTAAAGCTTCTAGCTGCATGTTATGATTGGCTCCTCAGTCCCTCCTGATGTACGTGGTTCATGAAGAGAGCAAAGGCTTTTTAGGATGTTTTGCTACCCATTGTCTAGCATGCTGCCTTACCGAAGCTATGATGAGTATGACTAAATTTTTACACTATAAGCGAGTTATTTGCTGTCTTCCTCCGTATGATGGCGTTCCAGGGCCGCGAGTTGAGCAATTTCAGAACTTCGGATCGTCAATCTTTTACACGGTCTGCATGGTCTTTGGCGCACCGTTCACTCATTCAATGCCGCCTGCCGCATTCATAGTTTTTTCTTTTTGTTTAATGGTATTCTGGGCTGTAATCGTCCCCCTCTTAGTGGCGATCAACATTCAGGCGCTCTACACCGTTGTAAAAAAGGTCCGCTCAGAAGAAAGGGAGAACTTGGGTGAGTCACAGGCGTCACCGTGATATTAGCCGCGAAAAATAAGGTCTATGCACTGTACTTTGTGCAATATTCAGAATGCGGCCCAGCATTGGGGTACCTAATAATCTACAGTTTGCCTATATTCAAGCAGCCATGTGAGATCCTCAAGGGTTCATGGTATTACTTGGCATAAAAGCCTGTTCAGCAGTGCCAGCACTGTTGTGGTTTCCTGATCAGGATATGAAGTCATTGGCCGAACTCGGGAATGGATGCAAAACAACTTGTTTTTCTGCACGCCTGAACCAACGGATCACAGTATTAAGGAAGAGGTATTGTGCGATTGACAAGTGGTTCCTCTGAAAGGATGCAGAATACCCGCTTTCAATTCTTTGGCAAAATTCGCAAGCTAATTTGTTCTTTGGTGCTCCATTCAACCTGATGCAGCGTTCGGGGCCCCAGGTGTGGCTTGTGCTGCATCCGTGGTGGCGTTAGGTAGACTGGCACTTTTATGACCTTGTGAAACACGTCGGTACATGTGTGCGGTAGGAACTGCAAGCTCGCCTGAGAGATATGCGCGAGACTGACGCTGCCGATTTTTGTCAACACGAAGAAGGAAAGTCAGAGATCTCTCAGGCAGTGGACAACGTTGCGCTCGAGTGTAGGAAGCTAGTGATGGCGTTTGCTCCGTTTATTCTTTTTTTTACAATGTCCATGTGCTTAATCTGTGACACGCCGCGTGTCAATCGCGAGTTTGAGAAGTCTATGGCGCAAATACTCCAACCATTCAACACTACTGATCCGTTCATGTCACCGGAGGACAATGAACGTACCCCGCCTGTTTGGATGATTCCCCATAATGAGTGCAACCCGACCCCCAAATCCTTTCCTGCTACCCAGCCACCGGTTAGTTTACGGAGTGTCGGCAGCACTTTCGTTGCAAGAAATCAGACCCCTGCACTTGGTAAACGGTGATTTCGCATTACCACCATTCCCGTAGGGCTTTTGCTTGCTACTTGTGAAGTGATGCGTAATCGTACTTGCAATGCATGCGGATGCGTTGCTGCAGGGAATAAAACGTCCACTTCGAATTACCAATGTCACGTCGCTCGGGGGCGTCTACGATTGGTTGGAGCAAATACTAGCAGGCCAGATACTCAACGCTGCCTTCAATTTGCCGTCCACTACAAACGCAATCCCACTTACAAACCCTGGTGCAGTGCTTTTTCTCACGAGGGTAAATTTAGAATGCCAAAGTTTCGAGCCTCGTAAGTTGTGGGCCTGAGTGCATATGCCATTCCTGTCCCGGTCAGCTTGTGGTGAAGCGTTTCCTGCTGGCCATCAACATTTTGCACTGTTACATAGCCACAGTCCCAATCATCCACTGCGGCTGCCACATCACAAGGTGCCAAACGAAGTGCTGCTTTTGCGCTGTGAAACTTTTATAGTGACTGAGCTCTACCCAGTCAGGCGCAAGAGCGACGCATTTCGCAACTGGTCTTCTGACGCTTTTGGAAACAGCAAATTTAATCCAACTCCAGAACGCGTCTACAGAGTACCCATATCCTTTTCTGGTGATGGTTCACTAACGACTTTCGTAGACGCAAAAAGCCAATCTGCATTCAATACAGTGGATTCCGGAGGCGAACAGCCATCAGCAATTCGGCAACAACAGAATGAATTCCCAGACACTAGGCGGCTCTCGGAAAGTTCCATGGAAGACATGCAAGCGAGTGACGAGAATTGGACTGCATCGGACTTTCAAGAGATATATGTAGGCCCTAGTTCCATGAGAACCAAGATGAAGCAACTCCGCTCAGCAGGCTTCCTAGATTGGCAGCTACTTGAGCTAGAAGCAACATGGATGACGTACAACGGAGATGCGAGCATGTTTGCTCTGAACAAAGTACGTCTGCTGGCTGTCAAAAATTCCCTACAAAAAGGTGAGGCCCCTAACAATAACCCGCAGATTTTTGGTGTGCTTTAAAGAGGTGTGATCCCCGTCTGATGCGTAAGGCAGGAGCTCGCTACAACGCTCTTCCACCGATCCCTGTTCTCCCCTTCCAACTGCGACCTCAGGTTACTGTAGCAATGGACGAAGGCAATTTGAAAACTGCCGTGCATGTGACTGTTGCTCCTTCGTGGCATATAAACCCACTCGGGGACGGCATTCGGCCAGAAGTGGTACTGATGCCACTGTGTCTTGTATGCCTACTACTTTACCTTTACCTATCGTATCGCGCAGTACAGGAGCGTCGGCTGCCTTCTATGTACCTCATTGTACTGGATCTGCCTCTTGTACTGGCTTTCGCTTGCTGTTGTTTCTTCCTACTGTGCATGTATAATGTCGCGTTTGACCCTGGTTGGACCGCGGAACTAAGCTCCCTAGTAGCGGGGAACGCCGCATCAAGTACCGGCCACCTACCTAAATTTGTCCCAGGTCCAGTTCAACCTTGGCAGTGGCTTCCCGGAAGCTCCAGTAGTAAGCAAGCGGAGCTGAAAATTTCTCCATAGTCGGTTGTATCCTGTTCAGAGTGCATCTCGTAGTAGCACAGTGCCACCGCTCCGCCGATTGTGCCGCCCACGAGCTATAGCCTCTCCCTTTTTATTCTACTTGACAATATTTTTCATCGTAAGCCATGTACTCGCATTTCGTTGTGCGCTTACGCGTGAAAATTGCAGCTCCATCAAGGTCTGAGCCACCGCCTACAGCCGAGTCTTTCCCACGTTTTCTTCGCATTCAGAATCACATTGAAATATTGGCAGATTACCTCTTATATTGCAAGATCTGCGCGGGGCTACTGTTCATCGTAGCCGTGATCCGGTTCATTACAATGGTGCCCGCTATTCCAGAGAAGATGCAGGGCCTTCGGAAGCTCCTTTCACACCTGAATGCAGCAAAAATGCAAACAGCGTGTACTTTGGGCTCACTTTTCAGCTCATTCTTGCTATTTTGCTTTGTTGGTACGCTACTACTCGCGCTCTGATATTTTATGTTCTCAGAAGCAACCGGAGCGATTGATGGGTGGCTCAAATGTGTATGCAGCAGCTGCTGCTGTAATGCGAAATATCAAATTTAGATAGCTTGTAAATGCATTTGCTGCATGGTTTTCGCGGAGTGGGAGCAGCATCACTGTCTCCAAGGAGGTGCGCCGACATATCGTCAATTTAGCAGGGGCTTAATGTGCATTCTGGCACTGTGTGTTGTCTCTCCGCTGCTCTACTGCAGGATACTGCGTTCTAGGAGGATCGTACAATGGATTTTCTAGCTTTGCAAATGCACTCGTATCGTGTGTGATGCTGACGCAATCCAAGTGGAATTTTAACACAATCATCACAGTATCTCAGCAGGGTCGAAGTATTGGATGGCTTTTCCAAGTTTTCACACTTTTGACGTGCATGTTTTTCTTTGGTTTCCTGAACTATATTGTTCTCTCAATGATTTACGTTAGGTCCGTGCCTGCGGGGCTCATGTCGAAGCTTCAGTTGATAATATGTTGAATTTAATTCCTCGAATAAAGCGACTTTCCTTTCGTACAAAAGTAGTCAGCTACTTCGTAGGCAGAGCCTGTAGGACGGGGAGGCTTGTGCCTACGATTGAGAGGGGTTTGCGCTTGGGCCCGTGAAATATAGTTAGGTCCAGCGTGCACATAGTGGGTATTTCCGTCGGCATTCCCTCTACTTCATTTGCTATTTAAACTTAGGAATTGACCATGTTGAACTGCCTTGTTGCATGTTTAGATATGAGTCAATGAAGGGTGAAGAGGCAGCGGAGATGCAGAACGTCTTGGAAGCAAAATATGGCGTTAAGAAGAGGAAACGTGTGCCTCTGATGGTCAATGACACGGTAATTCTATATTTTAAGGTGAGCTATGGAAGCCTAACTTGTAAGACGGCCATTGTGTTTGTTTTCGCAATCAAAGATAGCGTGGGTTTTCAAATGTGTGCAATCCCAGGCTTTTGTTAAGTGCCTTACCCTTCAAGCTTGGGGAGTGACTCTTGACGGAGAGGAGCCTGTAAATTCGGACTTTGCTAGCCTAAAAGACGACTTCTTCATTTCCCTGAAGGAGCTTCCACTGATGGTTAAGGAACCACAAAGTACACAGGCACGTTACTGAAGACAAGCAAACGGCTTGCCGCAGCAAAAGTTTTCTTAAAATACTGGAACTTTATAGTCCAGTGACCTCCTCTGAAAGTCTCTCCAGAATACGAAAACTCTGACTCCCTCATGCCATTTCTGCGTTTTGAGTGTTTCTTGTACCACAGGAATACATCAGCAAGGCACTGCTTTCCACTCAAATCGTGAGGCTGCAGCAGTGTCTTACGGATATTGAGTTCTTGCGAGCCAAGCACTTCCTTATTCTGCATGACCTTGGAGTTATTGGTATGGCCGAAAATTCTGTTATGTCTTGAGTTTTCGCAGAAACAGTACAAATTCCGCATGCTGTTTTCGTGTGTCGAGTGCTTCTTGAGCCACAGGAATACATCAGGAAGGCACTGCTGGAAAGCAGCTGTCCAGCACAGTTAAGGTATTGCTACGCGGAGTTCATTCTCCAGAATCGTGTCCAATGTCTGTGTTGGCGAATTGCAGCTGAACACATGCGCGTGCTTCGACAGGTAATTCGAAGACAAGGGAAATATGTTTCCGGCGTGGAAGCGGCGATACAACACGTAAACAGACAGATTGAAGAAGTGCAAACGCGCAAAGCGTTCATTACGTACTACAACCAACAGGATCCATTGCACACGAAGCAACAACTAGAGCAGCAGCAGCTACTCGATCTTGGGATGGACGCCGGTCGTGAAGGTGCTCGGAGGGCAGTTGGTACGCATCATGGTTTTGTGAGGGGCAGCAGTATAATACGCTCAGATGGGTGGTATGCTGCTTTTAAATCTGGTGAACACATATATTGAGTTTTGGTAGTACCGGTCTGCAGGTTTATTGGGTGGTTTGGCGGTGACTCTTTCGCAAGCGGTGTGAAGGTGTTTGTTTGTGGGCCCGGACTCGCAGCTGACCCTCGTGCTTACATCCCACCGGAACTACTAGATGTGGCTCGGTGGGAGGATCCGATTCGCCAGCAACTCATCGAGGAGCAACGCGAGCAGCATCGCAAAGAAAATTCACAGCCACCAGCGCGGCATAGACAACAGAGAAGGCGAGAAAAGGATAGCGAGAAGCGAAGGCACGAAGAACAGTCCCCTCCGGCCTTCAGTACACGCCTGGCTATTGCGAATGTAGGTGAATCTGTTTCCACTCCTTTTGGCCGAGGTGGACGCCGCTCACCGGGAGCGCGAGCACGTTTCCCTGTTCTTCCTAGATCCGTGGACAGTGATGATGAAGACTGGGACACTGTGAGGCAGCACTATGGGGGAGATCATCAGGGGACATTTGAATTTCACGATAAAGACGGAAACACAGTGTTGATAAAGCCAACCCCAGAACCTCCAGCTATGGCACTTCCTCCAGCTTTTATAGGGACTCCTCGTAAGCGAGCTGCTCAGGCGTCTGTCCAGCAGCCAGAAGCCGAGCGGGAAGGTGAAGAGTACACACAATATCCAGGCGAAGGCACCTCAGCTTCTTCCGCTGCACCCGTCGCTCTAAGGGAGGCCCCGCCTGTTCCCCAAACAGACTCCTTTGCGGAGGAAGAGGAGCCACGGCCAATGACCAACGCTCCGGATATTGCAGAGGGTCGTGCTATAGATCTGACAACAGTGCGCCAGCCGTCTCAACGGCCTTACCCCCAGACACAGGGAAGCCGGCGGGCCAATATCAATCTACAGACCTTCGAAGTAGGTGGCGAGGAATTTAGGATGCTACCTCGTAGAAGGAAAAAGCAGCGCTAATTTTTTGTATTTGCACAAAGCCACACTGGTATAGGCAATCGACTCAACTACGAGAAGAATAAAAGAAATAAGTTGGACATCCGTTTGAGTAGCACATTCATTGTAAAGTGGTCACGGTAAGCGTCATATCCATCATACAGCGGGGAGCGCTGAATATTTCTTGCTTCTTTGTGCAAAGAAGAAAGCAGGCCTCATATAAATGCACAAGATTTGAGACTGTACACAGGCTGTATATTTCAAATGTTCAGCCTTTACCGTCGGGCAGGAGGTAGCGGAGGTTATTTAGAGTGGCACATTCAGTAAGACCCCACCGTGGCAGCATGATTCTGTCAGGCTCTGAAAATCCGTGAATATCATATCGCAACGGCCTGCTAGTCCCGTATAGAAGTTACTTTAATTTTGAAAGATGTCTGAACTGATGCACCACCTTCACGTGCTGGTGTCTTGGCTGATATCACTAGAAACCGGTGCCACAGCTGTGCCTCGCATATCGTCTAATAACTTAGGTCACGCACACTAATAAATGCTTAACTCACAGCTAGGGATCATGCATGAAGTTGGGTAATACACTGGAGGTTGCTCTGCCCTTATCGTTAATAAGCACAGTCGCCGCAGAGATCAGTTGGAAAACACATAAGCTTCCTTATACATTTCATATATAAGTAAGCTCGCAACGTCGTCCGCCTACGGCAACACCGAAGTCAAAAGAACTCTGTTAATGGCTCGATATTAATGGTATGACACTTGGTGTGCGTCGTCGGTCGAAGGTTGGGATAGGCGAAGTAACTTCTTAGCAAGGAAGTATCCCACCTGAGTCAATAGAAGGGTATTTCTGGCTGATATAACTGCTGCAAAGTGAATTTTAGGTTCTGACAGGCTGATTCCAAGTCAGCTTTTTGTTTATATGATGCGACTTCTCTTGCCAGTTGGTTCGCCCCGTGAAGGCCGAAATTCGACTGACCTACTTTGAACCCTATTATATGGCTCTGATGGTTGGAAACCCGTACATTTTCAGTGGGCATCGAAAGGAAGGTAGCCTTGGAACAGGCCGTGGCCTAAGCTACCCTGTTGAAGCATGGTGCTACTCGAAGTGGCTTCAATAGCAGGCATTTTTCTTTGAGTGGGCCCCCTAGTTAGTGTGATGATATGCATAGAGGAGAATGCAATGCAATTGCCTCTGTGCATACTACTACACGGACGGTTGGGGAGTGGCTCTAATGGTTATCCGGTATACAAGCATTTTGCTACCGACTTAGCAGCTAGTGCCCTGCTACTTATCACGTTGTTTGCATATGCTCATCGATTTGCGAGAATTGAGACTAGTTTAACACATCGAATCCGTAACATGTAAAAGTTTCAATGCCTTTATTCGAATAAGTTTCAGTATCCGTAGTAGTCCTTTTCAATTTAGTTTCGTGACACGTGGTAGGACAGCTCCTTACGTTCAATCGACAGCAGCATAGAAATAACCACAAACCAGAGGCAATTCGGTAATCGCATCTTTCACAAGCAACAAATCGCGTTCTTTATACCAAAGCGTACAAAATTGGCTTTCTCAGTCTGTTGTTGCGTCATTTTAAGCCCCAAACGCCTTGCAATACAATGCGCACTCCGGGCACACTGGTGTTCCATGCCCTGTCTTTTCATTAAGCCTTCAAGGTCGATGTGGCAGCTTAACGATTTCTCTCATCGTGTTGCAAAGGAACTCCCTTTTTCTTGTGGATAGCACCAATGCGTATTACACTGCCCTACTTGCTCTGTGATCACTGTCGGAGTGTGCCTTCGCTACGTGCCCTTTTCTGCATTTTTCCCTGCCTGACCGATAGAGGTAGTATTCTGCATGGCATTTCAATACGCTTAGACGGTCCAGGCAAGCAATTAATAAAATGACTAAACGGTCTCATTCCACCCAGACCGCAACACTGCCTTCATCACCTCATTGGCATCCAGCAGGCGGAAATTCCCTATGGTGGAGATGTTATGGCGAGAAGTCCGCAGGATTGTATGGGCAGTGTATCGAGAAACATCGTGCAGCTGGTGAAACACCCTGTTGCGAACTGCACAATTTGCACGCTTCCCAAGGCGTCTTTCGCGTGCCGGAGTGTTGCAGGGCCACATACCATCCCTGCTCCTCCGATAGCATCAGTGTCAAAGAGGAACAATGCAAGTGCAGTCCCGTTGCAATCTTTGATTTAGACGGCACCCTCATTCTGACACGAAGTGGCAAGAAGTTTCCAATAGACTCGAATGACTGGAAACTCCTATGTGAGGATCGCGTGCCTGCCCAACTCCATCGGCTGCATAACGAAGTGAGGCCTAACTCTGCTTTTTGTTTATCAGTGTATAGTAAACGTTGCTCATCCCTCTGCTTTGAGAGGCTCTTACCGCGCACCTCTGTTACCGCGCCGTCGGATACACTTTCGTATAGCGAGTCGGTTAAACCTATTTACATCAAGCTGGCTCCGTTGTCACCGCTCACTTCAGGCAACTCCTATGAAGACAGTCGTACTAATCATTTAGAGTACACTATGTGGTTTGTAAGTAGTCTGCTGCGCTCTGCAGGGATATACCATATTCATTTTGTCAAATCAGCTGGGCGTAGGTCTCGGCCATGTCACACTCACGGATATGACCGCTAAGCTGGATGCCATTCAGCGCGCACTCCGAGTGCCACTTACCAGCTGCATTTGCTGTTGTGATGACTTGTATAGGAAGCCTCGGCCACCAGCAGCTGCCCTGCTCTTCCGGGAGTTACTTCCTCGAGTGCTTCAAGCAACTGGCTCTGTTTCTTTCGTCACTGGGGGGGCCTCTCAGCACCAAGATGTTGGTACGCATAGCAAATGTAGTTATCCTCGGATATTTTTTGTTGGTGATTCTGCGGGACGTCTAGGAGACCACAGTTCTGCGGACCTGAAGTTTGCAATAAATACGGGTATGCACTTCTTCACGCCGGAAGAATTTTTTTTAAACCATAGAGCTCCCTCTCTGCCCCTTGTTATTCGCCGGCTCCAGTTAACTACAAATACCTGCCCCACGAGTGAGGAGGTGAAAGCAAAGGGGCAGATGCTTTGGGGGGAAGATGGAAAACTTCAGCGGGGTAAACAGGCGAAAGCGTGCTGCACGTGGGATCCGTTTGATCTGGTTAAGGACGTGCAAGCAGTTCGGCTGTCCGAGGCACATAATGAGCGCCTAGGAGAGACAAAGGAAATTTCGGTAACTAAAGCACGAGAAGTGCAGCAAGCGCAACGTCCACCCCAAGAACTGGTCATACTTGTGGGTGCTCCCGGAAGCGGCAAGAGCACCATCGTAGAGCGCTTCTTCTCTAACTACGCTGTTGTGAACCAGGATGACCTAAAAGCAAAGGTCAAGTGCATAGATCTATGCATTCGACTTCTAAAAGAGGGTAAGAGTGTGGTAATTGACCGGCAAAACGCAACCCGGAAGGAGCGCCAGTTATTCATAGATCTGGCCCGCAAGCATGCACCTGCGTGCAGTTTGCGCAGCATAGCTCTGCTGTGGCCAAAAGAGCTCTGCCTACACCTTGGACAGTTCCGAAGTCTAGCGGCAACGCTACGGAGTAGGCACCTTGTTGAGCGCCCTTCGATGATGTTGGAAAGGTCTACTTTGTCTCGAACACGCTATCGTGTGGAGAAGGTTTCAAAGGTTGTAGTTAACATGTTTTATGCTCACGTGGAACTTCCATCGGCAGATGAAGGCTTTGAAAGCGTTCAGATTTACCAAGACATTGCTAAAGACTTCTTGCTCTACGAGGACTTCTGCTGTGAAGAGGAAAGAATTCTGTTCGGTTCTTTTCTAGATTGATAGGTGACCATATGAAAACCCTGTACATAGCAGCATGAGACTGCGGCATGTGCCTCCCTGGTTTCAAGGGTTTCCAACAGCTTTTGATGCACTATTCCTCCTACTCCCCCACAACCGCTCTATTGTACCCAATGAATACGGCCGAAGCCCGTGGTCCTTTATGTAGAGGCACATTGCCAGCACAGTTCGCCATTCCGCTAGTGGAAAAGCGGACTGTGGTGACCCCGATGTCCGGCTGCTGCATGTGTTGCACCATACTCAAGGTGTAAACCATGAGAGTAATGCTTTGCTTGGCGATTGGAGCTGTCCATGGCTTTGTATTCGCTTCTTTCTTGGCAACCTATTTTGGTATATACCGTTTTATTCCTCTAAAGAAGACAGGCGGTAACGCAGTGGCTGGTGCATTTCGGCGCTCTTATCTTTTCGTCTCAAATTACAAAGCCGTGCGTCTAGCAGCCTTATGTTAATCCAGTAGGTAGCTTAGCACACCATTTGAGGCACCAATAAATCATGTGGTACCCAGGTGGCATATAAACTTTTTGCCACCCGGATTCCCAAGAGGTGCCCAGACTTTGTAGCAGCACCCAGGGGTCGTATTTGGAAAACTACTGGGCACTTTGTTGCCCCCAGTCCTTTTAGTGATAAAACATGAACAACTAAAGTCTCTCTCGAAGCGACGTGTATTTTACATCGATTTTTCTCTCGACGGCCGTTCCCTCTTCTGTCAGTGCCGCTTTCCTGCTTCTCATCGGCCTAGAGTGCGTTTGTACTGCGTGAGCACATTCTTTCCAACGTTTTTTTACAGGAAAGGGTAAATCCTCACCATGCATAGGGAAATAAATACTTACTCTAAGAAATAAGTATCTAACGTTTGATGGACAGAGAGGGTTATCATGAGGCGCACCATTGATCGAAAATCATTGCCGGATATGGCAGAGGAATGGAAGTGAGCTCAATTAGAGGAAGACCAGCGCACGTGGATAGCTTTGCTTGGGCTTGCCGTACCAGCAGATACCATTGGTTTATCTAGAACTGTACATGCCCTATATCCGCCCAGCATCTTCGCCTAGCCAAAGTCGAGTTCGTCGCCTCTACAGTCTTTTCATTGGTAGCAAAACTGAGAAATGATGGGATAATCAAAAGGAGGCGTATTGAGCATGGTGTGAGGGAATGACCTCTTCAGTCGGGCTGCGCAATCACGGACGTTTTGGTGGCTGCAGCCCGTCACCATGAGAGCTAAGGCTTCGTCTAGTCCTTTGGGTACAAAAAGGAGATAAAATGAGGCAAACTGAGCTTCTTCCGAGAATAACGGTGCTCATTCTTATCACCCGGAGGCTTGCCCAATGGCCCATACGAAACCGTGAGCCCACCAGTTAGTTCTTGTGGGCAGGCCACGTGCTCCAACGGGATTCCGTTTCGACTTTTTGTTGCCATTCTGAACCCACGTGTACTGACTATATTGAAGTGTCGTAGAGCTGTATCGTTTAGGCCTGAATCAGCAGCGGGTGTGGACCCTTTGGTTCAATGCCCCCCTGTACGTGCTTGTTCAAGCAAGGACTTGTGCTACAGAGAAGCTGGAAGGAAGTTCTTTGAATCAGCCTTCTGTCAACCCTGCCATTTGTTTTATTGTGATAGCTGCGTTTTTTCGTTTTAGCAGGTTATTCACACAACCATTTAGCCTGGGCGATTCCAGGCCTTGTTGCAAGTGGCCAGGTGCAGCGGTTCGTTCCTTGACCCTGTATCAAGTGTTCGGGGTACCACATCTGATGTATTCAAAGAGTTCGTAGGCTATATTCTTGTAAAGATGCCTTTCCGGCTGAGATGGAGGCGCTCAAAGGCTACGCAAATCGCGAGCCAAAAGTCCGTCGCGGAACATGGGTACCCAAAGGATCGAGGGAGCCTTATTGAGGGCCCTAAAGATGAACAATGCGAAGCTAACGCAGGTAGAGTCCTCGCAGAAACTATTTTCGTGCAGCCTTCCAGTGCTCATGGCGCATCCCCGTGTGTCACGATGGATTCCAAGCCATCGCTGTTCAGGAGGACGCTGTCGAACCTCTCGCCAAAAATTGCACCAAAAGTGAACGCTGACAGTTCTGAACCTTGTGGGAATGATCAAGGTGGTGACAAGCGTGGTAACGAAGCAGAGGGCTCCAAGAACTTAGTGGAAAATAATGTACGAGCCGAATCTGGTATGGCCAAGAGGGCACACGCATTGCACAATTTCCTTCCCCGATTCTACGGAGCGCATCACCAGCAAACTCCTGGAGCCGCAACCAATGAGGACTCAGGAGAACATGGGGTGCATCCGGCTCATATGCCACTTCATTTACCACATCTTCACTTGCCGCACATCCTTGAAAGCAGGTCACACCACCAGGCCACCCATCATGATGGCCCTTCTGCAGCAGAGTTCGAGGCGGAAGTGATGAAGATGCTTCAGAGCGCCACAGATCGTGCAAAAGGGATAATTGAGGCTGCAAGGGGTGAACGCGAAATCTTGATGAGCAGAGCTCGCCTTGAGGCCGAGGACGAAATAAAGGATATGAGGTACCTTAGGAAGGCATCTGGCACCGTATTTATCCACCACATTCACTCCCAGCTCCCTTGCGTCGGCCGTAAATCCTAAATGTGGCCCAATTGAACTTTCCTATGTTTTTTGAAGGGCAGTGCATGCCGTAGTTATGGTCATGAAAGGATGTTCCTGCAGGCACTCTCTGGAACGAGAGTTTTTGCAAAGTCATGACACGGATGATAGTGAGCAAGAGACTTTACGCGTGGCAACTACGAAAGAAGAAGAGCTAATGCGTCAAATTCTTCAGTTTTCTGAGAAAAACATGGAAGTTTCGGTAGCCCTATGCGTGGGTACGTCATGAATTCACATCATATCACAGTATGACTTCACTGATCGATGTTGGCGACGCGCCTCTCCTGATGAGTACAAATGGTCATGAAATTTAGAGTACACCTTTGCTTGGTTCCACATGGGGGTCGGGAAGCCTCCACTTTAAACAATGCACAGGAATATCCTCTGCTACAAAGCTTTCTAGATCTGCCCTAGGCAGCATAAGGAGCAGCAGTATCATACATCCAGGCTTCATAAAGCTAATGCAATCAATGAGCATCCAGTCCTCCATTTATAGGTTTTTTCTTGCTGCGTGCAGACAGTGTTCTAAACGTGGACATATCGCTCCCTCCAGAGCGCCGAGATGCTTTACGCAACCTGTATGTTACGCCGCACGCATCCAACACACCTGAATATGTTATCATGGCTCAATAAGCACGTAAGGTGTGTGGTCAGAAGATAGTTATTGATATTGACAAATTTTTGATGGATTTCCTCAAATTGTGTCGCAGGAAGAGGAACCCTCCGAATTTCTTTCGAAAGAGCCAGGCCCACAACTACCCCTCAGTGCGTAACAGTCTGGCGCAGCGTGCGACCAAAACCACGCGGGGCCTTGGCTGGGAAGCTGAGAATTCTTGGGATCAGGATCCTCGCGACATTTTGCTACCTACGCATCGCACAGACGAACAACCAGATGTATATGCTGCCATTCTGGGGGGGCGTGCACTCACTGAAGAAGATCGGTTCCAGATAGATTTCGATGAATTGGAGTTAACTCCAGCTGGAACGTTCTCTGCAACCGTTCAACACTTGCAGCGCGCATGTGGCTGCCTTCTAGGATGAGTGCTAACTGCATGCACGGCCGTACGCCGATGCTTCCAGTGCGTGGTAGCCGTCGAACATAATTGCTTCAAAGTTTATCGCCAGTAGGCGATGCTGACCTGCATGGCTGTACAAATTGAAGCAGTCAATCTATTTGTCGAGGAGTTACCAGCTCTTTGGGATTTGTTAGTTATGCAAACGTTAGTCTGGTATACGCAGTGTGCGGTATTTGTGGCATGCTACCAGACTGTGTAGCAGGTGGCTGTCATAGTTCAAAGCGCCAAGTTTCTTCAAATGGCTCGCCTTTTTACATTTTATAAGACGTTCTTCCCCTACTAATCATATTTTTAGCTACTAATAGAGCAGGGAAGTAGTGTTCTGGGAGCAGTGCGAACTGGAAGGAACTTGGCCGAGTCAGCGACTCATGAAAGGCGCAGCTTTGCAGGTCCGAGGGGGCCCATCATCTTCCATCTAATACTAGAAATTTTACTGCGAAATTGAATTGCGAGAAGGATGGTACTTCAGAGGCATGTAAGCATGCACTCGAAAAACCGAGCACAAGGACACTTGTGTGCAAACCCAGGCAACCGCACCATATACGTCTTCTTACGTCGAATCTCTTTTGTAGTTCTTCGTGGCTCTAGGTGAACTTGGGAGGCGAGAAAGACTTAAGACTTGCTTGTCCTGTAGCGTTGTCATCCAGATCATTCCGAATGGTTCACAGCTCTGTATCCCATGTAGCAATGCCACGCTGATGTGGTGTTGAAACTTAGATCCTTTCCATACGATAGCAAGCAAAGTAGAGAGACAGAGGCACTATGCCCATCTCAACCTGCGTGCTGAATGTGTGTTGAGCAAGCCCGTCCGAAGCATGCTCCGCAGCACACTGCCTCGTGCGAATGCAGCACGGCGTTCCTAAACAGATCTGCCCTTCCATCGTTTCCCGAAGTTTCGTAGCAAAGAAACAGCGAAAACAGAATACTCGTGCGGCTTTTTTGCATGGCATCGCGGCGTTTCTGGGCACAGAAGGCATGTCTCATCGGAAACTGTATACCAGTACAGAACCGTACACAGTTAGCCAGGTGTAATGACAGCCACAGCACAGCGGGTGCCATGTGCACCAACTTGCATCACAATTCCCAATGCTGGGCTTGAGTTCTGCCTTGACATTTAGCACGATTTCTACATCGTGTACAGATTATTGCTGGATCCCCCACTGCTTGATCCCTTTGGCGGCATATCTCCCTTGAGATGAGAGACCAATCTGGGGCGAAGGCCAAAGTCGAAACATTCAGATGTAGGCTGTTTGCCCAAATATATTTGTAAACAATCCTATTCTATTCCATAAACAGATGCGGTAAGAAAACCATGTAGCCCCAGCCGCCCGAATTGTGGAGGGGTCTCACCAATGTGGCGCCTTGTTCGGAATGTCTACCTGCATTTTTGGTTGAATCCACCAGGCGACAATTTTGACGGCTGTCTCAGGAGCGACAGCTGTCTACTTTGCCGGCGTTGTCGCTGTTAGCATCATGCGACCATGCGATGTTCCACTGAGTAGGTTTAACAAAGCTTGTTTCCTTCTACACGCAATAGACTCGCGATATTCAGATCTTTGGCTCATTGGCGCCATTCTTCTTGTAAGACTGCAGGAGCCCCCGAGCATATAGCAATGGGAAACCATATTGTCACAGAGCTTGCCGGCCACATACACAGCCGACAAGATGAAGCAGCTCGGATTCCCAGCAAGCGTACGGCGACATTTGCTTCACTCCCATTTTTCGCCAGGTATCAGGAGCTCAACTTCAGCTGTGGTTTGAAGTGTCCCTGTTAGCACTCGCTTTTATTTGGATGAGCGCGGGGACAGTTATGGTCAGTTCAAATATGCAATGGGAAGACAAAGAAGGTGCCAAACAAGCCCTGTGCAGATAAACATGTCTACAACTTGTGAGGTTACCGCGCCGCTACTTTGGTGGAGCACGTTTGTCACGGTAGGTATGCATAGGTGTTGTTAACGAATTCAAGCCGCCAAAAAACGCGAGAGCAGGTCTCTCTGTTCTGGTGTGGTGCGATTGGGGGTGTCTTCTTCCTCTTGTCTATCGTCCTTATACCAATGTTCTTAGCTGGAGGGAGAACCCCACAGATATTGTAACTAACAACACGAATTTATTGTCGACATGCGACAATGTTTCGCAACGCTATTCGATGTACCCCTTTACCTGCTATCCCATTAACAAAATGCCACTATAATAAAACAATACAGCGGTTGCATGTTGCAACAGTGATTGATTCTACACATCTTGGGCAAAAGTGCACTCGCGCGCATATCAGCTGATGCGCTCTGCGCCTTTATGGTACCAATACACATAATATTACACTACATGCGCATAGTTGGTTGTTTACCTCCACTCGCGAAGTTCCCCTCTGGTATTACAAAATCGACGAGATGACCTGAGGAGTTTCATATGCACACGACATTACTACTTCGCTTCACCCAACGAAAAGAAACAAGCCATGCAGCATAGTACAACTTTCTGATGCAAACCCTGTAACGGACGCGTGCGAGGATAGCCGCATACCATTATGATAAACACAACGACGCGGTGAAAAAAGCAAAAGTGCCTTGGAGTCATAAATTACGGTCCCTCTACATCTGCGCACGGCAGCCTCGGCAGCTTCAAATGATCCAAAACGAAGGACGAAAAGCCCATCATTATTCAGCACCAAACGATTCATGAAAAATCTGCATCAAGGCAAAACCGCACAGCAAATAAGGGGCACTGAGAGTCAGTGTACTACAAAGTACTGAAAATCTGATACAACAGCATGGCCATTGGTGGACATGGAGTTCAGAACTCAACGAAGCCTACTTCTTAACTACATGATGACCCAGGTCACAGTTGTTTGTAGTCAAGCCGAACAGGCTGCCGAAATTCTGCCGATCGCCTATGCCTTCCTGAGCGCACAAGCTGTCCTCATAGGGGGCAGGGCTTCGGCTGCACGTGCATTTTGTTGTCAACTCCTACGAATCGGTACCACCGGTGCACGATGCAATGGAAAAACTGCATGCGAATATGTGGAACTTACCTCCATCGGTGGCCTTAGTGCGCGAGGTACAAACACGTTTTCATCAGTAAAGACAGAGACAGTATTCTGCCACTGGTATGACTCATCGTTAGCCCCTGCACATAGCGATATTCCCTTGGCCTTGTGCTCGCGCTCGTCGGAAAACCGGACTCTGTCGAGGTCAGCAATATCTATTTTTCCCTTGCTCGTCCCAAAACGGCAATCTAGTGTAGTATCGCTGCTTCCGTAGTTTAGTGTCTCGCTCCCTGGCACATTAGGAACAGCGTCTACAGAAGGCACTTTCTCGTGCAATGGCAAGACAAAGAACGGCTCTGGTGCGTCCGAGCGCGCTTCAACAAGGAGTTGGTCATAGCCAAACAGGCCTGGATTGGTCATGCGGATGCGGCAGGTGCCAGGCTTTTGTCTGTTATTTTCCGAATCCTGGACTAATGCAAATGCCAATATGCGAGCAATTTCTGGGGACACAGAAACACACATTGCTGTGAAATAAACACTACATCCCCCATAGCGTCAAAATCCACCACAGCCAAAAATGCCACACATCAGATCTGTTGAAATTATAGCCAAGTTCCATACCATCAGGAGTCAGAACAAAAGGCAAGTTTGTTGCGATGAGTGTCTTCTTGACTGCAGCATCTTCGGGATATACAAGGCGATCGATGCAGGGTACTCCAAATGTCCGAAGATATGTACTGCACGCGTTCTCTTTTTCCTGAGTTGAGCTGAATTCTGCAGGGTAGCCGTTGGCAAATACAAACACCAGCGGCAGTACAGGAGCGGAAATGAAAAGCGCAAATGTGTTCAGGCATCCTGTGTTCATGCTCTACCATGATTGTCGATTTTAGTTTCAATGGCGTTGGCAAAACTAAAGGGTTGTAAACCGGTTGTAGCATACCTGCTAAAGCGAAAATGGGGGAAAAGCGTCTCTCCAGCTTATCCTTAATGGCCTGTTCCCCCTTAGCTTGCATGGTATTCTAAACACACATTACCAATCGCAGTGGGATAGGGTGAGTTCGGCGTCAAATAATCTGTGTACTACACCTTCAAGAATGCAAATAAATAACGAACGGGTACGTACGTCATCTGTTTGATCAAGAGTTCGCAAGCGGTCATCAAAAATCTCCAAGTTTACAATCGTTCCACAGCCGGAAAATGCCTGCGAAGCAAACGAATAACAACCAGAACCTCTTAATCCTTTTAAAAGACGGGCACTGCCGGTGAAAAAAAGTACCAGAGTCCGTGGGGCTTCACACCTTGCATATGACATCCGTTAGGATGTTGCGGGGGGCGTGCGGAAGGTTTGAAAGAAACACAAGATTCTTCGATCTGGTGCCAGGTGTAGGAATCGAGGGATCCTGCCAATCAACCACCAATTCCCCAATTCGTTTCTGAGAAGACAGTGCGTAAGAGGTGAACAGGATGGGTGGGTGAAACGGTCTCCACTCCCTACCATATCTAAAAATAGAGTAAGGGCCTCAAAATTACATTTCCACTGAGTTCGCAGAAGCTTATGCATCACTTGCCTCGGTCAGACGTGTCGGCGTTGGCGGCCTTGTAGCGATTTCCCTCAAGTATCCCTGTGAATCTTCCGCTAGAGGGGCTGTATATTTAAATCGCCTCTGCAGCTCACTCTCACACGTTGCTGAGCCCGTGCGGTCTAGACGCCTTAAATTCTGCTGGGCTCGTTGAGCGCTCAAGATCTGGGCCCCTACGGTATAGTCGCCCATAATCGACTGCGGAATGCCGTCGCCAACTTCATCTTGCTGACAAACAGAAGAGAGGCAAGATTGAGTATCAGCGAGTAATGTGCATTCAGCATCTGCAAAGAGCCCTAAACTAATAGTTTGCCGAGCATAAGAAACCGTCGGTGCCCCTGTTCGACATGTATTCATTCATGGGCACAAGGCAAAGGGCTGTAGTGGGCGTACGATGCAGATACGCTCTGCTGATACTTTGGAAAGCCGTAGAAAATGATGCGGATCCACAATATCGAGGCTATCCGAAAGGAGCTTCGTGAGAGAGTCCCGATGCTCCTCTGAGGAAACACGCACACACACACACACACACACACACACATACACACACACACACACAAGCCAGTCAGATCCTTTCCTTTGCGTCGGTTGCCCAATGCTTGCGGGGTGGTGCATAAGCAAAGCAAGTTCAAAGACGTAGCGGGTAAGTAAAAGCCTCCAAAGTGACTCTCACATACGTGGCACGATTTTCCCGATATCTCGAATAACAGTAAGCTTGTTCTGCGCACGTGGAGTCTTCTTTAGCCCCTTGTACGCCTTCAGGCGCATAGCCACGCGCTCAAGCTGGCGGTCGGTGAGGCACTCTGAACACTGCCTGACAAACTGTGAGTAACTGAATCCACAACTAGAAGAGGGCCCATCAGATTCTGATTGCCCTCCCAAACCAGTGCTCATCTGCCTGATCCGCCTCCTTTGAACGTATTCGTCCCATCCGAGTTTGCAAGCTACACTGCTGCCTGCAGCGATCCCCCATATCTTAGAGTCTAGTCTCGTTAGAGTGACAGGGAAAAGCCACTGCCTACAAGAGAAGCACGAAGCTTTGCCTTCGAGTGCTGAATACCGGCCACCACGGCAAGTAAACGCCTTAAGGAGGTTGTGGTCCCTGCTTACAGGCAAGGCCTTCGACGGCTTCTGTATGGTCCGTGGGGAGCTGCATCCAGCACATTTAATATGCTGTTGACACAGTGCCGAGTGAAGAGTGGAAGTCGCAAACGACACCAAGTGGCATCGCCGCCGTGGGGCGTAAGCAATGACTTCTTCAACATCAAGCTTTAGGAGCGGCGACAAAGCAGCGACGGAGCACATGGTTTTGTGCAATCATCAGAATTTCCATAAATTGCGACTCATCAGGACTAAATTGATCGGAGCTCGCGGGAGAGGACCACGTAATACCTCTAGGTGGGGTAGAGGGCACGGATATGCCCCTTTTCTTTAGCTGAATACAGAGCCTTCAAGCAAAAATGTTTCTGCGCATTGTATTGTTTGTTGCAACATGTCCCACAAACGAGGCGTGTTCACTTGTGTATGCGTTCGCAGACTGCTTCAGGCAGTCACCTCTCCCTCGCATGCCGTGGAAGCATTTGAGGGATTCTGAACTGCAGTTGCAAAAAGTGCTGTGATCTGTGGACCAAAGTCTTTGAGCTTACTGGGTACTTTCATGTTGGATCCCAGCTTTCGACTCCGTCTTAGATATTGGATGTCGCTCTCGAAGTCACCCTGGAAGAGTCCCAGGGCCTCTCCTAATATACACCCAAAGCTGCATGCCACCATCGCCGCTCAGAATCTTGATGTATTTAAATGCTTACAAACTGCAAAAATGGGACCAGGTTGATGCAGAGACTGCCTTCTCTGACCATTCCACAGTTCTGTGTCCCTTCTCGTGAAACAAGCCGTCTCGAAGTTCACAGTGTATGGGTGACTTCCATCATTATTTGCCATGTCTAGGGCATGGATAAGCAGCAAAATGCCTTATAAGTCGCTGGAGTGATACCAGGTACACCGCAGATGTAAGCACGCACATCCTCCCACGGCCAATAGAAGAAAATCCTAAATCTCTTCTTGCGTGCAGGGTAACAAAATGGGGCCTTCCACCAGGGTACACAGTGCGGTATACGTTTTGTTACCACAAGTGTCGGTACAAGCTGTGGACGTGCGGAAATCGTTGCTCCTATCGTTATCTTCTGCCGTTTTAGCGGCTTGAATTACACCTGCACGCATTTAACCAGATATAATGTACAACTGACAGTTAGCAACGAATTTGCTCATTAATGTTCCTGTCCGTATATCGAATTTAATACAGGAGCCTATAAGCTCAATACAAGAAGACGCAATGTGTGTTTTTGTGCACGCTAGATGATGTGGGAGACAAACTGGGAATGCTCAGACTGCTTAGAGGGTTCATTGTGTCGGAGCTCTGAGTGCGACGAAGAGCGGAAGGCGCAAGTTTTCTAAGGAAGACTCAAAAATATTCTATCAAGCATGGCCGGTGTTTGTTGTTAAAAGTCTTCACACAGAGGTCTTGGTAGGAGCTTTTCCGGTGGCTGCAGTGTATGGCTCAAATGCAGCTGCTCCGCGCTCATCCACTGGCAGTGAATGCAGTGCAACATTAGGCCTCCAGCACAGCAGTTATATGGCTATGATTAAGTCATTTGTTAATTCAGCAATTTGATTTTGGCAATAGGTTGGTACTATCTCTCCATAGACGGAGACAGACGATTCTATCACGCACGTGAAGGGCAGCAGAGACCTGACTGAAAAGTAATGAATGCAGTAGCTACAAAGCTGGTAGCAAGGCATGACTTGTTGGTCGATAAGCGGTAATGGATGCGTCCACGAGGCTAAGCCGACCAGAAAAGTATCACGGTTTTAAGGATGGGCAAGGACTGACAGTTTTCCTCAGGGGGTCAAAGACGTACCTCACTCTGTCCCACCAGAGAAAGACAAAGGGATGCCCTTCGCGGCTTTGATAGGAGGCACAGCGTTTCAATTGTGAACTAATTCATAAAGGGAAAGTCGTCTGCAAAGCTTACTACAGTACAAACCATACGAGCCTTGACTCATCGGGTTTTGCGGAGATCTGCTCAACAGAAGGCTCTGGCAGAAGTGAGACAGTCTCACCGAGGGAGTCGCTATCACGAACTCGTTCAACCGAGAAATATGAAATGTTGTTTTCAATAGCCGTGACGCAAACAACAGTTGCTTTATCAATGGTTAATCTCAGGTCTACCTGATGTGTCAGGTCAGTCGGTCCGATGTGGGCAACGATCCAGCATGTAAACACTCAAAGGATGTAGCTCTTTCATATGATAAACTAAGTTAGGTTCCGGAGAAGAGACGCCCACTTCCTGCGTCTTTGGACAAAAGAAAAGCCAAATCAGGATGTAGAACATATGGATTTCAATGATGCATTAACAAGCTCTAGTCTACGGTGTAATGCCGACGGGAAAAGGGAGCCAGAGGCAACCCGTGCTCCTAGCAGCAAAAGATAAACCCCACAACGAATCTGCTATTCTGGGAAATCAGGAAGTGCAACCGCATGCGAAGAACCAAACAACTTAATCCACGGGACTCGTCCCGGCGGAACCATGCTGCTTGGTGAGCAAAGAAGGTGCATTAGTGAAGTGCAAAACATTCCACCCAGGCGGTGACAGGGTAAAGGGGGCTAAAGAGGACTGAGTCGCTTACAAGTACTCACCACCGGTCGATTCTGCACTTGTACGAGTCCACGTAGTGGTGAAAAATTGCCAGCAATATAGAATTTGACACTGGATGCGAAGTGGATTCGCTAATCAAGGAAACCGTGCCCGATTGTATTTAGGCTGTTTACTTGCTAGTGCAGTCCATAAGCCTCATAGTCGCTGAGAGCCAGCAGAACGCAAGGACTGGCAAGGCTACTTCAGTTAAATGCCAGCTCGACTCGGCATTGGTCCTAGCAGTAGGTCGGTGACGTTTCTATTGAACCCGTGTGCCAGGCCGTAATTCTAAGTGTGCCATGGGTGACTCAATGGAAGGCGCGCATGCGTCCACAGCTGCACGCTGTGGAGGTCTGCGTGCTGGAATGCGATAGGAAGCGACGCTTCCTGGTTTCTTGCATAGCCTCTCTTAAGCTATGATGAGCGGGGTAGAGTCAACGCCTTACCAAGGTGAAGCAGAACCTTTGTGCGGGCACCTCAGCAGCGCAATAAGAAAAGACGGTAGTGAGCATGCATCCCGTCTTTGTGACTCTGTAACTGAATCTTTACTAGGGAATTTGATCGAGATTTTGGCTGAGAACAGCGCGAATGGCACACATGAAGGTTCGCAAATGTTCCAAGTAGTGACAAGCTGCAAGCAGGCTAACTTCCTGATGGCAGTCAAGCCCACCGTCGGACCTAAATCCACGGGTCGTTACCATGCTATGCTCGGCGATATGTAGGAGCTCCATAGCATACGGAGGAGATGCACTGATAGGAATATGATTTGTACACGTGCGTTAGCGTTGGCCCCTCTACAAGATTACTGTGAAGCAGTCCTCGATGTATAATATTGGCTTATTACCCGAGAAACTACATGGATCAGCAGTTGACTTGCCACTTGAAATCTCATTCCTCTTTACTTATCTCCTTTTACCTTGATAACCGAACATGAAACTGTGGCCTACCGTCGCACTTAAAAAGGGGGGTATTCCTGTCCGTCGAATGGGCATGTTAATGCCCCAGCTGAGCCGCAGGAGCACGCAGATCGGGCTCCTTCTGAGCAAATCAAGCTCGGGTGGATGGCTGTCTACATGCTAGCGTTTTGATATTCAGCTGAAATATTCAATAGAGCGTACTTCGCCTACGGCGTGAGCTTCAGCCGTCGCGGGGCAAGAAATGGTAAGTGAGGGAACCAAGTGTTAGTAGTTGATAAAGACGATTGTGGTTTTGTGACTCCGTATTTTGGGCGCAGGAATTGAGGCAGTTCTGGCAAGAAATGAAGCAAAAGAAAAACGTGGCTATTACCTCTGCGCACCTGCAAGGACGAAGCAAAATTCAATATGATGGTAGCCTATTACAGTAAGTTTACCCTATATTTGATCTTACAGCTGCTCCTTTGGCTAATATACTTATGGAAGCGCATGCTATGAGGCGGGCAGAAGCCTGATGCCGCAGAATGGTTATAAGCCGCCTTATTCTATTACATTTGCTTTGCCGGCTTATGCGCGCCAAAATTTCGGTCCTCAGATGCTAGTAACATGTCGGTGGGTGCAAGAACGCGCAGGCTGTGAGATAGATAGAAGAGACTGATGCCGCAGCTAGGACGCTTTGGGGCCGCCTTACTGCTTCTCCCACAGGTGCATTGCCAGCTTAAAAGCGTCTTATATTTCCGATTTCCGGATACTAGTGACACAGCGGTGAGACCACTTAGCTCCCAGTAAGCTACGGGTTTTTAAAAGCAGCAAAATTACTTGTTCTTATCATTGTTTCACCAAAAAACAGCAGCAGTGTCTAATGCAGAAAAATTTACGCGGTGTAGTGAGGCGCGAAGAGAATGCCGACATTATTGATGATGGCTATATCTTGCTCTTTAGACGGACTTTCAGTATTTAATGTCTCCTATGAGGAACTTCCAGGACATTGATAACCCTAGAGTGGCTCGCTCGCTTGGGAGCTTTCTGCACTGCGTTACAGCGAAGTTGATCACGGGTGCAGCCACTTTGGTTGCCGATTAGCTCCCGTGATGCCCCAGCAATTCTCTAATGTGCAGCGCAAATGCCTTTGTCGGTGATGGTTCAAATTTATATCGCGATTGCGTTCTTCTCAAGCTCTCGCCGCTCATGCATCCGCGACTAGTGCCCAAATTCAGCCAGGCAACGGGGTGAAGCACTGACACGTTGTGGATGGCCTGCTATGATGTAACACAAATCGAAAAATCCGTAGCCCGTACATTTCAAGTTTTCTACGGGCTGCTTTGCTTAAAAACACGACCATGCACTTTCAGGCCACACTGGAATCTACACCACCATGCAAAAGCCGTTCGGTCCTTCTGGCGGCCTGGGATGTGTCCCACGGAAAAGGATTATGCACTGACATGCTCATATTATCAGCACCTTAAGTGTCAAGTTTTCCTGATTGGGCCTTTGCAAAGCCTCCATTTCGTGAAAAGAATCTGGACAGAATTGATTATGAACTTACTTGCAGGACTCGTAGAGGACCCAGCAAAAACGTTCGTTTCGCCCTCTAGCTTAAGCTCTGTGACGGCTCAGGGAGTCTCCAACTATTCTTGGCTCATGTCTGATGGCTTTTTCGATTCCATCGACGTAGCGCGACCGCTAGAGGTGCGCAGCTCGTTGGTAGTCTTTTTTGGCGTGGGACTACCAATAGACCATTCGTGTGACCCCTGCAAACTACTCCAAGGCGCAAAGAGAGAGAGCACCTACCTAACTCTTCTGCAGCGTTTGCAACTCCATGCTCATGAACGTCAGTGAGGTCCCTCGATTCCTCCCTTGTGCTGAGTAGGGGCTATAAAAGAGCAGTGAACGGGTCTACCCGTTAATCGCTTCCATCCCTGCTTTATAGCGAGGAGCCCCTTTCCTATCCGCGGCTGTACTGGTAACCTGGGATCAGCAGCCACCCTAAGATGCAGCAGGGTTTAGAAAAGAAACTGAATTACGCACGCGAATGTATGCGTAAAGCTCAAGAGAGCCAAGCAGCGAATAATGGTAAGCGGAGGTTGGCTGTGTAATTCGAGGCTGGATTGTTTGAGGCAGATCACCAGGCTTACTAGGTGCACCAATAACTTGCCAGAGAAAGACGTTTGAGGCCAGTTAAGTTGCACTGAATAGGTAGTGAGCCACAAATAATCCTTTTCTTCCTCTATGGACTTCGCCGCAAAATGGCGGTGCCGCAGAAATATCAATATTGCTTCCGAACGGAGCGCTCCAAAACTCTCACTAATTCTTGGACTTCGCTACGCTGACAAGTGACATGTTTGTAGGCAACGGGGTAGTATGTAACCGTGGATGTGCTGGATGCTAGGACAAACGAGCACCGAGGAAACATTTGGCACGAGTTCCTAGTAAAAATAGGGTAGGGCATGCCAGCCCTAATGGCTGACGGAGGAGCAGTTGCGGGCTTCATTACCTGCGGAAGACTTTGCGTTCTTGCTTGGCTTACAACGCTAGTCTCCACGCAAAGAAAATCTCGTGCTTCTCTTTAGTTGTCCTTCCCCAGCAAAGGCTTGGCCTCAACTAGCTGCCTTCATGAATATCTGATGCCTGGAAAGTTGCCGTTCATTGTTGTCCACATGTTCTCTGCCTCCAGGTTGGTTGGCAGGCACTCCCAGTTACCTTTCTGTTACGTTCTTCCATTTGTCTCAGTCTAGGATTGGATCTCGACTGAGCTGTATGGGCGAGCTGCACTGGCATGCAGACGTTTCTCTACTACGTGATGACGTACTGCTAAGCTAGTGTGTATTTTGATGCCTTTCGAACCTTCTATTTGTCCTCTGCTTCCACGCAACCGGAAGCTCTCACAGGGACAGCGAGCCACCGCGCCTCAGCGGTCATGGTAGCTTGGTCCCTCGTTCGCTGGTGGGTCATATGTGTATCTTTATCCCAGTCAATTAATTTTGGTTGATGCACACATTCGCATTTCTGATTGAAACGTGCTTCTGCTTTCTGCCTGCCTCTGGAGTGACGAGCGGGCGTGAGCTCTATTCCAGTCCCGCACGCAGCTCGTTTTGCGCGAGGAGTGGAAAACGAGGGCACACGCTGTGATTGGGGGTGGAAGGTGTAGCGGGCTAAAATACGCTCAAATGCACTCTATTACACCGGTCCTATTGAGCTAAGAGTCACTCAATAATTGACGAATTGGTTTGTTTCTTTGTGCATCTGATTCAATGGAGTTTACTGGGCGAGGCAATGCCACGGACATACATCTATGCTGTAGATATCACTTGAAATTAGATGCGAATGGTTAAAGTGATCAGCTAGTGCAGCTCTCCCACGCTAGCTGTCCTCTCCTTACATGGGACCTCTGAGGGGCGAGGGCAAGGCAAGGTTGGAGTTCGTTAGAGAAATTCGAAAAAATGTTCTGTTAAAGTTGCCTTTAGTATGCGGTTGAGCTTGTCCCTGTAGCGACCTTAGATGTGTCGTTCTACAATTTCGCATTGGGAGACCTTTCTGGCCTGATACACAGTAGAAAAGCCTGATGAAACGTTCTTCACTGTCCCTGTAGAAGCCCTCTGCCATGTCTGTGGCTTTGCCCTAGCATTTCTAAGCACTCTTCAAGCAATCGCTTTCATGAAGTTACATGGAGCAAGCCATTTCTTCAAGTAGGCTAATATTGTTGATTCAATTTTTTGAATGTAGCTAGCTCTCTTCTGCAGCAAATATTATACTAATACTCGAACCCAATTGTTCATTCTTTACCTATTGTAATGTCAGCGTCACTAGTTGTAGCATAAAGCACCAAAATGGAACGTAGTCTGCCATGATGCCTTTCGGAAGATTGACAAGGTGTGACTGCCACTGAAGTTTGGAGATGGAAGTTCTTGCTCCCCAACTGACCCACATCCTTTTGGACGGAATCCCATGTTGGCACAGGGTAGCTGGAGCACAGCTATTTTCGAGCATGTAAACAAAAACTTTTTGGGCCCTGATAGTGGTTTTGTGAAGATTAGTGTAACTTTTGAAGCCAAAACAACTCAATGAGGGTTCCCGCAAAATTCAAGCCACACCACGTGCAATGTTTGGAATGCAGAATAACTCAAAACCCAAGTGAGCATACAATCATTTCAAATATAATTGCTGGTCGGCCTACACAGAAGCTGGAGCACTCTAGTGGGTATACCTCGGGTTTGAATGCAATGCTCCAGGCGGCTTGTATAGGTTGACAACACAGTTTTTCCCTAAGCTATAAGTGTCGTCCAGGGCCATTCGCCGGAGTGTATTTAAAGTGTGCTAATAAATGCGCTATATATGCATTCTCAGGAGGGGACCTACTTACAAAAAGTACAGGCTGGCAGCGCTGGTGCCAACAACGGTATTGCAGCGGTTCTTCTAATAGTTCAGTAAGCAAGACCAGGGCTTGGCTACAAACAGTGGCACTGAGTGCGTTGCGTAGCTAATGAACGCGTATAATTGATTAAAATGCTCATTTACACTGGTAAAACCGTGTCGGGGCCGTTTTTTTGCACACGCGCCTTACTGCCCTTGGTCAAATAGTCTTCAAATGGAGATCGATGCACCCCACCAAGTTGACCCAGAAATTCATTGAAGCACTTCCGCTTTACTGAAGATGTTTGCTTGCAGCACCTCCATAATTGCTTGATGGATGCTCCCATGGAGTCCACTGCGAAGCTCTGGGCATTTTTCTGGTCGCGGTCCCCTGGGGTCAATCAGCAGGCTATAAAATAGCGCAACAGTATTTCCGGGGGTGCTCCATGAGCTTCAGCACGTATAGTTCTCCAGACAATTGCATATTCATTTTTAAAGGTGTAGGTTTAGTGTTAGTGGTCTGATAGCCCTGGTGTGAACCATTCGGGAGCAGCACAGCTCCTGGGGGACAAAAGTTACTTCCGGTGCCGCCTGGGATTGGAGGCGAGGAGGCGTCATGCGTTCCAGGAGTGCAGAAATATCAACCTTTACCTAGCAGTGAAAACCTAAATCTCTTTTGGTAAAGAGTACTATGCGAAGGATTCGCGTTCTATTCCCTTTAATTTGAGTTCCCCGCGGCTCTGCGCCTCGGGTGGGGTCAATTAGGACGCTGTACTTGGTGTCCCTCGCAGTTTTCTTTGACAATCCTCGCGCACTGCATTCCAATAAAGCGGTTTCAGCCACCACGTCATTATTAATGTATTCTCTGCGGTTGCGTTGCTGCGAAGAAGACAATGGAAGGTCATTTCACGACAACCAGCCATGCCATTGGGAGAGTTCGCCGCACCACTTGCAATTTCGAGCATGAGAAAGGAATTCGAGCTACGGGCCAAACGTCATATCAGGTACACAAAGGCGCAGTTCCCATCAGCCAGGGTAGCCTCAGGCATGCCTTTGGGTCCTTTTCATTCGAGCCCCGCTTCAATGTTTTTCCGCCTAGTTGCCGGGGTTTCCAGTCGGTCCCAGCGTCATGCTCTACTTCCAGATCGGCATCTGTATCAAGCTCCCGAGCATCAAGCGGTCAGAACACCCCATCAATATCTCGTCAGCAGTCCTTTACCTTTACCCCCCCTTCTTGGCAGGATGCTTCGTTTGTGGCTTGGAACCCCCGACAAGCAATACCCCGGCTGGAACGCTCCATATCGACTCCGAAGCTGCCTCACCAACGAATTCTGGAGGAAGCTGATTATTATAGGAGAGACATGGGCTCCGGGGTAAGGTATCCGGCAGCCGCTCCGTCCCCTGTGGCCGAGATGTCCGAGACCGCAATGCCTGTGCGCAGGGAACCTTGCATTGTTGGCTGGGATGAAGTTGAGTACTCAAAGGCAACAACATTTTCCTCAGGAAGAAAAGTCTACAGCTGCACCTACTGCAACACTCCACTGAGGCGGGTGAAAAATTACATTATGACTTGGACAAAAATCCTGTTTTGCCAGGACTGCAAGAGCTTGCCACAGTGCAACGCATGCAACAAAAAGGCAGTGCCGTTCATCTACACAGATGCCAACGGTCTTCGAAGAAGGGTTGAGCCACTCTGCAACTTTGGAGGCCTCAACATCTGCGGTCAGTGCGCCCTCATAAATCCTGTTACCGAGCGTTCAGTAGTACTCGATCTAGTCAAACGGGCACGGGACCTCTTGCAAAAGCTTTTTGCAGTCAAATTTACTGAGCAGTTGCTCGATGCCCACACAAAGCCGGAAGTAATAATGTGTTTAGAAACAATGCGCCTGGCAGGGGACTCGAACGGCCCCTACACGATGAGAGTGGATTCAGAGATTTCCAAGAGAGAGCCAAGCGTCCTCCGGAAGACAAGTTCTGGGGAAGTCGCAGAACTGCCATTTGACATTGGCCCTGTGTGGCACATACAGCTGTCCCAAGATGGGAACCAAAATGTATACGGTCGGTGCGAAAGCAGGGCTTTAACATTTCCTCCTCTCCTGGACGCCCTAAGAGCAGATGAAAATGCCGGCAAATCTCCGCGAACATATCGCGTTGTGCAACGAATCATGCTTTCTCGGGGTATGCCAGAAGGACTTATATATGGGCACTTGATCCACGAACTGCTCCATGCATTTATCTGGCTCTTCCTGGACAGTAACTCTGTTATGGTCGACCTTGCAGCGGAAGAAGGCCTGTGCAACTGCATTCTGGCGGCCGCTATTCAACAACGCGTAGAAGCGCTTCAGGCACGCAGAGAAGCGGTTCGCAATGCCCTACTTCGTATCGGAGTGAAGCCAAAGACTAATCCCGGAGAAAAGGAAGTGAAAGGAATTCCACAAACTGCAGAGTTCCTTAAAGCCCTCGTCGAAAGGGAGGCCTATAGTGTCTTGGCTAAGGAGGAACAGACTAACACGGAGCTTCTTGGGGGAGCTCAGCAGACTGGCTTCTGCCTAGAATATCAGCTTTACGTGACGGAATATGAATTAAAAGTACTGAACAGGAGGCTTGGTGAGATGGAAAAGGATTCAGATGCAGCCTACGGAGTCGGCTATCGGACTATCCGCGAACTAGCCATGAGTTTGACAGTTGTTCGGCTCATTGAAATCTTGGGGCGGCACGGTGAGAAGCTGAGCTCTGTTGTGCGCGCTGCAGCGGCAGTCTAGAGAATAACCTTGCTCTTTCAGCCCCCTATCAAGCAGTTGCAAGTAGGGAAGGTCGTACAGCGTGCAAGTAAATGTAGTAACTTCATGCGCAACAGCCCTCCGGCAAGTCCTTAGAGGAAAGAGGACAGCCGCGATACCGGGCCTACACCGCTGCAGCGGTCGCATGCAATTCAGATCCCACTGGGCTTGACGAGTCCCAAACGCTTTCCTTTCTGAGTAAACAAACTCCTTAGATGAAAAGCAGCGAATCAGCCGCAATGAACGCACAGCCACACTAGCAAAGCATGTTTGCAAAAAGGAATTCAAGAGGACACGTTATGACAAGGAAAAGACGTACAGTGCGAAAACGATGAACAAATAGCCAAAGAATGCGCGGACTGTAAAGGATACACAGCCTTCCCAAAAAGCCAAAGTGTGACAGAAGGAAGCGAAAACCCCGCAGAGCTTCCTGCGCCCAGGTGGACCTTTTGCGTGAACGTCAGCTCCAAAGTTATGGAGTGCACATAGCCTAGCCGGCGCCGGCACGTACTGATCACCCCACATGGGACCTATTTCTTGACTGGATGGCGGAGTATCGCTACCTGGTTCTTGATGCACAGCCCCGCACTCTCGCGTAGAGGCTTGTTCTTCACCCGCAATAGCCCTGAAGTTGTCAGAGAATTCCGTTTGAAGACTCTTTTCAGCTATCTCTGGGGACGCACGAACTGCTGCCGCCCCAGCCATCGAAGCGCGAAGGGCGCTACTGGCTAGCCGCGATACTTCGTCTGTAGGGTGCACTGCGGCGACCCCAGCATCATCCGAGGGAAGGCGATCTGTACCGACTGATCCAAAGCGGTCGCTTGCGGGGTCATGAAATACTTCTGCACGATTCGAAGGCTCCCCGTCGGAGGAGGAGCCAGCTGCACTTCCTAGAAAGCCCCTGCTGCGATCGCCTTGCAGGTAGGGAGCTGCAGTAGCAGAATTCCCCGCAGTAATGCCCATGATCTTGCGCGTGAAGTCGAGAACACGACTGTACTGCGGGCCAATATGCGTGTAGGAGCCTTGACAGGTGTCCACAATTGCACAAATCAACTCCTCAGGAGTCCACGTCCCCTTAATAGGACAGCGCGCTTTGTGCTCCCTGTTCTCCTCAAAGCGTCTTCCACTAGCCTCACGCTGCGTAGTCTCCAAGGTGTAGTTAGTAGATCCCAGAGTAGGCGTAGGGCCCGTGTCAGCTATTTTTACGGCCCCCAGCAGGCAGTACGCCTTAAGGCCTGTGGGGCGTCGAAGAAACTCGGAAGGAAGGGGGTAGCCCCCGTAAGACCAGCCGCGGCTGTCTGCAGAGACGCCACCAAAGCCCTTGCTCTGCAGCGCGTAGCAACAGGCGATGAGGCACAAGTCATCTAGCTCAAACATGTGCATGTTGCGACCAATGCCGGAGGCCGCCTGAAGGAAGATATCACGCGAAGGGATCCGGCAGAGAGTCATTGCCCATAAGACGTCGGCCAAAACAGTCCCCAGGGGAATCTCTGGCAACAGGTCTGCGACTGCATTGAGGACGCGGCCAAAGATCGCGGGGTTTTCCAGTGAGGAAACGCCCATGACGGCGCTCGCTCGGAGCCAGGCAGCTACTCCAACAGCCGAGCATTTGCCCAAGTGCGCCGAAGTTTGTTCCAAGAGCTGGACAGTCAGAGCCGGCCGCACAGGCCGCGATGCGAGGGCCAGAAGAAGCAAGAGCGCCAAATCGAAGTTACAGTTCCTGAGCCATTCAGAGAGACTCCCTGGGTTTGGCAACACGGCTGCGCACTCCGCGTCGCTGCAAATGGACGAAGAGCAGGCTTCGCAGGCAATGAGGGAAGTGCTCACGTCGAACGGCAGGGCCTCCCGCCGCCTGGCCCTCACCTCATCCCACAGCCAGCGCAGTAGCGAGGAATAGCAGAGATGCACACTTCTATGGGAATTCGACTTCGCCGCAGGCGCTGCACTCATACGCATGTGGTGGTGTCTGGAGAGGGTTTCGATGGCAGAGACTAAAAGAGCCGCCGAACTGCATGCCGCCAACGGGATCAGCGACGGAGTTCCGCCTTCCGCCGATTCACTGCACTCGCTTGACGGCTGCAAACTAACACGCACCCAACCAGATGGACAGCTGGACAACACGACGACCAGTGGATCGCTCCCTACACTTGCGCCAAGCCCTCCTCCTGTGGGGTCACCGGCCTCCCTCCTGGAGGAAGAGTTAGTCGCCGACAGCTGCGTAGTGCTCAAAACAGCGGAGCGCATCAAGGTATTCAGCAGCCTCACAACGACGCGGTCCTTTAAGCAAATAAGATCCTTTTCACCCGGTGCAATCTCGCGATCCGCAACGCAACACCATGGCAGAGAGGAACCCTGTGGAGCGGGAAGGCCTTGCGCGTACGAGGCAAGCGTGGCCAAGCATTCTACAACGCTCGATGCCGGTATCTGGTCTTGATCCATGTAGAGTTCCCTCAAAAATTCCACAAACCCCCTAACGCGCTCAGTCCTTGGGCCAGGCGCTGGAAGGGAGCCGGAAAATTCCACAGAGCTCCCCGTAAACCGTGGAAAATTTTGCTGCTTATTCTCCATATTTGCGTGGTCGTCCTGATCTGCTGCCCAATCAGCCGCTGGGGAGTGGAAGGCCTCCTGCGCGCCGGTGCAAGCTGCTGAGGGTGCTGCAAGCGCTGCATTGGGTTGCAAATGGTGCCGCTTGCTGGAAAGGAGGAGAAGCCGCTCGGCTGGGGTGTAAGTCGTGGGGAGCGCAAAGGTAGACGACGATGCCCCGTCTCTGCTGTCCTTCAACTGAGTAAGATACATCTCGCTTTGTCGGTGGAGGTTCATTGAGGAGGCAGATTCTGTGAGGCAGCTGGAGGCGAGGGGCGACCCCAGTGAGCGTTGCACGTGGGGCACACCTTTACGAATTTGGGTCAAGAAAGTGGAAGTGGGAGCTCGAAGGGCGGGCGACGGATAGTGTCTGCACATGTCTACAGATTCGCCAAGGCTGCTCAATTTCAGAGTCGATGACGAAAGTTCGCGCAGGCGACTAGAACCCTCCGACGATTCTGGCCTTGACTCTCGTACGGGCTCTGGTTGGGGAGCTGCATGAGCAGTGCGCTTGACGGTCAAAGGGGGCACGCAGGGAAGCAGCCGCGTATTTATATTTGAAGATGCTGAGAAAGGCCCGTTCCGGGTGCTCGTCGTCAGAAACCCTTGACTTTCGGCTAAGGAATTCAGTTTGGCCGTCTTGGTCAGCGAGTGCGTCGCCAGCCCGGCGCTCCCTGACCAGTGCGATACGCTATGCTTGCTGAGGAAGCCTGAGTCTGCATCACCTGGTGGCAGCGCATTCTGAGAATCGGAAAGAAGGCTTGCAACAGTTGAAACAGTTGGATTCAGTCCCCAAGCGCGGCTTGGGCCTGCATGGAGTGTTGCGCTGCACGATCCGCCGGTCTGCATAGGTTGGAGTGAGGGACTGTGTCCAGGATAGATGCCGGTCCCACCTGTCTTGCTGCCGTCCTGATGTGTGCTTAGAAGCTGCGGGAATAAAGTTGGAGGGTTCAGAGATGTATTCACAGACGAGCTCCACGAAGAATAACCGCCAGTGCTTGTTCCGTATGGTGCCGCTTGCTGGCTGTTCAGACCTGCGCCGGTGGACTTCCCATACAAAATCCCCGTATCCTTCGTAGCGTGTGTCTCACTCGTGCCGCTGCTGGCCAATTTAGTCGCTGTATGTCCGCTAACACTAAGCAAACCGGCGGAAGACGCAGACGATCCCACCGGATGGCGGCCTTCCGGGAGCCGAGACTTGTAGATGGGCTCCATGGTAGGAACGCTGCGCCCAGTTTCACCGCTATGCATGCATCGACCCTCCTCTACTCGCCGCTATCCAGCGCTTTGGTGCTTTTACGGTTGCGGCGCGCCACGCCGCCAACCCAGGGCATGAAGACACGCGTGGTGGTGAAAACCTCCCTCGTCTCAGCCCAACGGATGTCGAGCTAGGTGAAGAAAAAATCTGGCAGAGAATGTAGTCGGTCGATACCGACGGAGCTGGCTTTGGGATATTCGTCGCTGGTGGTGGTCGGTTTCGCGAGGGGGGTTGGGTAGACAGTCAGCAACACACGCTGCGGCTATCGGTCTGCCAACTACCCCCTGTACATAGTCAGTATGAGTAACATTCGCTGCAAAGTTGTCAAACAGTAAATATGCTTGGGCCGACAACCTGTGTGCCGCTCATTATGAAAGTATTCTCCCTGCCAAACGACCAGGAGAAGCCTCCGTGCATGCGTTCGGCCGCGCGACTTCACACAGATGCAGGCTTCTAGCCTTCCACAGCTCATCTCTACGAAGTTCCAAACTAAAGCAGCAGAGCATTTATAAATATAGCGAAGCTTGAGGCTGCACGGCTTCCGCAGCATCTTCATCGTTCAGCTGCAGAGATCTGACTTCCTCAACCACTGCGGGATTTCCTCTCTTTCTGTTTCTCGCCCTCGCGAATTGCGTGTTCCATGTGGCCAGTGTTGGTTAACCCCTTTGTGCTTTTAACTTTCTAGGGATTTCTCGAAAAAGTAGCTGCATTGCAACAACCGTAGCCTCTTGGCCTCCATCACGCATCCAAACACCAGCGGCGAGCGCTGTTCCAAGTGGCCTAGCAACTCAGTATGCGGCTACAAATAGCTGTGGCTTTTGGAATTGATGCAGTGGATAAACTAATTAGCCATTGATTCTGAAGTAGTTGTGATAGCCGCACCAGCAACGGAGGCCGGAAGGTTTGTTTATGATCTCGGGAGAGGGGATCATATGGACGATACGCATTCAGCAGTGGATGGCACGTCGAGTCGGCTGCATAACTGAAGCTTCGTACTGAGCCCTGTCTCCTGATTGAATATGGTGAAGCAATCAACATCGGTCAATAGGCCAGATGCAGCCGATGTATTGGAACTTCCTCCGGGAGTGCACAAGTAAGCAGTTAATCCGAATCCAGCATATTCTTGCAGCACTTTTCCATGATATGTTGGGCATTTGTTGCCATCAAGACGCCTTATTTTGAGTGTACACTGGCGGGATACTCCGTGAGTCTTTCATTAGGAACTCCTCGGTCATATATTTGCTTGCTGTGTGCAGAGTGGAATGGGTCCCTGATATGCGCTTTCCACTTTGTGGCACTTTCACGTTGTATCTGGAGGATTATACCGTAGGCTACCTACTAAGAAAGTACGCTCGTGCGAAGCTGTGACAGTGCTCCTCCACAATTCTCCGCCATCTTTGTCCTGGCGCTCCCTTCCTGCTGGACGGGGTATTGGCAGCATATTTGTGCAGCAATGGAGGTCAGGCACTGCCAGAAACGAGCTATACAGGAAGAAGGACGTTTTGTGCATATATGTGCTTATGCATACATGTGTGCGCTGGTACAGCGACCTTTTGCGGGATAAGCGCGTTAAGTTTGTTGGTCTTCGGCAGCCACACCCGCTCACTCCGTCCATTGAGCTCCGGATTCAAGCCATTGATGTGAGGTCTCTTACTCTATTCCAACTTGAATCCACATATATCAGATTGTAGTTTAAGGACCACAGTGCCTACTCAATCAAGTTCAAGGTTCTGTGGGGGTGTGCTGTGGCAGGCAAGCCCATTGCAGGTATTCATTGAAGCGGTTCGTCGCCAGCGGACGTGCCTTTCCCTCTTGGGGGCCTTATTCAAGGCCGCAGTAGATGCACACACCAGTACAGTAGGAGCGGTGGAGAGCAGACCAGACGCTCTCGGAACTGCCGGCTCTGGTTTTGATGATGGGGCAGGGCATACAGCGCCTGTCACTGGCCTTGAAGGCGAATCCAGCCTCAATTTTGTATAGGCTCTCGGGTATGTACCGCTGTGAAGGCACTGTACATGCCCTGTACCTGCTATTTCGAGAAAATACTTGAGATTTGGAAAATGCTTAACATGGACCTGCATATGCTAAACCTTCGGGAAGTAGAGCGTCTTAAATATGTGGATCTGCGGACTCTTGTTCTGTTTCTATCTGCTTGCAGAGGGCCACATGGTGAGATGAGAGCCTGGGACCGAAGCGAGGCATTACATGAAGGGTAGAATGCGGCTGCTACGTGCGAGCATCCAGGTGGTAGACACTTCACTGCTAAGCAGGCACAGGTGTTGGATGTGAGCGAACGAGCCCTTCGCGCGGCACAGTCGAAGAGAGTTAGGCTTTGGTTGGAGGTGGCGTACCATAATGTTGCTTGGCTCGCCCGCGTTTCCTAGAGCAAGCTTAGTCGAAAAGGCGTCTTGATTTTGGAAACTGGGGCCTCTGGGCGGAAGGGAGAGTTCTTTGGTAGGCGTTGCATTGATTCGTACTAGAGCTCGGCAGTGCTAACATATGCGGCATAGCCCGCATAGACGGGTTCGCGTAAGGGTTCAATATAGGTTTGTAGAACACGATATGGCATGCGCGCCAATTAGCGAGCCTTGTGTGGAGGTCGGGAGAGCTGCTTCCCTTTGGCTGCTTATCATGCGCGCTAGAAGGTTGAGTTGTACAAACATATTGAATGGCAGCACGGCTAGCTACGGTGGCCATACGTGACAGGCTCAGCGACAAACATTATGCAACATCCTGGGAATTTCCGCTAAGAATCAGTTTAAAATGGACAAATTGTTTAGCCCCTCGCACACTTCTGTTGTCCTCGACGCTGCAATCCATAAATTCAAAGCTGTAAGGATTTTATACCGTAGTGTTAGAAAACAACGAATTCTACTGGGCCACAGGTCCCCCCAAGAATGTACTTTTTCGTCCGTTAGCCACTTGTTCGGGACACGTGCGCTCATTAGAAATGCTGCTATGACGGCACTTCTGCTGAAAGCCTGGAATAGTTTTAAACTGCACGGGAGTTTTTCTGACGTGGCTCTTTACGCAGACCCGAGATGAACTACTGATGAAGCAGCTGCTGTCTGCGTTACGGCTTTTTGAGCCATGATTCCGTATTTCTCGGTGTACATCTAAAGTGATCGAGATCCCCTTGTTGAAAGCTGTCTCATTTCTGCTACAGCTTGCTGTTGGGCTATTTTCCGCGAAATCGATCAGTCAAAACTAGTAGGAAGTTTCAAACTGTACTAAGCAAGTGACTTCCTCTCTATAAACTGGTCCACAATTGAAACGTTTTGCCTCCCAGTGAACATGCCGCAAAAAGTACCCCTGCGTGCTGTTGTGGGACAAAGCGAGTACATCTTCAACCGGGTAATGAAATCTTCTAGTATTCCCCCATCCTTATAGCCGTCGTACTATTCTGGTCGGCATAACAGGATCAACACTAGTATAAGCAGACAGTCGGCTGACGAATCATGCCTTCATACGCATAGACTTGCGTGCGTTGTCCTTTACCCCCTTTCCTGCTTAAACAGGCGCATTTCGATTCGGAACCAGATAGTTCGGGGAGACTGCAGCTCGTCAGTGCGTAGGTAGTGCTTTCAAATCTGTTTGCAGGTAGACCTCTGCCGCCTTCAACCGGCGTTGTAGCACTGTCTACCTCCATTGCATGCTTTTATGAAGCCATTAGTTTAAAAGTTAGAGTGTTGAATTTTCAAATGACTTAATCGAAGCTGGAAGACTGTTGTAGAGAACCTGAGATTTGATAGCATCTATGGCCAGTGAATGAACGGGGAACAGTCGCATTAAACGATACATTGCTACCAACTGCGCTGCTTCATCTGTGGTGTCCATGGGTAGTCGCTCAACTCCAGCAAGGAGACAGACTGAATAGAAAACAATAAATGCTCTACAAAGGAAATCTTGCAGTTTCTTGTTCGCGCCCCTCATAGTTCCCTACATGGGGAAGCGGGAATGCTAGGGTGCGCATACATGGACCCTCTGGGCACTCCGAGTAATCACAGTTGGTTGTACATAGCATCTAGGCACATGCACGCAAAATTGCGTCCTCGTGCATCGAGCTCCCAGAGTTCCGGAATAAAAACGACAGTGAATATGCAAACCAACCAGACAGTTTTTTGTATTAGCTCTTAATCAAACATAAATAGTATAAAGGTTTAGAGTTTACCTCAGCCCGTTGCATTGCCCCCTTGGAAGAGGATGCCCTGAGTTCATAGAACTTGAAGGAAAACATCATACGAAGCCCACAAGCAGCGCTCATCCAGATGTACGACTGGGTTCTTTGGTTCCGGCGTCTATAGTTTTGGCAATAGGCTATCAACAGCTGCAGCAAAGCTGTCACATATCTCCCAAAAAAGTTGACACTCTTCCGTTCGCCCAACCTGCTATATCTACAGCCTGCGGATAGAGGGACAAAAGGGATACATGTAGTACATTTGCTCTACAGTCTACGTATTCGCTCGCAACTGCACAATGTAAGCCAGCACATTCGCAATCCACGTACTCCGTACATAGAGTGACCATAATCCCACTCCGCCAAAAGGCAACACACGAACAGCCAAACTGCACAGCCAATTGTAAGGAAACCTAATGATGTAAATTAGTCTACAGGGAGCTCTACATATCAAGAAAGAGCAACCTGCAACACACGTGAAGTGCTTAAGAGGCCAACAAACAACAGCAGCATCAGAGTAGCCAAGTTGGGACCAAGAAGAATCTCCTACAGTTCTTACACCTGTCCACAGTGCTAATTACTTGGAAAGAATGCCCTGAGTATGGACCCATAATGACCCCTGATTGCCCAGGAAAGCTTCACCCCGTATTTGGCTACCGAGGCCCTCCAAGACGCACAGGCGTTAGTTCTTTATCAAGTGGGGGGAAAATTCCAACCCTCTACAGCCTCCTTCCCGTGAGATAGGAACTAAAAGGCACCTTATTCCAAGTGAAGGGCTTCCAGCCTCTTTGCAGCCCGAAGACCTACACTTCAAGGCGCTATACGAGTGAAGTGCTCTTCTAACCACTTTCGGCACCCAGCACATTTGAAGTGCGAACAAGAGCTTCATACACGAAATCTTTGGCGGGATACCAGGTGGGAAGCCAACTCGATTACCGCGCGTACTTCGCGGTCAGTGCTTGCCTTTGGGGCTGCTTCCTGAACATTGGCTTGATACAAAAGCACTCCGCATGCACAATATCCAGCTGATACCATTGAATCTTACCCATAAGTAACAAGATATGTACAATGCGGTGAATGAGATGGAATTGCTATACTATTAGGTTTAAGGGCAACCGCTTTCCAAGAACTTCTGCACATTTCTCTTGGAGGTCTTTTTCCTGGTTTCCCTGCCATTTGCTAGAGCTGCGTGCAGCGAGTTTTGTGCGTTTTCTCTATAAACTGAATTTTGGGATCTTTCTGCAATTGGTTTCCTTTCAAAGGGAACAGCAGCCTGACGAGAGCCCCACCCGCCGCTCGTTTGAGTGCGAACGGGGGTGAGGATGGGTGACAACTTGGATGCGTTTCTGGAAGATATCCTTTCCTTGCCTCGATGGGTCAAGCGCTCTCTTGCGTTGCTACGTGAGCTTGACGCGAAGTGCGAAGAATACAGCGAAGATGCGCAGCGGCGGAGGAGCCGGTATCTGGCGATGGCCAGAGCAAAGCTGCAGTCATACAGTGGCCAGCAGGTGCCCGAGGCTCTCTATAATGACCCGGAACTTGAGGCGGAGGCGGGAGCCGCTGGCAACAGCAGTCGTGAGGCTCATGCTCTAATGAAAGAAAAGGTGGTGGTGCTGAATCAGCTCCTCCGGGTTCTTCGTGGGGAAACGGAGGGCTTCAAGGTATCTCTGGCCAAGTTGGCGAAAGAGGTTGGCGGAGAGGAGATGACTCGCGTCGCGAGGCGGAAGTCAGACGACACTTTGGGCCCCTGTGCGGATCGCCCGGAAGATTTGGCTCATCGCATAGGGCCCCTTGCGGCACCGGTCCATGGGACGCTTGTTACTCGACGAACCTCTCTTCGAGGTCGATTGGGGCTGTCTTCTGCGCCTACAAGTGGATCCGTTTGCTGCAAAGACGACTCTGGTCTTCTTGGACCTCCAGAAGTCCCTTCAGATGCAGTTTATGCCTTTTCCGCGGGCGGGGCCCCCCCTTCATCGGTCGCGGGCACCAGCCGCAGCCGCCCCATCAAGAAGAAGGCAGCACGGAGCAACAGCGCTGCAGCATCCGGCTTGGATGCAAACAGCGCCATCAAGCGGCCTCACCCCCCTTCGGCAGGGGGGCCGGCGGCGAAGAAGCACCAAGCAAGCGAAGCGTCTCCGTATGCTGGTGTGTCTGAGGACTGCAGGTCGCAGATGCCGTGTGCGGGGGAGGAGCGCATTGGGGATGGTGGTTTCGTGGGAATTTCTACGAGCTCCCCATGTGGTTCCAGCACAGTATCAACCCAGCAAGGGCTTCCTGGTGGCCGTGCGAAGCGCTTCAAGCAGCCTCCCAATACGACTCTCCCCGCCACGCAGCCTGCGGATTCTCTGATGGGGTCGCTGTCGACTCCCGAGGTGTATGGGGATCAGATGGCGGTAGGGCGATCTGTGAGGGGCAGTGGGAACCGCATGCACAAGAAAGGCAGAGACTCGCTTTCCGTCGTGCCGCTGGGTGCGCTGAATGATGCTGTACCGGGGCAGACGCTCAGCGCGGTGCAGTTTGAGCAGCCAGGATTAGAAGCGCTTGACCGTGACACCACCAGTAGCGTTGGACAGCCGCCGGGAGTACTAGTTAGTCTCCAGCAGGGTCTGCCGCACCAGCAGCACCAGTTGCTCATCGCGAAAACCAAGTCACCTGCAGAACGGGGACCTACCCATAAATCCACCCCACGCTCTCCAACAGGGCGCCCAGGTCTAGCGCGGACGGGCCTAGGTTGATTAGGGGCACACGCACTACCAAGCAATTCTTGAGTAGGAGTGAGAGCTTGAAAGCTGCAGTAGGAGACCAGACAGGAGAATCTCTTGAACCGTTCGGATACGTGGGTAGGAGGCACGGCAACTGCTCCCTCAACACGTTGCATCGTCCCTCGTAGAGAACGGACTGCACCAGGATGTCGTTTTGAGCGGCAATGCTTGGGGTGGTGTGCCACTAGAGAACGGCGTGTCTCTACGGGTTCCTCTTCTTGTAATCCAGGCATTTGCAGCAGCGCAGTTGGCCGTAGTTATGTACTCTCAGGAAGCGGCATGGTTGCAGCTTGGGTTAATCCGCCTTCGCGGCGCTCTCTTCTCTGGACGTTGGAGTTTTTGCAGCAAGGGCTCTCTAAAACTCTGACTGTTTTTACCCACGTTCCCCCACGCGATCTCACCCTACCCTGCAACAAACTGCACGCCTGCTCCCCTCAGTGGTCACAATGTAGAGGCTTCACCTACCTACCGTATTCGGGGGGTTTCCTCTCCCATACTTATAATGGTGAGCCGAATAACTTCGTAGCGAGCAAAAGTACATTCACACATTCTCCACTAGTAGTTATTTTTAGCTATGAATTAGGTCACAACTGTCTAGCTGGTTTGCCTATGGGTGTACCTGATGTCCTGCACAGTGCTTTTGGCTCGAGACAAGGAGACGCAACGTTTTCGCGTCTGTCCTATATACTATGTGCAACCAGTTGTGAACGGAATGCTTAGGGGTGCACCTACGTGCACCTTAGCTGGCCCGCTTCCCCCATGTGGGGACCTCTAAGGATTGCAATAGGGGAAGGCGAAAGCAAATTCACAGAACATTCAACAAACTTTAATCAGGTTTGTATTGAGTCTGGGGCTAAGTTTCTACCTGCTGATACTTTTTATGAAGCCTTACAGTTGGTAGCGCAGCATGGTTCGATGCAGCTGGCCCCCATTCATCCACTGGCTGTGGATGCAGTTAAATGGTAGGTTGCCTCGAAGCGAGTCGGTGAGCTCGCGCTCGATCAAGTCATTTGTTAGCTCAGCAATTTAAATATTCACGCAACAATTTGGAAATTTCTGTGATGGTAGAGGTAGACAGTGCTAGAACGGCTGCTGAGGGGGCACAGGCTGGCCTGCAAGCTGATGTGGTATATACGGGCTCTACAAAACATATCAACACTTTATCAAAACCCAGCAGCGTTGTCCAGTGTGGAGAGAACTCTTGTGTGGCGCTAAGGTGTAAGAAATGCTAGCATCATTTATGTAGGCTTTATTTTACTGTTGAAACCGACCTGCATTCTACAGTGTCCCTGAGAAAGAGTTTTCAGGACGTTGGTGGTCCTAAAGAGACTCCCTTGTATCCGCAATAATTGCTCAAATCCAGAGCAGCCAAAGAGTGAATCATACCACGTTCTGGATGGTCCGCTGTGGTTCAACACAAAGCAGGCAGTTCGTATCATGCACACTTCGACTCTCCGTATTGCCCTGCGCAAAGCACTAACCATGTTTTTTCAGGTCACATTGTCATTCACACTACAGTGGAAAAGCTCTTGAGCCCTTTGGATTGCCTGAGGTGCTCCTCTCGGCCGAGGTTCGTGTAATGTTACGCTCAGATTCTCAGCAGCTCATGCCGCGCAAAGCTGTTGAACCTGGCCTTTGCGGAGGCTTTCAGTTCGTGAGGAAATTTGGCCAGATCTCAGTATAAGCTTTATTGCGGGACTGTCGAAGGTCAAAGAACAGGATAGCACATACTTTGTCGTCGGTAGACAGCAAATAAGCCTATCCCATCCCTGGCTCCAGCAATGTCACAGCTTTGGAAGTCGCCCAACTATGGTTAACGAATATCTTGGTTCTTCACGGATTCCACCCGAACAGCACTACGAATAGAAATTCAAAGCTCCATACAGCGTTCTCGATCGCCGTTGTGAGCCATCAACTCACTAAGCACAATGTAACTACTGCGACCTACCCCAAGCAAATGAACAGAGAAAGCGCATTAACGGGAGTTCTCTGCAGTGTGTGCCAGTGCATGCTCACGAAGGTTTACTTGCTTAGCATACTTTCTTCCTTGTTCTTAGTGAGCTTACAATGCAATAACAGAAGCGTCTATCCGGGGATTCCTCCATCCCTAGTTTACATTGAGGATCCCTTTTCCCCTATACCTGAGGGTTTGGAATCAGCAACAACGACTAGAGTATGAAGGATTGGGACAGCAGCTGACTAGTGCTCGTGATTGTATGCACAAAGCTCAAGAGCGACAAGAAGTAAGTAGTGATGAAAAAGGCCAGTTGTATACTCTCAAGCTAGAGATTTAGTCCTAGTGGATCAGCTGGTGTACCTGGTGCACCATTAACTTGCCCAAAGTATGCGGCAAGGTGGATGGGACCATTCGCGGTTCGCTCACTTTTCAATGTGCTTTTCTATTCTATCGACTTCACTAAAAGTTGTCGGTGCGAAAGAAATACCAACATTTTTTTTCCTAGAGAAGTTTCAAAACTTTGCGACCTATTCGCGGACTTTGCTGCGCAGGCAAGTGACTGATACAGAGACAAGGGATTTATAGAGAGCCGTGGAGGTGCTGAGTTCGAGGGCTGCTGCGCGCCAAGAAGGTACCATGCAGGAGTTCCTAGTAAAGTAAGATAGGAAACGACAGCCTTACTGGTTGACCGAGGAGCAGCTAGGGGCTTCATTGCCTGTGAAACGCTTTGCGGCTCGGTTCTGTTCGCAACGTTATTCGCTATGAACGGCATTTCTCACGCTCCTTCATAACCTTCGTTCCCAAGCACATCCATCGCCCCAAAGATCTACCTTTAACTATGCGTGTTGCTTTAGTTTTTGCCGGTTATTTCTGTCAAGTGATCTCAAGACTCCGATTCCTGCGCAGGAGTCGCAGTCCTCTCTGTCTTACATTCTTCCTAATTTCTCTGACAAAGCCTACACATCGACTATGTTGCGTGCGTTAGCTATGCTGGCATGCGGACATTACTCCGTGAGGAGCTCAGGCGCTACTAAACAAGCGTGCATTTTGATTTTCTTGCGCTTCTTGTTTGTCCTCTGCTTGCACGTGGCAAAAGGCTCACAATTTAACCCTCCGACTAGAGCGAGCGATAGCGTCGCCGTGGTCGTACTGTTGGCCCCTCGTTCGTTGCTTGCTAGTGTTTGTATCTCTGTTTTCGCCAACTTTTGGCCGGCTGTACACAATCGCTTTTGTCAATTGGAATGTTTTCGGGCTTTTGCCTGCCTGGAGAGCGTAAAAAAGCGTGATAGTGCAGAAACTTCTGCTGTGCTGCACGCAGTTGGTGGAGACAGACAAATGCTGAATACACGGCCATGTTTTCTGAAGTGGGGGGTAAGGCGTAGCGGGTTAAGCTACACTGGAGGACTTTCTATACACGAGTTGTACTTAGCTGGGAATGAGGAAAAGTATAGCTGAGCTGCTGTGTCTGTTCGTACGTCATATTTATTGTATAGTACTCTCAGTTCAATACAAGAAGAAGCAACGGTAGGAGTGCATGTCCTAGACAATTAGCTGTGAATGCCTGAGGTGCTCAAAGGGTGCAGATAGGCATACCTTAGCTGTCCCTCCCCCAAAATGTGGAAAACTCTGAGAGGCACGAGCAGAGGAACGAGGTAGCTATGTCGGAATGCCTGAATTGCTCTCTATCAAGTTTGTATTGACTTTGGAGTTAAGTGTCCCCCTACGGGGAACTTAGATGGACCGCGTCAACATCCAACTGCTTGCACGGCCAATGAATAAGCATAAAGCAGTTGCATCGGACTATGCAGTGCTACCGACTGAAGAGGTCAAGCGTGCCTCCACCCTTTAATCACTCCAAGCATTCTAAGCTAGTTGCACTCAGCCTCCAGCGAATACACACAGAGCGTTGCCTCTTCTTGTATTGAAAGCAGCACTCTTCAATCGTTTAGATATACAAGCAGACAGACCAACTAATCAAATCTTTACTAATGCTTAGTTAAATATAGGTACTGCAGAGGAAAGTGTGTATGTCACGCTCAATGCGGTACACCCTTTGTGACCCTCCGTCCGGGCATCAGTAAAGGGACACGAGACCGGGCATTGGCGCAGTGGAGGCTGAGCTCAGAGTTCTTCCTAGAGGGACCGCTCAACATCTTCCTCTCAGCCCACAAAGCTTCTGATTAGGAAGGTGACGATTATACGGGTACAACATGCTTCTTTCACGCAACAGTTCAAGCATTCGCGTGCAGTAACTCGGTATACAAATTTACGCCACAAATCCTTGAAATGTGGAGCTAAAATGCTCTCCAAAAAGAATATAATAAAAGAAGGCCGAGCTAGGTGGTCGCTTTATTCAAAGCTTCTTTTTTGGGAAATTGTTCGGTGATAATTTTCTGTGGGTAGCCCAGCCTACAGCAGTGCCGATTCTCCCGGCACGAGAGGAGGTACCTGTGCAATCATCATAGCCCCAAGGCGCTCTCTCTTTGATGACCGCCCCTTATTAAACTTCAGCCCATTTTTGCTTGAACCAAGGAGACAAAGCGTTTAATTCTTTTTCATGTAGCTCAATCCTTCGTAGGCCTGTGCGCCCACTGAGGCATGAGTCGGCTGCGGCGCGAATTGCTCTATCCAGCTGCGAAGCCCTGCACTAAACCAGGCATTCCCACAGTAGTTGACATCTTTACTAGTAATTCAAGGGGCTGCGTGTCACTTCGCTCTCTGCTGTATCGCCCTGTGAGTGTTTTTCAAGCATCCAGCGCCGGTGGCAACTAGACGGGGAAGTAGGCAGTGAAAAGCGCAGAGCACTGGAATAGCCTCGCCTGTGTAGATCTACACACTAAACCAAGGCCTATGTGTTGACAGCGCCGCCTTCTTCTTTAACTGTAGGATTCCCTGGCAGCTGGCGCCATGACGCCTACGTCGGTCACTCGGAGTTGTATTATGACTCTTCTCATGACAATGCTTATTTTTCAACCATACCCCACAGGCGGTCTTCGCATGAGCAGCAAGCTCACCAGCAAGCTGCACAGGGGAGATTTGGGCCCTGATTTGGATAATGGCGAGGCGGCAGAGTTGGACATCGAGAACAGCAGGCAGGAAGCCCAAGAGCTCCAAGAAGAGGAGGCTACCAATCCAGACGGCACGGAATCTGGACCTGATCCAAACGAAGATGTAGCGATTCATTTTGAAGTCAAAACAGTGGGGTACATGCAGGCCGTTTCCGCAACAATGAAGGGAAGAAGGCCGACAGACGAGGACGTGCGCAACCACACACAAGCAATAGCTCGCGCCTCAAGCCAGCCCACGAGGTGCATCCACCAGAACCCACTCATCGAAAACTATGCTAGTGATATTACGATGATTTTGCGTTGCTCAGAGGCTGACGACTCTGGAGCAACTCAATGATAATGCATTTTTTTTAGGTCTCTTCGACGGACACGGAGGAGCGGAAACTGCAGAATACCTCAAACACAATGCTCATCAAATGATTGGTAAGACTTACATGTAGCTTTCCATTCCTGAATTACCCACACATAGACGCAAACTGCGACGAGGCAGGTATTCACGACCTCCACTGGATCCTACTGAGCCGGGCAATTCGTTGCCGTGACACCTGCGATAACCCGACACGCGCGTATGCTGTGCTTGGTGCTTCTCCATGGGCTCCCAGCTAAAGCCGTAGATGCAAGACACAAACAACCACTTGAATTTGATGAGGAAGTAATTGCGGATGCCTGCACCGAGATGGACAAGAAATTAATTGCCGACAGGGTATGCAATAACTCTGGGTCCACAGGTGAGCTCTCCATGCAGCACATTTACTTTTACTAGTAAGTTCACTAGGGAACCTGGAAATGCAGACTTAAGATGCTTGGGTGCAGCCGCTAGCTGCTGATTCTCCAAATGTGAGTGACAGATAGCCGACTCCTGTCTGAGCTGAGCAGCACAAATGAAAGTGTTATTTGTGTGAGCACGTGCGCATGTGGCACTGCACTCACAGCCGCAATGTTGGTCGTGGAGCGAGATATTCTGGCAGCAGACAGCTTCAAGGTTCACTCGATTTTTGTTGGTAGGCAGGCTTTCTTCGAATGATCCTTCCCAGTAACCGTGCTTCTTTCGCTCTATGGCAGAAAAGCGTGGATTGCGCATACGGGAAAAAACTGCCCCTTTTAGGGGCCTTTTCTGCTGGAATGCTCACTCTCAGGCGACTCCCGCATAATAGTATTGAAGTTCGATGGGGCCCCAATTAGTTTGACCCAAGACCACAAACCTGAACTTCCCGAAGAGGCAGCCCGTATTGAGGCAGCTGGAGGAGGCGTTTATCAGGTCGGCGGTGTGTGGCGTGTAGGAGGGGTGCTTGCACTATCTCGCGCATTTGGAGATGCTGTAAGTCCAAATAAATCCACAAGCAAGGCAACGTTGCATGGTTCGTCACGGTTGTCTCTAAATATGGAGCTTTGTATGCCTGTGCGGAGGTGTGTAGACCTCGCCTAGATGTGGGGGCCAGTAACTGGGCCGATATTGTCGCTGCAGTTTCCCACCTCAAGCAGGGGCTTACATAGTGTTTGATGTTGTGCCGCTAGATGTTTAAGGACTACACAGCGCGGCCTGCCGCAGAGCAGCAGGTTGTGGCAGTTCCCGGCCAGCGTACGGAAAGTATCCCAATTACATCGCTCATCCTTTTGGCTTGCGACGGTGAGCAGGAGACTCGTAGGGAAACGGGCTTTTTCCTGTGAGAACCCGTGATCATGTTCACCGCACAATGTCTCGCCTTGGGGTGTCCGAACAGAGACATGGACCGCTTGCGTAGTTGCTTCTTGCTGTTTCTACGGCTCTGCATTTAATAGAAACCAAAAATGACGGATGCTGAAAGGATCTGCTTGTTTGAATGTATGGGTACAAGTGTATATGTACATGGGTACTCACGTACACACGTACACCATCTTTGCGTACAAACAGGCCTTTTCGAGACAGTAGACAAAGATTTGGAAGAAGTACTCAAGTCTGCGTTGGCAGAATCAAACGGTGGTCTTGTGGGAGCACTCCGAAGTCTCATGCTTACAGCATATGATCGCGGATCAGGTGACAACATATCGGTCATCGCTGCCACCATGCATTCCGAACTGCCACCACCATCCCACAGACAGTTCGTCGTCGGGCGTAACGATGCACTGTAGGCTACCTCTAATTGCAGGCACGGCCTCGCTGTCCACTGACCAGAGCTATTCTGCCTGAGAACGGCGGCGTACTGTGCAAGGAAATTTTCTTTTGTGTTGGCCAAATAAAAGGAGCGATAGGGCAACAGCATACCAGAAAGGGCGTCGAGGCTGTCATTTCTTAGACATGCATGCGCGGGTTCACTGCAGCATGCACTGCCAACTGAGCACCCGTCGTTACCTGCACTCTGGAACAAAAGCTACACTTATGACTCGAGCCTCAACGAGCCGCCGGCGTTACAAACCAGCAAGCAGCCGGTCGTGAGAGCCTGAGGGGTGTAGCTCTGTCGAAATTATTTGCATTCCTAAAAGCTGCTTTTGGCCTGTATTTAGCGTGCTGTTGTCAGGCACTTCCAATTATAACGCATCAACATCCTTTTGTAAAACTACCATACCTAATTGGTTCAGTATGATGAGACAAGGCACGTCCCATGAGGACAGCCCCACGCACAGAAGGTTCAAACAATTACGGAAGCCCAAGCGAAGGTTTCGCAGGCAGTACTACTTGGCCTATGGATGATAGGTGCGAGAACTGGATTCCAGTTGCCAGAAGTGCCTCAGGCCACTGTAGGGTAACACGCCAGGTAAACAGAGTTGGGGGAAATTCTCTTTAATTGCCCCGAAGTCTGCGATGATTCCAAGTAGAGCGGCCCAGGGACGCCGAGAAAACCTTGGGCAAATGTACTCCGAACCCCCAAAGATACGAGAATCTAAAAAAGGCCTGCTGTTTCCCGTGCACAAGGTGCATCTCCCTAGCATCCCCCCCAAGGCGGATGAGCAGCCTACGTGCTGCAATGGGCACATCTTTTCTCGCAATGTATTTCGCAAACGCGGCTGCCCACTAGTTTATCCGGTGGGCTCCTCTCAAACGTGTATTTTCAGCTCACAGCCGAGCGCACCGGCAGACCAGCTCGTGCTTTCACGCTGCCACTAAGCAGTCAAGAGTCAAGGTCGTCCTGTAGTTTATACCTGAATGGTTTTGAAGGACTACCTGGGAGACGTGCGAACCAGGATATTTTGCCGATAGGGCAAAACTGTTCCCGCTACAGCTGGCCCATGCTCGCCTTTACAGCCAGTCGCTGCTTGACACGACGCTGGTTCAGTTCAAAATGATCGTACGGTATTGCATATACCAAGAGGAACTCTTGAAGTGACTTCATTACTGAAACGCGGGTTCGACCTGCCTCCTGGTCCCTGCCGCCTTCACTCGGCACGGCACTAAAGCGCATCTGCGCCATCAAACATATCACAGGACCCACCTTTTAGCAGCTTTGGGAAAAGGCTGGTCATAAAATAAGGGATAAGGGAATCCACATAAACAGCACATGCTGTAGGTACAGAGATGAATCCACGGGGGGTTGCTTGGTGTCGGGTTGGAACGTACTGTTTGGTTGGTGGGAGCCGCAAATGCAACTTCAGCGCCCTCCGCAAGAACTTCTTGCTCCAATTCTGCAAATGCAGGGACGAATCCTGAGTGACACCCACACGACGCTAGCTCTACCGCTACATCTCCTTCGTGTAGTCGGTATGGCACTCTACACGAAAGGCGCGTAGCTGGCAATTTCGCCGGCTGAAAGGGTGGCGCGTCAGAAGATAGTCGCTCTTTAGTGCTGGCCGCTGCTCGCAAGACCCGTCTTGGCTTACCCAGGCCCAAGCCACGCTTCTGCTTCTTAGTCACCTGCTCTGCCTCTGCATCGCGGTAGATGCTGCATCGTAACAACAACCACAAGTGCACGGCCTGCCTCTGGTTCTAAGGCAAACACCAAAGGGTCATCCCTGCAACGGCGAAATTACAAGAAAATGCGATATCGGACAGGAGGAATAGCTTACAGTGCAGTGCCGACCACATGGGTAAAACGATACCAGGGCCTCTCCTCCTCGTCCATCTCTGGTGTTTCAAGGGACCACTTTACGTCTTCCGCGAGCGCTTCCGCCGCTTCGGCAGCCACTTCCAAGGGCAGGTTCCTAAGTCTGCAGCCGATCAACAGGCCGGTCATCGTCTCCCCCCGCGTCTCGCTTGTGTCTGCCTTTCCTTTTGTGGCCTTGCTGGCGCCGTCGCAGCTAGTAGTTGACTCAGATCTTAGCAGTTTGCCTGCACATTTGCATGGTCACAATTCAAAGGCTCCAAGACCACCTTCACGAGAAGTTGACTAGGGTTTCAGACTCCTCAGGGGCCTACCCAGGCCCAAGAGCGCAGGATGCCTCAGGAAGACCTTGAGATACTGCGTTTACAGAGTCTCCTTGCGCACACGGTTGCCAAAACTTACTCACCCAATTTCGCCGCAGCTTCCTCGGACGCATGCGCCCTGCAAACAATGCATCATCCACACACCCGTGCCTACGAAGGATGAAAGGGGGGCTCTTCTAGCAACACGAGTCCAGTTCTAACGCCTGCCATCCATTTTCACGCCAAGTAGTGCTGCATAAAAACTCGCTGCTCCTGCAGCCACAAAGCTCCTCCTACGACGCAGCTTATCTCAAGGCCAAGTCCACTGACGTCTTCAAGACGGTTCACACATGCCCGGCAGGGAAAAGGGGGGCTGCCACCAGAAGGGCATGTATACTCACCGTGCGAGAGACAGAATCTTGCTGACGATTGGCTCCGTAGCCTTCGGGTATTGTCTACAAGAAAGAAGGGTCATCAACCCCACTGGTGCCTCCGACCGGCCCTCCGGGCCCACTCCTGCTCGCGCTATGCTGCCGATATTTCCCTATAACACATAAAATGGTGATGCACCACATGTGCGATAAATCTAGGCGCTGGACTCATATGTGTTGATATATAAGCACTCGATGTGAACGCGGCACCTGATACAGTGCCAGTTCCATTTATTGCGGAAAGTGCGAATGGCCAACACCACGTTGCAGTGTTCAGAAACATGCAGAGCAGGAGAAGCCGTCTTGTAAGACATGTGGCAACACACAGGTATTACCAGACAAACTGTAGTTTGCTGCCCCTGGGTGCGCATGCAGACGGGCATTGCGGGAGAGCCGGATGCACTACATATTTACATACATACACGCATGCAGCGTTATCGTTATACAAGGCGTGTGGACTTCAAGATTCCCATGAAGTAAACTGCCTAAAAGAGGGCGTTCCTCGAGGCTGACCTGCCCAGCAATGACTTTCGCTAGCTCTCGCAGTTGCTGCGGTTGCAAGCCGAGCTGCGTATAGATCCTGGAGTGTCGCATCAGCAGCAACAACGGTTCTGCATCTTCATCTTGCGGGTCAAAGAGTTCGAAGGTGGCTTCCACTTCCTTCTCTGTCTCCCCGCCTTCGCTCTCGCTCCCGTCTTCCTGAGATTCCAGCGGAGCAAAAAGCGCATACTGCAGCATGCAACTTGGCCAGGAATAACAGCGCACCTGAATCAACTGGATACACTTCGGAAAAGTCTTGCTTAACCCCGACAGAATGGAAGGCTACTAGGCTATAGAAAGACTGTGCACTCTGCCAGAAGGGTCTGTACAGTGGCATGGCCTCCCGCACTTCATCTGAGCCTGCGCCTCCGATAAACTGCAGCTCGTCATCTCCGCAGTCGCTATCGCTGCTGCTGTTGCTCTGCTGTGCTGCCTCTTCACCGCCCTTGTTGTTGCAAACGTCTCTGTCGTCCTCTAGGGTTTTCCTCGGCCTCCGTCCTGCCGCTCTGCCTCCCCGTTCGGAGGTAGGTGCATGCGTTGCTGACGCCTTAAGCTCTCCCTTCTCCGACTTGCGGGAAGACCCTTTCACTCGGCTGCCAGCTGACTGTGCTGTTTCCCTCCCCCGACCCTCCATTGAGATCAGGAGCGTCACTTGAAAATGCACTGTAGGGCAGTCAGCGAGAAGTCGAATGATGCTGGGAATGCGAGTAGAACTTGCTTCGCTTTCCCTCCGAACCTAACTCTGCTCCGCTATGGCGGGAGGGGGATTGCTGCCTACAGAAGACACAGGTTCTACGCGGAAAAGCACTTGGAGGAAAAGCTGCGTTGAAGAGCTCCTGGCCCGTTGTTATGTGCGCACACACGTCGGTGCGGCGGGACCGTGATCATCCAACTATCGATTTTGCTTTCGTGGTGGAGCGTGTTTTGCCTTGTACGGTCCTCTCTCATTCATGCGCATCCTTCTTCTGCATGCATACTGCGTGTGACAGATGGCGTCAGCCAGTCTCCACTGCACCTCCAGACAGAACGAACCCGCGGATTCTACGAATCTGCAGAAGGCTCAATCGGCTGAACGCTTGCAACCGCGTGCGTAACGGCCTTTTCGTGAAAGAAGCCGCTTCTCAGCGACCACGCTGCACAGCCTTTTAAAAGCGAGGCCTGCAGTGAAAGGCGACTGCAAGTGTGCCTTGGGATCGAATTTGGACAGTACACTAAATATACACAAATACTTTGGTCGTACGGAGGAGCAGCAGTCGTAAGAGTGGGGCTGGGCTGGAGCAGCCCCGAACCCCAGAGGCGCCACGCAGCTGCCGGGAGTGGCGGCCAAATGCCTTGGGGAAGGCTGGAAAGTTGTGAAGCCTTGCGGTGCCAGCTGTAGGTACACGTCCTCCCACTTTGCTGGCTTGTTTCTGCTTCCTGTCGCTTTCGTGTTCCGAAGATGGGAGCTTACAAGTGAGAGCAGCGCAATGCGCAACGCCCCTGCCGGTGAACCCCTGCGCGGGGTTCCTCTCTGAGGTTGCTTGTGGGGTGTCCTCTGCCGCTGCGTTTCTTGTCAAATTTCGGGACCGATGTAGTAGCCTTCGATATTTCTGGCGCTGACGGTTCACTGGCGCACAACTGGGCAAGTGGCAGCAGCAGAGTTGCGCGCAGACCGCCTCGCACCCCACGCATGTAATGCGAGGTGGCAATGCAGCTGCCTCGCACCGCGTTTTCGTGCAAGATTTTCAGCGTTAGAGATGTGTCATGTATAGCCGCGCTTATGAAGAGAAGCGCACAGAAAATGTGCCTGGGAGGGGGCGCGGCAGCCCCTGTGTCCATCTATTTCGAAACGGGTGCTCGTTTTTGGCCTACAGGGAGATGCTTGGGGTCCTTACGCCCCCAGCGCCCTGATCTTGTATAATTTTTGAACGTATTCATGTTCACGAGGTCGTCGTTCATGTGTACATACGCCGGCATGACCATCGAATCACGGATTCATGTTCGCTTGTGCGCAGGTACCTCGAGGAGCTGTGGAAGCGCAAGCAGTCCGATGTACTGCGTTTCCTCCTCCGTGTTCGGACTTGGGAGTATCGTCAACTGCCGGCTGTCCACCGATGCAGCCGTTCTACTCGTCCCGACAAGGTTAGTGGGAGCTCGCGGCATTTGGCCGTCCATTCCTCTGTGTGGCGACTTTTCATTCATGCTTCCTATTGGCAGGGCTTTGCCATTCAACAAAAAACGGGCTTCCTGCCTGCCGTGCCTCTGCATGTTCCAGCCTTAGTCGCTTTCTTCCGGGCTCTTGTTGGCTTTGTAGCGTGGGTAGGTTTTGCGTTTCAGCAGTCTCGTAAGCGGTCCTTACTTCCCGTGGCTTCGCTATGCATCGGCCACAATATTTCGAGTGCGTTTGCGCTTTTTTCTGTGGGCAGGCCCGCCGACTGGGCTACAAGAAGAAGCAAGGCTTTGTCATCTACCGTGTTCGCGTGCGCCGCGGAGATCGCAAGAAGCGCGTTGCCAAGGGTATCGTTTACGGCAAACCCTGCCACCACGGTGTGCGCAAGCAGAAGAGCTCCAGCAATCTTCGCCAGCTTGCAGAGGCGCGTGTCGGACGCAGCGTCTGTGGCAACCTGCGGGTGCTCAACAGCTACTGGGTAGGACAAGACTCGGTGTACAAGTACTATGAAGTTATACTGATCGACCCGATGCACGCGGCAATCCGCAACGACCCGAGGTACAAGTGGATCTGCGCCCCTGTCATGAAGCACAGAGAACTTCGCGGCCTCACCTCAGCAGGCCGGAAGAGCCGCGGGCTCAACCGCAGAGGAGCGGGCAACAGAAAGCTCATGCCGAGCAGGAGGGCCAACTGGCGTCGCAGACAAATGCTGCAGCTCAGGCGTTACAGATAATTCTAGAGTCGCGTTTTGGTGCAGCCCTGGTAGCCTTGCTGGTGGTATGCCAATGGCTGAACGAACTTTTCTTGCAGACATGAATGGATGTTCGCAGAGGAAAGGCTTTCCGTGGGTTGGCTGCGTAACGCGCCTCCTATAGATATGCGAATTAGCGGTAGGGGGAAGTAGAATGAGGAAGTAGTGCCATGCACTTTGAAGTGTTTAGGAATGCCTAGCTTTCACCCTTGACCCTGCGTAGTACGAGCGGCTTCTGCGGGGGCCTCCTGTGTGTATTCACGGGCGCCTGATGACGCAATGGAGAACTCGTGGAAGGAGCCAGCCGGTCGTGCACATTCCACTGGAAAGACAGCGCCCATCTCGTTGGCAGCTGCTTAGGCGGGCAATCGCACGCATACACCAGTTGAGTGTGCCTGAAGGGAGGCCAGCTTTCGCGCCACTAGATGTTCGCTCATGAAAAACCATGCTGGATGTTAAGCTCGTAACTCAGCTAAGGACTGCATTGTATCCGACTAAAAGCGTAGTGCTGCACGCATAGTTACGGGAGCCCCATGGCTGTAAGGGCATCCGCGTGCAATTCTTGGCGAGGTCCTTCAGCGATTGTCCAGGAACTGGCAGATGCTCCCTCGCAGCCTTGCGAACTCCGTGAATGTGTCAGCGCTACAGTGGCGAATGCCTTCGATCCTACCGCGGTGGCGCGTTCGTGCTGCCGCCAACTGGCAGCCTAGAGCGAGGAGCGCAATGGCTGGGGAGCTACGGAGGGAGGGGTGGTGCGTAGCGACTAAAGCCAAATTCCATCTAGGCGTTGAGAACCGGCCCATTCGATCGTGCGAAGTAGCACCCCTGGGAAGGCGCGAGCATTGCACAGTCTTAGAAACGTGCCGGCGCACGCCAGCTTCCGGGAGGTATGGGGATGCTGCTTGTCAAGAGCTGCTGTTGCCCCATGCGCCGTTTTAGGCATGCGAGAGCGGAGGCTCACCTTCGTACTCACAGACAACCACTCTTCAAGTCGTAAAAGACGGGAGGGGTTGAAGGCGGGAGCGACTGACCCCCTCAAAGCAAGGGTGCACTGTGGCCTAGGGCTTCTGCATTATCTGCATGAGGGCTTGACTTTGTTTGCTTTCAAAGTCTGCCGTTTGCCCCTTTTGCAGAAGCCCTACGTCTTCCAGGCGCTGCAGCATTTGGACCATGATGCGCAACGGCAGGGTTTTGCACTTTTCTTCTTCGTCGCGATGCCCCGAAGAGCCCTCGTGCCGCTCATGACACCACCGCACAATCTCCGGTGCCGTGCGCGAGCAAACATCCAAGAAACAGTCAAAATCTGCGTCTCTCAAGTCCAGGAGAGATTCCGTAGGAGCGGTGACATGCACGGGTTGCACATCGGCCCCGCCTGGAGCTGTGGTGGGGTGCCCGCATGCAAGATTCGTGAGCGATCCAGACGCGCTGTGCTCAGTGGTGAGGGCCACGCCTGCAGCGGCTGCAGCCTTGCCATACTGCAGCCGCGCCTCTGCAATCACCAGCCGCAAAGCCTCCGCAACAGCCACCAGAGGGCCTGGGTTCAGACAACGCTCAACGAAGTCGGCCGCTAATGGCACCACACTCAGGGCGTCTATGGCGTCGGCTACCGTTTGACTCCACACACATCTCCAAATACGCAGCTGCACATCTGCTGGGATGCTGCCACTGCCTGCACACCGGATCTTCCAGAACAGATCTGCCACCTCCCGTCTGTGCTGCTGCACTGCTGCTGCATAGCTACGCGGTATGGAGTCCGGAGGACGTGGTAGGACAGCAGCGTTGCTGCTGCTCGCCGCAGCCATTCTTGCAGCCGCGACGGCGGCAGTCCCCTCTGTGCTGCCTTCAGCAGCCGCTTGCTTGAAAGAAGCAACAAAGGCGGTGCTTTGGCAGAGGCTTGCCGCCGCTTGTCGGTATACCAATGCCCGCAAGTCCTCGATACTGCAGCGAGTGGCTGCGAGCAACCTCCAGAGCTGCTGACGCTCCTCGGGCGGTAGGCTGCAAAGGAGGCCCCTCGGCGTTTCGCAGCCCACCGCCGCTGGCAGCCGCCGCAGCTGCTCCCCTCGCCATGCGCGACTTTCTCCATCGCCCTCTCCGACCCCTTGAACGATTCCTTGAAGGTGGAGCTGCTGGGAGAGAGCCTCCAGCAAGTCTTTCGCAGACTCAACGGCTGCGACGCGTTCTGCAAGACCCCAAAGTGCCCCAGGACTCGCCAGCCTCGCCATAGGCCGGAAGAAGCCGCAGAGTGGAGACTGCTGTACTCTGGATCCAGCGGAGGTGTGGCTACCGCTAAGGTCGTTGCAGGCAATGCTGCCGCCCCTCAGGAGCTTCTTCTGAAGAGGCCCTAGATCTTTGTCCACTTGATACAGCAGCCAGTGGAGGTGCGGCAGGCGGCACCGCAGCCTTGCGGCGTCCGCATGCGCCACAGCTCTCGAGCGACTGCTTGGATCCACAAACACAGCCGAAACTTGCGGGGGGGGGGCCACAAACAAGCTGCACGTTTCCTCGGGCAGCGTCGACGCGGCAACAGCAGCCACATAGAACCCCATCAATCGGATCATCGCCCGAACTGCCGCGGCTGCCAGTTGAGGGGCAGAAACAGCCAGCTGCCAGTACTGCATCAACGCCTTCGCCGCTGCCTGAGACGCAGCTACTGAGACCGGCGGCTCGTCTTTGCGGCTGCCGCAAGCTCCCACTGCTCTCAGTTCCTCCTCGATGGCTGCCAACTCGACATCAGCCGTAGCTTCTTGTCTACCCAGCACTGCCTCAGGGCTTGCGCAAAATCCCAAGGGCACCCCTGGCTGCCAGGAAGAGAACGGATTGCCGCGGGAGAAGCCCACAACGACCTCCCCACAACCGCTGCACAGCCGGCTGATGCCCCCCCCTGCCTCGGCAGCGTTCCCATGGCCTTCGCTCGTCGCAATGGCAGAAGGATTTACGCTTTCTGGAAGCAGTGGCAGTGCCCCCCCCGTCAACTTCGACGCGCGAAGCACCACAAGGGGGATGCGGCGCAACACAGGTATCCGTTGCCATGTCTCAGCCCGCACATATTGCAGCATCTGTCGGACGTGAGTCTCCTGTAAGGACTCAATCGCTGCTCGCACACGGAGAAGCAGCACTTCTGAGAGCCGACAAACGGAAGGGCCCCCGTGTGCTGCAGCCTCTTCTACAACAGGCGGCTTCGACTCTCCTGGGGCCAATAACGCAGCGGCAGAAGCAGCAGCTGCGGCATCTGCCGCCAGCACTGCTGCTGCGCTCAACGCCTGAGAGCTCCTTGAGGACGGCGCCTTTTTGTCGACTGCCACCGCTGCAGCCGCTGCTGCTGCAGCCTCCGCTGCAAGCAAACGCTCAGCCTCGACATCTTCTGCAAGAACAAAAGTCTCACCTACCCCGACAAAGAGATGCACGGCGCGCATAAGACTGAGACAATCACAAACTGCTGTGGGGCCACTCATGTCCAGATCAATCGCCTCCAGCACTTCGGCCATTTGCTGCTGCATGCGCTGCCAAAGGGTGCTGCGCTGGCACAGAAACTGCTGTCGAACTTGCAGCAAAAACAACGCCATTCGCAGACTCGAGGGCAGCCCCTTCAGGCGCTGCGTCGCAGACACGACGAGGTCGTAAGTATCCTTGAAAGGCGCATCGCAACATAGAGCAGAGGCGGCTGAGTTTCTGCAGTCTGAGGCAGGGTTAGTTCCCAGGAACTCCAGAAGATCCCCCTCAGAGGGACTCTCCTCAGAGCGACTTTTCTCGGTGTTTTTCCTCTCCGCATGCACCTGCGCAAGGAGCCGTCGAGCTTTAGACGCGTGCCACACCATCAGCGAAGATGCACCCGCAAGCATGTTGTACTGAACCCCCAGCAGTGTCATGCAGCAAGCAACACTGTTTGCCTCATCGACGAAAGATGCGAGGCTCCCCGCAGAGGGAAGCGCACTAACGGCATCAGCTCCCAGCAGCGCACAGCCAGAGGACGGCTTGTTTGACTCCAGACAAAGAAGTAGACGCGCGCAAGCACGCTGAGCCTCGAGTCTCTCGGTGTCCACCTCCGAGAAGGCAGCAGCGTCCGCTGGCACAAAGGCACAGAGAACCTGACGGGTAGCTGCAGCTGCTGCCGCTGCCACAGCGGCTGAAAGCGCAGATCCGACGGAAGAGGAAGGTGGCAGCAGAGCGAAGGCTGCAAGTGCGGAGTAATATGAAGGCCAGGCACCTTCCCCTGTCGCGAAGGCGCCTGCTGTTGCAGTGCCAGACCTTGTCCTACACCTCCACGAACCTCCATGAGAGGCGCTGCGGGAGAAAGGCTCAGGCAGTCGCCAACCGCAGCCGCATGGTGGTGGAGGCAGCGAACGCGCAGCCGCTTGCAGGGCAGCACTCAAATCCGCCTTGAGAGCTTCCAGCATGTGTTGCATCTGTGTCGACACACGCACTTCTGGCAGAATTTCAAGGGTTGGAGGCTCCAGCACGACAGGATCAGACAGACTGCTCCTCCTGAGGGAAGAACCAACGCACCTTCTGTATCCCTGACCGCAACAAAGCATCCAGCTCTACCTGCGGAGCAGCTCCTGTCGGCTCAGAGGACTCGGGCGCTGTGCCTTTAGGGGGATGGAAAAGTGCTGCGCCTTCCATCAACAGGGCAGCCTGCAGCGGCAGCTGGCGGTTCACACAGCTGTTCTCCGCCGCCATGAGGATCGCGTCCATCCTTTGGATCTGCAGCAACTGCTGCATTTCGCGCTGCAGGAGAAGCTTGGCGTGCTGCTGCTTGGTGATGTCCAAGGAAGGCAGCAGGCAGTCTTGGCGAAACTGTGAGAGCCCTACACGAATGGCCGTCGACTCACGCCGCAAGCGTTCTAGCCCTTTGCGTAGTTCTCTGCATCACAACGAACGGCAGGGGGCTTAGCTGTGCAGGCGAGTGAGGCTTACGGGCTCGTACAATAGGAATGTTTGTAGCAGCGTGGCAGCTGTATTGCAGGCCCAAGAGAGCATGCCACGCGTCAACAGACAGCTGGCGAAAAAAGGGATGCTAAGTCACCCCATGTAGTGACGGTAAATACGATACAGTCAAGCAACCCCCCACCGAAATACTCACCCTAGAACAGACACCGACTTTGTCAAGTCTTTTTGCCGCTGAGCCACAAGGCCTCGCAGACTCAGACGTGCCTGCCCATAAAGCATTAACATGCATGAGAAAAGAGAGCCCTTCATGGCACCCCCGTGCCGCTGTATCATGCACAACCAGCGAGCTGCATTGCGTCTTCATGAGCCGCGGCCTTTTTTACACAGGGACGGATTGGGAGCGAGGGGGGGGGCATGGGGGAATGGGATGACGTGACTCTCACCTCGTCGCTGCACGCCTTCAAGTGCTCCAGCCGTGTCACTGCACTCAATACGAGATCTCCCTTCACTGGTAGATTTTCCAACTCCCAAACAACGCACGCAAAGCCTGCATTTCCAGAATGTGTCTGACTGCATTCCCCTGCCGATGATTCCGTCTCCGTGAAAGGATCGGCACCGGTGGCATAAACGCTGCTGAGTTGTGAAAGCAAACGCCCTGGAATCGCTGGTTTTGATTCGTTAGGGTTGGACTGTTTGCAGGGGCCGCAAGGCACACTAGGTGGACGCTTGGCGAGGGAGCCATCGCAGTAACTCCCAGTGGTTTCCTGCCGAGACAGCTGAGTTCCTTCTACTGCCCCTGCAGATCCACAGACGTTTGCCTGTTGTGGATCATGCGAAGCAAAGGGATTGGTAGAAATAGCGCTAGCCATCTTCGTGACGTGCAGTGTAGCCGGCTTCCCGGCGGACTCTATGGAGCGAACTTTGACACATTTGGGGGCGTACGCCACGGTTCGCCACGGAACATGGGCTAGGGCTTGTCAGAAGCAGCTAAACTCGTAGGAATACAGCTCCAGACGCAAGACGCCAAACCAGCGCTGGCGGAAAGCGCACATGCACCAGGGCATCAAAGGATAACTGGAGGCCTTTCAAGCCTCTACAAGCGCTGAAGGACAGCATTCCATATAATTCTACTTACAATGCGGCGGAACTGACCAAGACACTTAGTACTTCAGATCGCCTTATTGAGTTGTGAACTTGCCAGCCGCATCTAGATGGCCACAACACAGGTAGTTGTCTATGGCGTCAAAGGCAGAGCGCTCATAAAGAAAAAGCATACTTTTCGCACTAAAGGGAGCTATTGATTGCCCTTGATCTGATCATACTTGTCTGCTTGCCGGAGCCGACGACCCATGCAGCAACCAGCGTGGCACTCCGACAGAATACTGATCAGCCACGCGTTAATCACAATCTCACTAGCTTTATTCCGCATAGTGTGATTCACCATCTATACAGGAACGCTTTAATCGAGGGTTTCCAGCAATGCAGCAAGCAGGATTTGACAACTCTCTCTGTTGCTCACTCTCGCATGTGATATTCCCTTCACCAAGCCCTGAAAGCTCTAGGGAGTATCATAGTTTCTAGTACAGTCTAGTTGTTGAGCAATATTGAAAGGGTCCATTATAAAACAAATTTTATGTCTTGAAAGCTTTGAACTGGTGATCTTGGGTGACGGTGTAACCGCCTGAACTGACGTTCTTCTCCATCGCATCAGTTCCAGCCTTTTTGGCATGTGTTTACCATTATCACTGCGTAAGTCATCCACGCCTGGTCCGAAAATGGGTTGTTCAGTGCTTACTCTGCCATGTGATTGCTCCTAGTAGAACGACACCGCAGATTTGAGCGACATCCTTATGCTAAGCAAACTTTTACCACGCATTAAGACGTCTGAACTACAGACTATTGCTTTTTTGCTGAATTCATGTTTGCAGGCCACTAACGGCCCCCAGCCAACAAGCAAAACTTACGCTTGAAGTCGATAAGCATCATCTCGACGGGTACATCGCTCCAACAGTTTGTAAAACGGATCAACTAACACGGAAAATCCTACGTTAGGCATACAAAGCTCTGGGCAGATTCCAATCGAGCATGAAATTAATGAATCCGCGGCCCATGACTCTCTGGAAAGCGGGCCTATGGGCTGTAAAGATGCATCTAAGGTCTCCGCTGAACTCCAGACTTAATACAAACTTAGTAGAAACCTATTGAGTCTTTCTCTAAGCAGCTCTTGCCTTCCTCTTCCCGCGCGCTACGCATTTCCTCACACAAGAGAAGGAATACAGATAGAGTGAGCGCAGCTGCACCCTCTACGCACTCCAAGCATTCACAGCTAACTGCATTCAGCATCTAGCACACGCACACACATCATGGCTTCATATTGTATCAAGCTTACAGTACTTTTCAATAAATAACAGCTGCGAACTGGCAAACCAATAAATCAATTGTCTGCTCGCTCCAAAGAGGAACTGGGAGGAAAGGTGCGCTAGCCCACCTTTCCTTCTAGTTCTTCCTTGCCTCCCTCGTGTCAAGCCCACGCCCTCGTCTTCCGTACGTACGTGTCGAGACCGACACAGCAAGAATTCGAACGCTGCCGTGCACCCTCTCACCACTCTGAGGGGGAAAAGCAAGAAAAGGAGTACTAGTGAGAAAAGTCAGGGGTGTATCAATCAATATGCGAAATCAACGAAGAGAAAGATACACGCACTAACCAACAACAAACAAGAGCCCACGCCAACACCATCGCGGAAGCGCGATAACTCGCTGTTGTCGGAGTACCTTGCTGTGTGAGACTCCTGTTACAAGTAAACACGAAACAGGTACAATGTATAAGGGGCAACAAAATACATATCAGTTCAGCAGTTCCTGGCGGCTCGCAATGCAATGTCCTCATGCCAACTTTATTCTACAGGCCCAAAAGAAGCTTAGGCAAGAGTGAAGGCGTAGCTTACTTGAGAGCTCCAGCGCGTTACTCTGGTGTAGAAATCACCTTAAACAAGTATTCAAGCAATCATGTATGAAGATAGCAACTTCAGGCAAAGCTTGTGCTGGAGAGCGACTACTATGAAGGGTAGACAGGACAACCGACCATGGTGCCCAACGATGCAAACTGCAGGGCCGGAAAATCCACTGCAGGCAGCGAAGTCTGTAACTGCTTCTCTGCTAACGACGGTGTACTTGGCGCTCGATAATCCGAGAATCTGGCACCTCCACAGCTCCATATGGATGCTTTGTCTCCACACGGGACGATTGGCTGCACAGAAAAGTCGGCTGATAATGTGTACAATTTTGAAATTGCTATAGGAAGCCAATATTGATAATTTTTATAATAACTATTACTTTAAGGGAAGCTGATAGAGCAGGAAGGAGCACCGAATCTCGGGAAACTAGGTTCTACCCAGCTAGCCGTAAACGTCTTCGTGTGCTCCCCTTCTACTGCATCGTGTAAATCCTACCTAATCACCAGGATCCACTTGTAAGCCGCGAAACACACAGTCTATGTCAGCAATCGTACTTCCATCCTCGTTCTTCTTCGAGCTTTGCGCATGCATTCGCATGCCCTACCCAGCTGTCCTATGAAATCCTTCGCTACAAAAGGTTGGCTGCGGACTCCGGACCACCAGGTCCAGGCCCGGATCGGGGAGGGGCACCTCAGTGTAGACCAGGAATGAGGGAGACCAATGGCTAAATGGGTAAGCTGCCGTAATATACACCCAGTTAGCACAGCGAAGAAACTAAAGTCAAGCAATTAGACTATTGTGACCGTGGAGTGGCAAATACTGCATAAGAGTGTGTGTGGCGCGCACCATCTGTACATCTGGCGTAGGGCGGGTCATAGTGCTCATGATTTGGTCAGTGTGTACGTGGGTAATAAGAGCACGCCAGAAAGCACTGATGAGCTTTCGATCCCTGGAAGTAATAAAGCTCCTACGAATCCTGTGGAGCCTTTAGACGCGCGTTCGCATAGAACAAGCCATGATGAGCTGTGACCGGGCTGGGAAGTGAGTTGAAATGGATAAATTTGCTGAACGTGTCAAGAACGACGTAGACGCATGTATGCTCCACCACACCGCAAAGAGACCCGTTTTCTCGCACTGGATAACGGTGCTGGGTTCGGGATGAAGCCATGAGAACAAACATTTTGAATAAGTCGCAGCCTCGGAGAGCAAAATCGCACCCATCTTAGCGTTATGTGCATCGGTTCGATACATATATCCGAGCAAAACCAGCAGTAAAATTTTAAGCAGTAAGATGGAACCTCAAACAGCTTTGCAACGTCCTTACAGGTGCTTCTGGGTAAAAGCGATGCCTTGATTGGTTTTAGTTTAGCCGGATACGGCCCAACTCCAGTCAACTCCCGGAAAACCGCTGTACCACAAAAACCCAGCACTTGAGTGCCTTTTCAGACCACAGTTTTCCCGGCAGCAACTGGAAATTCACGCACTCCATGCAGTGCATCTCTCGAAAGTTTCGGTTGAATGTGAAGACGTCGTCCCTGGAGACAGCCATCTACCCTTGCGTCCGTCGTTCTGCTGGAGTGTTAACAATTCTCAGCGGCGTATATCTATAGTTGGGTCTAAAAGTGCGTTTGAAAGTGCATGTTATGTGGGTGATTGAGGATTTGTGAGAAGGTATCTGTAAATTTAACAATCGAGTACGCTCTTGTTCCGTGTATTTTATCCAGCAATCTGCCAATATGAAACGTGGGGAGCTTCTGATCCACACAAATCCTGTTTTCTGGCTTAAATTCACGCTCGTGCGCTACCTTTCGTCCATTTTTGAGCACCGACACCGGGCAATGTTTAAAGGTGTTGCTGGACCATTGCTTATCTATCTCGACAAACCATCCGCCTGCCTCTTCAGCTATTCTTCCTGCTTTGGGGACTTTTGATAAGGGAGAACATAAACTGGTGTTGCTGGCATTATCTCATTACGGTGCCTGCTCGATCATCAGGTTGCCAGCCTGCTCATAGTGCACATTCGCGTACACTATCTTGATATTTGCCCACTCCTGCTGTATATTGACTGATGACTCACTTAAATTCCTTAGTAACGATCCAGGGGCAGAGCCAACACAACGGGATGCATGCTCGTATCCGCCTTCTTGTACTGCGCTGCTGAGCCGTCCGCATAAGGACTCTGCTTCTTCTGGCTGAGGCACCAACTCTATATCGATTACCATACACAAAATAAGCGTTGTTGAGCGAACCAGGAGGCCCTGATTTCTGGCGCCCTCTGGCACATTAATCTTCACAGCGCGCAGCTGTGGACGAATACGCGCCTTCCATTGGATCACCTATGCCATATCCATGATACATGAATCAAACGTAGGAGTCACGGACTGACCAGGTGGTAGCCCTTTATGGATCGAGGTGGCACTTCAGGGTAGTAGCGTCGCCATTATCTAGGTTCTGTCGGGCTTCATCAAATCTGAGCCTCATTAACTGCGCCGTCGAGCAAATAAGCAGGCTGCACTTCTGCGCCAACTCCTCAAATGACATTACCACTTAAAGTGCAGCATCAAGTAACGCTAGCAGTGCTTTACCATCAATCGGAGGTTGCGTCAGTGCACAGTTTACCCTTGATGGGTTCCCAAGTGTGGCTATTTCCTTTGCAGCCCCATTCCCTGCGCCAATATCGGGGTGAGGGTCTTTTGATATACCTGAAGCATCTTCTTTGCTGCCAACGAGTCTAGTTCCACATGGCACAATTCGCTTGTTAAGTTTTTTGGCATTTTCATGCGTTCGCAGTGCTAAGCTATAAAATATTATCTAAACTCTTACAACACAAGCAAGTGTGCCGTTGAGGGGCTGTCTGAGGCTGTCTAGAAGCACGGGCTCCCTCTGACTTCCTTTTTCGTCCAGCTTAGACAGCAGGCTAGGAATGTGTGGCACAATATCAACATTTATCCGCCTGAAAGGTGCGCGTATGCCTAGCTCAGAAATACGCAAGCTTGAGTATTTACTGAAAGGTCTGCTTTGAATATAGCCTCATCTCTACTCCAAATTTAAAATTGAAAGGCAGGTATCTCATCAAAGTCTTGAGCTTAGCCTTAGTTTGGTGCGTAGTCGAGCTGAATTCAAACAAGTTTGCACTACTATCAGAATTGGTCAGGGTAAGCAGAGAAAGCGGAGCGATTGCCAGAGCACTTTACTCCTGCCCTATTCAAATTCTGCATAAAGGCAATATATATCATAAGGGGGAATAATGGTTACAGATTCCTTGTTTGTGAAGCTAAATTCACCTAAAACTGACTATATGCAGCTTTAAGACGATTCTGGGCAATCACAAGTTCGTGTAATTGTGATATAGGTGAACTTGACTAGGTTCTCTCCGAGAAGCAAACTTATTGTACGGATGCTTGATGTGCTCAGATACTCAATTTCCAGGTGGTCTTTGCTGGCCTAGTCGAACGTGACCTTGCACTGTTGAGTGGTATTAAGGTCATAGAAGCCCCACCGACTAGGCAAGTGCTGATAACCGACTCCCGCTAATTCAGTTTCTTGTATGGATTCGAAACTCTTCAAAATTAAGACAGTTTTGCTTTTACAACAAACGGGAATGCTGTTTAACCCTTTCGTTGGAGGTATCAGGCAAGTTGCAATAGCCGCCATGTCTAAACGCACCTTCCCAATGAGGTCCTTCGTGATCCTTGAATTATATGGCAGATATCCTTTACCAAATGATGCCTTGGCGGATAGCGAAGAATCCGCACATTCACACTTTTAGTCATGGAAATCTGAATGGCATCCGCGTTCCACAAAACAGTGTTTGGGTGAAATTCCGGCTTGAGTGAAAGTATTGTTTCTTCCAATGGAGCTTATGCCATTTAAGCCACCCCAAAAAAAGATACACTGAAATATTCAGAGAGTGTGTCATTTGCCCAATTATGAAGACATGGAAATGGCAAACTTCGAATTGAGTGGGCGTGACCTTGGCATGGGAAATGATATCATATCATCTTCAGGTCAGGCCACACTCCGTCACAGCCGTACTCATACAACGGCTTGTCATTTTCTCTGGTTTGGGTTCTTTTTTCAGATGTAACCGCGTACTTCGTCGCTGTGCTGATGGTTTTAGCTGCCCAAGGCTCGCGCACGTTACTAACTCAAATGCCTTACAGCGTTTTTTGAACCCTAGAAGCTGGTTCTAGGAAGCTCATGAAAATGAAGCTTGATCGATCCTCACCTTTTGTACTATAAATTATCATGTACATCAGGAAGGTTACGCTACTTGCATTACGCAGTGCATCTGAAGCGCAGCTCTCACCCAAGCTTGATGCGTGCAAGCAACTGGATATGCGTCTCCTTAAAGGGAAGGTAATCAAGGCAATAGTTGTATGTGGCACAGTAGTTAGTACTAAAAATGCCTTTTTGATGAAAACGTGCTCAAACAGGAGAGGAGTTCCCTTTTTATTGCCCTCAAAGCAATGAAAACAAGGTCCACAGGGAGGAAAATGAAAAAAGGAGCCGTTGAAGGGAATTTTTAGAGCAAGTGAGATATGCCTGCAGCTTAGGCTAGCCACCAATCCTCCACGAATTATCTTTACGGCATTTGCACCCTCAGATACTCATTGACTCCTATTGATCATGATTTTTCCGTTATGCCGATAGTGCCACAGCTTCACACAGTAGGAACCTCATGCAGTTTCGTGCGTTATAACCTGAGCTGGAGAGGAAGATTCGAGCAAGTGTAGCAGTACGAGTGTGGATGCGTGAAAACATGCATTCCCTGTACATCACTCGTTTCTTCCACTCGACAACAAGGTTTGGGTGATCTATTAGTCTGAATGAGCAGGCCACAAAGCTGGTAAGGAGATTAAGCACGCAGACTCAAAGCTCATTTCCAATAAGAGCACAGTGAATGTTATTCAAGTGCAAATTCGAAGATTTTCAGCATTCCCATAGAAACGCTTTAGTGTATATAAAGTCCTGTGAATCAGATTTAACTTGCACACTAACTTTTTATTGAATTCTATGCGCCTTTGCAACTCCAGCAATTTTTGTACTTTTGCTGTGTACATTCAAAGTGCCTAATTCTGGATAAGTTGATGCAACTTCGGTGCATGGGTGGAAAAAAGCTGTTGAGTTGAACGGATATTTGTAGTTGGGTTCAGGAAAAAGGGTATGAATCCTATTTCCACCAGAAAAACTGTATCGGGCAGGCTAGTATATGTATGTCCCGGTCTAGAAACGAGATCCTGTTGCTCTGCAAATATGCGACCTTGAGGTTGGAGTGGATCTGTGATCTGAATATCTCACCAGATACCCCAGAAATGAAGCCCTTAATGCTTGAACTATGTTACTGAGGTCATTTTTAAATGTTCCAGTGTATATCCAGCATCGACAAAGCGTTTTCCCAGAGCAAGGATCTATGCGCGCAGGATTTACTGCTAGTGCTCCCAGGTGAGAAACTCCGGATTTGAAACCATCCAGTATGCTTTAAGTAGTCCAATCAGCTACTCGATTATTTACCGCCTTCTAGACATACATTATTGCGAAGTATAGAATGATGCAAGCTCTGCAAAGTGCCTGTAGAGTAGCAGGAGCCAGCCTACCCGGTGACCGTCTGACGACCGATGCACATGCGGTCGGTCTGTCACAAAACCATTATCCTTTTCCCTCAACTATGGTGGAAATCGAATTATAATTGCTGCTGATACCTTGCTAATCCTTATCCTTCCACTGTTGCAATGTACTACTTCCCATATTCAGATGTACCCTGCGCAGATAGGCGTATATCCTGACTCACTTTTTCGACAAGTATGGGAGCTAGCTGCAGGGCATTTCACAGATTGCCTGCGTTACGGAGTTCCTACTAAAGAGAACTAGCGCATGGGCCAAGTTCTTTCTGAATTAATGTTGGTCAGCTGCACTTCGCAGGAAGACCGTCCTGCCAAGTGACCTGCTTGAAGAATTACCTTCCGCAGCACCAGGGCACTGCATGCCCCTTTCCTCTGGCAAAACCGCGACAAAGCTCTCAGCTGCTGGAGGGAACTGTTGCTTCCCCTTATAGTGAGTTGTGAAGCAGTACTCTATACTATGGAGCAAACACTCCACACGCCACTTCCGCACATAAAGGCTCCAGTAGAGCCTGTGAAGGCTCCTACAGAGCCCGTAAAGGCTCCTATAGTAGCCGCTATGAAACCAGAAGGGCTAGGCGAGCTGGGTGCTATGTATCATCCGTCGGGTGCTTGGGACACGGCATCCACTTCCAGCGGCGGTCCTTCTATCAACAGCTGCTCAAGCATTGTGCAGCCAGTTAGCAGTTCCACAAACAGGTTATCGTCGTCGTTTGATGAATCTGATGTCAGCTTAAAAAGCAACAGAGGCGATATGCCTTCCACAATTAAGCATCAGTATGTCGGTGTCTTACCAGGTGTTCTGTCCTCCAGCTCAGCTTCCGGTGGGCTTCCTTCAAAGGCTGTGGCCATTCCCGATATGTCGCCAGCATGGGGCCAGTACCAAATTAGCACTACACCGGGGACTTGTACGCCGCTATACTGCAGCTTGACGCCAACTAGGATCCCATCCCAACAAGGCCCTGCTTCTGGCGACGTTGATGAATCACAGGCGCAGCCGGCATATTTGGAGCCAGCACACCCTCATAGGAAATGTGTACACTCTTCTGAAAGTCTTGTGGAGTTACATACAGACAAGAATCCTTCTTATAATCGAGAAGGCGGTGCATTGGGGAGCCGCAAGCTGTCTCTTTTGCTTAACGAAACACCACTGCAAGTGGATTCACTGCCACAGGAGGTGCAAGCAATGCTTCACAAAGAGGGAGAATCAGTAAGCCAGGAGCTGCCGGTATCTGTCCCACGCTGGTTTGACGCTGAAACAGGCTGCATCCGTCATGAATACCTTCCTGAGCTCCCAAGTTACCGTATGACTCTTAACACTTCCGTTGCGAAGCTCTCGGCAGCATCTCGCGTTTACCAGCGCACCCGATGGCCTGGCGAGCCCGCCAAAGTGGCCTTCTCCGGTTCTCAGCCCTATAAAGCCAGAAGCATCCGGCGTATTTCTTGCCCTGAAACTAGTATCCTTCGGAGAAAGTCCGACTTTGTCTCCGCATCATCGCAACCCCAATCAAATATTCAAGCACCAGCAGAAACCGCTAGACATGCCAGAAATACTGTACTCTCTGATGTGTCCGGAGGTCTTGCAGCGCGCAATCGGCGCGTTCGTTTTGCCACCGTGGCGTCCGCCAGAGAATACACAGAAAGATCTCCTTCTCCGGTAGCCGGCGTTTCAATGGTTTCAGAGCCACCGACGCTTGCAGGCCTTTGCCAAGATGATCCTTGGGGCACCCCAGAAGACGATAGACTAGTACAGTTCCTGCCGGGCGACAAGATCTCCTCGACACGAGCCACAAAGCTTCTCGACTGCATGATGGAAATAGTTCAACGGCTCTTAAAGCATTCATCGGTACACAGTGCAGACCACGCGCAACTGGAAACAAGCTTAAGACTGCTCCAACACTTTGGAACAGAATGTGTGGGCCGAGTACCGGCGCTTTGTTTCCTGGCAGACACTTTGGAAGCCTGCGAGCAGCTAGTGAAGGACAAGCTACCTGAGGAGGAGGCAGCATTACTATTGCTGCTGATAGAAGCGACTAAAAAGCCGCTGCTCTCGCGAGAGGCGGTTCTGAGACTCCACCGTATTAAACAACAGATGCGATACCCACAGTATCTCGATTTGTTCCTGACTCCCTTAGAAACCCTGCAGGTATCCTAAAGTACCATTCATACACGGGCTACGCCAGCTGTCCTTGGGCCTGTATTCAAGCTATTCATTTAGCTTCCACTGGACATTCCTACATAGAATCGAATAGAGGAAAGCGCTAAGGTTTCGCTAGCAGCAATACTGTGATACTTCCTTCTGAATTGCAGCGCCTTCGGATCTGCGACAGACGAAAGGCTACCACGAGGCTTTCCCTTTACGCCGCGATTGCTGATGAGACCCTTCTGGATCCTGCGTGCAAAGTCCACGCCAATGCCTTTCTAGTGTAAGTGCACGCTTACCCCTGTGGATAAACGCTCGTGGTGGGGACAGTGTTCAACTGATATTATGCTGCGTTGTTGCTACCTTTAATGAATCAAGCTACGTAGCACTTCACTAGAACCTGTTCCTAGAAAATAGTTTTGCTGTAGCTGGCTATATGCAGCTTAGGTTTTGTTCCCGCCCTTGCTCCATAGCTTGCTTTCATCCCGTCATATCTGTGGACTCTGACATGTCGTGTACAGAAACGACTCGGCGTGTGGAATCGTTACTTCACGACCATGGAACGGCAGCAAAAATCCCAGAGCATTTGCAGTAGACATCCTTAAGCTGTGTGAAGAGGATATTCTGGCAAGTCAGCAACGAATGAAGTGTGACGAATCTTCTCCATCTGGTCAACAAGCAAACCCCAGAAAAGCAAGCAGCATTACCATGATTATTGAGAGTGCCTTACGTAGAACGTCAGAACTTGGCACGTGCAGTATGGGCCTGCTAGCACTCGACGATGCAGGTTAGCACAGCTATGATATTTGGTCACCAGCATCGCCAGCATTGAGCGTACTCTCCACCCCGTCTTACACCCAGCAACCAATAACTCGAATGTGCCACTCCGAATGTATGAATCCAAACAGCATCTATAGTTTTTCAACGTGAGAGGTACATTTTATCCTCTGATCTGTTGCTGTAAGCTCAGCTGCTAATCCAATGTGATCTCACAGAACACGTTATTGGTGGGATCATTTAATTGTTAGAAACAATTGTGGTGCGATTTCAGGAGAAAGATTGCGCTTCGCTACTTGTGGATTCGTGAGGCTTCTCGTCCTAAGACGGTCTTCTGCTTCTGGAATTTTGTCTCGAGTGGCTGAGGCACCAGTGAGGAATGCTGCTGTCGCTGCAGAGACGCAGTTGTTCAAGTGGCCCTCAAAAAAGGAGCTGATCGATGATATTGCTCGCCAAGCCGAATGCCAGGACACCAGTGGAGTGGACACTTCCAAGGGAAGTGTGGACCCTGCAGCGCGAAGGCAAGCTATAGCGCAATAGCTTTGCTACATTCTCACGACGTGTTGACGCAGAGAGCTGCATGCTGAGGCAATTTTTAGCGCCTTGAGGGGCTGGAGAAAAGCCGTTTTCACATTCCAAGACCTTCTGTCATAGTGTAGGTTTCACTGTTGTTCTCTAGCTTCTGTGTACAATTGCAAGTGCATCCTCAGGCAGGCCTTGCTCAGAGTCATTGAGTGGGCGGAAAATGGTAATGGATGGAGCTCTCGAGGCCTTGTGGAGCAAGAAGTGTCTGTGCAAGAGGGCGATTTCTTTATCATGGCGGATGACAGTGAGTGCTGCATAGTTTAAGAGCGATCCGTAAGCCTTTCCTTGTGGGGCATTGCTCAAGTCCAACAAAAAGTGGAATGCACGCAATGTGCAAAGCTCTTGGAAGGCGCGTAACAGCCACATTCTAAGCGACCTAGTACAAAGTTGGGGGAAAAACGCACAAAAAGAAAGCAACAGTGTAATTGCTACTGTCTGTTCAGTTTTGTTCGATATCGTTAGTAGCGAAGAAATGCGCCACTTGTTTTCATGCTGTCTTACACCAGAAGAGGTACGCCACCAGTTGATATTTGTGGTAGACACCTGAGAAATAAGCGCACCAGAATTCATACGTAGTAGGGCTCGCACACATACATGCTCATTTTGAACAGTGAACGTTTAGTCTGTTGTCAAGTTCCTGCAAACTGTCTTGCTCTACATGTTTCAGGGCAAGGACGCCACTGACATTTCGCTGTGCATATCTCCCACTTGTCTTCCAAATCTTTTAAAAAGGCTGTGGAAGCAACGGGTACCAGATGTGCAAGCGTTGCTGTCCCGTGTGAAGGACAAGCAACAACGAATTGCTGCCCACGCAATTGGCAGGCGTGGTGTGCCAGAGACGCTTGAAGCTTGCCCCTTAGACCTCCCGATTGTGGCTGGATGGATTCGTAATAGGAAAGATCATATGGAAGGCGAAGACAGCTAAATGACCCACTTTGGCACTCACTGAGCCCGCGCAACACTCGTTGCTCTCCACACAGCACTGAAGCTTTCCCACCGCGGACAGAGGCGACAGGAGCACTCGTTGGATGTGAACCCGCGTTGGCCAAGAGTCTGACTTTGGCCAGTCTGTTGTCATAGGAAGATCCCCCGCCACTTTTATTGTGGTCTTCTGATTTTAGCCCAGAGGCTAAACGAGGAATGGCTATGTCCAATGGAAAGTTCTTCACTCTACTAACATATCCTACTCTCAATTAGGGAGCTAGAGCACAGATGCACCATAGGAAGAATGGTGACAATCAAGGCACCAAGATGATAATCACACAGCACGACTGCACCTAGCGTAGCACACCCGTCGTCTTCAACTTTACAAAAAGCACAGTATAGTGGCTGCTCATCCGAAGGGGCCGCCAAAATACACGGGATTTTCTGTGGGTAATTTTACACATTTGTGCTTTTTAAAACGGACCCACGGGGCCCATTGCTTAATAGGAAGCACTAAAGCTACAGACAACAGCATAGAGTTCTTCGCACCCGCAAACGCCTGTTCGACACCCCTATACCGCCAGTTGTGCAGAGCAAATGGAACTATTAGAGAAAAACACTAAACAAATTTACCGCCTTTTCACGTGCGAGTCATTCACTTCTAGTGCCCAAAGGGCACTTAGATTTCTACATACGCCCATCCTGACGCAAGCCAAAGGATGAGCACCCAATGCGTTGAATGAAGACCAAGGGCCTGGAAGCCCCAAACGATGCCCTATTGCATTATGGAGCCTTGCTGCGTAGCCACAATTCGTAGGTCTCTAGGCGGCATGTGGATCTTACTACAACGCACGTAGGCGAGTTAACAAGCTGAAGGGTTGATTGAGAGGGGCAACAGATAATGTGCAGGCTTCACTTGATGCATCATAGCCGAAGGATACCAGTGACCTAAAACCCCAGCCTGGAGGTACTACACAATCCGTATGCGCAGCAGCGCTTTCAGCCAGGACTGCAACTACGGCGAAAATATTGAATGCAACACAATTGTTCCCCACCGCAAGCGTCTGGCGCGTGTGACACCCTATCACAAGATCATCTCTCCACCGTGAGGGCACCACAGCAAACATAAAAAGGCATTTTCGATTCCTTCTCTGCGCCTATATAAATGCACACATGTGGCTTTGGTGGGCGAAGATAAAGTGTTACTCCGCGGGTCTGGTTTGTGATAGTGCAGACAGTTTTATAGGCTTGAAGAGCCGCCGTTGACGAAGTAACCTCACTCCGCCGCCGCAGTCTGTCTAGGGACGTACTGCTTCCGCCCATCGACACTCCAGCCCTGCCCTCTGCTCCTGCCTCTCGGCCGCCATCCTCCACGCCCTGAATGCAAATGCCACAAATGCACTCACGACACTCATCGTTCAACTGAAGAAGCTCTCGCCCAATGCCCGAGACAGGCCCTGACTGCTACTTCTCGAAGGTGTGGGTGGTGAAATTTTCTACGACGAAAAAGGCCGTCCCTTACATGACTCATGGCTGTAGCCATCAGAGCCTCCAGACCTACAAAAGGCAGCAAAGAGTATCAGGGGACGCAGCTTTTTACGCTAATCTGGCGGCATATGACTTCGAGCACTGAAGAAATAGAGGCACTTAGTTTCTCAGCCTACGTCATCAAGCTGCAGTGCTCACAGATAGAAGCCCTCGAGGCAGGGGCATTTAGGAGCTACAAAGCATCCAACAGTATTACCTGCCGCCACGGGGAGCGCGTGGCCCCCAATTATCTCCCCGGCGTCCCCTCCCAAAACTGTAGAATCCACCCCGTCTGCCTGCGTCTCATACGATGCAACATCAAACTACGGGGAGTGCTGCAAACGCATGCGAGCAAAGGGAACCGTTTCGCAGTCAGATGGCTTAGGTGCACGTCATTAGGGCACGTGGCAACTGGCTGTCACTACAAGACGTACTGGATCGTCCTCTGGTCCAGCTACTGGCAGTGGTAAGGGCCTCAGCATCGTCCTTCTGCAGCTGCTCCCACATATCATGCTTCCACACACCCTTGTCTTCATCCGGCGTCCAAAGCTTCTTACTTTGGCCCACACTGCAAAACGAGACGCAGAAAGGGTCGCCACCGCGCATGACTTGAGCACAAGATACGAGCAGCTGGAGTGCGGCATCTCGCATCGCCATGCGTTGCAAAAAGACGTTAAAACGCCCTCTAAAACCGCCATTCAAGCCGCAGAGGAACTCACCGAGTCTGCGTGCTTTTAGGCAACGACGTTTCGGGATCGCTATCGGAGGTTTGCTTTGATGCCTCAGACTCTTCGCCGTCGCAGTCGCGCCGGTCGTCGTGTAAGAAGTAGCGAGTTTCTCTAGGAACAAATGAAGGGTCTTCTTGCATAAGCTGCGTGCAAAAGCATTCAATGTTGCTGCTGCTGCTTCCCACCCAACGCCAGGGCTAGCAGACATGTCAGTGGGAAACAGCAACACCGACCAACCTGCCATGTCGTCTTTATTCTAGGCTTGCCACCATCACCACGGGGGATTCCTCGGCGCGGTCCGCCAACGTCCGTCTCTGGAACCGCTTTTCTACTGCTTCGAGTTTCTGCATCAGCTGGTGCCTCGGCAAAAGCCTTTGTACGGTTTGTGCTGACCGCGAAGTGCCCACCCGTCACAGCAGGCTCAGCAACACAGCGAGTCGAAGAAGAGACTCCGACGTCAACTGCGGTGTCTGAGCTGCCGCCAAGAGCGTCGACACCACGAGACGACTCCTCTTCGTCGCTTCCAGAGCTTACTGAAGCAGACATACACCACTAGCGAATAGGCGAGCGTCGCGTGACAATGTAGGCGTGCGATGGACTGTCTGCGATGGCATAGCAATAGCTTAAGAGTTGCTCTGCTGAACAGCTTGAAGGATATGATGACATCCTGGAGCAATAAGTACAGTGAGCACGTGAGAATGCCGAAAGAAATGGAAGACCAGTTGCCGTGCTGCGGGCTGTACGCAGTCCAACGCAAGCGCTGTTTCTACGTGCACACACGCGCCATTCGAATGCGCGCATGTACCGCTGCCTTATTACCAACAACCCACTTTCCGACTTGTCATCAAAGACGTCGCCTTCGTCTTCCTCTTGTGATGAAGCTCGGCGCAGGTTTCGCCGGTTGCCCATCTCGATGGAGAGCAGTCACTGCAGGGGCCAAATGCGAGTGGATATGGCTATGTCGAAGTACCGTAGCTTTCAGAGCACCAGTCGCCCTGCGCCTTCGGTCCGTCGGAGAGGCAACGTGGCTCGAACTAGACCATGAACCAGAATCTCGAATGCTTAGAAGGAGGCGACTTGCACGCTTCCGCAACACGGGGTTCTGTGATTCTACACATAAGCTCACTACCACGGGCACTTTAATGGAGCATGGGTGGAGATAGCTACTTGGACTGGCGAGAAGCATACACGTACTACGCCGCAGGCACTCTATGCCCAAGGGATGGAATGCCAGAGCGCAGCCTACACCAAGAACGCATTGCTGGCGCCTCGATGAGGTGCCTTCAGCATGAAAATTTTGTACAGAAACCCTTCTAGGATGCTTTCGGCAGTACTGCTCATAAATGTCTTGGCACCTCTATGCAAGCGAATCGCATCCTCTGCTCAGAATGGAAGATCTCCTTATATTTCTCATGAAGCTCCAGGCATTAATTGCTGAAGTAACATACACTGGGAATCCCATGGGTGCATTCGATAAGCCTGCCTATGGCATTTGCGCGGAGCATGCACAAAGCAGCCACCAGGGGTACGGCCGAAACGTCCTACGCCATATGTGGCAAAGCCAATGGTCATATCCACAAATTTGCATTAATCAATCCAACTATGTTCAATTCATGTTTCACACGGAAGTGCGTCCTTTGAGCATGAAAGTACCAGCCATTTGTCGAGTCGCAGTCGAACCTGCAACGCAAGGCGGCCCCGCAGAGCACAATCCTGGTAGTGACCTTTCAGATAGCTGTACTACTAGTTCCATAATCAGCGTACTTTTCCGTTCGTAAGCTTCCTTGGCGCCCTCCGTTGACTAGCCGCAGATGTCTGTCTGTTCGTAGCGGTATACGCCAACCCCACAGAAACGGACGGCGTATACAAATTGCGCCACTATGTGCCGTTTTTGCTTTTCTTTTAGAGCGTATATCATATACTGCTGTAAGCGATGCGTTAGACTTATCTGCTCTGGCTGAGCTGGAGTACTAGAAGCTCTTCTATGGTACATGACAAATAGAGGCACACCGGAAGGCGTGTGCAGACTCCGCTCTCTTCCTCACGCACTATAGCAGGTTAACTTATGAGACAAGCATAATTGCAGGAAGCTTGGCTTTCAACTTAATATAGGTACAGGCTATTTTCTTGCGCGGAGAAGCACCTAGTGTGCTATCTTTAACTCTGCAAAGCCGACGTCATGCGCAAAGCATCTACGCTTCTGTACAACAGCTCAGCCAATAGCTTCCAGCCGACCATCAGCTTCGAACTCCTTCTCTACGATATCTGCGAGGACCAGAGTGGTATATATATATGTACTGTGCTCTCCTTACACACCATTGCCATTACGAGTTAACGTTCAAACGATCGAAGTAAAGGTCACACCGTCGAGTCGGACAGACTAGCGAAAGCGCTTCAAGGACAAACTGAAACTCCAGTTTAACAAACATAGAGCTTCAAATATTGCTGGCTAGTACAGCTTCTGTTTAACTGATACATCGGCTTATTATTAAAATAGCTGACGTGTAAATTCACACACATTCCTCTGTAGCCGATTCCACCCTCAAGGCAAAACCAATGAAACAAAGAAACCGGCGAGACAAAGGACCTGATACTAATTTGAGAGAGGCTGTTGTTTCGCCTCTTTATTTATTCACATAGAAACGGGCACAGATACAGGTGCATGCATGTAGCTATTGCAGTTTTGCTGCAGGAGGCGATGGGCCAGGCTTTCTGTCGCCACCCTGGCGGAATAGCAAAATTAGCATAGCCACTGCCATCAGAGCATGAACGCAGTAGTCATCAGGACACTGTCTGGGCGTTCCAGATTGGCTTTGAGCTCTCTCAGATTCTGTTTACCAGCCTCCCTTTCTGCAGCATCATCCGTCCTTTCAAGCCCTTCACGGCCCCCGACATGTGTAGCGTAACCCCCCTCCTGTCGCCGCTTTTGAAGGCGTTCGCGTGTTTCCGCTTCTTCGCCTTCCTCTGGGGATTCCTGTTGTTCCAGGGGCTGCTCTTCTGCAGGCTCGTCGAGATTGAATTCGGAATCGAGGCCATATCCGCTTTCCGAGGCGATGTAGATTTGATGCTGACGCACAATAGCTAATGCCATCTGCAGTATGTGTGGATGCTTTACAGTCCCTATGCCCAACAATGACAACGCAAAGGGTGACAGCCGGCGAAGGAACCGATGCGAATATCAAACCGCGTGGTAAGTGCAATATCAGTTAAGGCGTTGTAAAGGCTGGAGGGGTGACCTTAGATACAAGGGTCACGCTGTGATGCAAGTGAGCTCCAGATGGAGATAGTATTTGCTTACCAGCCCAATTGTAATACATATGGCACAGCTTGTAGGAAACTACTGCAAGGAAGTGCCTCGACCAGTCACTTTCGTCTGCAAACGCTAAGCAAAGGCTTCAGTTTGGCTAGTGTAAGTTGCTAGCCTTTGCAAAGCAAACCAACTGCAAACTCCTACAACCTAGAAAACGTGTACGTGGGTACTGCCATGGACCTAGCTCCGTAACAATTGCATGCACTCTCACAGCTACTCCTAACGCTGACAGTTTATGGCTCTCTTGGCAGTCGTATTCGGCAGCAGCAAGTCGATACTGTGCGAACGGTTCCCCGTACTTGCTATAATGTGGAATTCAGATGCTGAAGGAGATCCTCTTGTTGGATCAGCCGTTCCAATAAGGAATTTCTTTTCAAGCGTTGCCGTGTCTGGGGATATTGGAATAATAGGACCACTGTTCCATCGCAGCAACACAGTATACACAATGCGGGAGGTTCTTGATTTGCTGGCTGGCTCAAATACCGTTAGTTACCCGCATGCGGAGTTCGATAAATACAACTGAGAGCGCATGGACCAACCTGTCAATGTAGGATCCAACTGGGAGCCCCTGAACACCGTCCCTGCCCCTCATAAAGAACCTCATTGGGCTGGCAGGCCGGTGTGGGTTTACCAGCACATTGAGGTGCACACGCTGAGGCGAACACAGCAGCGGGAAAAGACTCATGGCCACTTCTTTAAATGCGTTATACCAGTTGTCATAAGCGCGAAGACGGGGCCCTGGTTCAAGAGTACATTGTTGCATAGCAGGATACCTTATAAAGCTGGGACTATCATTATTTGTCGCTGCACCTGGATTATATGCGAGATAATTGCCTTCCTCAAATACACAGTACTGCCTAGCCTAGGCTCGTTTTTATGAAATTTGACTTCTGGGGAAACGTAACCATCCAGAGCAATAATCACTCCGTTGGCTTCTGCACAAGCAAAAATCCGATAGAAACTGAGCAGCATCTATGACAACACATTAAGCAAGGTCTTGTACAACAAATCTGCAAAGTACTCGTCTAGACGAAGCAATATTGGATGTCTTAGTGGGGCTGAAATAGGAATGCTGACCGTGCGGCGTCGGTTCGTCGGCAGTAGCGGTGAACGTCAACTTGATTGGCTGGAGCCATCGATAATTCGACCTTGCATAACTCAGGAGACGATGAGTGTCTGGGAGTACAACGCCAAGTTTGTCTTCTGCTTGAATGACCTGATCACAGAAGTATTGTTCGGAGCAAGCACTGCCCGAGAACATGGAATGACTCGAAATTGGCCCCGCGCGTTGGCATTCTTATTCCAGTATTTCCGCTATTCTTCTTTTCATTTAAGGAGCAGAGCCAGTCAGCAAGGCGGCCAACTATCACGCAGCGGCTACGCGGGATCAAACGATAAAGTAAAATGGGAAAGCGTCCCCTGAGTACTTGCCTGGTGAGGTTCTGATTCAGGCCAGAAAAAAGTGCAGATGAGAAGTCCAAGCGGCCTGTAGAGGGGCACAAATCCCTCTTCCATCCTGACCCTGAGGATGTTCCGGCCTTGTGAGGTAAGGGTAGGTCCATCGCAGGACAAAATAGCCCCCTTGTAATTTATATGTGCCCCAATGTCTTCCGCTTTGCCAGAAAATGCCTCCAAGTCGGTTTCCCGACACATTCGCAGAGCACACTGAAAAACGCCCTCTGGGAAGGCAGCTGCAACGGGATGCTCAATAGTCAGTTCGCGCTTTTCTGACGAAAACTCAATTTTACCCAAATCAGCTTCGATTACGTCCCTAATCGCTGCGACCTCGTGAGCCAGAACCTCTTTTATCTGCGAATTTCCACTCGGCGCAGACCTGTATATGAGCAGGTGAGCTGGCGCCGGCCTAGAATGTCCTGCGGCCACATCTAAGTGCCTAGTGAACTTTTCCCAGAAGAGTTGGAAGTGCCTAGCCATGTCTCTTACGACGCCAGCGCGGTAGTTCGGAGGATCTGATGCTCCAATATGGCTAATGAACCGCGTGTGCTCGACGTTCCTCCCGCCGACGATTCCTACTACTGCGCAGCGAGAGCTTGCAGGCCTGCTCAAAACATGACATTGTATGTGGCGATGGACAGTGGGAGGCTGAGCAGCTCAGGCGCAATCTCAAATTGTGCACGAGCCCGGATCTCGAGCACATTGAAAGGCTGGCTGACATCTTAGTAGCCCACGCAAACGAATGGCACTTGCGCATGCCATAGCCACCTCAACATAGCATATAGCACTCCCTGATAAAAAGAATACCCGAAAGAGTTGACTGCAATGCCAATGGCCCGCGCGATCTCGGAAACCTTCGTGGGCGGCGCCTGGGATGGCTGAGTTGAAGACATCTGTATACCGCATTGTGACACCACAGCATCCATGACTAGCTTCAAGCCGAACGATGTTGCATTGCAGCTTTGAGACTCACTGATAGACTCGCGTCTCCCCATGCGCTAACAGCACTGACCTTAACAGGTGCTTCTCTTAAGGGCGCGAGCGGCTGGTCAGCCGCCCAAGGAACACCAGCACGGGATTCCTCGTCAGTGATTTTTGTTTGAAACTGTAGGTAGACATTCCACCACATGTTCATCGACTTATCCTCCGGCTTGTTCTTGAAATTCTGGAGGGTTTGCAGCTTGCAGCATTGTACTGGAAAGTCCATTTGAACTGAAACCTGCGCGCAAATGCAATCTCACCTACAAGCCGATATCGTTTGCTGTGAGAGCTCGAAGGGTTAGGCACGGAACTCAGCTTTTCCCTCTACCCTCCGTCTAATGTACCCATAATTGATTAGTCGGGCACAAATGCTTATTTGGTTGTCGCACACATCAATGTTTAAACTCCTTGGATTCAGCACGCTGCACTGCTCATAGTAAGTAGGTCCGTGCACTCTTTTGCATCTGTGTGGACTGGGATCTCCAATAAAATCTATTGTGAATCCGAATTGCGTACCTGTTTGGCGGCTATGCGTACTCTGTTGTTGACCTCATCTGAATCGTAAGCAAGCAGAACAATCGCTCCCCTAAGGCCTTGCCTGTGCAGGCTGAAGAGGTCTCGTAGACTCCTTTTGGTTACTTCCACTTTCCCTCTCTTCCATTCAGCCTCAGTCTTGACGAAGTGCTCGCAGCAAACAGGGGCCTCCATCTCAACCACGAGCTGGTTCTTATAGCGGATTCTGAATGCGCGAAACGAGAAATTGGTACAGTGCGCCTGTTATCTGAACGCACTTAACGGAGGAGCAAGCTTGTAAATGCGGCCGGAATAGCTTAGAAACACAATTAGCATGCGTTTCGTGCAAGGCCAAATCGGTGTGCAGCCACACTCCAGTGTGCCACCTTTGCAGTACTAACACCTTTGTAACGGTCGCTTGTGAACGGCTGTCTGTTTAGACGCCCTGTATCCGGAGAAGTGCAGCTGGTCCATTAGAATCACCTTTGCCGCGTTAGCTCGATCGTATTTTTGATTGCCTCTGCGGCCCTAGAGCCTCCATGCTCTCTCCGTCCAGTGCAAACAAGGAGCATCCATTGCTTATCTAGGGGCACCTTATGACGCAGGACCTAAAGTGCAGCACACGAAATGCGCCGTAGCAAGAAAGCAATACAGACTTGGTCTCCTGCGGCAGGATGCAGGCCGAAGGGACGTCCGAGTCACTCCGAGGAATGGATAACATACAGGCTTTCCCCGTAGACTCTATAGGAGCCTATGGATTATGGTGTTTTTACATGGATCCTCACGAGGTTTTGGCAGAGCCGCGCACGGAAATCCGGAGACAGATCCGCTGATGTATCTTGCTGGCGTTCGCGTTCCGTTGCACCCCACGAGATTCGCGCTTCCCCAAAGCTCCGAACATCTCCCATAAGCTTTCTTAAATTCGTAACCTGCATGTCCAATATCATCAGTCAATGCATTAATGGAGAAGCAACGTGTACCACCCATCTCCAGACGCGACTGCCTACCCCTATTCAAAGCTGCAGGTGCACGCATCGGGAGACATGGTGGCGCGTACATTTTGCTGGACATCGAGTGGCAGGCCCTTGTCGCCAATCTGCAGTTTGAGCTCCGACATCTGATTCCGGACTGCAGGCGTGCGGAGGATGTCAGCAACCAGCTCTGCACAGTCGACGAGAGTTTCTTGCGCACTTTTGGGCCGGAGAACAGCTCGAGATCCTGCCGTTGGCTATCAGGGGAGTACACGACAGCAGCTGGCAGGACTGCAAGTTCACAAAGCCCGACGCTGTTCTTCACTTTAACGGAGCTCTCTGGTACAGTAGTGAAACACTTTGCATGCTGTCTAAAAGCACGTTTACAGAGCTTCAGCAGCAAAAATAACCTGCAGCGGAGGAACGTGCTGAGGGCTTACTGGCGGGGCCTGTGCAATAACCCTCAAGAGGTTAACAGGTAAAAAGCACACTCTGGAGCCTCCACGAACCTCCTTTGCTTGCACCACCAGCTTCCCCTCCACATGCTCGTTGTAGGCGTCCTTAAAATACTGGGCAACATTGATTGTCTGGCCGCCTTTTTCAAATGTTGCACGGTCGGCCGTTGTATCGGTTACGTTAATAATTCTATAAATATTCCCCTTGTGCACGGCAACGCAAAGCCGATTCCTGTAAGTAATCTGGGCTTTCTGGTGATCCATATCTCGTAGATGATCCTCGAGGCAGCCTAGTTCGAGCTTGCGGTCGTGCCGGCTCATTTTTAGGAGCCAACCTGTAACATGAAAACGAATAAAGAATAGTGCACAAATCCAAACGCACACATTGACACATATTCACGCATGCCCACGCAAGAAACTAGGTATCTATGTGCTTTTGTATATGTGTATATATACACGCAGCCATGTCGAGACAGCTGGCAACCCAAGCTGCATAATTAGAAAATTCGACAGAAATCGACTGGAGCATAGTTGCACTGGCGCCTTCGACTCTCGGCATCTTAACGTAACGTTAAAGTAAAGGTATCCAGTGCGGAAAACTGACTTTTTTCACTTTGAACAAGTGTTGCATCAATGCCGAGGAGCTGTGATTCGGTCCTTAGAGAACGAGGGTCTAGCTTAAGGTACTGGGATTGCCCGAAAGCCCTTTGGTAACTTGCCGCTTCCAGCGTACTCATGATGGCCGCCATGAAATAAAAGCGCCAATCACCTCCAGTGAGCTGAAAGCACAATATAACTAGATGTACATAGAAGTAGTAGGATGGTCAAGAACACAAGGGTAGACAAGCACACAATTACTTGTGATCGTACCGGGGGAGACAAAGAGGATGCGTTTGACACCATGAAATGGAGGAACTGCACGACTCTAGCTTGTACATCAAACGACGATAAAAGCCAGATCCTCTACTCTGAAAATAGTTAGGGGAGCAAACAATGTGGTGTCAGTCAATTGCAAGAGTTCAACTTGTTTAGCTTACCGGTCGTTCTTCCCCAAAGGTAACTTTGTACACCCTTGAAGGAGCCTCTCCGTCACGGAGCGCCACTTCACGTGTTGGCTCTTCCTTTATAAGAGCCCTTATGCGGCTAGAGTACACAATCAACCATCGCAGTAACTCGGAATGCTGGGCTCCCCTTGACACAACCCGTCGGGGTCTCGCGCTCCCTGGAGGCTCATGGACTCCAGTCAATGCCTTTAGAAGTTCCGCCAGAACCCTTCTACGTTCTTTTCGTTCTTCGACCTGTGGTCGTACAGCATTGACACTGCGTGGTTTGCTATTTTGGGCCTGGTAGTGTGGTGAGAAACCATTCCTCGCGCAGGCAGGCTTACTGCTACGCCAAAACTCACTGGTCTCTCAGTTCCACTCTCTCTTATGCTTATAGGGTATCCCCATGCACTTAGACCGTCTTCAAGCTTCATGCTCCAAGCATTGCAGAGCACTTGACCCTTCCTCTGAGCCGTCGATTCGAGAGCACGATCAAGGTATTCAGGCAGGGGGGGCTGTCTAGCTCCTCCTCGAAATCCCCTTCCTCGTCCTCTTCCAAATCCTCTGCCTTCTCCCCGACCAAATCCATTTGGGTGGTGCTCCCATGGGCAGCGTCCTCTTCCAACCTCTCCTTGCCATCGTTCATCCCTTCGTTCCTCCCGACGCACTCCCCCAGCGCGCTCTTCACGAAAGCGCCCCCCGCGTGGTTCCCACCTACGGGGGTCACCTCTATCTGACATACTAAGAAAGACAATTTGGCTTTAGACTTCTTGGCTCCCTACTGCGGGCAATTCACGCCTGTGTTGTATCCGGTACTAGCAAAGCGGCAGCTAAGTCATGCCCATATGGCTGGTGCACAAGACAGAGCCCGCCAATTCAAGAATTACCAATGATTATCTGTCCAAGATACTTTCAAGTATGCTGGTCCGCCGTTTGACCGGGCTTTGATGCTTGCAATTGCCATAGCTCGTTAACCGACCTGCGGGGATCCTGTGCCCAGTACATTCGTGACACACCCGCTAGAAAATGACCCACTACAATAGAGAGACGCAGACATATGTTTGAATGCAAAGGTAATATTTCAGAAGGAATTAGCATAGCAGGACTTTGTCTCACCCCACGGCCAAGCTTCGACACCTCTGGCTGCGAGCCTATTTCGAGGGAGAGGCTTCACAGAGCACACTGGTACCGCTCAGTAGTACTAGGGAGTGACTTATTCATACATGAAGCAAATAATTATTGAATTCAAAGCATTAACCGTGTGAACAACTGAATACGAGATTCTTTCATACTCTGCGGTGTGCAAGGTCACCCCCAGTTCTGCAAAACGAACGAGCCCACGAGCTGGTCAAAGCCTCCATTAAGAAACACAGTCAAAGTCAAAGCCTGGTGTCTCAACAGAATAATTTCTCAGAGTGCTTGGGAAGCTCAGGAGGTATTCGATCAGTTCACAATGCACGGTTATCCCGCAGCGAAACCCAGTAATTTTGAGCACGAAGCAGTGCCAAGCCGTTTCCCGCTAACACACTCGAAAAGTAGCAAAAGGGCTTCACAAAAGGATAAATTACCCGTTCTTTCGCTCTTTGCACTTTTTTCGGCTTTGGTAGCTTATCAATAATTTTCCTAATATGGCATACCCCACGCGGGCCGCCGGGGGCACAAGCTCATTCGGCATCCACGACCAGAATGCTCAGTTCCGTTGAATTATGTGCTTAAAAAAATAGATGTACACATGGAGTAGAAGAAAATTTGTCATGGTTATCCGAAGTTTTCAGGCGTTTTACCAGGGAAGGAGGATACTACTTCAGTACTCTGTATTGCAAGGACCATTGTCTAGTGAGGAGAAATAACTCCCGGGAAGTACTAAGTTATGTCGTTTGGGAGCTACAAATACTGACGTGGGAAGTTTTACCTTATTTTTCTGGCCATGCTTTTCCTGAGAATGATCTTTACTACTCGATTGTTTGGTGTATGACCTGTGCGGCAGCCCGTTACCCCAGCTTACTACACAACGGCGCGCGCAGCCGAATTATTGCAACTTCTTGAGCTTGTACGGGAGCTGACACAGTGGTCCCCCGAAGCCACAATCTTGCTGTGGCGGTTATGTACTGCTGCTTTTGTATCTCTGGCGGAACATGGCTCAACAGCTTGCGGACGCGGTCCTCCGCTAAAAAACAAACGGGCAAACGAACGCAGTGAACCGAAGCGCTTCATCCACGAATCCGTAGATGTCATATGTGGCGGGCAGGAAGTGGCTTGGTTGCACACAGCGTTCGTCAATAGCAGAGCCGTAGGCCGGCACTTCGTACCTGGTGTTGAGACAGTCTGAGAGAAGACTGCGCGAACCACCTGCCTCCCTCCAGGGAAGAAAGTCCCGTTTGTTGGCTCGAATGAAAACATATGGGAGTATGGTGAGCAGTCTATTGTGATTTCAAAGCCTCCAGTAGCCTCACCCTTGACCGTTGCGAACGGGCTTAGCCCCTGTCGACCTGGAGGCCACGCCCCCCCAACCACTATCGCTTTTGTGCATTTATCGTCGAACATGGTATCGATGTCTTGTAGAACGAAGTTGGCATCTGCCTTTTGCTTTTCTTCTCTCACAGTGAAAGGGGGGCTGTGTGAGGTCTGACTTTGGCTACATTCTGCCATGGGTGGATCGCCTTTTGGACCTATGTTGTCTGTTGACGTCCCGGCAGGGGACATACCAGGCAAAGCTCGCGTCAACCTGCTGGGCTGTAGAGCACCAAATCGAATGTCTATTGTCTTGGGTCCGAAAGGTCGTTCATGGGACCGTAAGCAGATGTCCGATAGCTGAGGTTGCTGTTGCGACTGTATGGACCCTTTCACCCTAAAGATAGAATTCGCGTCTTCAGCCACTGGGTGGTTGGAGGGAGCTATTTGCTCATCATTGCTTAGAAAGCCGCGTTCCGCAGCGAGCCGTGGAAGAGATTCCATATAGCACGATACGCAAAAGTCTGTGTTCTGTAAGCCTCCGGGGGCAGTCACGCCAGTAGCTACATTGTTGCACCCACAGATGCTGCCACTCATCTCTTTTTCCTGTGGAGAACAGGCTCCACTTTCCAAAGGAGGACGTGTCGATCCGTTGGCGAGGAAGGGTAAGGTGGCATAAAGAGAGCTGCTTGTCGCAAGTCCAAAGAAGGTAAGCACTCGTGGAGCTTGACCCGACGTTGCAAACGTAAGCTCGAAATCACCTCTCAGCCACCCCTCTGCAGAGTAAGAAGCGCACAAAAGCCATGTATACAAGCACTCTTTTAGAAATTAGGGAGCACTTTATCTGAATTGGCATGCTAAAGAACAATGGACAGTAGTTAACAGGCTCAGACTAGCTTCACCTGCATGCAGAGGCTTGAAAAAAAAAATTACTTCCACTGAAGCTAGCCCAGGCAGAATGCCCTGACTGGGTTCGCATGAGAAATAGCTTGATCCTGTCCCTCCTTTTGCACAATTAACCTGTGGATAAAGGCTTTGTTTAAGTCTTAGACTAAAGGCCAGTGGAGTAGTGGCCGTGTTCTTCAATGTCACTACGTATGTTGTCGATGCAGCGCCGGCAGAGCCTGCAGACGCCACTCATAGGGTCATACGCTTCTCTTGGCTCCGCAAAGGAGCATCCTGGGGTGCCATTATCAAACCCTTGTTGGCTAGAGCTCACTGTTTGGGTGTCTAACATATGGGGCTACATCCCAGAAAGCAGAAAACTGGCTGTAGAGAGGCAAACCCAAGGAAGCTCAGCGCCACTGTGTGAAGCATCAGTGGCGCGCGACAAAATACCTTTGATTTGGGGGCAAACCAATGCCCCCATATCGTATGCATTTCGTGATGGAATCAGCTCCACCGTATGCTGCAAGCCCATTCCACTCAAAGGGATTGCTATTCGAGTCCGCTCAGACTGAAGCACCAGCTCAGCACTAAACTCCTGCAAGTGCAGTGCATCATGCCCACAACAGATTATCGTGAAAACGAAACTTGAAACAATCGCGGCCTTAATAGGCCCCTGGGGACGATGCAGTGGGAAAAAGCAGTACCCCGCCTTCTTGCACTCCCAGATAGCGGCTTCTGTGGTCCGCGCTAGAAAAGAGGATTCCGCAATTTCAGATTTTCCTGGTACCCACTCGCGCAGCGTTTGGTTGAAATACCAGTGTTAGGCGAAGGGGCCGCTCAGGTGTGACCTCTCGGGCAGCGCTGACGAGATCAAATCTGCTGCCAAGTGGCAGTGGAAGAGCTTGGAATCTGTGGCATTGGCGGCGTGCTTGTGGAACACACGTTAGAATTACGTGCTGATAAACCCTTTGTCCGATCATCGCAGAACCGAACTCAACGCGCTTTGGCGAGGCAGCCACGAGAGGCGGACTTGTGCAGGTGCTAACCTGAGCACAAGGAAGTGTAAGAACGAGACCCTTCCCCCTGCATAGGTCGTAATTTACAAGATCTATTAAAGGCCGGGAGAATTTGGCTACAGCAGCAGAAACCCTTACTTTTGGAAAACTCACCTCAAGAAAGGCCTGGGTAGTGGTGCCTGCAGGGCATTGTGATGTGTCTAACTCCCCTCCGGAAAGAATACCATCCACCTGACTGGATGTCAGACGGCAAATCCTTAGAGGAATAAGCCAATGAGCGTGATGGTAGGCTTGTGGGTTATCAAAGGCAAAGAAATCGTTTTCGTTGTTCTCCTCGAGGCTAGTCCAACGAGCGCCTCCCGCTTGTGTCATTTTTCGTAAAATCGACGTAACGCTAGTATCCGTTGTTGCAAAAGCTGTAGTGGGAGGATCAGACGACATAAATCTTTCTTGGTCGGTTGATATTGTGGCAGGTGCTTCCTTGTTGGTAAACTTTGAAGACTCATCCGCGAACGGTCGCTCGTTTATGCCTTCATCGGATGCAGTGCCTCCTACAGACTTCAGAGACGATTTACTTAACTTCGGGTTAGGATCTTTGTGCATGGGGCTTTTGTCGGGAAATGTCTTTGAATCTGCTGCTGAGCCACACTCTACTTTGCTACTCTTCTTCAGGCCTTCTGAGTCTTTTGTAGATCCATTTGCTGCTACGCTCTGAGTATGCCCGGTGCGCGAGCACCCGCCTCGTTTATCACGAAGAATTTTCGTGGCTTCTGAATCCTCCAAAAACGGAAGCTTTTTACTAGACCCCCGGATGCACTCTTCTGCTGGTGGCGTGAGTTGCAGCAGCTGCTTTAAATGCATATATTGTTCTGTAGGGGAGAAGTGAATGACGAGCGAAGCGCAGCGTTTCTTGGAGTGAAGAAGTAGCCTGAGGGGACTAATGCTTAGAGCGCTCAGAGTTGAGGGTGGCTGTTGTACATGTACCAAAACGCCTGCAAACTGCACAGCGTGTTTTTCTGGCGCAGTTGGGGAGAGGAAGTGACCTGGTTTGCTCCCGATTTCCCCTTCCATAAACGAAAATTGGCTTGCCACAATTTTTAATTCTAGGGTCGCGGATGAGCTTAAGCCGGGTGGTGTGGTCGGAAGTTTGAGCGAAGGGGCAGGCAATACAGTAATAGGGGATTCGGTGAGAATGACATTCCATGGAATCTTTACTTCATATACAGCTTGATCGGCCAAAAGCACCTTCATCCGTACGGTTCCTGAATGCTCCAACGATTTTCCTCCAGCTAGTTGCACTGTGTGTGCATCGCAACGCAGATCCCCTGGGTTAAAGACTGCAGCAAATGTTCGTGTCTCCCCTGGCAGCAGCACGCCTGCAGCCCCGATATCGAGCAGGGGGAGGTACTGCAAAAGATCCTCGCATGCCTTACTATCGCCTTCGCGCAAGTCAACGGCTAAAGCACCAGTACCAAGGTCCTTCGGCGAGTGTGAACTAGACGTTGCTTCTTTGGCGGACGTGTCTTTGTTAAACGTTGCCGCGTTGTCCGTATTTCGCAATAGATCTGGACTATTGAGACTAACTGATGGAGTGTTTGTTTGTTGGATGCTTCCTTGTACCGGCACTTCTTCAACCCTTTCATCGATTTCTGAGATGCGTGGCAGCTCCACGATTCTCAAGGCTTGGTGAGAAGAGGTGAAACTGTATGAAGCAATTAGTAAAGACGGGTTGTGAATCTGCAGCATTTGCTTGCTGCCCGTTATATTGTTTGTTGACCCAAAATGCAGCCTGGTACGGGATAGGCGCAGCTGGGTCTCAGTGAGAATGCCTGTGGCGTCAGCAGCAGGTGCACAGACCTAATACTTTAGATATACTACAAAGCCAAGGACAACGAGAGCTGACCATCGTAAAGACGATTTTGGCCCCCCTAAAGTATTATTGATGGAGCATCTTTTGCACAGCTACGTTGATAAACCCTCGTAGAAAGTGATATGTTTGATACTATCCGTAAACCGGTCTTGACACAACCCGCGCAGAGGGGACATGCGTACAGCAGGTACCTGTTATGGCCGTTTCTGCACAAAGTGTTTGTTCGCTGACTTTAATCCGAATAGGTATCTGGAAGGCTGTACATGCAGGCTGAAGCTTGGCAATGTCGGGAGGCAGTGGTTGGACGTATTCTGGATGTTTTTGGAAAAACGAGAAAGAAAAGCAAAGGTGGACAGCCAGAGAAGTGACGCCTTTAGGTTGTATAACAGAGCATGCAGGATCTACCCACAGGACACCCTTCTCGGCCTCCGGAGACTCCACTTTAAGAGTACGAGGTGTTACGCTGTTGCTTGTGACCTTTAATTGCTGCCTATACATCCGGTCTGGCACGCATATGCCCAAGTCATGCAGAGGAGGGTTGGTGCAAACGAGAGGCAAGACGCACTGCCCATCCACCACGACGACCACATCTGGGTGCTGCTCAGAGCAGTGAACACGTAGAAACAGGATTTTGGTGCTGTTGCGAATTCATTATTACGCCAAAGAGGACAGGCTTAGAGGCTGGTTTTACCTTAATAAACCAGTGGTGTGGCATCCGGAAGGCAAGTACTGCGTAAAGTTTTAATTAAATAGTGTCCAAGGCGAGAGTTAATTAGTACCTCTTGATCTAAAAACTGCAGAGAGAAAAAGCCAACAAATCTTCCTATACGATCTGGAGCATGGATAATTGCAATATCTTGTGTCTGGAGCGGTGCCACCTCCCCTGCTGCATTCTTGACAAGTGTACGCTTAAGGCAGAGCTGGAACGGTTCCGTTGTGCACGTTTCTCTTTGACTGCTTTGGCAAGCACTTCTCTGAAGCAGTCCGTCTAATCCACTGGACATGATTCTTTTCCAGAGAAGGCTGTTGTGATGGTCTGAGGTGTTAAGCCATTGTGCGAGCACCACTGCCCCGTCCTGAAGTGCTTCCCGCCATCCTTCTATATTGAGACTCATCCTGTCCTTCTGCGCATGTAGAGCGTTGTGTGCTCTATTTAAATTCAATGTCAGTGCGATTTCACTAGCAACAGCTTTACTGACTTCCCTTGTAGCTGTGCTATTCGCTAGACAGTTTTTACCTGCTTCGTACGTAGTAGCGGTCGTGTTGTTTGGAACTTCATTTTGTTGCCCAGCTTGGGGATTATCTGCAGGGGAGGAGCCCTGCTGATTTCTTGGAGATATTAGAAGGAGCTGATATGCAGCTGAAAGGCTTCCTGTATTTCCTAGCTTGAGATGCACAGTAACCATATCCCCTAGTTGAACGTCTCCGGCGTGAAGGTAGATAACGCTGTCTGTAGCCTTTCGCTCCTCAGATCCCGCACACTGCTTAAAGTCTTGGCTCCCAGGATCCCCCCATGGTGCGACATTTGTGACGGTTGACTTCTTTTTGATATTGCAATCAGAGATGGCACCGCGCCCAGCTTGTGCTGGAGCTCCTTTGAGTTGTAACGACTTAAGCAGCGCCTGAGGAGACTGTTGCTGAGGGAGAAATGTCAGCACTGCTCTTTTACGGCAGCAAACAACAGGCAAGGCTTGAGGCCCCGTTGGTGAGAGCAAGAGGATTTCAGCCTCCAGGTCCTCGGTCCTCTTAGGGGTAAATGTTATAGTCATCTGTGTACTACCCCCTGCAGGTATCTTTCCTGGGGCCTCCAAAGCTACAGAGATGATGCCATCAAGCTCCTCTGGGAGAGGTAGCACGCGGAAAGTGCTGAAACCTAAGCTTACATTTGTGACCAACACGTTTCTTGAATACACTCTACCGCTTTCAAACGCCTTAAACGTCACTTTTGAGGGGGTGCAACAAAATGATGGACCTGAGTGTAACCTTCCCGCAATACGCTGCGGGGTTCCTTCTATTAGTACCCTCTGCTGTTCTTCCAATGCTCTTTGTATTTTCTTCTGCTCAAAGACTGTGAGATTACGCATCGCGAGCGGAGGATATCGCGGACAGGCCGTTGCTGCCTCGGGGCTGCACAGAAAGCATGGCATATTGACGCGTTATTATTGCTACAGTGAAGTGATAGAGCTGCCAATGAAGTGCTTTGTAAAGGGCAGATGATTTTCAAATTCATTTACCTCTCGGCTGTCGAAGGCAGGTCACAACAAAGTTTTTCAGGGGCTGGCGCCTCTCGGCGAGCCCTGCAAGGAGAGGCACCACTACTATGAAACCTTTTGAAGGCTTCTGAGTTCTTTTGACCTGCATTCGAAAGACTGGGAGAGAGTCTAACTTTGGGAAAAGGCTAAAAATTTGCTTCTGAATGCGAACACAATCCTATCTGCCGATTTTTGCACTTCTCATTGTACTCAGCTGTCAATGGTCTGGAGGCATTTAGGTCGTTATCTGGTGTTGATGGCCGAACGCGAAAAAAAAAGTATTGGAGTCTACATTTGCATATTGAATCTTATCGGTGGTAAAAGGCGCACTCTCTTTAGTCCTATTAACAGGACGAGACTTGGCTGCAGGAGCCTCGACGCAGTCTCGTTGTGTGACTGCCCATTCCTCCTGCAAGATCTGCTGGACAATACTTCTTGAACGCTCATTTTGTTCGTGCTGCAACGCTCTATCCTCCTCTGCTATTCGGCGCATCGATCCCCGTACCTTTCCGCCCGCTAAACCTGTCTCAAAAAAATGAAATATGGACACTTACAGAGAAGGACAGGATGGGCACTGTGCCAAGCTTTAACTACGCCCCTCCACCAGATCGAGGAGCATCTACGCAAAGCTCCGAGAGTTTCACGATAAAGCGGTTTAAATGATAGAGAGAACATGGTTCCCTTTTAGCCCCTCGTTAGAGCTGCTTTCTTCTCTGGGATGGATGCATAGTCTCCCAGAGTTCAGCGGTCGCCCAGTGGACTAAAACTCGGCTGAATATGCCTTTAACGAAAGGATTAAAAAACTCCGCAAAACCCCTCTAAGGGCTACTCCTGCGTAGGCCTACTTGGAGGCATTTTTCCTTCGATGGATCGGGATCCGTGGCATCAGGTTCTGTCGACGCTCTCAAGTACCTCTACTCTCGGTGAGGATGCTGCTGAAGTTCTCCGTCACGCCTAGCCTCTTTCCTGACTTTATCTCTTCAGTTAAGCGAAATAACGGCACTGAGCCAAAAGCTGGGGCTTAGATTTGCCTGAACAGCCGACGAGCCGCGCCGCTGGACCGGCGTGCAGGTCACCGCGGCCGACTGCTGGCGTCAGTGCCTAGACCGTGCTTTTCACGTCGACAGCGATGGCCTTTGGCGAGAACAGTTAGAGGTACTAAGCCAGCTAAAAAGGCCACTAGAGGTGCCTACGTATCGCAAAGAAGCCTCCTATTTTGCAGGCCCACCTAAATCTCACGCCTTCCACTGGAGATGCGTTGCTCGTTTCATGCCACCCCTATGCACAGCTTGCACTACCAGCCTTGCTTAATCCATTACGTGCTGAAAAGTCTGGCTCTGCGCAAACCTGCAACAGTAGTGTCGATTTCTGTATGACTGACATCTCTCAGCGGCCCCATGACAAAAACTGAGCCAGCAAGAAAACTTGAATTTGCCCAAACAGAGCGAAAGAGCAAATTAAAATTGATACATTAGTCTAGGAATTTTTAAAAACTTCAAGGCTATTTCTGTGCAATCTCCCCTCTAGACTGAAAGCCCATGTACATAACGAATGTCCCGTGGGCTGGAAAAACCGGCGTGGTGATACTCGGCATCAAGGACGGACATATGAGTGCCCGCCCAAGCCGTCACTCATCTCGCTTTCCATGCATTCTTGCCCAAAAGCAATTGCGCACAGAGCTGCTACGCAGCGGTATTCGCGACGCCCGTTGTAAGGGGCACTGCGGTGTGGTCACCCGGGTTTGAGGGGCTCCTGTCCGCATTTTGCATACAGTTTTTGCTGTCACTGGCTGAAGCTTCTTCAAAGACAGTATCTACGTGATTAGTAGTAACTTCTTCTGCACAATGGTCTTCCGTTGACTCATCGCCAGAGGGTGATTTATTCCGTGGGGGTGGAGGTGGAGGCTGCGGGGTGGGAAGTATCAAGAGCAGTTCCTGCACTACCCCGGGGAAGGCAGAACCAACGAAAGGAGATACCGCCGACACGATTACTCGTTGACTGTCCGATAAACATGACAGAGCTCCCAGACATGCTGCTCTTCTTGCTGCAACTTGATCCTCCTCGTCCAAACCTTGCGGCGCTTGTGCTTCCTCTTTGACTGGACTCTGCTGCTGGTGCTGATTTGGAAGTCCTATTAGGGCAAGAATAGACTCAGGAGCGATGTGCGTCTTGAGAATCGAGGGAATAGAGCTTGCTGCGACTGATGGGCAAGTCAACACCACCAGCAAGGTGTTTTTCATGCTCTCCAAGAATGCATCACGGTAGACGACAGGGGCGTGCTGCAAGGCCCAGGGGGCAAAACAAGCACAGCAGCGCCGCATGCAAAGCATAAAGGGCAGAACAGAGACCAAGTGAAAGTCGCCTACCGGAGCACATCGCAATCAGTACGACGCCACGTTCTACTCCCAAACTGGCAGACATGCACAGAAACACCGCACCTGTGCTTCGGTAACAAGAAGCTGCACGAGCTGGGTAAGAGGGGGCAAGAGACCTTCAATACCCCCTGGATGATCCCTTGAGACTCCGCGTTGCTCGGGAGAGTCCGCCAGGATAGCCGTATCGGTGGTGATGTCCACGTAGAACCCTCCAACTTTGAAAGGCCTTAGCAACAACTCCATTTTTGTAAGGAAGAGACGACACGCCAAACTCGCCGCAGCCGCTTTCCTTTGGTAGACCTGTGGAGAGAAGACAGGATTTTCGACGGGCAGACACGTGCGCACCAAGGAATACAAAAGGGCAGGTAGACGCAACACTGCTGCACCCGTAAATGTAGGAGAACACTGCGGCAGTATTATGGGAAGCAACTTGCACTACTGCAAGCCACTGACTGCGCAGCAGCAGGCCAGGCAAGTGCGAGCTGCCACCAGCGCGCACACGCCGCAGTCTCCGAAAACGTCGCCACAGGCAGCCTCTTTTTGCGCAAGCAATCGCTGCTCCCTTGCTGCGGTTCCCTCATGCACTGCTGCAATTCAACAACAGCAGCAGGGCGCAAAGCAGCCCTAAAACAAAAGCCCATCATGAAATACGTACCTCGTCTATGCCAAAGGTACCCATAGCCACTTCAGGGGTCAAGCGTCTCCTCATGGGCAGCGCCATCCATGGCATGCTGCACTGTGGCTCCCGCGAGTGCTGCTGCCCCTCCTGACCGGCAGGGAGCGCATACACCGTGTCTCCTGGATGAGGACCGCTCTGCAGAGGCTGCTGCTGCTGCGGAGGAGGAGGAGGTGGGGGGGGGGCTTTTCCCGGTGCTGGCGGTGAGTAGGGGTAATCAAATCGGAGACTGAGGAGAGGGAAGACAACGAGCTGGAGAGAGAGCCTCCACGTGTAAGGATCCTCTGCTGCAGAGGCCCAGAAGTCTGCAGCAGCAGCAGCTGCAGCTGCAGCAGCACTAGCAGACGTCGGGGAAGCCGAAACGAAGGCTCCGTCCTTTTGAGGCGATTCGGTGCCGTTTCCAAGACACAGCGCAGAAGGGTCTGCCGCAGAGTCTAGGCTGACGTCTTTAGGGCTTGGTTCCTTTCTGCTGCAGCGAATCAGCGCCTGCTGCAGCTCCTGAAGGAACACCCAGGAAGACGGCAGTTACGCAGCAAAACACATGGCCCTTAATATACGCAGCAGGTGAGCCTCTTGCCACCCCTCTGTTGGGGAACCGAGGCATCCAAGAGGAAAGGCGAGGGCCAAACGCGTGCAAAGAAGAAACATTTTAAGCCCTCTATTCGCCCCAGTTGTACCCATCCCGCCTTCCTTCCTCCCCCCCGATACACCCGTCTACAGCCCGAGTTCTCTCTCCGTAAAAGCGTGTGTAGAAGCAGGAAGCACCACTTTGATGCGCGGTGCGTTTTGTGCAGACGGAGGATGTGCATCGACGCGTCCAGCAGCTCCCTACCGCTAAAGCTTTGACTTTGACAGGTCGCACGGAAAAGGAACAGACAATGGCTAACACCTGCATTGCCTGAAGCCACATCGCTTGGCAGTCGATGCGAGCCTTCCAAGGGCCAGCAGCTTCGCCCTTTCCAGCAGCGGCACTGTTGCCGCTTGCGGCAGCAGCAAGATGAGCCGCCACGGCTGACCCCTTCGCCTTCAGCGCCTCTCCAATGGAAGAAATCAAGGCTCCCAGCATGGCCAGCGCTGCGCAGTTCGCTTCATACGGGGCAGCCGGAGTCGTGCTGGAACCCCCCTGCCTGCTCAGCATCTCGCCTTCTGCCGTTGGCTCAGCAGCCGCAGCTCCGCTCAGCTGCGGCGAAGGTGGGACGTAGATGCAGAACGCCATCAGCGTCTGCAGCAGCATTGGATAGTGGTTGCGGTGCTGCAGAACGAGCAAGGCCAGCGCCTCAGCGTCTCGGATCCACGAGGCGAGAGACGCGAGAACTCTCGTGGCGACGTGCTGTTGCGGCACAGGCAGCGTCGGAAGAAAGGCAGGGAGAGGAACCAAGCGCTGATACAGCGCGAGGAGGACTTGAATCAGCAGCGGGCTGCTGCAGGCCTTCAAGTTGAGCCTAGAGACAAGGATCTGCGAAAGGGAGAACGGAGATGGGAGCAGCAGGTTGCGCCTCTTCACCAACCCAGGGCGGCTCAGCAGCAGCCGCTGCTGCACGGGAGACATACGGACGCTGTGTCAACAAGGCGGACTCCAGGCACCCGATTCACTTGCAGCTGCTCGTCGCGGCACTGCTTTCTCCGGCAGGAACCTGCCGTTTGCGAGTTTTCGGCTTCTAATACTCGCCAAGGGCCTTAGCAGAGGGTGTCGACCTACGATAGCAGACTGCGAAATTCGCTGGACATGCATGCAGAAGACGTTGGGGTGGAGGAGCGTGAGGAGCTGCAGCAAATGAATGGCTACTTGGCATGCCTCAGCGCGGCCTGTTGACGCCTTGGAAGCCTCCTGTTGGAGTGCAGGGGTGGCTGCACTGTAGAGAGGCAGCAGCAGCGAGTCCGCATCGGAGAGCAGACGCAGACAGATCCTCAGGACGGTGACAACCAGCCGCTCAATGAACACCAGTTCCCAGTGAGGAAGGGCTGCAGGCACGCGGAGAGGCACAGACCGCAGTCGCAGCCGACGATGGGCTGGTGGGCATGCAGCGGCTCTCGTAAGAAGCACAGAGGCAGAGCGGACGCTGCAGTCAATGCGGCCAGCACACCTGTAGGGGTGTCAACGAGTCGGCGGGAGCCAATCGCTTGGAAGACGTTGCAGACGTTGTGCATGGTGATCTGGGCGAGAGGATCTTTGCTACAAGCATCCAGCATGGCCCGCACCCAGGGCGGTCTGTTGCTGCAGGCGCTGGCTGTATCGGACTGCTGCGGCTGCTGCGGCTGCTGCGCATGCAGCCCCGCTGCATCCATGCTCGCGACGCCGACAACCTCCAGAGGGTTGGGGACGCCTGCAGCGGCAGAGCCAATGGCGTAGCGTCGCAGGAAGGTGTCGAGGTAGACCGCGCAAAGTAGCCACGGGGAGTTTCGTATGAGGGCGACTCCGTACGACTTTGCAGCGCGGAGGGAAAGGCTTCCCGGGGTTAGCTCGCTGAGCATCAAGGCTCCCAGCAGCTCGAGACAAAAGAGACGATCCGTGTAGGCTCTGTAGGAAAGCAGCTGAGGAGAGGTGCCCCCCCGCAAAGGCGACCACACGGGTGGGGGAAGGGAGTGGTAGTAGGGGCCTCCACTGGCTGCGCTTGCCGAAGAAGCACTTGTTGCCCCTTCTGGAGTCGATGCAACAGATCCGCTGTTGCCGCTGTTACTACTTCCGCTGCTGCTGTCTTCCTCGATCGCACGTCGTGAGGCGTCGTCTAAGTAGCTGGACAGCATTGACAGCTCGCCTCCCCAGGGAACCTGATGACGAGCATCCTCAGGCAGCTGCAGCGGAGGAGGCACACCCTCCACGGCAGGCCCTGTGGAGGAAGCTCCTCCACTGGACGGGGAAAAAAGAGAAGAGGCCGTGCTGTGTCTCGGAGAGCTGACTGGGATGCGGTCCTGAGAGGCTGCAGCAGCCGAGGCGAGCTGCTGCTGTTGCTGTTGCTGCTGCTGCTGCTGCTGCTGCTGCTGCTGCTGCTGCTGCTGGCCGTGGCCGTAGGCGCCTCCAGTGTACCCCCCTGGATTCTGCCGGATGAGAGGGAAGCTGAAGACGATATGCACGAGGAGGATGACGGCTATTGACAGCGAGGATGCGGGTTCGGTCTGCCGAAGAACCCTAAAACGAAGGCGCAGACAGGAGGAGGCACCAAAGCGGAAAGCGCAGTGCTCAGGGAGTTTCATTGGTGGCAGCGTCGGTGGAGGGGAAGGGCCTATGCAAATTTTCGCCTGCCTGCAACGCAGATAACCAACGACTAAAGTGAGGGGCCTTTGTATCCAGAGGGGACCTTACTCGGCGACTGCCAAATCAACGCGAACACCCTGAGCCAACACCGTCTTCAAGCGCAAGTAGGGGCCCTTGGCGGCTGCAACCTCCTCATCCTCGAAAGCAACGGAGGACGGAAGTCCGCATGCCGCAACGGCGGCAGCGTCCTGCTGCTGCTGCTGCTGCTGCTGCTGCTGCTGCTGCTGCGGCGCGTGGCGGCTTTTTCGCGGAGGCTGCATGGCCCCCGAAGCACTGTTGCGAGCAGCCGACTCGCGCTGCAGTGGAGAAGGAGGCTGCGAATGACGCAAGGCGGAAGTGTTCTCCTCAGCGTCTGTCTCAGCGCGATGAGACGCCATCAGCGTTGATGGAAGCAGCGCGAAATCCGTCGAGGCTCTCAGCACGTACAGCCCGTCACAGACAAAATTGAGTTCCTGCGAAGAACACACAGCTGCAGGAGCTGTACCGCGTCTGCTTCAAGGAGGGCAGAGAGGAAGGCTTCATTCACGCAAGAGGTACACAAAGCAGCGTTTCGCACATTTGAAACACGAAGAGCAGAGCATGCAGGCTCTACTGCTTTCCCCCTCGTTCCGTAGCGCCCTCCCTCCTAGGGCATGGGCTGCAGCAGCTGCAGCAGGAGCAGCAGCAGCTCCCCTGTGGGATCTATAGATCCTCATGCAGACATATGGATACCCCCGTTTGCATGCGTGCGTGCGCATGTGGACATACATGCATGCTATGCATGTATGTACGTCCACATGGCATCTAGAAGGGAAAGGGGAGGAAGAAATGCGCGAGAGGAAGCTGATACGCATTAGCGCGACGTGCGATGTGCCTCACACATGCATGCATACATACGCGGAAGGCGGAGCACAGGAAAAGCACGTGCAGCACTTGTATTCGACCTTCTTCTGAGGCTTCCGTGGAGAGACACCACCCTATTGGCTTACCTCGGATAAGGCCATGAGGGGGCCGTGTGTTGCACCTCCCCCCGCTTCATCGCCTTCGCTTTCCTCATCCGATTCGCCCAAAGCGAACAGTATGGACGTCAAGTCACCCAGCCAGCCCCCTCCCTTTCTGCCGGATCCTCCTCGATCCCTTCTAGACGCGGGAGGCACGAAGGGGGGGGGCACCATGGAAGTGCAGAGGGAGGGAAGCGCCGCACCGCCTACACCCTCGAAGTCTTCGAGATTCATGAGGGCAGGAGGCAGCAAGTCGAGCGCATGCAGCCGCAGCAGAAGCTCCAGCACAGCTCCCCACCCCTCCTCCCGCAGGAGAGCGCCGCAGCGGCGAACGAGGTAGAAGACGGGGGCCAGAACGAGCTGGGAATGTGCAGGAACGGCGTACACGAAGTAGCTACACAATTCTACCACGATCATATTGAAAGCTCCAACTTGACCGAGCACTGCGGCGGCACGCGCCAACGACAAAACCCCACAAAGGATTTCTTCGAGCTGCCGCAAGTCCAAAGAGGCTTCGAAGGCGCCTCGCAGAACGGCCAAACAGCAGCCGCCACTCCACAGCGTGTGAAACATCTCGCCCTCAAAACCTGCCGCAGCAGGAACGTCAGCGCGAAGGGCGCCATGCCTGCAGCCTTGTCTGCGCGCGTCGACGTCTCCAGAACGGAGAACGACACCACGCGGCTGCTCGACGACGTGGTACTTGCTGCCTGCATCGGAAAGACCGCTTGGACCTGTGCTTCCGCCGTACGGAGAAGCAAAGGCTGCCCACCCCAAACCTGCGCCTTCTACAGGAGTCCAGCCATTAGCCAATACATCAAAGAGGTCGGGTGTCGTCTGCAGCTGCTGCTGCTGCTGATCTTTCGTCAGTGCTTCATTCCTTTGGCCTGAGGCCGATTGAGAGGGCGGCAGCGCAGAACACGCCGCCTCTTTGAGCTTTATCTCCTGGTGCTTGATGGATATGTACACGTTCTGCAAAAAGAAGTGGGGAAGATCCGCGCCGTTATTGATGCCCCGATTATTCTTCACAAAATCCTCTACTCGCATCTTGCTGCGCACTTGAGAATTGTGCTGGTCAGTGTTCAGCATAATAATCGAATACGACAACACGAACACTGTGTCCTTGTGCAGCATCAACACATATCCAGGAGGCGCATGGCTCTGAGGATACGCAACGACACCACGCCAAACACACCTCACATGTATCCGTCTTCGACCAAAATGATTACCAGTTCACGAATTCCGACATATTCATAGGTATAGATACATATATGTATATGCATACATATATGTGTGTATACATACGATACATCTCGCCTATCCCTCTAAATCCATAGAGAGCACGTGGCACACACATATAAATCCATCACACAAACACGAAAACATATATGCAGCTGGAGGAAGAGCGCAAGTGAGACCATCCTGGAAACGATACAAGCTCTCGGAAGGTGTGAATGCACGTGTACGTATATGTATGGATGTACGTATACAGGTGTATATATTCATATATACATATGCATATGTACATACGAGTATGTATGTATATGTATGTGTGTGTATATATTTGTGCGTGTTGTGCATCTGTGTATGCGTATGGAGGCAGGCGAAATGCGCATTAATGAAGACGTGTCTGCACCAGCCGCCCCCAAAGCGGTGCGCTTCGTCCGCTAGTTCCCGCGACGGCATTGCAGCTCTGCGTTCGAGTTGGCTCTTGAGATATCAGGACCCAAGAAGGCGCACCGGTGAGAATTCCGCGAGTTGTTTGGTGAGTGCGTCGCAGCTCCTCGGCTTGGTCAGGGCACCCTCTTTCTCTGCAGTTGCACGAGATGTGCAGTAGAAGCCTTCATCTGCAACCCACCGCCACATGCCCAGTTCAAGTGGCTCTGCTGCAGGCGTCGAGTTGCTCTTTTGCGACTGCGTCTCTCCAGCAGACGGCAACTCCGCGGCTTTCGCATCCTTGGCCTTGGCAATCTTCGCCTGATTTTCTGGACACGTGACGAGGGGCTGCTGGCGGAAAAACTCATCGGCGAAGGCTTCCATCACGCGCTCGATCTGCTGCGACTCCCCCGGGAGGCGGAAGGTCCTCAGAAATTCCCTCAGCGCTGCAACAAGGCCGACTCCGCCAAAAGAGAAGAGGCCAACGAATTCCTGCAACACCTGAGAAACGCAAACGTACTGCGCACGAAGCTCGACAGAGACATGCGCGAGACGTCAGTGAAAGCCTCTGCTTTCGTTTCTGCGGAAACACTAAAAGCCGCGGAAAGATCAATCCTCCTCGACGCTGTGCGGCAAGGCCTGCCTTGCTACTCCCTGCATGAGGGCATCCAACGGGGAGGTTCAACCTGCTCGTCACTGGAGCTTGCTAACCTGCGTATTCCACGGCTTATTCGTGCTGAGATACAAGCCCACAGTGCGCAGGTCGAGTCCGCGTGTCTCCTTCAAAAAGAGAGCAACGCTCCTCGGCGTTGCCGGCTTCGGCAGCAGACCGAGAGACTCAAGCTGCAACAGTGCTTCCTTGACGTTCGCATTGAAGAGGGCTGCACCGTGCGCCAGGAGAGCTTTGTTTTTGCGTCTCTCAGCGATGGATAGGGTGTCTTGGATGCGCAGGAAGTAGGCAGCCGCCGATTCGCTGTCCAAATGCGCTCTGTCATCCTTAGCCTCTTGAGGCTGCTGCTGCTGCTGCTGCTGCTCTCGACTGCTGGTATCGCGCTTCAGAGAGTCGCACCGAGCGACTAGAGCCGCAATGAGACGCAGAAGGGCAGCGAGCGCCAGACGGTTGACGTTGGAGAGGCCTGCTGGTCTAGTGATCCCAGCAGCGTCTACCGCGAGGCTCTCCGTTGCTGCTGCGTGGATGCTGCTGCTATCTGCGGCGGATCGAGACGCTCTAAGAGGAGACTTTGAAGGCGCCTTCCGCAGATGGAAAGCGCCGTGGTGATGCGGCTTGCTGTGTGCGTCTGCCGCTGCTGCGGAGGCAGCGAGGGCAGCAGCAGCCGTCGTTCCCGCGGGAGACAGAATTTGCGGAGCGCCCTTCGCGAGGGCAGCGTCCGTCCCTGTCGTCGTGCACGCCGTTCCAGCAGGGGAAAGGAGGGAGAGCGGGATTGCCGGTACACTCCCTCCCGCCCCCTGACCACTAACAACTGCTGCTGCGCTCTCGCAGTCACAGTCCGCGAAGCGGTAGACGCCTCGAAGAGGCGGAATCCGGGGGGCCCCCAACTGCATCAGCAGTGCCAGCAAGACACCCAACACGTTGGAGCGGCGAATGTCTCCGTCATAATTCAAAAGCAGCTCAAAGCCAAACGAGGCATCGCTGCACAACTCCCGCAGCATATCCAGCGCGATATCCTGAGCCTCAGTTGCCAAGGCAGTCCTCGAGGAACCACCGCACCCAAGGCCGCACGTGGAGAGCCTGCAGCAGTCGCGACAGTCACTCCGCATGCATGCGCATGCAGGCGCTACTCCCCGCACAGTTTGGCGCCAAAACGCCGCAAACACAGCAGCCAGAAGAGCGACCACTCCACTGCGGAAAGGCGCAGCGAACTCCGCAATGCCGAAAAACACCAACACGCCGCGCAAAGAAACCCGCACAGCGATTGGCTATAGTATTAACAGCCGCTCGCGATAAAAACACGCCAAAGCGACTATGCACTAGAGGAAGAAAAAACGAGGGCACAGAAGGGTGAGGAGGAGCAGCCATACAGGAAGGTTGCATGCGGGACGGGCACACATACACACATACATACATATATATATATATAGATACATACATATAGATACATATACATATATACATATAGATACATATACATGTATATATGTATGTATAGAGAGAGAGTCTGGAGCAAACTCAATGCTGTGGCTTCAAGTGTGTTGAGGAGGTCACGCAAGCCTTTGTACCGCAGTAGCTGATAAAGGCATCTTTCCATCTCATCCTTAATATATGGCCGAAGAAAGGCAATGAAGTCGCCTAGAACTCTGCGAAGGAGGCACACACAGAGAGCCGCAGAAAACGCAAATGCCCTCGCACGCAGATTCTCTTTTTGGAAAAGAGGCCTGCTGCACCAATGCCAGACAAACTGCCTGCGCCTGGAGGTGTACACCGCGCAACATACTTCCCAGAGGCTGAGGTGGGCTGCTTACCTCAGAGTCAGCGAAAGCAGGAGGAGAGGAGCTGAACGCGTGTCTAGTTGTAGCACTAGCGGCAAGAGCTGCTTCTGCAAGGAGTGAAGCAGTGCTGGAAAGAGGGCAAAGCTCTCCTTACCTATGGAGGCAACACGCATGCCACAATCGAACCAGCAGCTCGTGAGACGCAGCAGCGCACGCTGTTGATCTGAAGGGAAGCCATGTAGCGGCAGCTGCGGGGACGGCAGAGGGGGCTGCTGTCTACGCAGCTGCCGCAGCACCCTTTTTCCCTGACAGACAGCTTCCAGTGTAAGATGGCGCCACTATCGAAACGCGCTCCCACACCCCCCCACACCCCCCGAGAGAATGCGACTCTGGCTTACCCGCCTCAAGCGCTACTGCCAGCAGGCGAAGGCACAGCAGCCTAGCTTCCAAGCTCAAGGCTTTGTCTTTGATGTGCGGCCTAAGGACGGATTCGACGTCCTGCAGACACGCGAATGCCACCACACGCACAAGCCATGCATGCTGTTCGCACAACGAGAAAGCCTCCCTTTATCCGCAAGCGTCCCCCCTCACTCGCACGCCTTTCCTTCAAAGGATCGAAGGCGGCGAGGCATGGCCCCTACCTACTCCCCACATCGCTGTCGCCCCCGTATGGCGTGCCGTGCAGAGGCATATCGGAGCCAACGAAGAACCGAAACAACACACGCCGTTGCATGCAGCGTCAACAAGAGACGTGGCGCTTCCCTCCTACCCGGTCCATGCCGCTAGGCGACCCCACGCGTCCTCCCTCCGGAGTCACTGAGAGGCGTGGGAGCTGAGCAGCACCGACAGGGCTCCCTGCTGCCGCAGACGCAGTCTGCAGTCCGTCCTCCAGCCGATTCTGATTTGCAGTCGCTTCTGTGCTCTGCTCGGAGGGGGGTGCCTCCTCCGCATCCGCATGATGCGGAGACACAGCTTCAGGGAACGAAACAAAGGGTGGAAGAGCCTCTTCCTTGCTGCCACCACCCAGCAGCGCACCCCCAGACGAACCAGTGCTGCAGTTACTGCCACGCTCGTCTGCCGACAAAAGCCCCTCCAGAAGATTCAACAGACGGACGCGGCAATCCAGGCCATACCCTCGCTGCGCGCCAGCAAGGATGCAGACATGCGCACACATACACAGACGTACACATGCACATACATAGACATACACATACATCTACATGCATCCAGATGGATTCATTATGCCGGTATATGGATATATATATATGTGGATGTATATGCATTCGTATGCATACATGCACAGACACACGCACATACATACATACAGATACACACACACATACAGATACACACACATACATAGGGATACACACATACATACAGATACACACACATAAATCCATACATACACATACACACACATACAACCACGTAGAAGGCTGCACTCTGCAAGATATTTTGGATCCTGCCTGAGCTTGGAGTCTCTCGCACGCCATCCAATGCCCGTAGCAGCCCGCCGCAGATTTCAAAGCCAAAGGCAAACACAAGACGCCCCTGAACGCGGCCTCAGCTAATCTCCACAGCATGGACCTCTTGCCACAAAAGGCAACCCCACCAACCCCACCACCCCCACCAACCCCGCGTCCCCTTAACACACACCTCTCAGCACGCGGAAATGAATTTAGATGCATTCGAGCAGCAGGAAAACTTCGCCCAAAGGTTACACGCACATGAGGAGGCCCATAAACTAGGAGGTGCACAGACATAGAAACACAGACATACAAACACAGACAGACATAGAAACACGGATCCTGCTCTGCCAAGGCACCGGCGAACATGCAACCATCATGAACTCCGACGGTTCAGGAAAGCAAATGTGTAAAAAGAACTCGAGGCATCGCCAGTGCGTTTTATACCACTGAGGAGTGCCGCAATGGGACATAGGCGCCGTCTGCAGATCTCAGCGATATAGCGGACTCAAGCCGCGCAATGAATTGAGGAGGAGATGCGGCTTGCTGCTGTGACTTTCCCCCTTCCTCCTCCTCCTCCTGCTGCTGCTGCTGGTCCCGGTATGCGAGGCGCACAAGGCTCTCTGCGGCGAAGAGGTGGCGGATGATAGAGACAGCGCGAGAGGCAGCTGCGTTCCGAAGAAGGGGACTTGCTCGATGCAACAGGCTGCACAAGGGCACAGCAGGATATCGCGCACAAAGGAAGTAGGAAACCATAGATCCGACGGCGTAGAGAGAGAGAGGCAGCGAGAGAGGGAGAGAGAGACAGTGAAAGAGACAGAGAGAGGCAGTGAAAGAGACAGAGAGAGACAGTGAAAGAGACAGAGAGAGAGAAAGGGAGAGAAGGAGAGAGAACTGTTCGGGTGCCAAAGGCGATAGAAATCCTCCCCCGGAGCCACAGGGGCATGTGAGCAACGAAGAAAGAGACGCATGGAGGAGCGCAAGGTGCAAGACTGATCAGGCAACTTTTCCCTGCCTTTTTCGTCCCCACCCCTACATATAGATAGATAGATAGAGCAGCACTAAAGAAGGTCGACTCGAAGCAAGTACACTTTCCTCCAAGCTACAGACCGAGAGGTAGAGGCAGCCTCCCAAAACACGTTGCGGAAGGGGCACTCCACACCTGATGGCGAGGCAGCACTGGAGAGTGCGAGCGACACACGTGTCAGTGAAGATGTAGCCTGCAGCAAAAGGCCCAAAGAAGGAACAGAACGCAGCTGCTTCGCAGATGCACTGCGACAAGATGAATACAGAGTGATGCTGATGAAAAAGTAGAACGACAAGGCAGTTTTGGAACGAGCAGCAGCAGCAGCAGGAACCTTGTGTGGGAACAAAATCCAAGAACGCCGGTACTGACTGCTGTACATCCAGGGCACTCTGTGGCCGTGTTTCACGACGGAGGAAGCCTATTTTTTACTAGAGAGAGGCCGTTACCACACTGCACAAGAAGATGCATCCCTCCTAGGAGCAGATCGCTCCACACGCGCTGCAGGCAAGCCCACCTGCAGGGTTCAAGAGGGAGTTGCTGAGGAGGTCAAGGCACTGCAGGAGAAGCAACTCCTCTTCAGCGGCGGGTGACGTGGGGACCAAGAAGGAACCGCCGTACACCTCGGATCCAAGGGCAGCTGCAGCAGCAGCAGCTGCTGCTGCTGCAGCTGCTGCACTTGGCTGTGTAGACGCAGACTGGAATCGCTGTGCAGCCTGCAAGGCGCAGTTTGCTAGGGATAGAATTAGGGTGTGCAAACAGCGTCTGCCTGCAGTGCTGCGGCAGCGAAGAAGGCCTAGCGTCAGCAGCTGCTCAAGCGCTGCACACAGGGACAGAGGGCACAAAGCGAGGCATAATTGGCAAATTAAGCGGGGTGAAAGCATGCGCATGCGCTTTAGTATGTCAGCGCCGATCTGGCGCATCCCCACGACGAGCCACTGTCTTGAATACGCAGGTGAAAAGCGAACAAGGCGGGTCCAGAAACACAAGGAGGGAGCACCCTACGACGTACATCGCATTACTGCAGATGCCAACGCCCTCATGCAGCTTTGCTGCAGCAGTTGCTGCTGCTTGCTAAGGCCCTGTTGCTGCTTGTGATGCAGCTGCTGCTGCGCGAGCACAAATAGGAAGGGGTGTATGTGCTGCTCCTGCAGTTCTGCGGGGGGGGCCTCTTTCGCTGCTTCCGCCGCAGCAAGCCTTTCGCTGAGCAGCTCGAAGGACTTGATCAGCGGTGCAACAGCAGCAGCAAGCTGCTGCTGAAAAACCGCCGACAAGCCACGCGTATGCACTGCTGTATGCATCCGGAGGGCACGCAGCAGTGCTGATATAGCGAACACCTCCCTCTTCAAAGCATCCACCACTGCCCACGAACAGTCGACTTCCTTGAATGCCTCCCCTTTCGCGGGTGCTGGTGCTGCCGGAGCAGAATCCGTCTCCCCCTGTTGCCACGTCATCATGACCTTGCTGCCGCTGTTGCTCGAGGAGGCGAGGCTTGCGAACTCCCCACTTGCCAGCGGTAGCGGCGGATACAGAGACTCTGGCAAGCCCCCCTGGTTGGTCAGGCAACTGACACTGCTACTAGGCTGTACCCAGCCCTCGGAGTCTGAGCCATGCGGCGTCATTTCTTCGAAGACATCTCTTGGCACATCTGTACGTACAGCAGCTGGGCTGCTGGGGTTGTTCTGCATCCTCATGGTGCTACTGTCGCCGCGGGTGTCGCCGATGCCACTGCCGCCACTGCTGCTACCATTCAGTTCCGCGGGGGAGTCCGCTGCACGGGGAGGGAAGGAGGATGACGCATGACTCATCTTTGCGGATACGGCGAGAGGCCCTAGCTGCATGCACAGCGCAGCCGCCCTTCCCCAGTAGCAGCACGCGCGACTGCCTACACGCAGATGGAAGGCAGCAAGACACTCATCTGTCGGGTTGGGCAACCGAGGGGTGATACACCTTGTGCGTGCAGCCAGACCCCCAGTTGATTAACAGCGAGTCACAACAGGACTCCGGTTGAAGACCGCGATTGCAACAGGGGCATGTGGGATATGCAGGTGCTCCCATAACTCCACTTGCCTCACTAATGGACACCTATGCAACGAGACACGGGTCCAGCCCCCGGAATAGCCAGGCAGCCACGAGCCACGCGGCCTGGCTGGACACCACGAGGAACACTGATGGCACGGCAGCGAAGTCAAGCACTTACTGCCAGTATTTATACATTTGAGACAATCAGATGCAGTGTATATACAGGGATCGCCGTGGCTAACGGCCGCTTCGCAGCCCCAAGACGACTCACTTGCAACCATAACTTCGCATGCACGAAGCAGCGTAGCTATTGCTGGTATTCGTGTCTCTTCTTGACCCTTTATACATTTAGACACGTACATTTCATTGTGATTCATTCAATTCGTCACCTAAAGAGGAGGTACCCTCAGCTTCGTCGCTGTGTCCACCACTGTGTAGGCCTATCTATGTCATGCTCCAAGGCCATTTCTGAAGTATAATAGAGACATCACCACAAAGAACTAGAGGAAAGGACTTAAGTTTCCTTGGGGGGTCACGAAGCCTTTCGCTCTTGGCATATGCGCAGTACAAATATGCCTCAGGGGCGCTTGACATGCCCCTTTCCCTCACTGAGCGTCTAGGATGCACAAAAGAACATGCAAATTAGGCTTTGCGCCCTTCTCATCTCATGCGAATGGGTAGTTTGCCATTCTTTGCTAGTGATCACCTATGCTACCTCGGGAAAGTGCGCAGCGGGAAGCCCACACCGGCTTTCGAGGTGCCACTCCCGGTATAATACCCCTCATTTGCTCTAAAGTCTTTCTGAAAAAAAGTTTACCCATACCTGTTAAGCTGTTTCCAATGTAGAGCCCTAGCCTTGATCAGTCCTTGTGTAAAGACCACGATGCGCGCGCTGGCGATATAGCATGTGCTCCTAGGAAGTGCATTGAATATTGTGCTTCAAAAGCAAAATTGCTGGTCGTGCGTCTTGAATCGTGGAGTACAAGCCTAAGAAGACATTGAAGATTTTGTTCAGATGATGAGAGGGCAGAAATGCAGAGAGAAGAGGTGTTGCTGGAGGGTGGTGGGATGGGAAACCCCGGGGAAGATCTGCAACACTGCGAGTTCTGGCGTTTCGTGCAAATACCTAACGTTAGCGCTCGAGAATATGAGAGCGCTATTAGCTGAGTGCGTGGATTTAGAGGCTCATAAGTTGGCGACTGGACGCGTATTGCATCCACAATCATCAACGGCTCCCGCGCTATAACTGAGCACGACATTGTAAGAGAATGTTACTACTGCCAGCCTGTACCTTGGAAGGGTCTGCGCCCGTCTGAGAATCCCGACCGGCACCCTCGGACGAAATGACACACGTACAGATGCTGCGCATACTGAGAATTTTCAAACAGCAGACGGTTAACGCCTGCCGCGTACGGCCTCAGCGCGTGTTGCATCCAACAAACGAGGAAGTTCCGGGCTTCAGATGTTCCCCTGTACTTTGACTACTGCTTTACAGTTTGGCGTGCCCGCACGAAGCTTGTGCAGTATGTTGGGATTTTGGAAGCTAGGACAAGCAGACCAGCTTGCCACCGTTCAAAGCGACAACATAGATTCATTAGTCCCGTTGGTGTTGACCGCCCCTGTTTGCGGAACGAATAAGGAATTCTTCCACACCTTTCTTCTAAGGATATTTAGCGCGCAAGAGCCTTCCTGATGGCCGTGCAAAGACCAGCCCAAGCAGATGGCGCAGGAGGGGGATTCAGTGCGCGGGGGCAGTAGCTCACAGAAGCACTGGTAGAATCGGAAGCCTTCACCCAACGGCATGCTTAAGGTGGCATGCCTTCTGCGCCCTCCACATCATCCAGACGAGACGTTACTTAAGCCAGGACGCATCAGGTGAATGGGCACATCCAAGCATGCGAATGTCGCACACGGATGTACCTCCGTATCTAGGGTATTTCCTTGCCCCGCACCATCCTTCCGGCGTGGCTCCCAAGAGAAGCCGCCTGCTGACTCCTCGAAGCCAAACGGGGTCTGGGATATCAAGGTCTGATACTGATTATTAAGAGACGTTCGAAAGTGGGTGTAAGTCAACGGGGCCGCTCGAGCGAAACGTAAGCCAGAAGAACATAAAGACCTGGTCACCCACAAGCGAAACCGACGCATCCAGAGGACACAGACCACAAACTGAGCGACACGCACATGGGCCGTGGAGCTTTCCTCGCAAAAGTAAAGGGCACAGGGCCAGGGCAAGCTCATGCCAATCCAGAAACAATGGTCTGCAGCTGTAGCAACCGTAAAGGTATGGACCATTGGACCTATTTGAAACTTACTGGGGAGCCTTGTGACAAGAATGGCCGTGGCGGGAAGCCTAAACCCGAAGCAAGGGACCCAGCGATGTGGGAGCTTGGGGGATAGGGATGGACTAGCCTACACTCAAGAAAGCTGGCAGCACGACAGTTTACTGCTGACGTCAAGTACTAGCGTGTTTTATATGCTAATCAGAGCACCCTACAGGCAGTTCAACCTCCTAGCAGAGAGTAGACGAGCAAACACTCGCAGTGAACCGACCAAATGCCAAAACCCTGAGTTGGAAAATATGCGCGCACGCAGAAAACTAAAGCATTTTCCCTGTTGAGTTCAGCCACCTGTGGCAAAACCAAGGAGACTTCGAGGGACAGATCTCAGAGCTGAGAAACGGTGTCAGCAAGCTTTATGAGCAAACGAGGATCAGAGTCCTCTGAAGGCTCGCATTCCTTCTCAGTGCAGCCGTCGTACAAAAAACACTCTACTAAGATTTTCACCAAAAGCAGAGCTCATGATGGTCTTACAGCCTGGAAAGACACTCCCGCTCAGAGTATGAATGTGTGGATATAGGAGATGTTGACAACGCCAGCACTGTAAAAGGCATGCCCAAAGCGCTACAACAGCTGTATGGACTATACGCTGCAAGGGTCCAGGAAAAGAACCGTAGGACAAACGGAGGCAACCGCGCGTGTAGTGTTAACGTGCTTTAGATAACTACAGCCTTAAGGAGGCGCCAGCAAGCTGGAAGACCGGCTCTGCCAGAATGTGGAAAGGCAGGAGCTTTTTCAGAAGGCGCGTAGACCTTGGCAAACTCGCCAAGCAGGCAAGTACCTGTAATCGACGCCGTCACTTGTGAATGCTCATCACATGATTGTGCAGCTCACCAGTTCGAGAGTGCGAAGGCTCAGCGGGCCCATAGATGGCGCAGTCAGTTGTCTCGAAATGTGTCACTTGGCTGTCTGGAGGCTATTCCGCGCAGCGCGTATCTCCCTAAACTATTGACTTAGAGGAGAAGGCGGTCCTCGAACAAGGCGGGATGAGAACCTGGGATACTTACCTACCTGCCAATCCACGTCCCGGCACTCCATGCACCGCGGAGCAAACAAAAGGGCCTTTTCATGGTAGAGTGCAAAGCTTTTTCAAAAGTGCTTCTGAGTATGAGCAGCCGACTGGCGCCCAGGACAGCCGTCGCGAGAGATTCCTTCGGAACGCGGCCAGCTAAGGGTGGCCAAGCATCAGCACGGGCAGTTCAGCCTGGCGAAGAAGTCGGTGGCTGCCCTCGGCTTCCCGGCTGCACGCACGTCCTTCGTCGATGTAAGCCACGTATTTCGCCCCATCACCATTCTACGTACATACTGAGCTTGTATGCATGCCTGCGTGTTCCCAGATATATGAATGCGGGCAGGACGAGGGGCCTCTGGTGTTAGAACATGGAGGAAGCAGAGGCAGCGAAGCGCATCAAAGCACAGGCTCCATGTTACGATGACGCACGGGGGTCTCTAGAGACTACGGACGTCAGGGGGAGCAAAAGCAACGAGCGACGCGTCCATGTGCTTGTGAATCAGGTTAGCAGAGCTGGCCAAAGCACGCAGTCAAACGAGACGGTGTCTCCTATGAGGGGAAGCCTACCAAACTTTCCCCCACGAAGGTTTGGAAAGCGACGAAGCGATATAAACATAGGCCCCTATTTGGGTTCAGCAGCAGTAAATTTCTTTGGCTATGGACTATTCTGCTCCTGGGAAGAGAGAATCGTCAGTTGCGCTGCAGGAAGACGCAAGGCACCACCAGCTCAGGAGCACGCAGTGACCGGCCGGCCCTGCTCAGGCCGTAACGCGACACGATGGGAGATCAAGCTCTGTTCAAGAAGTTTCAGGTTCCCTGGGTGTTTCAAGCCTTAACGCATGCATGGGACATGCCCCAGGTTTCATGCCGCACTCTGGCCAAATCGTGGGTGTCTCGGAACCACAGCTCCAGGCTGCTACAACAGCGACAGCAGCAAAGAATGAGGGCAGAGACACCCACCGATGGGGCTTGTGCTACAGCGTAGTGCTTCACCCTTATCGTGAAAAGCGCAAGTTTGCTCGGATATACCCGATCCCAACATTGCCAGCCCTGCAGTTTGCTGGTAACCCCTGTAGCTTTAAACTCTCGTGCAGACAGTGTGCAGCTGGCCAAACCATCTGCTGTGCTCGCACACCCCACGATTGTGCTCCTATGCACACTATAGCTCGTATCCGATGAAATTAAGAGCAGGTTGGGGACATGGTCAGCACTTGCAACGACTGCACCCGGAAGCCATTTGGGACTGTCCATGCCCATCGGAGCTCCGTTGTCTTTCTACCAATTTACAGTTCAGAGAAAGTCGAGTCCTCTGGGTTCTTAAGAACCAAGATCACTGGCACTGTGGACGGGATTTCCGCTCAAGCTAGCTTGCCTTAGGATCGCGAAACAGCAAGGGGGGGAAGGGGAGGGTTCGGAACGGCCACCAACGACGCATACTGTACATAACAACTTAACAGCCGTCCTGTGGAGGCTGCGAATTTTGCATCGCCTGCCGAAGGCTGTTTGTTCGTCTGCATGGGGTAGAGCGCGGGACCGACCGGGGGCCCTACATGCTGAGAGCTCCCCTGCGCTTGAGACGCGAGCTTTCCTACAGAGTTGCATTTTGAGCACTGGTAAAAGCCTAAGCTTTTTCCACTTTTAATCAGCCCCTGCTCTCACATGCTTTGTCGGGTGGGGTTCCGGGCCCTTGGTCTTCACACGTTCCCAGTGGCCAGGGGGTCGCCGAAACGCTTTCAGGTCGTTGTACTGTCTTCGGCCGCGCTCCACCTCCTTCTCTTGTGTTTTTGCGAGAAATATTCCCTTTATTTCTTGCTGCTCTTTTTATGTGTGCAATAGCATTGCGAAAGCTCGGTCTGATCCCTTCGCCCAGTCGGCAAGGAGGGAAGGAGGGGCCCCTGGCAGGGCAGTGCGAGGGGTCTTGCTGCTGCCCGCGGCTTCTTTCGGTGGCAGTCATGTAGATAGGGGGTATTTGACGAGCTCCAATGGTCAGCTAGAATGCCACGCAAACGCGGGCCTGCTGCTCGGTCAGCGGTTCCAGTGCGCAGTGCCCCTCCATGCGCTCCAGCCACCCGTGTGGACTCCTGCAGGAGCTCCTCTAATGGCTTTCCGCCGCGGAAAATTGATCGAACGCCTCTAGAGCCTACCCAAGAATCCAATCCGTCCACTCTCGCTGATACCGCAGCCCCTTCTCCTGCCGAATTCGCAACAACGGGGGCAGACGCAGCCTCTGCACACGCTGCACTCGTGCACGGCTCACGAGCAACGGAGTTGACCGACGCCTCCCCCCCTCCGGCTTCTCAGGAAGACGCATACTCGTTCCATAGCCCACGGAGCTTCTTTGGCGATTTCTCAGATGGCAGCGGCCCCCTAACGCGAGCAGTTCCAACGGACGGAGGAGCTGTTAGAGTGGCTGCCCAACAGGACGTCGAAGGACCTAGGCAGCCCTGTACATACACCAAAGATTCAGAAGCCTCCACGCCCGGCCTTTCCTCACAGTTCACTACTGCGGAGAAGCTACCCCGTGTGACATCCAAGCTGCATGACACCGAACAGCCAGCGGAAGAATACGCCGAACAGTGGGAGCAGAAGGACGCGTTGCCTCCGCCACGGCAAGACGAGGCAGAAGCGCACGAGCAGCTCTGCGAGCAGAAGCAGAAACAAGCCGCTGAGACATGCACTGAGCCCGCTCGTGTAGCCTCCCGAACGTCCCCATGGAGTGAGAGCGATGGCGAATGGATTCGCCCCAAAGATCTTCACAGAGAAATCCGAGGAGCAGCTCCGCAAGAAAGCCGAATTGAAGTATCTCCAGTCCATGAGCCATGCCCAGCGGATACTGGTGTTCAACAACACAACCCTGCGTCCCCCTACCCGCAAGCGTCGCAGCAGCAGCAACGGTCCCCTTTTTGCATTAACGTGGATCCACAAGCCAACGGAAGCGCGAACGCAGAGGGCAGTAGCATTGAAATGCTCAAGAGAATGCTGTCCGACGAAGCGGAGGAGGCGAAGCAGCGAGACACTGCCACATCTACCGCCAACTCCCCAGCCGTGGCACCCGCTCAAGGCAGTGCGAGTGGCCTTTTCTCACGCTTATCGACGTATACAGCAACTCTGGCTGGCTCCGCAGCAAGCTACTTTAGCACGCAGCAGCAAACGCAGCAGCTGCAGCCGCATGAGGCCTCTTTATTTGCGATGGGGAATGTGACCGAGGCGGACTCGTCAGAAGAGTTCCTTAGGCTGTCTTCGCAGCCCACAGAGAGTGGACAGCAAAGAAACAGGCTGTTTCAGGGCCTTATAGAGTGGCACCGGTGCCTCCTAGAAATGTATGGAGGGACTGTTGAAGATGTCACTAGGCTTGCCTTGCAGGTTCTCCCTGCCCACGCGACTGGTAATTGGATTTACTGCTGTATTTCCTGCTGCTGGTGTTGTTGCTATTGTTGCTGTTGTTGTTGCTGTTGTTGCTATTGTTGTTGCTGTTGCTGTTATTGCTGCTGCTCTTGTTGCTGTTGCTGCTGTTGCTGCTACTAAAGCGGTTTATGGGTAGCTTCAGGGTGCTGCATGCAGCAAAGGACTCGCGTGCTGCTGCCCATGAAGGATAGAAAACTCTCGTCGGTGCGCATGCGCGTGTTTGGCCTTTGCAGACGAGCACAGCGAGCGGAGGCTGCTGGTGCTTCAGGGGCTGTTTGACGTCTTCTGTCTGTACCGTGCCCACTTTCTTTCATCTCCAGAGGAGCTTTTGCAGGCTGAGGCGCTGCATTACCAGTGGAAGCTGAAAAGGACGCGTACACTGGATTCCGGAGGGGCCTTGAGCTTCCAGGGCTCCTCGTCAGTGCCGCATGCATTTGACCAGAGGCACCGCTTGAAGGAGGGCAAGGAAATTCAAGATCTCCCTGTTGCGCTTCGGCTGGCCTTGTACGGCGCAGCTTCCCTAGCGCTGAAAGTCATTCGCGTGCTCCAGCTGCTTCTGGAAATCAATGCTCTGAGGCGTGGAGGAGAGGGCCGCCGCTACACTCTGTGCCTTCGGCTCGAGCTGCTGAAACTTGTCCTCAAGATGATACTCTATGCCCTCATGCCCTTCTCCTTCTACTGCGACGAACAAAGCATTTTCCACGCCCTGGATACCTACAAAGAAAAACAGGTGTGCCTATTATGCGTCTTGAAGTCCGCCGGGAAACTTCCTCGGCCCCAAACGCCTTAGTGTATCTCGTTGCACGTACTGAAAGGACGAAATCCAGCGGAAGCTCGCTTACTTCTTATTGTTACGACGGCCTGTTGACGTCAGCAAGTATCTTGGTAGTTAGATTTTGCCTGGTGCTGCTACCCAACTCGGGTGTGTGGCTCCGCTGTGTGTGGTGTTTTGCCCAGATGACAGCCGAGACGCACAAATCGAGGCCTTCCTACGGCCGGCGAACAGGCAGAAAGATTCCTCCTCTCCCCTCTGCAGCAGCAACGCGCCAGTATGTTCTACCGATCGCGTATTTCATTCATAGAATGCGTGTTCGTGTTTTTGTCTAGCTCTCCCAGCAGCGATTATAGGCCACCTGTGCAAGGCGCCTTGCCAAAGTGCCCTTGTTTGTCACCCCGCCACTTGACTTCGAAGCTGAGCACACACACAGGATGACGTTCTCCATCATTCTTATGGGTAAGCAGTGCTTGTGCAACGGCCGCTGAATCTGAGGGTTCTCATGTTTTGATTGTATCGCTTCTCAGCCCCAACGACGAACACGAAGCAGCGATTGCGGCCGCTGCGTTGCAACAGATACCTCGACAGTGGGCTCTTCTGGTGATACTCTGGATTCTGAATGAGCTGAAGACCAACTTGTCTTGGGAGCGTCTCTGCGCCATTGGCCGTCTCCTTAATTCCACCTCCTGGCGGTATGTCTCGTGCTTTGTTCTGCATGCATGGCACAATCTTTTTGTTACATCCAAGCAGTCTCAAGTTCTCCCGCTTGCCTGTTAACGCCCCAGGCGCACAGTCCCCCTGCTGCGTCCTTTCTACAACTCAGTGCTACGCAGCTGATCGCGGTGCTAACCGCCTCACGCAAAGTATGCATGTATATATGTATACATCTATGTATTTTTATTTTTATGTGTATGTGCATGTTACTTATGTGCATATGTGCGTGTACGTATGTGTGTATGTATATACCTATTTGTATGTCTGTATGTATGTGTATGTGTATGTGTGTATGTATGTGTGTGTGTGTGCCCCCAATTCCTCGCTAGGCCGATACTGGGCGAGATATTGTATCATCTTCGCCCCTTTATTCATCTCTACCTTCTAAAGCGGGCCAGGAACAGCAAGTCATGGACGCCCTGGCTGGCAGCCATCTGTGCGTGATCTAAAGCTTCTAAGACACCCCAAGTGGGATCGCCGTGGGAGTCCAGCCTTTTAGCCTGCGTCGTATCCAAATTACCTATATATGCATTCCTTGTGGTGTTCACTTGCTTACTACGACGCAGTCATCGAGGCGAACTCAATATCTCTGTTCCATGGGTGCCCCCAACTGATGGAGCGTCTGTCGCCTATAGAGGACGCGGAGCTTCACAGGCGGTGAGTGGCCGGTCTCTTGGAATTTCTTCTTGGCTTTCTCATATGCACCTTCTATGACTGTAATTGGATCGCAAATATTTTTCTTCGCTTTATGTACAGCCTAACTGGTCTCCCCTACGCTTTGTTGCGAGCCCCGTTCTTTGACAAGTTCCTTGCGCGGCCATTCGAGGCCATCGACTTCGTCGTGCGACGAGTGCCCCTCCTCAATCATTTTAAGTGAGTCTGAAAAGTTATTTGATTCAACACTGGAGAGGAGCCCCACTGCATGCGGGGGCAAAGCTACCGGCGACGCTTTTAGCAACAAGTTTAACACCACTATGCAAGCCCAGCGACGCTGATGTTGTTCACGGAAGCCAAGTGCGATTACTCCTGGACTGGTGTCAATGCTTGCAAAGATGAATGCGATATGCATGCATAAACCACAGCTGTCAATGAGCTCGCATCAGATTGCGGGGCTTTCACTCGTACCCTGACTGTGGTCTCATGCTTGTCTGTTGGCGAAGACATGTGCATGCCGTGTTGGCGTCTAGCTGCTTGTGAGAAGTGCCGTCTACGCCAGCTCTTAGGCCTAATTGTTGTTAGACAAAGCCTTTCCGCACACCTGTTATACTGCGTTTTCTAGTGTGCTTTCTAGCAGGTAGGCACGCGCGTTTGTTTGTGCACGGTCAATACTCCGCCAGCCGTATCAGTGACTTTTTGTACTGCTTTATACTCTGCATGCAAGCACTATACGCATCCACCGTTGTGTGCGTTTGTTCTCATTGCAGCATCTTGGATGCGTTCCTGGTATATAGGGACTTGTACTTCACGACCTCTAATACCTAGTGGTGCTGTTTTTCAGGAGCCTTTGTGCAAACTGGATATGTGGTTCTAGCTAAGGCAAGGCACTTTTGTCTTCACTGTTGACAAGGCCTAGCCAACCGGGCAGTGGATGCCACCGAGTTCGCCTTCTTTCAGCGATTCGGAGAATGTATCTGCACGCGCATACGTAATGGTTGAGTATGCACGACTTTCCTACGCGTAGTAAAGACTTCCACACAGAGGATATACCTTGAGAACAAGCGCGTGCAGACGTCACGTAGCCCTATGTTGTATTCATTAGTGCTGGCAACGGGCTGTGCGGAAACAGACCTAACCATTTAGTAGAAAGGTTCACCTTCCATGCACTTAGGCGTTTCAGGTGGCACAGTAACAGGCGCAAGCAACTTCGAAGAAGAGCTGTAAAGGGAAAAAACTCTTTTTATTCTCAAAGTAAACTTCGCTGCAGGAAGATACCATGTGCCTTAGGCCACTATTTCCAGGGCAACCACTTGGATTATTCGCAATATTTACATATGCCTTTGACAATAGAAGAAAAAGACCTAGCGTCTTCGGACTATCGAACCCTCGAAAGCAAAGGACCATGCTGGCCTCTATCTGGATGCAGGGGGGGGAGGTTTCGTCAAAGTCGACTCCTTCAATTCGATTTAGCCATGATCACCTATGATGGATCAAAATGGTGCGTTTAGGTGGCCGTTAGTTGCTTAAAGAAGACTGGCGCACAACAGGGTGGGCTACGTTGTGCTCCCTTGCCTGCATGTATGGCATGCGCCTTGCACCGCACAGCTCGATCGAGATTCTTCGCATATGAGCTAGCCATTGTGGCTTAACCTGCTACTTTTAAGCCATCCAAAAGGGGAAAGTTTGTGCTGGACTCCCTGGAGCCAGCTCTGTGTCGATGGCCATCCTGTCTTGTCCAACGTGGCGATGCGGAATCTGTGTGGCAAGGTCAATGCTTCTTCCCCTCCCCATCCCTAATCCAGGGTATGACTGGATTCATGGCTTTTTTTATCCATAGCAACAATCCAATGCATTGACCAAGGCTCGTAATATCCCATCGCCCTAGCACCACTGGGAGGCGGGCAAGGGCACCGCACATTGGTCCGGTGCACCGCACATACAAAGGCCACAAACTCTGCGTTTTTAGTGCTTGACACATGGTACGTTTATAAATACAGCAGCTTTTCTGATACACAGAAAGTCATTCAGAGGGTTTTCCGAATTTCCCGCCCACTGAGTGCGGAAACACGAGCATCGGGGGGCACTTGACGTGACCACATTGCATTCACCGGCTCTTCCACCCTTTTTTATATCGCCGGCATGGGAACATCTCAGTCTAAGCAATACAAAAGCTCAAATGGGCACAGGGAGCGGCGACTTTGCCCTTTGCATGACAGCAGGTCACGGCGGCAAACTCCGGGTACGGAACCCTGGGGCGGCTCCGATCGTTCCTCGGGCAAACACCGTAAAGGCGTATCAGGTGTGCGCAAAATCAACCTTGGTAGGTTCAGGCAAGCGTGGGCATTTCACCGGGGACGCACACATGCCTCGGGGTTTCATGATGAGGATCACGTCGAGAAGACCGTCGCGATGCCCTGGTTCGGCAAGTCGCAGAATCAAGGACCTTTCCTCACACCGCGTGAGCCGGTCAAGGACGATCTCTCGTCTTCAAGAAATGTGGTCGCAACTAATGCCTCAGAGTATTTTAGCGTTGTCAAAGCTAGTGAACATTCTGATGCCTCCGACAAGTTCATAGCACGCCCCTGGCAGGCATGGGCGTGTTCTCGAATGGGAGGCCCGCTATGCCGGTCCTTCGCAAATCTACTACAATATATGAATGAAGATGTCATTGAAGGGTTGAGCCACCACCCGTGCCCAAATGAGGTGAGACGACTTTTGAAACCCTCGAAATGCACGCTAGTTAGTTTCGGAAAACTAGCACTCACCTGAGCACAGGACTGGGCAGTCCAAAGGCAGTTTGTAGCCCACTTGGGTAACGCGTGTAGACGGGGATGTGTTGGCGGATTCGCACAGGGACTTGCCTTGATGTACACAAACTGTTTCCACGTCCCGCTGCCGGTGGAGCCCACACTCGAGCCTAGCCCAAATGCCCTAGGTTACCTGTTTCCTGGCACGTACTTCAAGGTAGGATGCATCATTGACCCATGGATCTGTGACTCTTTTGGAGTTTGGTGGAGCTGAGCCGGCGCCACTGAAAAACCGAGGCCCGCTGTGGACTTTTGATGCTACTGCTGTCCGCCGCCACAAGCGCGCGCTGTAATCTTCATGGGGTTTCTTAGGGAGCACTATTCATTATAAATGGCTCCGTTTCTGCACGACCATTGGTTCCAGCAATCGTATTTCCCCGTGTCTTCTTGTAGGTACTTGATGTCAGAGCGTGCATTACCCAAGCGTCGTATCTGCTACGCCTGAAAACGCTTGAGGGGTGGGTAACAGGAGCATCATTGCAGCTGCTTCAGCCGCCTCCGGATCCGCGAGTTAGATCATGGAGGCCCGCAAACGAAGAAGCCATAACGAAATCGACGCAGCGTTCTCCTGCAGTTGTGGTGGCCGCTGGCGGTAGCAGGGGGGACTCTGCTCCTCCCCATCTCCAGGGGAAGCTTGACTCCGTTTTGAACAGTTTCCAGACTTTGAATGCGAGCGAAGGCACAGCGGACGATTTCTCCGAGTTTGAAGAGGGACCATTACCGTGTTTCGCTGTAGTTTACGCCTGTCGTGCTACTCGCTCCCGCAGCTTTCAGGAGTGCATCATTTTATCAGAGGAACGTGAAAGCTACCGAAGCCTCAGCAGGTTGGCGAAGGTTTCAACCTTGCAGCGTTTCGAGGAGGCACTGCAGGAAGCAAGCCCCCATATTTTCTTAAAGGCTGGCGAAATGCCGGGCCCGAAGGCCTCATGGGATGGCAGTGCTCGCAGCATGCCATTAGATGAGGTCGTGGCAGCCAATTCTGTCAGCAGTCAGAGCAGAGGCCTTCGCCCAATGCAGCATCCTTTCATACTGTACCGCGTACGGGCAGCTGGGCCTGTGGCCGTAAGGTGTGTAGAAAGCTTACCTGCACTGGGTTTCAATTGAAGAGTTTAAATGGCGTATCGTCAGGCTTGAGAGCGCTTTGAGATACCAGCTTAGATATTACTCAAGGTCTGCCCAGGAGGTGGGGGTATACGAAATTATTCTAGCCACATGCAGAGTTTTTCGTTTGCTTTGTGCTGCAGTGCAACCCCTCACTTAGGCTCTCTCACTGTGGGGCGCCTTCTACGTGGGCAGGTCTTCCCCGTCCTAGACGTTTGCCTTGTGTGCTGCGTCCCAGCTTGTGGGAGGCTCGCAGGGGAAAATGGCTGCGTGATTGCCGGCTGGGAGTTTTCAGGATCAGAGGGAAGCGACTCCACGCAAGCCGGGCCGTCTGTTGGGTTGCGTGATCGAGAGTCGAAGAGAAGCCTATGCCGCTTGACACGCAGGAGGCGCGTGCATGTCCGCGCCTGCACTGTAGAAGGCTGGGTGACTCTCGACCGATTGACAGAGAGAGTGGACGAATGCGAGATTGTGTACAGCAGTCCTCGCCTCTACGAGATTGTCGGTTCGTCTATTCACATAATTGCAAATATCTCCACATGCTATTGCGGCCTCTCTTAAGCCTTCAAAAGTTTTGCACCGGCGTTTAGGGATAGGTTTCCTCTTCAGTATATTCGTGCCCATGCCGCTGCTGCAGCGGACGGCTACCTCGTAAATGTGAGGCCCTCGCTTGAGATAGAAGGACTTGTTCGCCGAACATTGCCACCAGCAACGCTAGTAGAAGTCTTCGAAAGGAAGATTAACAGAGAAGGGCTTGTCCGCCTAAGGTACGTCTGCAGTGTCCTCCAGTCGAGTCTATGCAGCTTCGCGGCAAACTGTTTTACACCTGTAGACTCTCGGCTCCCGGCTTCGTGGCCTTTCTTTGCTCTTACCAGCAGCCGAATATTCACCGCTGGCACTGAGAAAGAGCCATCCAGTGCCATCTCTTTCGGAGAGATCGTATGCGTGTGTTCGCCCTTATGAGGGTGTCCTACAGGTTAGCTGATGGATGGATAAACGAGCGAAGAAAGGGGTCAGGGGATGGGGGATTCTTTTTCGCCAGACCTGTTATGGATAGGCGCGCAGATAATTTTTTACGGCAAATTACGGCTGTGGGCGTTCTGTTACCTGCCCTCTGCTCCGTGCACAGCAGAGTTCGCACATTAGCAGCCACCTGGGTTGCTGCCAATGCCACGCAGTCAGCCATAGGCTCTGCAGCTTTCATGGAAGAAGTAGACATAACCTTATTAGAGGAAGCGCTTGTTCGGTGCTCGTGCTGCCACTGCAAGCGATACGATCAAGGTGACGGAGAAGGCCAGGGAGTTGAATCATCCGGTTGTCACTACAGCTACCATCAGCATGACCGGGATGATCATTTAGCTTCTTTTGGTGAGACCACACCTTCCTTTCCAACCACGTCCGCAATACCTCCGTCGGAAAGCAAGCTCAAGGGTGATGCTGATGGGACGGGCGAGAGGCAGAATGCATCCTGTCAATGCAGCACTACATCCCCTACTGCCCCATGTGGCTGCATTGCCATGGCTGCCAAGGATTTGCCTTTCACAGAATCTCCAGTGACCACATCTCCCACACCTCGGGCCTCCGCGTCTACCTCGTCAGCACCCCGAACTGCGGCAGAGGTCACGGGTAACTCGTACGACTCAATGGCATTTGTAGTGGGTGTGACTACTCCCCTGATGCGGAGCGATGAATGTAGTCGTGGGCAGTGTCACAGAGGACGCTGTTGCTTGGAAGGAGATGTGGAATCCATGGCTGAAATTTCAGACTCAGATTTGAAGGGAACTGACAACCACCAGAAACATGGAAGACTGTGGAGCTCTTTGTTTTCTCTTACTAGGGTATCTGCCTCACATCTGTAATGTCACACTTCGAACGCTACGTAGAGTACTTTCTGCTTATTGTCGACAAGGCATTACGCAGCGCACAGAGGTCTTCATGAGATCATCACGTGTCCTCCGCGCAGGTGGCTTCGACGCTTCCGTCTGGACTCGCGTCTTTCCATTGTCTGCACTGCTCCCACACCGAAAATTCGGCACAAGAGCCTGGCGCTAACGAGGCAGACGATGAAGAACATGCAAGTACAGTTTTTGAAAATTGCAGGGTGCTGTGCCAGCGCCCTGATTGCGATGCTTCTATAGGCTCCCCGGGGGAGCAGTGTTCACGAGAAAAGCTGAGAAATGCCACTCGATCACTCCAGCGTTCATCAGTCAGCGTGGACAGCCTGAGGACATGTGCCACAACTGTGCCGTCAACGTCCCTAGACTATTGCCAGTCACGCGCGTTCAGCTTGATCCCTTCCCCTGAACTGGGCATGGGATTGGGTTCAAACCACGATCTACAAGCCTGCAGAATCTCTCTCTCGCCTTCAGACACCCTGTACCAGTTCTGCGTGGCGGCAGTAAGCAACAAGCAGAAACAGCCTCTGCGTGCTTCACATGTCGTCTGCCTTAGAGTGCCAGTGATTGTTGTTTTGTAAAAAAGCTCCTTAAAGCTCCAGCATCTATTAATATCTGCTAAAGTATGGGCGCACCTTCCTGGAACTTACCCCCTATGCTTATTTATTGATCTAAGAATGCGTATGAAGATCACTGCGCATTGCTCTACAGGTATACTCCTCACTGGCGGAGCATAGGGAGCCAGTTCCCCCTTACACGGTTTATCGCCCTCCTCTTGGTAGTTTTGTTGCTCCTTTGGATCCGGACAATACAATGACGTTAGAGGGCTCCTCTTGTAACAAAAATCTGCTTCACATGTACATGCCATACCTGAACCTGAAGGAGGGAAAGCTCTCATTAGGCAACCCAAGTCGCTACAGCAGCTTCTCCTTCCACCAGCCTCCCATTATCGTAGTGAGTTTGCTCGTGCGGAATAAATAAGGCTGTGAAAAAGTTTGTAGGCATACTGGCGCATTCATGGTATCAGTTGTTCTTAATCTAATTATTGTCCTATAACTAAAAATACCGTTGTGCTGAGTGCTGAGGCCGCAGATCCACAAAGTAGAGCGAATCCGCAATGACATTTTGGCTAGGCGCTACATGCATGAAAGAAGTCTGCTATTGTTAATGAACGCAAATGGCGGCTCTAACCTTGATGAGGTTGTTCTAAATCCTCTTCTGCAGGTGCACGTCCATCCCTCCCAGGCAAGTGCTTGTTACTCCACCACCCTCAGGCTCTACCGGCAGATGTAGGCGTGTGGTTCTAAGATCGCCGATTCACCTTTATGGTCCTCCGTAAGGTAATGTGTGATCCTATAAATACTTACAGACATGATTAACCTTTGCTGGATTAAGGCTGATCTCATCTGAATCAACTGGGAGGCACTGACGTGGAGTGCAGCTGACTTCGTGTGCGCAATCCAGGCTTGTTTAAACGAATACTTCCTTTTCCACGGGTGTACTGAAGAACGTGCGAAGCTGATAGCACTATCTGGCTTCGATTTCCGTAGGGGAGGCGAAAACGGAGGTATTATGGATACCATCAGTCTAGGACCTCTCAATGAACTAATACCTCGAAGATGTACACTTGTAGCCGTATATACCCACTGGTGAAGATATGGGGGAAAGAACGGATAAGTTTCGATAGTGGTCATCTCAAGTGAACCATGCAGGGATCAGTTCTTGAGGAAACGCATCATTCTTTTTCCTTGGATGCCAACCCGAAGAGTGAATAGACGAGTACAAAACTGAGGATGTAAAGTGTTGGGTGCCTCATTCTTTTGCAGGGAAACTGTTTGGCATAGGCACTTACTTCTCTCCATTCGCGAGCAAAGCAGATTTATACACTCGTCTCAACGACTCCGCATCGAGATCTGTTGGACCTGGTCCCCTGATGCCTATTGCCCTCCACAACTTGCCATCCCTCACACCTTTGCCGGTTCACCTGGCACGCCCAGCCAAAGGGGCTCCGGGAGGTTCTCCTGCGGTTCCTGGTATTCCAGGTCAAATGGTGGCTACAATGGGAGGTCCCAGTGCTGTGCTCTCTGACCCAAACGCAACCCGATCTACAGCAGTTAGCCTACGGCTTTTGAAAGGCAGTTGGGTAGGGGGTGGAAAAGGAGGTGGCAGCGGCCCACCGCTGATGCCAGCTTCATCAGCTTCCCATTCAACACAACCAGAGGGAGCTATCAAGAAGGAGAAGGAAACAGGTCTCAGGGCAGTATGCACTAAATTCGCCAGACAGAATAACGGACGCAGTAATAGCCAATCAAAAGCCGGTGTAGTGCCCGGCCAGAAAGGTGGTACCTCGACTGTGGCCACCACGCAGCCAACAAACTCGCACCAACAAGCGCGGGCGCCAGATGCTGCAGGGGGGGCAAACCGTCATGCCAAGGGAAGCGCGGTGCGCGCAAGTTCAAGCAATTCGAGTACACGACCCCCCTTGCGGTGTTTACTCCTTGCCCGCGTCTGCCTAGGAGAGGTGTACAAGGCTCTGGGCCCGATATCAGACGCCCGCATGCCCCCTCTCAAGGCTCATCCGGTATCATCCAAGCTGACGTACGATTCAGGTATGCCACACCATCAACTTGTGTGAGCAAGCTTTTCCGTACAGTCTCTGCTGTCCGCCCTACCCCTGGGTCTCCACTTGAACCGTGACCCTGCATGTGAAGTACCCGCACAATTCCAAAACTGTTCGGATGACAGGTTTCTACAATGTTCAGCGCAAATACCTGAACCTTGAATGTGGCTGCGTGTGGCTGCTGCCTCTCTGAAATGTTCTGCAGTGATGGCGGAATGTCGCACGCGCGGAGGCATTGTCGACGGAGTGGAGTTTGTGGTGTTCGAAAGAGCTCAGGCTCTGCCCGAGTTCATTATAACGTATTCACACGCGTCTCAGTGTCAGTGTGCTGAATGTCATCGACAGCTCACCCAGTGAAATGAGCTGCAAAAAGGCTGGCAGCAATACGCAGCATTACCCCTGGACAGTTGGTATGCTATTTCCCTAGTCGCTCCTTACACCTTAACCACTCGCTACCTATCTCGACCACCTCCAAGGACGACTGCCTCGGCGGACCGTGTGCCTGCAGTGTGCATCTTGCATTCCTTCTTCCTTTACAGTTGGAAATCTGTCGAACTAAAGCCGCGGCTGAGTGGCTGCGACCAAGTAGCATACTAAAGGCTTTGTAGATGAACCTCCGTGGATCTGACGCAGTGTGCAGACTTTAGGCCATCTACGAATTTTCCTTTTTGCACAATCCGACCTTTTAAGGTTTTAGACCATCAGGGGATGCGCTGGAACGGGTATTGGCGCCATCGTCGAGCAGCATATCTCGATTACGTATAAAGGAAGCGGCAGATTTTGGCTGTTATTGGCGCTCATTCCTGTGTTGAGCCCACGGTAAGACATGGAAATTATTGGCGAATGGGATGTATTGCAGCCCTTCGCGACGCGCGAAATGGGCAGGGACGTGGCTCAAGTTCAGTGTAGCACCCACTGCCATCATCTGCCTGCTTCTTCCCTGCATAAAGCAGCGGAGGAGGGTGGCTTTAAGTCCCTGCTGGCTGTTCTACCAGCAAGCAGACTGCACTGTGTCATATGGCTGCTAGGGCTGGGGGAAGCCAGCTTTGCAGCTGCATGGCCCTGCAGCATGAACTACGTTATTACAACGGCCGGCCGAAGTAACCCTCCATAAACAAACCGCCATAGTACAAGCCGGGAGGCCACGCTCTTGATTTTCCTCAGCGCCGCACCTTTCCCTGCTACACGCGTGCCGACGTCGAGTGGAGTGGAATGAACGCAATGTCGCACAGACTCATTGCCCATCTTCAACAGCTTCCTCCGCGAACACATAGTCTGCAGGAAGCAGTCCTTTATTCCGGGAAGCGGCGACCATGTAGCAGATCTTTTGCTGAGCGTTGGGCACGTCCAGTTCAATCTGCATGCACCAGCAGCAGTGCAGCAACATCCGGGATATTCCAATACACCAGTGTCTGCTCACACTCGCTATTTCTACGAAGCAACGCGCAATTCAGTGCCCTCGATACAAGCAGCCAAATTCGGCACACAGCACGTAGAACGTACATCCGGAAGCAAGTCTCGAATCTGCGCCAAACCTTGAATAATACACTCCTGGTCGAGTTCTCCTAGAGCCTGCAACTGCTCGAGAAGTCCTACAACCGCCTGCGCCGCTTGCTCGGGGTCCTTGGACCGCTCCATTGAAAAGATGTAGGCCTTACGCACCACTTCAGAATCCTGCAGTGCCAGAAAAAGACGTGCGATCACACATACAGCCCAGAACTCGTATACACAAGACCCTCCAGAAAAAAACTATGGGGTGGCTCCATGGCCCTGCACGATACAGGGGAAAAAACAGCGTTGCCCTGCCAACAAAGCGCCACGTCATTTCTACAGTTTCAGAGTCAAAAGCTCCCTAAACCTCACTTGGTCAGGCGCCAGGTTCATGTCGATAATGGTCTTGGCCGCCTCAGCCGCATCAAGTGTATCAAGGTACTTGCGGATACACGCCTTGAGTTCATGCTTAAAAATGCGAGCTTCACGCATCGTTGGGTCCGTTCCTGTCCAGATCTGCACTTGCATTCACAGCAGCCGCGTGCAACTTTTTATCGCACTGCACTGCGCAACTGAGCCAAACTCACTTTTCCAGACGGAACGTCAAAATATGTACTTTCCGTAAAGAAGTGCAATCAAAGCTAGCTGACTGCCTTTGCGCCTACTTGCAAACATGAGCGTCATAAAAAAGCAATATGCCTACGCGCGCGGAACGCGGATCCCCTAATTTGTTCCGTGGATGCCAGAGCCCACAGTGATTTTATGTACATATATTTACTTATATATAGAACCGCCTTCCTGTACCTTTCTGAAACGTTCGCTGGCTGCCTTCCCTGGCTGTTCGCAAAGCCACTTCTGCGCCTTCTTGAGGACTTGCATGCCACCTACGCCTCCAAAGTGCAGCCTATACCTATCCCCTAGAAACGCGGGGGGTAAGAGCTCGTCTACCACTGCCCTGGCCTGCAGCCAAAGAGGAAACATGCAAGGGGGACTGAATACATGCCTTCACAGAAGCGCGGCTCAAGGAAAGTCGCCAACAGCAAAGGGCACGCTCATGTGCATGCTCATTGCTGATGGCTCCCGAAATCCCTTGAAGGGCAGCATCCTCGAGAGGGCTCGCAGCACTGAACAACTACTGGCCGTGCTCCCTCTCGTCTGCATGGACGTCTACGCGAGGCAGGCAAATCCCAAGCACGGACTCGCACGGAATGTTCACACTGCACACAAATAGAAGGAATTCCCCTTACAAGGCTCTTTGTTAGGAAATCGTGGGCCTGAGGCACATCCAACGCGAGGTCATCGACTGCCCCAACGAGACGAGAAAATCCAACCTGCAGATCGTCTGGCTTCAGCGTCTTCCCGTACAGACGGTCTAGGATGTTGCTCGCCAGCTCTCTGTCCCTGAATCGCGCCGCAGAGCAACAGGAAGGTGCCACGCCACCACTTTATAGGCAGGGTGTCTACGGCAAGGCAGAGGCAGAAGTCTGGGTGTAGAAGTGGAGGGGCTGCTATCTCTCTCTCTCTCTCTATCCGTGGGTTTACTCGCAGCAGACAGAGAACTGCAAAAAAGGAATTCCTCCAGAAGTGTCAATACACGGCGTCGCACAACTGTGTAACCCTCAGCTGGTGTGCAGCATGCTGAGGGTTACACCTGGAGAGCACGACTCTGTATTTTTTAGACATTCTCCAGGTGCAATTGCCACAGCCCTCCCTCACAGGATGCCCAGCAGTCACTAAGGGAGGAATCTCACCGCTAGCCAAAACTGCTAAGTAAGGCCCCTCAGCACCCTACCTGGGTGCCTTTGAATAAGACGCCACCACGAGCTTCACAACGAATTCGTGCTGGCACAGCGGTTTGTCTTGTGCGTTGAGGAAGAGCTCCGCCTCCTGGACGCCTTCGCTCTCAAAGACATCCTCTAGAAACTCTGCAAGCGCCGCCTTGAACTCTTGCATCCTGCAAAAAGAGAATGACGCGTTGGGTGCCCTTCGGAGCCGCTTCTATCACACCCCATGAGGAACCAACAACGCCAGCAGATTCCAGAAAGTCACGGAGATGCTCGAGCATCAGGGATATGCTTACTGGCGCACGGCTGCCTGCACGACAATGTTGCTCGCAACAACGGCAGGATCCAGTTTTGAGACAAAGGCAGTTGGAAGGCGACTGAGAACATCTGCGCCGATGCAGCTGTCGAGAGAGGCGCACTCGATGAAGGCAAACAGCCGACTGGCCACATCCGGCACGTCCTGCAATCCGCACATCAAAGTAATTGAAGATGAAACTTCGACAAAGATTCCCATTGTACAGGATTTCACGCGCATGCAATACACTATACATGCGAATTGTGATGCTGCACTTTCATAAAACATGGACAGCCCAAGAATTACACACACACACACACACGACGCAATCTGTGCGAGCTTAGCCCCTCTATTATCTGCTGCTGAATATTCCATGAACGGATACGGGTCGAACATATGCCCTTCCAACGGCGTGATCCTGCAATATACATACTGGCTAAAGTAAGAGGGTGGTAGCGGGGGAAGGTGATAAATACATGCCACCAAAAGAGGCGCCACATGCGTTTTTCTGTACGCCTATTGGCCGATACAAATCACAGGGAAGGACTATGAACACGTCATACGGATATGACCACATAATCGTGCCCCCCTAGAACCACCTGCATACAAGTTCGATATCATCTGTGCTTTGTACGAGTTTCTCGAAAGCTCTGCACAGCTGTTGCCTGGTGAGAAGGCCCTTGTCAGCGAGGAGGGCGAACTCAGCGCTCATGCGCCGCTGATCTTCAGTGCTCCGATCTAGAGAGGCGCGGACCGCATACACCACGAATGCGTCATGGTAGCAGCGGCAATCCAGCGCTTGCAGACAGGCGGCGAGGTCTACAGAGTCCGCACACGCGAAGAAAGCTGCAAACAAACGCACAACGCGCTCTCTCCAACGCTCGACAGCAAGCTTCCTAATGGCTGGATGCGAGCATGCAACAAAAAACTCCGGGCAGCCGCATTCATCTGCGTATTAGATACCGCCTTGTGCCGCGAGGATGCCATGCATCACCGTCTCGCCCCATACAGCGGTGCTAATACTGGCGCAAAAAAGGAGGGGCGTGTTTGCGCTTACCCTTGAGCATTTCATCGACGGCAATGCGGAACTCTTCCGCAGTCTTTTCCGGCCGTGCGAGACTTCCAGAAGCCCGTGATACAGAAAAGCAGCTCTGGTTGTTTATGGTTGAACGATAGTCGCAAGCAGCCACTTCTATGACTTGGTAGAAGCAGTTGTCGTCCTGTGCACGACATACGTTACGGGCAAACACGTCGACGTAGCGCAGCAGCAGGAATGATCGACCCTAACTGGCACTTAGAAGCCCCTAAGTTGGCATGTATAACCGCGACGAATACGAGAAAAACAAGCACGCGCATCGAGGTTTAGCTCACTTCTCTCTCGCTGTCATACATGGGATCCTTCGAATCCATGGGCACCGAGTTGCTCTCGAGCTGATCGCGAATCAGGTCGCCCTTACGACTAAGCACCTTGTCTGCCATCTTGAAGACACAGAGGACAGGAGGAGGTTGGCGCTCTCTTGCACTGCTGTTGCCTCTGCTGTTGCTGCCGATATGCCACACGAGGACAGAGCAACACTGGTGAACGGAAGGAAGATCCAAAAGGCGCTGCCAAGAAGAAAGGGGCTGATTACTCTCTGGCCCCTGTGGCACGCCAGCCCTCCGTCTTGGCCTTCCCCTGAACAATGGAGTTGCTACACTGGAGGGGTTCCCTGTCTTTGGTGAACTCCTTGCATGTACCAATCAAGTGCAGGGGAAGCGCAGGGAGAAGCCCCCTCAATTCCCCTTCTCTCCCCTACTTTCGTTTCTTCTCACCGTCTAGCTCTATGCCCAGTTGCTGACTCCCGCTAGAATGCTGCCCTTCCTGTCTTCGAGCTGTTTCTGCTGGTTGCCACGCCGCGCCCGATGGCCCTGCGTGGTACCGCGGTCCTCTCCAGTGTGCAGCGTCACAATTCACCTAAAATTAATGTTACAAAAGTGAAAGGAGGGAGATGGAGCAGCTGGGATATTGGAGTTAAGGAATGTGCAGAGCAATGCCGCCCCGTGGAGAGCCGCGTTAAATAACACACGGATGGAGAGCAAGGTAATCTGCAATGGCCTCCAACAGTGTGGGGTTCGATCCGAAACTTTAAGGCAAACAGGGAACGGCAGATACAAAGCGACATTCACATGCTGGCTGTCACCCCACTTCTCCAAGCCCCAGCCACTCCATGGCTGGCTCAGCGCTTACATTCGCCCCCGCGAGAGTACTTATGAACCCTCCGTTGCAAGCTAAAGTAAAGGCGTAGGGTCAATGCGAACAAACTACCTCTCATCGACTGGGGAAAAGCGAAAATGAAAGTCTACGACAAGCAACAAAGCAGCTACCCACACTACTGACACCAACATTGATGGGCAGTACCCTCCCAGGCGCCACACATTGATGGCAAATCACCAATGCAATAAACAGTGAAAATCATTGAGATGAATGCGCTACATGGAGGGCAGCATGGGATTTGCTCGGGGTTGAACAGGGGATTCCCCAGGTTGGGCACCACTAAGGCGAATCAGAAGGCCTCTGTGGCACCAAGTGGCAACTGTATTGGAAAACATGGATTTCATGGGGCATACCAGTAACAGGAATTGGAAGCGACCATAAAATGGGCTAAGCAATGTTTAGATTCTCACATTCTGGGCTGCCTCGGATACCAGTCTGCACGTGGTTAACCCTTGGCTTGGATGCGTCTACGTTCCCCTGAAGCTTTGGGGGCATGTCTACAACGCTATTCCCACCTATTTACCCCCACTGATGGCCCCTGGCAAGTGCTTTTTGCTGTATTAGTGTCACACCGGCCGCCTTCACCCTGAGCCCCTACGACAGAGCGGTTTTGTGGGTCAGGATCGCTCCACTAACTTTTGTCTACAAAGAAGGGTTGCAAGTGCTGCAAAGTACACCATTAGTGTAGCCGTTGCATGATTAGTAATAAAGTGAACTCTGAATGAGCATCCTTTCTTGACTTGGCGTCTTGATCGCTTGATGTAAGGTATTTTGTGGGCACACTTAGCCCAGACAAGATAGAGACGCAATTAAAAGTATTGTGACCTTCCCTTGGGAACTTCCGCCCTCCCCTACACGCAGCCCTTAGAGCTCGTGACATAATGGGAGACGGACAGCCAGTGTGCACGTAGGTAGCCACAACCTTTAAGTACTCCGGTGCCTTCACAGCTTGTGGCACACAGCAACTAGCGCACACGCACACAACATTGTGTCTGGTTGGATCGAGCAGGTAATTTCTGTAATGAGGTAGATATGACAACAGACAATGCAGTCAGTTCATTCTTCATCCATACTTAATTGAGTTTAACTCGTTTACTAGGTGGCAAAGTACAGTTTATATCGCTGCACCTTTTTCCGCTCATTTCAAACGCACGCCTACAAGTCCCATGCCTGTACGTCGATACCAGCAACAGAAAGGAAGGGATGCCGCCCCGCGGCCTCTCCCCAAGAAGGCAGAAACGCGAAAGCCGTGCAAATGAGGAGAATAAAGCGTCTACCGACCGGTCGAGAGAACCAACACGATAAAGGGTGCGCATACTACTTACCAACGTTCAAGGAATCAAACCAACATGGCCGCGGCACCATGATGGCTTGCTATCCGTGGAGCGCTAAAATTTGTGAGCGCTCTGTAACGAGAAGACAGAAAACAAATGACATAAGCAAACGGAATCATCATTCACACGCCCAGCAGTGGTTTTGCGAGTCGTGAAGCGATCTCTCCATGCAAATGTAGAGAGCGCACGGAGCAGAGTCGATTTCCAAACTCCCAAAGACGCATATGAAAGAATATGCAGAGAGCATACCTGGGTGTGCCTGCACTGGAATTTGAGTTTAGATATCATCTTAGCAATAGTGAACGGCGACTTTTAAAGCAATACCCGCACATGAAAGTAGCTATTTAGGGCGCAACATGACGTCCGGACGGACGATTACCAAGGAACGTGCAGAACCTCGTCCGTGGAATTTATCGTTGTGAGCCAATCATAGCCAGAAATTCGCTCTTAGGCAACAACACCTGGCACTCTCTTTCATCAGTCACTGAGGCTGGTATTTCCTGCCTCAGTTCACTAGGACCCCTTGTCCAGTGTGTCCGTGGCGCTCAGAATTCCCAAATTCAGCACATTTATGATTCCCTATGAATCCTCCGCCTTTACACGAGTCACCTCCCTGCGCGACAAAGTCCGGCAATGTTTACGAGAGCTTTGTAACTGCTTGAAGAAGCTAGTATTGATAGTTCTGTCGCAGCCCCAACTTCTAGAGATATCGATAGAGCGAAAACTGGCTCCTGAATGGATGGCGAAGGGTCACACCCATCTGGCGGCACATTTTTTCGTATGGTCATCTGGTACACTTTGACTAAGCTTCCGGTCTTCCAGGACCGAATCTCCAGGCTCGAAACACATAACCGAACGTCGTCTATCGTAATTCCATGCTTGGCTCTCTTGCGTCTTCTGCATGCATTTGCGTGCAGCAGCCCGCTGGTTTCCTTATCTTTTCGCTGCAAAGATGACTGCTGGCCTCGGATTAGCAAGTTCAGGCTTAAATTGAAGAAGGGCTCCTCACGGTAAACGCGGCATGCGGGAGACCAACACGAAGGCAAGTGTACTCTTATAACAGAAATCTACTCAGCTCAATGAAAACAAGTCATTTAAGCCATTGGGGCCGTGTGAGCCTAGGATCGCAAATACCACAGAGGAGTGTGGTTGGAGCTCCTTGCTGGTCTGTCTGCCGCAGGTTGGTTCGCAGTGGTCATATATTGCCAGCGTGCAAAAGGGCCAAGAAAGCACGGCAGAACTCACTAGCGAACTTTGGATCCCAATTAGCAATGGCACTCCGATGGAATCCGCAAGGCTTCCAGATATGACCTTCAAAACATTGAATGACTTCTGAATCGTTTCGGAGCCACGGCCAAGGACGACATTGGCACATTTGCCAGGTTTGTCGACAGCGACGTAGAGGCTATCCTGGCCCTTGACCTCCGCCAGCTCAACAATAAAGCCAATACTCAGATTTGTGTATATCCTTTCAGGAACCGAGTGGCTTTGTAGAGGTCGAGTCTAGAGAATTCATGTGGCTTCCGCTGCAGACAATCTGGAAACGACAGTGCGTACCCCACTGGCAGGGGACGCATCGCAGGCCACAAAAAAGGCCTGCGGGAGCTTTTCCACGATATTTATAATTCAACCATGGCCCGAACGAACATGATCCTATGCATTGCGCAAAACAGCACTGCGCAGTGAAGTTGTAATTTGCAAGCACAGGAATTATCGCATTGTTTCGAGTTAATGTTAATAATCCACAACACGATAATGTTTCACCCTTCTGCGTATTTTTGAATTTTGAGAATAATAGGCGAGAAACGGGCACTAAAGGAACAAGACTCATGCGTTTCTAGTAAAATTCGTGGATCATCACAAACAAGACGGTAGCACTGCTCAACAGTGAAACACTGAGGCGGGATCATCACAAACAAGACGGTAGCACTGCTCAACAGTGAAACACTGAGGCGTAGCGAGAGAACGTCGGCGACGTGGGTGGAGCCTTCCACATACTTCAGTATCAAGTTCTAGTGCAGGAGGCACTTAAGCAAGCGAATACAGTGCACGATTCTCAAATTCCCGTAAACTTATCGTAAGACTGCACTGAATGTTGAGTGCCGGTCCTAGGAGTCAAATATCGCCCCCCAAAAAAAGTGCCGGCGTTTTTACGGGCCCCACGGCATTGTAATGAGGTCATTCTACATCACCGGATTCCGAGGCTTGTTTGGGTGAATGAATAGGGTTAAGCAACAATATTTTGGTTCTTTAGAGAGCCTGTACTTTGCCGGGATAATGCTCACCGGTAAATCACTAGCATTGGCTGTTTGGAATTATGACACCAAGAGCCGTGCAGCGCAACTACCAGAGGAGTTGTAACGCGGGCCAGAAGCATCCCTGGTGTGGCATCAGTCTCCTGTGTCTGTGCCAAGCATTGTCTTCTTACGCAGATCAGTGACAGGAGCAACGATATAAGAAAATCAGTAGACTTGATTTCAGTAATATGATGCAAGTCCATTGAAATTGACAACGCCGTAGCGAGCACTTAAATGTAATAATCACTGCTTCGTTGCTTCAGCATTTGTAGAGCCTGACTCGTTTCCTGCATTCAACACGCGCAATCTCAGGAACGTAAGTGTCCTTGCGCGCAGCAAACAATTGTGTGACTTTACATTCTGCTACTTGTTTCGCAATAGCTGAAGCATACGTCGTGGGAACTGTAGGTGCTCTTGGAATTCGCTACCAAATTATATTGTGCCATCCATGAAGACCCCCATACATTTTTTCCTTGTAGAATCATATCATTTTCGAATAATTTACCGCTACAGTTCCGCTGGGGCATGAGCAATTATTACAGGCATACAGGTTTACTCGTACATGCGAATGTAGCACCATCTAGTGCTTTCATTTAGGTGATCAAGAATGTGTAAACAGGCGCATGTGAAGTCAAATGTTAAACAGGCTATTGTATGGTACGGTTCCGCAAATTGGATGCCAATATGAGGCATTCAAAGCATTTGCTATGCAGCTTTCTTCGAAGAGGCTTACCAGTCATGCTATGGCCAAATCTCATTCTTTTTCGGCCCACACACTGGGTCGAATATAACGGCACTAGTCGGTTCCTGTACTATGCGTTTTCTCAACGAATCATACGCCCGCTATCCGATCTCATCTTCTTGTCGTGGGAACTCGCGATACCACCGAATATAGCGTAATATCGACCCGGAAAATAGCTCAATGTGGTATGCTGGACGACCAGCAGGCCAGTCTGCGGACAGACTAACACTTAACACATCCGAAGCCTCTCCCTGTTTTTTGACCATTCCTGCTGTAGCGTAGGTAGAGTCTATTGCACTCTTAATAGAGAACCGGTTGCAGCGCCAGTATGATGCGACGTGCGCTTGGGACCGTCTATCCAACCTGCTCTGCTGAATCGCTTACATGGGAGCTCTGTTTCGTACTGTCAAGGTAAGGACTCTACCTCGCTTACCATACATAAGATGAATGGTGTTAAAGATGCCAAGAGTTGCTTCTTCCTAGCGATTCCATGTGAAATAACCTCCACAGCGCGCCGCTGCCACACCTGCATGGCCACCATTGAGTCACATAGGGGAGAGCTAGGATTAACTTATTGTGCATAACTCTCAAACAGAGGATACCGATCATCATACTAGAAACCAAAATCAAATCTGAAGTAGACTCTAGCAGCCCCAATCTTTGCATCCTGCCTCCCGTTCCCGTAAGTAAACCCGCCTCTGGGATTGTGCTCATAGCAGGCAGATTGCACCTCTGTGCTGAATCCTTAGTGAACAAATCCACTTTGCATCCACTGTCAAGTAAACATAAGGATACTTGGCCATCAGAATTGGAAGAAACGCTTATCGGGATAAGCTGCACTTTGCCACTTTCTAGGATGCTAGGGGGAAGAATGAACTAATTTATCTGTATGTATGTCTAGCTGATGGCAGATAGATATCATTTTAATACGGCCACACTCAGTGGTGTGTGTGTGCGCGCTAGTTGCTGCGAAGGACGGGACTGCTTAGAGGGTGTGGTTGCCTACGTGCACCCTGGCTGTCCGTCTCCCGTTATGTCGCGAGATCTGAGGGGCGGGTGTAGAGGAGGCCATATGCTCCTATCATTCAAGTACACTTCTTTAAAGTCTGGAATATGTGCCTTCTTATGGAGTCCTTTGATAAAAAGTTACACTACCCCGCTACTCTTCAGCAATAGCGGCTTACGAACCGCCGAATCCAGCAATCAAGTCTTTCCTTCTTAATGTCATGGTAATTGTGTAGCCAAAACCGTTGAATTTTAGTCTGCCCGCTATCCTACACTGGGTCTGCAGGCTTACTGAGTTCTTTAGGTTACTAGTTGAGACAATCCGCATGTAATTGAGTGATTGTTATCCACGAGTTACGTTCACAAGTCATACTTATACCAGAGTCTACTCCCGTCCCTAACACACTCTCTCTAATAAACAATGCAGCAATGTCTCCGGCGTAGAGAGCCTTTATCGGCCGTATTCTTTGCTAGACAGCTCGGGGAATGGAGGGCCCTGACCAGTACGACCACAGTCGTCTAAAGCTCACCCCCAAGAAGCCTTTGGCGCCTCTTTAGCCCGCAGAAGAATGCTTTTTCTACCCGAGTAAATGCTGCAAGGTGCAGAAATGGACTTTTGGAGTGCCGTTGCACTGCGTTCCTCGCATGGGCACACACGGTGCCCGAGGCAAGCGATGCAGAATCGCTCTCTGGACCAGTCCTCAGCCCTCAAAGAGGCATACGCACTATTTGAAGCATCTTGTAATAATATATGCGCCCAAAATTTACGATGCTCATAGGAGAAAGTGCCCTCTGGGGCCCCTTTCCTCTGGACGCTCCGCCACCCACCCACCCGAACACCGCCTCCACCAGCCTGCGAGGCACGCAGGGCTGCTGGAGGAGGCTTCGCAGCGATTACTTTGAAATCCCTGTTATTTCCTAGGTAAATGCCTTTTATGCGAGGCCCCCGTAGACCCTGAAGGGCTGCCGGGCATCTTCTTTCAGGCTACCGCGCGCGTGCAGGAGTTCCCATGCGTGGTTGCTTCGTTTGAGGCGGCTGCTGTGAGTCCACAGGGCCCGTACAGCCGGCTGCCCAGCACTGGAGCCCCTTATTTGTGCTGAGGTTTGTGGGATCAGCGCACGCCGCTTGTGCGAGACTTCGTAAGAAGACGTTCAATTCGAGGTGAGTCCAAGGAGGCTCCCTACGCGCCCCCTTCCCCCGCCGCAGCATCGCAGTGGGGGCACCTGAGGGCTCAAATTGCGGTGCTATTCCTCTCGGGAGAAGCCCTCTCCTAGGAGGCAAGCCGCCTCGATTGCTGGCGGCGGGGGCATTCGCGAGCCAGCAGCACCTCCTGTTAGCGAGAATGGAGAGCGCCAGCACGGAGGCAGAGTGGCGGATCTCCTCGCAGCCGCTTCCTCCTGCAGTACCGTCGGCAGACGTAGGCACTCTCCTTCCGCCTGCTGGGGCAGACTCCTCGACCCCCCCGACCAGCACAACAGCAAGAAATTCCCCAGTAAAGGAGGCGGCCATGCCTCCTGACCGACCCCTCTCTCCTCCTCTCGCACGCCTAAGTTTTCCGTTCTCCGCAGTTTGGGAGCTCAGCGGCGTGCCCCTTGCGTCGGAGGAGGAGGCTGCGCTCTACCCGTCCCTGCTGCCGCTGCTGCCCCCTTCTTCCAAGCCATGCATGCGCCGATCCTCTGCCCACAGCGGTGCCTCCACATCGCCGTTCCGGCTGACCAGCAGCTGCTTTCCGGACGCCACGGATCGTGTAGAAGACAGCTCTCTAGGGGAGGCTCCTATTGTGGGGGCTTCTGAGAACCTCAATCCGCTGCTGCACGAAGAGCAAGCCGTCGGGGGGGGGGGCGAAGCGACCATTTTCGCGAAGAAGAGAGGGCCAGCGTCTTCGGCAGCCTCCTACCCACTGCTGCAGCAGCAGCCACAGCGCGACGACTGCCCCTCCTCACGCAGTTCAGGCTCCCCTTTGATGGCATTCAACTCTCCCGTAGCGTGCTCAGAACGGCAGCCTTGCGCGAACTCCGATCCACGGTCTGAAGGCCCCTTCACTCCTCCGCAGACAGCCTCCGCATGCACATCTGACCAGCGCATTGAGGCTGCTTGGCAGCGGCATCTGAGGGCTGTGGGCAGCAAGAGCAGCAGCGCCAACGCCGCCCTCTCAGAAATGCGACTTAGCGAAGAAACGCGCCGAAATACCAGGATCAACGCCTCCCCTATGAGCAGCAGGAAGCTCTTTGCCACGCTCGTGCCTCAGCAGCAAAGGTCTCGCCAGCCTCCTGGGAAGAGAAGAACCAGCAGCAGCAGTCCTCTGCTGCAGAAGCAAAGTGGAGCTGCACTGTTCACACAGAGTGCAGCCGCGACACCACCCCTTCGGCGAGTTCCCACCCTACCGATGCAGCTACAGCAGCAGCTCCTTACACCTGAAGAGCCCCCAGGATCGGCGGAGACAGCAGCAACTGTGCCGGCTGCTGCTGCAAAGACGCTTGCTGCCGCTGTCGAGCAGCCTACACCCGAAACAAGCCCTGTCAAAAGCATCCTGAGAGCGCCTTCAGTCTCCAGAAGCAAACGGAGTCTCTCTTCACGCCGGGTAAACTTCACCCCCACGCCAGAGCAGCAAGCCGCAGCAGTCGAACTCCCTGGAGACGCAGTGGACCCCAAGGAGACACCCCTGTCGAAGGCACCTCAGGCTACTCCAAGTGAAACAGTGCCCTTCTCCTCCACCCTGGCAAATATAAACGAATCGCCAGAAGCAGTAGCCACAGCTGCAACAGCTGCTGCAACAGCTGCTGCTGTGTCTCCTGCTTCCGCGCTATTGGCATCCAGTGCGGAGCGCTCAGCGCGGTCTTCCAGCTTATCCGTCGCCTTCGCCTTTCAGCAAGAAGAACAGGAGGAGGAGGAGGAACAGAGGGAGGAGTCGCGTGAGCAGAGGGAGGAAGAGCAGAGGGAGGAGGAGCAGCTCCTGTTAAGCCGGGAAGCTGGAGTCTTTGATGGCTCTCCGCCGATTGCGAACCGTTTCTCTGAGAATTCTCCGTTAGCTCCTGCAGCGGATGTCGAGAAGCAGCAGCAAGCGCAGCACGTTCGTTCTTCGAGCAGAAGGGCGGCCTGCTTTTCCCCCGCAGCCAGTGTTGAGGCTAGAGGTGTCACACTGCTGTCTTCCGCGGCGATGGAGCTACTCGAGGCAGCAGCAACCCCCGAAAGTGCAGCAGTCGAAGTGTCTGAAGCGCTTCCAAGATGGCGTGCGGCAAATGGAGACGAGGAGGGATCCTTTTTCGACAGTGAGGACGAGGCCCCTGCAGGCGCAGCAGTAGATACTGCAGCGGCGGACTGCTGTGCAAAGACAGCAGCAGTAGCAACAGATGCAGAGGCAGCTACAGCGGCAGCAGCAACAACAGATGCAGAGGCAGCTACAGCTACAGCAGCAGCAGTAACAGCAGATGCAGAGGCAGCTACAGCTACAGCAGCAGCAGCAACAGCAGATGCAGAGGCAGCTACAGCGGCAGCAGTAACAGCAGATGCAGAGGCAGCTACAGCGGCAGCAGTAACAGATACAGAGGCAGATGCAAAGTCGCCTTTTTGCGAGTTTCGAGGTGCTGCTGATAGCACAGACCTTGGAAGAAACGCCTTTGGCGAAGGGGCTGCAAAAGTGCGTGTCGTGGGCAGCGATGGTGAGACTGAGTTGTTGTTGCAGACGTCTTTTGGCGTGGTGATTCCGAATCTAAATGAGCCTTCGCATGCTGATTCCACGCCGCTCCGGAAGGCCCCTGCCTTGCCGCCTTCCGGTCCAGAGGCGCGTGCAGCTGCTGAGGCACACTGGCAGGCAGCCCGTGCTGCTGCTGCTGCTGCTGCTGCTGCTGCTGCTGCTGCTGCAGCAGCAGCAATTTCAGAGACCTCTCGCGATGCGGCCTCAGAGGCAGCCGTCGTTGCCTCACAGCCACTGCGTGGTGGAGGGGACGCTGTAGACAAATACTCGGAGTTCTCCGGTGCAACGAAGCCTCTGCAGCTGCAGCAAGGCGGAGGCTTTCTGCCCTCCTCGGGCAATACACCTCAACAAACTTTGGAGACTGCCGTATGGCAGCAGCAACAGCAACAACAACAACAGCAGCAACAAGCTGAGGCAGGCGCCCCCGTCGTAGGCTCTTCGAAAGATGCAGCGATCCGGACAGACGGCGTGCTCCTCTTCGCCCCTGAAGATGTTCTCACGTTCTGCGCAACTGACACACCGACGCAGGAAGCAGCAACCCCAGGATACAAGCAACAACAAGAGCAGCAAGAGCATCAGCAGCAAGAGCAGCAACAGCAAGAGCAGCAAGAGCAGCAAGAGCATCAGCAGCAAGAGCAACAAGAGCAACAAGAGCATCAGCAGCAACAGCAACAAGAGCAACAAGAGCAGCAGCAACAAGAGCAACAAAAAGAGCAACAAGAGCAGCAGCAGCAAGAGCATCAAGAGCAGCAGGAGACGGGGAATCATGAGGCAAGCGACGTCTCAGAGGCCTCATCGAGCCCATTGACGCCATTCGCTGGGCCAGATCCTCTGAGTGGCGATGCTCCCCTCTCTCCCCGATTGGTCGTTCCCATGGGTATCGGGGAGTCGCGGATCATCTGCACTTCCGCTGTCTCGTTCCTCCTCAGCGTTCGAAATCAACTGGAATCCGAAGTAACACGCGAGCAGGGCGTGATGACGACGCAGCAGCAACGGGAGGAGGAGCAACAGCGAGAGCAACAAGAGCGAGAGCAGCAAGAGCAGCAGCAGCATCAGGAGCAGCAGCATTACCAGCAGGAGCAGCAGCAAGAGCAGCAGCAGCAGCAGGAGCAACAGCAGGAGCAGCAACAGCATCAGCGGGAGCAGCAGCCAGAAGAGGCTGCAAGCTTGCATGAGGCGCATCAGCAGGCTGAGGGCGCAAAAGACTGCGCCACGAAGGACGAAGAGCCGAGCAGACGCTTGCAGCATCAAGCGATTCCCCAGCAAGGAGGCGCTTCACCTTCTGCTGCAGTTACTGGTGATCACCAGCAGCAGCAAGCAAAACAGCTACTTCATCAGCAACAAGCAGCTTTCTTAGCAGAGGGAGGCGTGGTACCGACGGAAGCGTCGTTTGCTGCATTGGATTTAGAGGAGAATGTTTTAGAAACTGAGGATCCCAGTCGGCCATGCCTTCTCCCTGCAGTCTCTGTTGGAGACATGCGCAGTCACGCAGATAGCCGCAGCTACCACGATACTGAGTGCGTCCCTGAAATCGCTAGCAGTGGCGAAAGAGCAGTGCATGCGGATGTGAGCAGCAGCAGCAGCAGCGATCGCAGCAGCAGCAGCGATGGCAGCAGCAGCAGCGATGGCAGCAGCAGTAGCAGCAGCAGTAGCAGCAGTAGCGATCGCAGCAGCAGCAGTAGCAACGCCGCCATCAGCAGTGATGGTAGAGAAATTCAGCTTGACGATGGCGTCGGCAACGAGACTCGTGGCGGTGTCTTTGGAAACTCCCAGTGGCGTGCTCAGTGGAGGGAGTTAGACGCTATTACAAGCAAATTGTTGCAAGGGCTTCCACAGGCTCTGGCAGTTATTGCTGAGGACGATGCAGAAAGTGCAACAGAAGTAGTAGCAGCAGCAGAATCGGCATTAGAAACAAGAACGGCACCAGATCTAGCAGCCACGAAGACAGTCGGCGCTTCTTCTGTGCGTACTGGGGAGGAGGCAGCTGAGCGGCCTCTTGAAGCAGCTGCTAGTTCGGATGCGGACGAGCCCACGTGTCTCACATGGTTCGAGTATCGAGATGAGCTGCTGCGGCAGGTAAGGGCAGCTTTGAAGCTGTTGCTGCACTTGCAGGAAGACTGCCAGCCCGTCTGTCTCTGTCGGCAGCGGTGCGGCGTAGTAGTTCGTGTGTGTTTGTGTCTGTATTTGTATCTTTCTTTGTGTCTATGTTTGTGTCTGTATTTGTATCTATGTTTGTGTTTGTGTCTGTGTTTGTGTCTGTGTTTGTGTTTGTGTCTGTGTTTGTGTCTGTGCTTGTGTCTATGTTTGTGTCTGTGTTTGTGTCTGTATTTGTATCTTTTTTTGTGTCTATGTTTGTGTCTGTATTTGTATCTATGTTTGTGTTTGCGTCTGTGTTTGTGTCTATGTTTGTGTTTGCGTCTGTGTTTGTGTCTGTGCTTGTGTCTATGTTTGTGTCTGTGTTTGTGTGCTGCTGCCATTAGATGCCCGCTCTGTGCGGATGCTATTGGTTTGCATGCGCCTTTTGCCACCCACCGCTAATAATACAGCATGCGTCATTGCCTGTGCTGCAGCTTTGCACGCCGCTGAGCCAGCCAAAGGAGGACGCGGCTGCGCAGGATGATGATTTGGAGGAGGGCAGCAGCAGCCTGCAGGAAAGCGGAGAAGATCCGTCGGAGCTGCAGCAGCTGTTGAAGCGTCGACTGATGCATCGCGGTGTAAGGGCTGCCACAGAAGCCGCAAAACGGCTCCTGTCGCAGCCAGCCAAAACACGCGCTGCCTGGACTGCTGCATACGCGGAGACGCAAGAACTGCTGCAGCAGCAGCTCCGGCAGCAGCTCCAGCCCATCTCTCGACACACCACTCAAGTGCTGCAGGTATGTGGAAGCCTGACCTGTCGTGGCTTGCATCGCTCTGCATGGAGGTCGGTGTAGCGAAGAAGCAGCCGCAGTCGCATAGACTGCGCGTCCGTTACAGAGGCAGCCTTATATAGATATATATATATATATATATATATATATATAGATATACATGTATACATACATCTATATATATACAAATATGTATATATATATTTATTTATATACATACATTTATATATATTTAGGATGGGGAGGGCATGTGTTGTGCCTCTTATGCTGCAGCAACTGGAAGAAGCTCTGGAGGAGGCAGCCTGCCGAGTTGAGGCTGCAGCGGCTGCGAAGCGTCGACGCCTCAGCAAAGAGCCATGGGAGTCTGACTTTATGTCAGTTTGCTGCTGCTGTGAAGGAGTAACCCTTGCTGCCGGCTGAAAAAGGCCATGTTTTCTGCGTCCTCGAGCTACGTGGGGTGTTGCGGGTTGCTGCATGGAAATTCTCCTAGTTCCTGGCGTGCAATGCGCTGTGTGCATGCAGCGGACTGGCGGAGGAGCGCCATGTTGCGCTGCAGTCTGCTGCCAGCGGCGTTGATGCTGCTGCCGCATCTCTTGGCAAATTGTTGGAAGAGGAAGCTCAGGTAAGCGAGCGTTTCTGAGGCCGTCTTGGCTCGCTGCTTCACTGATTTAAAAGAGCGTTTTCTTGTGTTTTTATGCATCGGGCTGCTGCGTTCCTTCGATTGGTTGTGTGGGTATGAGTTTGCATGTATTTATATGTATATGTGTGTGTTGCATGTTTCTTTGTGTTTGTTGCATGAATGCCAGCTGACGGAGGAAATCACAGCGCTCGAGTCGGAGATCATGAGCTTCAGCAACACGAGTGCCGATCTGCGGGTATGCACACCTTCAGGGTTGGCTGAGTTGGCTGTCTGTCTGAATGCGATGCTTAGGGGGGACAAGAAAAGGAGGAAGGCAGGTTCCTTGGATCTCTCTCCGTGTTTGTGTGTGTATGTAGTGCGGCGTGCATGGCCGGTGGCTGCTTGTCTGCTTGCGTCTGCTGCCTCTAAAGGCCTCTTGCGAGGGAGGGACGTGTGTTGTTGCGCGTGAGAGTTCCCTGGGTGCTGCAGCTCCTCGCGGATATTCACCACAAGGAGAGCATCGTAAGAGCCTTTGAACGCCTCAGCGGCGTCCGCATTCAGAAAGTCAGCCCCACAGGTTTGGTGGCAGAGCTCGTGTGGCCTCGATCGCTGCCAGTTGCCGACAGTAGTGCTGCGCTCACAGCGGCGTCTTCCCTGAGCTCGAGCAGCTCGCCGAACCCCATCGCCGCGGCAGCAGGCTGTTTCATTGCTCCTACTAGAATTACCATCTCGTGGGAGAAGGCCGAGTCGCGACAGCAACAACAGCAGGAGCGGCAAGAGCAACAGCGGCAACAGCAGCAGGAGCGGCAAGAGCAACAGCGGCAACAGCAGCAGGAGCAGCAAGAGCAACAGCGGCAACAACAGGGGCCTACTGCGCGGCTCCTGCCTGCAGGCGGTGGCGTTAGAACGGCCATGGCTCCAGGAGCACTTGTCGCTGCAGCGGCAGAGGCAGCTGCAGCGACAACAGTGGCGAAAGGAGGACGACAGGCAGGTTCAGCAGAGCCGCGGACGCCTCCTCGTCAGCGCATGCACATCATGACACCCTGCCTCCTCACGGGAGGCCTTTCGAGCGACTATGCTGTCTGCACGCCGCTGCTAGTCGCTCCACACCGGAGAGTTCGCTGCCTCGCTGTGCCAGCCGCGACGGACTATGCGGCTCAGCAGCAGCCTGCTGTCGCTGCGTCGCGCGTGGACGATGCTCTTCAGAGCTCTCTTGGTGCTCAGAGCGCGCCGCATGCAGCCCAGGCAAAGCGCTGTCTGCCAATCACGAGCTGCAAATTGCAGTCGCGTTTTCCGCTGCTCCGTGCAGCGGCAGCGGAGGCTGGGGCCCTACTGCCGCCGCACAAGCGCTGGATGTACAGCTTGCAGAAACTCCGCTACTTGCTGCTCGGAGCCGTGCAAAAGTCGCTGCAGCAGATGCTGATGCACGTGAGCAGAGGAGCCATAACTGCTTCTCCTGCTCCTGCAGATTGCGATCAGGAGAGAGGGAAAGAGGAGGGAGAGAGGTTGCAAGAGGCGCTCGGGCAAAGCGCGAGGGTCTCTGCCATGCTGCGCCTTTAGCGTAATACGCTGCACCTGCATGCACTGTGTGAGGGCTGCCGATTTATATTACGTTCTGTGTATGTTTTGCGATGGCAGCAGGAGAGCTGTGACGGCGGATGGGATGCAGCAGAGTCCACGACTAAGGGTGCAGCGAAAACGGATATCCCCAGGAGTCGCTATCCAGAGGGAGGATCACCAACAGCAACGGCAACGATGCCACGCTGCCTTCGGCTCACGGGGGCTGTGAAGGATCTGAGCGGTGGCGTGGATGTGAGCAGCAGCAGCAGCAGCACGAAAGCAGCAGCAGCAGCAGGCGCGTCGTCCGAGAGTCTTCTGCCATCCGATCCTTGCTTTCCAGATCTGTCGACAGTTAGGGCCCTGCTGCTGCATGCGCATGCGGCTGCTGGAAGAGTGGCACTGCTGCATGACCAGCTGCACCTTCTCCTTCGATCCTTCACGAACGTTACCTCCGTCGACTGTACGTACACCTGGCGGCGCGTCCTGGTTGCTTCTGCTGCTAAGAAGCGAGGGGGGGAGGGGGGGAAGCCCTCCCTGGTGTTGCAGCTGTTGGGCTGGCTGGCGCGTGCACGGCATGCCTCGTGTGTGTCTCTGCTTGAGTTTCAGTTTTATATCGGACAGATGCGCCTGCGCTGCCTCATTTGCTCTTCAAGACCCTCTTGCTGCCTGAGAACGACGAGCTCCCCGTGTTGCAGTTGCATGTGACGGTGCGTCTGTGTGCTGGTTGCGTGCGGCAATGCTGTGATTCACGGAGGATCTCTGCTGGCCTTTCTTGCCGGCCTGAAGCATGCTGTGGGTGAGGGGGGAGGAAAGGAGTTCGCTAGAGCGGCGGGGGAGGGGGGAGGAAGGGGAGAGGTCTGATGAGGAATTTTGCCACGCTTGCCGGCCTGGTGAGGTATCCTCGTTCAGTGCAGAGAAGTGATGCGGATGCTCTTCTTCCATCTAGGCTTTGCAACGAGGGTCTGCAGTTTGGGCATTGAGCTTCAGTCCGTTTGTTGGTTGAATCTCCAGATTATGCACAGGCTACTCGATGGGAAGGGGGGCATGCTGCTGCTTGTGGGCTGCCTGCAGATGGATATGGATGAGGCCCTCTCCCGCGGCTCCTTCTTGCTGGCAGTAGCGGCTGTGAACGTGCAGTGTTTTTCCAAGGTCGATGACTGCTGCAGCGACGGCCAGGAGTCTTGCAGAACCCTCCGTTGCGCGCTTGCCAAACGGCTAGAGGCCTTGTGGTGAGGCTGCCTTTGCGTGGTTGTGCGGTGCCGTCGCTGGTGCTCGCCAATATCCCTACGTGTTGTGGCCTTTCTCCCCTCTTGAGAAGCACCCCCCATGCAGGGGTTTCCAGAGAAAGCTGGAGGTCCTGTAAGAGACTCTCGCATGCGTGCGCTGTTTTTCGTCGCTTTCTGCAGGGATTCGGAGAAGCAGCAGCTTGCCGAGGAGGCTTGGAAGAAGGTCTTCTCGGATGAAGGCCTTGTCGAGGTTTTGTATGCGGCGTGCAGCGAATGTGCGTTGCGTCGCCCTTGGCTGCTAAGGGCTAAAGATTGTGTCTGCTGCTTCGGGAGTGCTTCTGCTGCTGTTGCGCTGCGCTGGCTGCAGTTGGGTGCGCGAGGCCTCTGCAAGCCGTCAATTGCGGGGGCATGCTGCTGTGAGGCTGTTGTGGCGTTGTAGGTGGCTATGGCCGCGCGGTTCACGACTGCTGGCGACTGTGCCGGTTAGAAGGTGTCGGGGTAGCAGAGGAAGATCGTCAGTCATTCGAGGCGTGGGGAGCGAAAGAGGCCGCGACGCTAGGGCACTGGGTAGCTGTCCTTCAGGAGGCAGGAGCTTTGCAGCCTGCTGCCCCTCAGGAAACAGCGCTGTCTCCCACTGCATTGCAGTAGTGGCTGGCAAGGCGCGCAGGGACGAGGGAGGGAGGGAGAAAAGCGGGGATGTTGTGCCTCTAGAGGCTGAAAATCCTCAAGCGTTTAGCCGAGTTCTCACCGCGCAACGCAGAGCAAGCACTTAAATGCGTGCTCCATCCTGAGCGTAGTGTAGAGAGCAGGAAGGGGGCTGCAGGTCCTCTCTGGTATTTAGTGAGATCGTAGAGTGCATCTTTGGTGTAGAGAGCAAGAAGTGGGGTCCAGGCCGATCCTAGTGGTTTTGGAAGATTGTAGATTGCATGCAGAAGCTTACGGCCCTCTAGGCACTCTGTGCATGCTTGCGGTGGAGCCCGCATCTTGTGTTGAGGTCGGACGACTCTGCTGTTGACGCATGGGCTTCGAATGGCGAGGCCTCGTGTCTCAGAGTGCTGTTCGGCTCTGTAGCGTGTGCGGCTGCCCGAGCATTTGTCAGGCAGCAAGGCCTTTTGCGCCTTCCGAAAGCTCAGCCTATGCGACTTTTAGAGAAGTCGTCGCGCGCCTGCACAGCGCAAGCCAAATCGAGACGTGGTCACTAAGCGTCTTTGTTGTCTCCTAGAGCTCAGAGGTCAGCGTTTGCGCAGCACTCGCCGTGATGAGACCCTGCGTTCTTGCACTGCCCAGTCCCCGATTCCTACGTCCCAGGTGTTGAGGGGGCGAGCGCCATGCTGGAGAGGCCTTCAAAGACTGGCCGTGTATCTGCCTGCTGAAGCGTGTTGCTTTTGTGGGAATCTGCCCGTAGCGCTTTAGATTTTCCGACGAGGGTGGCTGCCCAGGTAGCTGTGCTTCTAGTGGAACGCCTGAGAAACGCTGCGTATTTCGGAACGTTCGAGGCGTTCCAGACGGGTCTAGTGCGGCGAGCGCTCCTCCCTATTGCCAGGCACTCTAAGCGAAGAAGCGCACTCACGCCGCTCCCAACACCTGTGTCCAGCGCCGCCAGTCCTCACCGTGCAGGATATATCCCCTCTTGGATTCCCCCCTCAGGTCAATCCCGCTGGCTTGGGCCGCCCTAGCTGGTCGGGAGTGCCGCTAGATAAAGCCTTGGTCAGGAGGCAGCCCGCAGACTGCTGCGTTAGCCTCTACAGCTCGCGTGGGAGGAAGGACGCTTAAAATCTAGCCACCAGAGAAGAGCTCCGCATGCACGCTAAAGGGGGAATGTATCTCGGGCACTACCGAGTATTAAGCGCACTGCTGTCAACTTTTAGCAGCAACCGCTAGGGGGTCGCAGCAGGCAACACCCGCCTTCTCTGCCGTCAGGGACGGCAGAAAGGCTCGTTCTCTAAAATGAGCATTCAGCTGCGAATTGCCGAGAAGCTGCAACTCACAGATGGGCTGCTAAGCCAACCATCTGTGGAAGCTTTACGGTCGCTTTCTTTCGTGCAGCAGCAGGAACTGCCGCGATAGCCCCCGCACACAGCTACTCCAGACTCAGAGGGAGGCAGCCCTGAGAACGGAGCTGCAGTGCGAGCCAGCCATATCCACCACTGCGATGTTTATGCACATGCGTATATGTGCCCTAAGGACTATGCACTAGACCCTTTTGGGAACGGCGAGCAACACAGAGCAGACGGATGTGTGCGCGTAGAGCACAAAGCAGCCAAGCAGAAAAAGGGGCCTATGAATGGGGGGACGCGAGTTGACTTCCCCGTCAACTACCAGACAGCACTCCAGTGACTAAAACACTGCTCCCCCACCACGAAGCGAGGGCGGCCGTCTCTTCTGCAGCGCAGAGGTGCTCAGGCCGCCGTAGCCTGCTGCCAGGGTGGAATGTTCATCTGCCAAAGCGACCCCAGGGCGGCTCAGATTCCTAGAGATCTGTGGCCGCTTTTTCCCTCCCTCTCGCGTCTCACGTCTAGGGCAGAAAGCACTCTCTCCCCACCTCGCGGCAGGCGAAATAGCGTCGACTGAGCTGACACTCCTAGGCGCAGGGCTGTCTATTCTACAAAATGCGTAATGGGCAACAGTGAGCAGCAGCAGCAGATGACGGCCAGAGCGGCACCGGTGCAAAAGCCCCGACAAGGCGAGCATCAAAGCGCGAAGAAAGGCGCGCTTGACGATGCGCCTTTCTTCCCCCCTGGAAGCTCCCGGATCGAAGCAATGCAAGGGGAAGAGGGCTGGGAGCTCCCCTGAGTGCAGGGTCGTATGATCTAGTGGTGCAGAGTGGAATGAGAGCTTCGCGATGGAGGAGAAGGCTTCAGTTGAAGCCGCGTGCTGCATCTTGTACGATTGCAATTAGGGCATCTCGATAGAGCATCCGTAGTGGCGCCTTTATTACGACAGCAACGCAGGGCAGGTGTCTGGCGACAGGCCCGGACTCCACTGGTTGGCGAAATTCGGCATTTCGCAGAGAGTGCGTCTGTCGCGGGGGTTGAAGTTGGTGGCGAGCCAACAGGGATACGAACAAATGTGGTTGTAGCTGACATAAATGGGGTTGACTCGGCTGCGTGCGCTTCCCCCGAGCTCCTCAGGGCCAAAAGGGACGAGGCCGTATAGGTCGCTGTAATCGTTGGTTATTCGAGAACCTTCGAGCTTTCCACTCCCCCCATTTGGTCTGGAGGAGTGAGTAGTCCAACGGAGGAAGTTGCTGGGGAGGGCTATTGGCCCCCTGGCTCCCGGCTTGTCGCAGGCTGGCATCTCGGTGCACGGCGTTCGAGGAATAGGGTCCAACGAGAAGCTGATGTTGCGACCGTTGACTCGTTTAGCCCATGCGGCAGCAAACGCAGTATCGCCGGTTCGGGGAGAGCCGAAAAGCACTGCATCTACCTTTGCAGGAAAGTTCAGTGCAATGCCATACGCCATAAGGGCCGCCACCGCTCCGCCTAGAGAATATCCAGACACCAGAATTCGACTGACGCGGCTCCCTGGCTTGTCTAAAGACGCCAGATACACTTGCAGGGCCGGCCACGCGGCGCTAAAGATGTGAGAGAACCCCGCAGCCGTTCTCCCCTCCCCCTCCTCTAGCCAGTTAAAGGCGTGCTCCGCCTGACCATTCAGTATCCACTCAACTTGCGTCTTTGTGCCCCGAAAGGCAACTAAAACCTCCGTCCCGCAACGACCTACCACTGCCAACACGTTCGTCCTCGTCCCAACTCCAGGGGAGAGAGCCTTCAAGATCAGCTCTGTGCGCCATCCAGGCAACAAGTCATACCCCCGCAACGGTGGGGGAACCTCCTCTGCAATCACTTGAGGCTTCTGGGAACCTCTGTGGCCATGATCGCCTTCAGTTCTGTTTGCTCCCTCCGAGGGATCCGTTGGAAGGCTCTCCGAAGAGCCTGCTGAAGGCTTTTCGACGCCATCACCTGGCACCGATGCGAACGCCCCTCCCCCCGGAGATTGAAGTGCCGCCTTTTCCCCCGGAGACGCATCCCCATGACCGCCAACCGCTGACGTTTCGTGGTTCATTGTAGCCGTCTCACGTGCGGCTTCAACCTCCGATGTCTCTGCAGCTGAAGACGGCGCAGGCCGACGGATTTCCGCCGTAGAAGCCGCGTCAGACGCGCTTGCCGCTTGCGCCTCAGACGCAAGCGCATCTTGCTGCTGCAGCCGTCGACGAGCATCAATTTCGTGGGAAGGCTCCGCTGTGCGTTGGGGCAGCAGCTGCTGCTGCTGCTCGAGAGACACCTGTGCACCTTCGGAAGAGAGGTCTCCCTCGGCAGTCCGCTGCTGCTGTCTGCCTTCCCCGTCTGTGTTGGAGCTCCTTCGCTCCGACGCATCTGCCGCAGCAGCATCCTCTGCGGGGGCAACGCCAGCAGCCTCCGCGAAGACGTCTCGATCACAGTACGCAAGGGACCAAATGTCGTCGAGGCGAGTGAGCGCCTGCCAGAGCAGCTGGTAGGTGCGACCCTCTGATCGGCTGACATCCTTTGGGATTTTTCTGGGGATGCCATGGGAGCCTCGAAGCAGCGGCTTGAGGGGGAGCGCCAGCGTCTCGAGGCCGTCGGGAGGCAGCACGACGGGAGAAAGGAGGGGCTTGCCGTACGAAGCGCCTTCGCTGATAGCTTGACAAGGGTCGAACCAGGCGGTACGGCAGAGGATGCGCTCTGTGAAGGCTCCCAGCAGCCAACATGAGAGCCTCCTGTTGAAGGCCGATGTGGGCAGAGCGGCGCACGCCATGTCGCCAAGATTCACGCGTGAGGGGATGCCTTCAAGCGTCTGCAAGATTCCCCATATGAAGGAACCCTGAAGCTGCGGTGTTGCCCCTGGGGGGCCGCCACTGGAACTCTCTGGAGCTTGCAACGCATCAATGGGATCCTGCGAAATCAGGAATCTCTGCCTTTGCGCGTCGAGCACCCGCATCCACGTCCCCATGAGGGGTTGCTGATCAAACAACACGGAGCGCTGAGGGAGGCCTTGACTGCCAAAGCTGGGATTGTTTGGCCAGAGGGGCATGGACTGCAGGGAGGCGCTGCGCGTGCTCAGACGTCCGCCTTCCCACACGAGCCGCGGCACCATGGGCACACGGGAAGCGACTTCCATAAGCATCGGCGTGGTGGTGGGGTCGCGAGAAAGCAGCAGAGACTCCGGCTGCAGAGTACGAGGCCCCACGGGCTGCTGCACCTGGGGGAGCGCCGCGCGAATATGGCTCGTGACCAGGCGCATGCTCTGCTGCCCGAAGGCTACCAGCAGAGGCAGCAATTGGAGCTGCTGGAACCGCCGTGCGACGCTCATTAGGAAACTCTGAGATGGGATTTCCCCCGTGCAATCCCTCACTCTCTCCCCCGCTCCTACAACAATGCTTATGGTCATAGGGACGAACTCGGAAGAAACTTCCTCCTGACTCTGCGCCTGCGGAGCCAGTGGCACTGCCTGCTGGGTCTTCTCGGGAGCGGTGGGCGGTGGTGTTTCAGCAGAAGAAGCAGTCGATGCCAATGCGTCATTTTGCACGGTGAGGGGGGAGGCTTCGGGCTCTAAATTTCCTTCGGTCTGCACTGTTGCGGCCTCTGCAAAATCGGTTTGCAGCCCTGTTGAGTCTACAGAACGAGCTACGGGAGACAGAATAGGCAAGGGGGGCGGGATGGCCTCAGTGAGCGCTGCAGGTGGTAGAACAATCAGCTGTGTCGTCGGATCCCCGGAGGCTCCCGGGAGTTCCTGGGGCTCACCTTGATGTACGAGAGTCAAAAAGTAAAGAATCACTGAAGATATTTTGCAGCGGCGGGACGCAAAATGATTTGGGAAGTCCCCGAAACCGCGGAAACTCGCCTGTGGCAGCATTCTACACGGGGGCGACCTCTGACCACTTTTGCGTGGTTGAGCCTAGAGGGTTTCTTAACAGAGATAAATCTGACCAGCAGATATGCCCTGCAGGACCTGTTGCTCCACAGGCAGCCATACGGAGCTCGTAGTCTCTACGAGGTGTGTGTGCGTCCAGGGGCAGGCAGTATGCAGGAAATTGTATGGCATTCCACTCAATTGCTAGAAAATGCCTGAAACCAAGCAGAAAATACCGAAATACATCAGCGGTGACTTCCTTGTGACAACTCTCTTGTTTTGGAATGCGATACAATTGAAACAAATCCTGCAGGTCACCAGTCGGCTCCAGGCATATGAGCGACAGAAACTCGAGGCACCAGATTCCCCAATCACTTCAAAAAACGTGTATTATGCAATTTTACGCTCGAAAGTAGCTATATATGGAAACCGCGATGTGGGGGTCTTCCTGTCTTTTCGCGCCGTCAAATAGATCGGGCCCTGCGCTGAGGATGATGGCGGCCTGTGTTTGAGTGGTCCATTGACTCTCCCCTCTAGCAGCATTTACTACCCTGTCTTCCCCTCCACTTCCATGAAGGTAATCTATTTAATAAGCTTTTGTGTCCTTTCAAAACCATTAACCCGTGTTTGTCCACTTTTTGTGCGCCATTCGTTTTCGAACTATAGCAGCTGGTCAACCTGTTCGTTAAGAAGTCTGCGGTGTTTCCTGACTGAAGGCGCCGACCATATGACTATGCCCTGTTACAGCAGCACGGACAATTTGTGGTGCTCCGAGCTTTAGTGTACAAACAATAGACGGATCTAGCTGAACTCCGTTGAAGTTGGAGGAAGCCTTTACGTAAGACGCACTGAATAATGTGTAGAGTTATGGGCTTCTTTTACCAACAACAATCAAGGGGCTCCGACGTCTGTCCTGACCATCATCATCCACCGATAGGCTTAGAGGCAAAATCTAGAGTAAAATTTCATCGTTGTTAATCAAGGCTAGAATTGTCCTTCCCGCCTGAGTTGCCAGCATCCGTGAATAGGGTGATTTATTATGTCGCCTAGTGCAAACGGCGAGAAAAGTGCCTCCCTCATTCTGTGGACCAGCCGCCCTAGCGACTACCATATTTCTTTGTTTTTCCTAACTAAATTGTTATCATAATCAGGCGTTTCTATTGCTCTGGTCTTTAGTGTTTTTGTTGCCCTCCGGTGAATTTGTAGCCCTCTAGGCGATGGGTGCCAGTCGCTTATACCGCTGACTCTTTCTCTATTTCGCTCATCATTGGGTATTTTAAACGGTTTTGTATGGCCTATGGGGGAACGGAATAAAATGAATCAACGCCATCAGTAGCATGCAAGTGGTGCTTGTACGTAAAGGATGGGCGGCAACGCATGCAATGAATGTCGTGTTCCCGTCCTACACAAAAAGACTACTCACCAATATATCATTGCTGCGTGGTCTGAAGGGTGTTAGCGGGACAGCGGCACGAGTAGCCCGCTCCGCAGGTTTCTAAAACAGTGATACGACAACATTTGTGAAAGTGCCAAAAAGGCACCGAAAAACATAATTATACCGGGATCACGAGAAGTGACCCATACAGCGTGCCTAAATCCTTGTAGCCAATTATTTCCAAGCCTATCTTCTCTTAATCAACTTGCACGTTGACGAAGCAACCTTCAGTCGGAAAAGCCAGCTGTAACGGCACCGGAGGCCTACGGCTCTTATCCACTGCAAAGTTCCTTCGCTCAAGTGTCTGGTAGCTTCTGTACTAAGGGAGCAATGAGGCGTTTCTACGAGTACGTGTGATAAACCTCAAAGAGGTGGTCATTGTAGTGGGTTAAGCTACGCGGTTTGAGCACTTTCTGCTACTACACTACTTCTAATTGACCCAGAACTGCTAAAGGATGAAATACTTGGTTCATCGGTTCGGACATCTTATTTATTGTGAAGGTTCGTTCCTTAGATACAACAAGAGGCAATACTGTATGCGTGCAAGCTAGACGCTATGTGTAACTAGCTTTTTATGCACGGGTTGCTTAGAGGCTGCAGCTGCACAGGTTCTACCTGTCCCTCTCTCCCAGTGTCAGGACCTTGGGGGAGCGCTGGAAGGGGAAGGCAAGAGTTATTTAGCAACATTCAATAACTTCCTATCAAATTTGGATTCAGTCTGGGGTAAAGTGTCTACCTACGGACATCTTAGATCAAGCTTTTCAACTACACAAGCCGCCACATTTGTACTTTTCTCGAACTTGAAATTATCGAAAACGGTATCTTTGAGCGCTGCAAAACAGAATGCTTTCCTCAACCCGGCGATTGGTAGAATTCTCTTGGTGCATACAATCGCCTTCTGTCATAGTAAGAGTGCGAAGGCGGGAATTTCTGATCGTAACTGCGCCACCTCCGAATAACCTTACGACTTGAAAGCTGCTTTTTCGTTGAAGTTGCAAGAACGGGATGTCTGGGATTGCAGAGGGAACAAGCCAGGAAATGGGTTGCTGTAGGAAAGCGCGTAGAACTTTGTTGCCCGGGTTCTTGCCATTCATCTGGCTATCGTTTCCCTTCCGTGACTTAACTTGCAATAATGAACAAACCCTAAATCTTCCTTCACGAATAATGTTTCCTTTACCGTACTTGTGCCGAATGGCTTGGCGTTCCTCTTTTGGTAACCATAAGGTTCTGCCTGACTGCAAGAGATTATCAGCACTAAAAATAAATTTACTACGCGTTCTAACCACACAATTCTCCCCTCTGTGCCGTCACCTTACACGGTTCCAGCGTGGGGGGAGAGAGCAGTTGGGATGTGCGTTGCTCTGCCCTCTGAGCGATTCGAGTATTCTGACACAGTCGCGTTTAGTAGCATCGCTCACTGGCATATAGCATTAATTCTTCTAGCAATGAGGAAGAGATACAACCAGTGCTGAGAAACTGTGTATGCAAAGCTTAGTCTGCCCTATGTGGCGCTTTGAATGGCTTCATTGGATCGAATGGACCATTCTAGGTATTTTCCACTCCTGACTGTCAAAACAGCAGGAAAGGACTTAGATGAAAATTGTAGGAGCTGATGGGGCTGGTAGAAAAGGGCTTCAAAACGGTGAGATGCATACGCGTAAGGGAGCTCTACCACAGAAAAGTTCAGGGACTCTATAGAATGCATCCTTGAAGTACTGGTGCACTACATTTGTGTACTTTTACGTAAATTTGTAGGCTTCTGTCCTTCGCTGACTTCCAAGGGCGCTTCTGCAGAATTGCAACAAGAGTCCAAGTGCGACGTAGAGCTTGCAGCTTAAGTTCCTTGCACCAAACGATGGTCCCAATTTATTTTCCGTCTGCAGCGCTTATAACTTGAAACTTATAAGCGTTTTCTGTTATGTGGGGTGTGTAGCGGGTGGAGCTCTAGTACAGAAACTCCGTGCTAAACTATATACATCTAACTAAAATTAGCAAGAATTGACTGTTTGGTTTGCCGCTCCTACATATTCTTTGCTACAGAGTATATTTAGTTCCAAGCAATGAGTACCAACTTTCTGCACCTGTCTGTGCGTCGAATTGCTACGTGCAACTGCGTGCGAATACTCGGAGTCTATAGAGGGTGGGCCGTTGGATACTCAAGCTAGCAATGCCCCTCTCCCCGTATGCTAGAACGCTGTGATACAAGGGCGAAATGACAAGGGCAGGAGTTCTTTGAAGAGCGGTAAAGAACTTTCCATCAAATTGTATAAGATTGAGGGCTTTGAGTGTGTCCCTGTGGAGATCCTCAGGGAAGCGTCAAGCGTGCTACGATTTGTTTTCATTTTCTCACCCAAGGCTGCAGCATTCAGCTGAAATATCATTGAAGGGTAAGTTACTATGGCTTAAGTGTTGTACGGACTCGGTGCGCCTGGGAATAAGAAGGAAACTTTGATATTCTTGTGTGTTTAGTAATGCAGACATCTCCGCCTCCTGTTGGTAGTGCGTTCAGGTTTCACCATCGAGGTTTCATTTACCCCCAAATGGGACCTACCAAGTCGTACTCTTATTTGAAGACCGTGCACACATACCATGCACGGCTGGTCGGGGGGGCAAATAAATGGTGCTGTCACATGGAGAGATGCGCTCTGCCATCCAGTGAGTTATCGCGATCTTTAGATCCTAAAGATAATATCAAACGAACATCAAGGGTCATATAAGGGAAATTTTCCAGTGTAAGATCACCTGTATTAGTGATGTTCCCTAGTGACTCTTCAAATTCTCCTGCTGGTGGTCTGAAGGTCATTCGAAGCGAGACATAGAGCATTTTGCCAAGCCTTACTACATAATAATCACAATGCTATTGCACAGATGTGTTACTGCTTAAGAAACAGGAATATTTCCCGGAGAATTGGTCGTGTTGCGCTAGTAGAAACAGAATTCCCCGCTGCATTTGGATGGCTAACTCGGGCCGGGGCTTCGGATTGCATGCAGCTCCAAATTGAATAGCATCTTTACTAAGCACTCATATATTTATTAGCCATTTTGCTTGCTGTGTAGCTTATGGGGATTGAGGAGCGCCATGCGATGAGGGGTGTGTGGTACGCCGTTGCGATTTTGGTGATTCTCTGCATGCAGTGCTCAAGTTACCTATTAAATTCAAACGCCTTTCACGTGAGTGAACTGGCCCTGAGATGTGCGCTTGGTGGTCTCAGACCCTAATAGCGAAGGCATTGCCGCTGCGGGTGTCTTGCATACTCCCCTTTCTCCCTGACCGGAAACAACTCGTGTGCGTGAATCCGAGACGCTTGCTCTATACTTTCCCATGCGCTTTTTCTGGTCGCTCTTGTCAATTTAGCTGTATTCCCCGTGTACAAGCAAGGCTTAAAGCTTTTGAGTTGCGCCACTCATCAACATTCAATAGTCAAGAACAGTGCACTCGTCCCCTTCAGATGGCGACTTTGGCAACGGAACGCACGGCCGAGCCCACACCAACTGGACTGGTCGTTGGTCTGGCAACCACCTCCACCATTGAAGAAGCAAAAAGTGTGGGTGACTGCTGGTATAAAGTGTTATTCATCCGTTTATGTGTGCTGCTTCATGCACCGGATCTTCCCCTACCCTCAATACTCGTACTCCGAGAGCAATAGCTATATATTTCAACAGCGATACTGCGCATAGAGCTTCGACAAACAGAAAATGTGGATTGCTTAGAAAATCATGGGTAATTTTTGATAGTGCATCTCCTCTTGCAGATCGCGGACCACCTTGTGGGCAATCATCTTGCCGCTTGCGTCCAACTCGTTCCTGCAATTGAAAGCGTTTACCAATGGAAAGGAAAAATTGAGGTTAGTACCGCACAACACACGCGTGGCAGGCTCCTGTGCACAATGCAGATGCAAAGTGCCGATTCGGGGATCAGCCGACCGCTCTAACTGAAACTGGAATGATGAAACTTGCGCAGAAAAGTTCGGAAGTTCTTCTGATCATAAAGACGCAGAGATCCAATGCTCAACTCGTGGTGGACGCCATTAAGCAGCAGCATTCGTATGATGTTCCCGAGGTAAAGTCCGGCTCGGCTTGCAACACTCAGGGGGCTGCCTCTGGCACCACATCGTAAAGAAAACGCGTACAGCTATGCTTGAGGAATTCGTTCGAGTGCGCCAAAGGTTGCCTAGCTAAATCCGTCCGCTTAGCTGCTTGTCGGCCATGTGATTTCAGGTGGTGTTCACTGACATCGTGGATGGCAACGCAGTAAGAGCACCTAGATTTCAGGCCTGATGTTTCCGTGACTCACGTCGGATTGCCCCGCCGTCTTCTCATGTGCATCGTGACGGCGGGTTGGTCTTATGTGGGTATGCCTACACTGTCGACGCAGGATTACATTAACTGGGCGCGAGCCGCCATGCAGCCGAAGACTCTCTGACATATTGCTCTGTCTTCGCTGCAAAGCTACCCATCAAGTACCGGTGCAAAGGCAACAGTCTGCTATCTACCCAGCCACGCGCGCCGCTGAGTAATTTTTTTGCAAATATGCCAGATCGTTGAGCTCCCAGTATTGGGTTTACGGCGAAACTGCCGTTTTAAAACATGCAGTTCGTGTCATGAGTGCAGTAACCATTTCTTCATATAAGATGCACTAAGAACGTCACCGCAGCGTCTACGTCTCTTTTACCTACGGCAACTGACGCGCTAAGCGCAAAGTTTGGCTGTGCGGTGCCCACTCGTGCCATCTGGAAGACTTCCTTGGTATTCCGCGTTTACGCGCACAGTCTCATGCACGCTGACCAACTCGCCCACTGTGGCGTGATGCAATACGCACCCCGAAACAACCGAAAAGGGGGGGTTTCACGCATGAACTCCCCCTGTAGTTTGCAAAGGCAGCGAGTGAAGTTGGATGCAGTCGTGCACTAAGCACAGCCTAACCAGCAGCAGTCAAGTCGGCTGCGAGCATCCTTAAACAACGGAAGGCAAGCTTGGTAGAACTCAGCGGGGATGTACGGCTTCGCAAAAAGGCCACATATGACTTTCATGGCACCGCAAAGGCTGCACGGGTTGAAATCCTGCGCAAAAAAGGTCGCCTCGAATTAGTGCTTGATTGGCGTGGTGAACAAATGCATGCGAATAGCCGGAGCGCATTCAGTGACCACCATCTTCAGGCGGGCATCTAGCGTGTTGTCGCACGATATCCTGCCGTCCGGAGTCAACAGCACGATGCCACCACAGCTGCAGAATTTCACCGCAGTGCACAGCAGGCGTCAAAATTACCACGCATTTCCGCACTTTAGCCGCACGCTGGGCACGCAAAAAAACTGACCACCACACAGCTAGCAGTGCCGACTTGCCGCTCCTGCAAAACGTTACAGCGTCCCACATCCGGCTTGACTCAATCTTACCAGGAAGGCAGGCTAGAGTCTGCACTGGGAGGGGGAGGCAAGTACCGTCCCGTCTTATCAACAGACAACTTGACGGTCTTGTTAAGTCCTGCTTCACTGCTGAGAATCTTGCTGTACTTTGAAGCGGCAGCAGACAAAACGCTTTCCACAAGGGAACGGTCTACTTCGCGACACCTGATGATTACCTCGGGCTCCAAAAGACGCAGCAGTCCCTGAGCTCACATAACACAAACGAGCACATGTGCAGGCCAGTTTGGCTGGAGGAAAGCAAAGTGAATGCGGGGAGGGCAGCTAGACAGGGGATACGGGAAAGCACCTGCACTATCAAATTCATGATGAGTTCCTTGTATTTCGCAGTGTCCGAGCTGATGGCCGCCAACTGCTTCTGAGACTGGGCGTACACCTCGGAGACTACTTGCTCCTGAGCAGCAATGCGGCGGAGGCGGGCTTTATTTATTGCTGTTGAGCGATCGCTGGATACACACACACACACACAGATACGCATGACCACACATACACACACGGTTTGCATTGCATCATGCATTCTTCACATATGGCACTCTACTATCAGACACACTGATACATCAGGTAGCTTTTCTGTGCCCGTTCCCATGGCCGTACATGGATCGCTGAACCTCAAGTTTCTTTGCTTTTTTGGCGAACTCATGACGGATCTTATCTTTCATCTGCTGAACAAGCTTCAGCTTTTCAATGTTAAAGTCCTCCAATGCTCGTGCCTCTAGTTCTTGCGCTTTATCCTTGGCCTCGTTCAAGATGAACCTGACCATCTGCTGAATTTGCGCAAGGGCCTCCTTGTCGTCCTGCAGTACCGCACAACGCGAATCGGGCAAAGGCTAATAAACGCACGCAATTTATCCAGATGCAACGCTCACAACATGCATATTCATGTTATTAAGAAACCAGTTTTCCTCCTATACAGTGGAATATACCCGCGTGCACAGACATTGCGCATAACTAGAGGTGCCCGAAAGGCAAATCACTGCTTATCCTGGGAAGAAGTCACACACTGATGCATGCAGCTCACCATCGCCATTTTCGTAGCTTTTCTAAAGGAGGCCGAGCTACAGTTCACTGGCCATCACTACCTGTAAGCAAAAGCACAAGGATGAGGCGCGTGAAGCAGCTCAAACCACGCCAGAGGACGCCATCGTAAATGCAATGCCCGTCATTTTCTTTTCACTTCCTGATACTGACTAAGCATATCAGTTTTCTGGATCCTGAAGTACCAATCCCACTCGGCAACCAATAGCTGGAACTGCATACGGAAGAAACCGATCGGGGAACATATTTCCGCCTGCTGCTGGGCAGGGAACAATGATGGGTGGTTATATACGTGCTCGCACGTAAAGACACCTCCAGCTGATCACGAATGTAGCAGCTAAATTCGCTTTAGCGATCAGCGACAGATAACCAAACGACGGTTGTAGCTTTGTGTGTACCTCCAGGTAGGGGGCTCAGGTCCGAAAGCCAACTTTAAGGCAGTCTTTCAGCTGAGTCTGGTCTGAAAGTCTAATTAACATCATGAAGTGTGCTTCAAATTACAAGAGATGGGACCTGGCGGTGTGCCCGTATAGTGGCGATGCTGCCTTACTTGCCGAGCTGATGGCTTCCACGGAACACACTGATGGCCATGCAGCATGCGGCCGCGAGCGAAAAGCTGTCTAAATTGTACAAATGTCTCAAGTATATATATGGGGGAGCATGTGCTGAGCTGGTAAGAAGCCCTGTATACTTTATTGCGCGTTCAGCCTGCTGCAGCGAGGGCTGCTCTGCACCGCGGGGCTGTGGTCCTGATGGAAGCCAATGATAAGATAATTTAAAGAAACAAACTCACGCAGTGCCTAATATGATACCGTGCTGAAGGTTTCTTTTTCCCTGGGAGCTAAGGCTAGTCGAACAAGTGCTTCGTAAGCCCTCGAGCCCACTGAAGCTACACCGCAACACTCGGCGTGTTTGTTAATAGCCCGCTAGCTTCGGAAATCCTGAGCCTACAGGGGGCATTCCTAATTGCGGCCCCCGCATTCGCTTGTGGAGCAGTGCTTTCGTGCCACCACACCCTGCAGCTTGTATTTGGGAGCCATGGGTAATGAACCTCCGGTACTCATTGGACTCTTTAGTAACCGCGTTCCTGATGACGACAAGACGGGTGCGGAAGCCCTGAGCAAGTTCGGAGGGAGACCGGTAAGGCCGAAGCCCCTTAGAAGCTTCCCTGTGGAAGCAGCACAATGTTTCGAGATCAGGAAAGGATTTTCAGGTCCAGCCGCTTGAAAGGCAGTGTGCGGCCTCTCTGATATCCTGTCCGGATAGGTGTGGATTGACGGGAAGGCGCCGGATGGCTATCCATTTGCATGCGCCATTTGCGGCGCGGATCTCGACTTTGTTTGCCAGGTGTAAGTGCCGCTTCGTCCCCCGAACTCTGATTCCACACCTGACTGCACTTGTGCAACAGCACGCGCAAGAGGTTAGCTCTCCGGACTGCACGCACCCTGTTTGTCATACTCAACCTCAGGGCAACTCCCTATTGCGCAAACAAGCGCTGCTTGTACCTGTTCGGCTGTCATAAGCAAGCTTCTTGCGGCAAGACAGCGGAGGGTTGGCGAATTTTGAGAGGCGTGGCAGTGCCCAGCGCCTCAGGAGCAACAGCGTCCGCATCTGCGCCAGTAGGCGTTCAGTGCCCCTCCATACGAGAGGCTCAGCAACTGTCTCGAGCAGCAGACCCCTCCGATTGGCTCGCTGCTGCATTTGGTGCTCCTACTGTTGACGCGCACTCTTGCGACGTGGCAAGTCAGCGCAGCACCAGTTCACAAGGGCCTAAGCCACGTGTCTCTACGCCTGCGCCCGCACTCGCGGCAGAATGCAGTGAAACGTGCGGGGATTCGGACGGATTGCTGCCACCGTTTTTTGTGCACGTAGACGAAGAACCGCCAGACAACTCTCAGCTGGACGCCACTGGTGAGCACGAGCCCCATTTTGACTTTTTTTCCGAGAGATCACAACCTGCATGCGTGCCTGTCTACGAAGCCTGAGTTGTCGCTCTGGGCAAAGCTACAGTGGACGCGCTCCTCCACGCTGTGCTGCTAAGATCTGCGATCCGCTACCCTGCAGAAGAATGCGAGGGATGGAGGAGTGGTGGAACTTAACCGGACCGCGAAGTCACCCTCATCGTTTCCTACATCTGTAGTCTATAAAACACTGAAGCCACTGTGTGCATTTGCGCTCTGTGTTTTCAGGCTTGCGAGCCCGCGAACTACAGCTACAGTACGAGCAGCGGTACGCCCCGTCTCCTCAGTTTTATTGCAGTAGGGGATTCGCATGCGCCTCTGATTTCGCATCGTGCAGTTTTTTTGGTGTTTGTGGGGGTACTCAGGGAAGCAGAAGAGCTGGCTGCAGAGGATCACGAAGGTGACCAGTACGTACCGCGAGGGCTCATGTGCGGGTAAACGACTTTGTTTCTCGAATGGCTCATGCGTTTCAGCCATACACCGCGGCCAGCAGTGCTGCATGCACATCCGTATTTTGTGTCGCTCACACCGCAGGAGTGGAAATATGGAAGCAGAGGCGTACGAGGAGAGCCCTGACAAGGTGTGTTGACATAGTGGCCATTATTTCGTGTTTCCAGAGCTACAACATCTGCGTGCATTGTGCTGGAGGGGACCAATCGGCGGTGGCAATTGTGTGACTAAGCGGGCGGCCCATTTGGTGCATGCGGCACATGATCCCGTATTGAGAAGCAATGCAACAGTGCCAAGCATGTGTAGGCACCCGCATTTTGTTCAGATCATCTTTTCCTGCTTGTCTGCGTTGGGTTGCGAATTAGGTGTTTCTGAAATTGCAGAAGCGACTGGGCCGTAGCCCTTTGCAGGTCATTCGGTACAGCTTCGGCGGCAAGCCACTTTTTATTTCGCCGCTTTCCGAGGGAAAAGAAGCTGCGGGGGGGCCCTGCCCGCAGTGCGGTGCCGATCGAGTATTTGAAATGCAGCTCGTCCCAGCGGCTGCAGATGAAATTCTTAAAAGGTGCGGGCCTTAGACTGACTTTTCGCTTTACGATGCAAGAAGTTATTGCAGCTTCTTCCTTGAAAGGTCCATTGGACCGAAGAGACACGCAGTGTACATGCAGTCGCCAGAGAGTGCAGGAGTGGGCCTTAGGATGTCGGCATTCATGCAGCAGATCCCTACAGCAGACAGGCTGCTGCAACAATACACTGTTTCGTAGCCTGGCGTGCTGTGTGGACACATGGAAAATCCGGACGCGCCTACGGGCGAGGGCGGATTCAATGCGGGCCCAAGGAATCAAAAGTTATACGGAGAGCTGCGAATTTATCGGCTTTTGCAATTGCAACCGATCGAAGACTATGGGAGGGAAGGGAAGTGTAGCGAGCGCGCGCGCCGCTCTTGCGTCTTGTGCAGATACCTTCTGGAGGGTTCAAAATTTTTTGGACTTTGCTTCTGGTGTATGTGTAGGCGACACCCGACATGCGCGAGCGTCCCGGTCGAGTGGGGAATAGTGGCAGTCTTCACGTGTAAGCTGGGGCCAGTGGGGGTACCAAAGCTGCCATCGTGTAGTATTTTTCGTATTCAACTCCTTTCTGCTAAACCTTTTTTTGTACTGGCGTGCGTTTTTTCAGGCAAAGAAGACTGTATTCCGTCCAGCACATATACCCGCGAGCACGCAGTCGTGCAAGAGATCTTATGAGTCGAATATTACGAACATATTGGTTTCTGACAGCGAGGCGCCGTGTGCTGTCCGTCAGCCAGATGATAGAGTTTTAAAGTACTGCGGGCGTGCTGAAAGACTGCATCGCTGTGACTTGTCTTTAGAATCCAGGCTACTGCCAAGAAGACAGTTAACCCGATGTAGGCAGCCATAAACAGCCATTTGATTTGACAAGGACAACAGAGCAGTGAGCATTTGAGAAGACGCAGCGCTCGCTGCCATGCAGGTTCTGCGCTCCCTGATCCGCCGAAGTCTTCGCTTGATGGCAGCCTGAAGGCAGCTTTCTACTATACCTCCGGAAGGCCAGCAGGGGGGTAGCAGCAGGGCGCTCACCGCAGGGGACTCAAAATGAACCTGCCGAGACTAACCGGCGCATGGGACGGCCTCAAGACGACGAAGGAGTCATGCGGCCAAAACCCAGGAAGCAAAGGATAGTCGATAATCGAGCAAGACGCAGCAGTGATGCGCGTGCGAGGGCACTCCAGTGTCATGAGATACGATGTGTCGTTTCCGCCCTTCTTGAAGGCTGACAGCGCATCCGCCTCATTCATTCAAAGACTTTTTTGAGCATGCGCTATGCAAACGTGTCCGTAACGTACGCGTTTCGAACGTGTTCAAACCTATGCGGGCGGCGCCGACGGCGGAGCAGCCCTCCCTGCAAGGATCAGTGGAACTACCCAACGCCCAGAACGCAATGTGGCAATCTCTAGGGGTGACGTCATGATCGGCAGCAACACTGATGAAGAAAATCGCGTCGATCGAGGCTTCATACGCAGGAATCGCACCGAATGCTAGGAGCGTGAAAGAGAGCGCGGCTGTCGGGACCATACCAGGGAAACGAGGGTGTATCATGGCAAAATATGTTTCAAGCCGTTTCCTGGGCGTTTCGAAACGCCCGACCATTTTGAAATATCCAAATCGCGTGTGGACGCAGTGTCTTCCATTAGGGCAGCTCATGCAGTGTACGTACAGTCTAGAACTTGGCTTCACGAAAATGCGGCATCAATGTACAGCGCTAGCCGCGAAAATACTGCCTGCTCTAAGGGTTGTCGCTGGAGCTCTATTTTCACCCTCCCCGAACACCTGCCATCTTTTTAATGGGGTGTGCGCACGGTAGGCCTCGGGTAACCCAACCTAGATAGAGACCAGCAGTCTTGACCATACCTTGAACATGGTCCGCCGGGGAAACTGGTTGGACTCGACACTGCAATTAGGCTAGCTAGCTAGCTGGCTGGCTGGCACACGCCCGTGCAGTGCCTCGTGATACCGTTCTATGCACAAAAACCCATAGAGCCAATAAACATTGCACTCCTCCGTCCCTGCCAGGGACTCCGGATCATCGGGGCCGTGTCTGACAGCGGGCACAGCCGAAATGACCGACCCCATCCATGGCTGTGTGGCGCCCGAGAACAAGCTTCCAGCCCTTTTCCTGCGTACCACCGAGAAGCTTCTAAAGTGCTTCTCTGCACGCGACCTTAACCTTGTGAGGGCAACAGGGAGCAAGCGTGCGAGCCAAGCGCTACTACAGAGTCTGCGGCTTCTCTTGCGCAGTGGTCTTGAATATCTGCTAGGGCAGTGGTGGTAACCAGCGCTGCTAAGCCTACTGGGATTCGCGCGCCAGCAGCAGACAGACATACCAAGCCATGGACACCGGTTCACTCTACCGGCGTATCGGGCGGAGGAACGCTGTCCTGCGCCCACGGTTCCTCGGATTTACTCGATATAGCTGCCTCTGCAATGTCACCGCTTTCCGTCTTGCTTCCCCGCTCTTCGGACTCTGTAAAGCCGACAACAGGCGCACCCTCGGGTGCAGCAGGCGCCTCCATGCCGTCCTGAGCCATGTCCTCTGGTCCAAGTTCATGCTTCTTCAACTGCGCGCCGCCACGATGATCATCGGCTGCAGCTTCTGCCTCGTTTGCATAAGCAGAGCTTTCGGCTGCAGCAGAAGGTTCCTGTAGTTGAAGCTTCGCTGCTTGGCTGCAGCTGTCGGCCCCTCCCGTATTGCTTCCCCGCTGTCCCGTCCAAATGGGCGCGCTGCAATAATATATAAAGCAGTAGAACACACACATAGATGCATGCATGCATACCTACGGGGGGCGGCAAACCACACGTCTCCACAACAAAACGCAGTTCGCGGGACGTTAGCTAAGAAAAAAACACGCCTACACAACATACCCAGAGCTTGAATGCGTCAGAGGGGGAGTTGGGCTGCGACGCGGCTGCTCCTCGTCTGTCAGGTCTTCGTTCAAACGGCGCTTCGGCCTGCTGCGCCTCTGCTGCTCTTGGTAATCGCTTAGCCTCTTCGACCTGTGTGCAGACCTCAGAGGCGAACCGCGTCTACTACAAAAACAGACTTGGCTTCCCAGGTGGCCCCCCTCGGAAAAGCTGAATCCCTAGCATGCTAAAACGCGAGTCAAAATCCTAAGAAATAAACAATGTGCCTCTAAGAAATAAACATATGCCTAGGTCCGGAAAAGCCGTTTGTAAGACACTTGCACAAGAAGACCAAAAAGAGGGGAAACGAGAAAAATGCAGAGAACCCGCGTGTTTCGCGAACCTCTGCTCCAGCCATGCGCTCAAGGCCTGCGGATTTCGGCAGCGCGACAGATAGTCTTGCATTAGTTTCATACCTGGACGCAACACACGAAATCAACACGTAGGCCAATGGACCCGCAGCTGTGCAGTAAATCTGCAACGAGCCGAGCTGTACATGAAAGGCAGTTCATGGGGTAGGCAGGCAAAAGTCGAAACGCACGATGATTATGACCTTAACATTTGACAACAGCGAAACGGAACCTCGCGTCTGGTTGGCGCCTTACATCTTGCCTTGAATTTCATGTACGGTTTGTTGTTCTCATGGAGAAACTCTTGCTTATTTAAAGAAGGGAGCATCCACTCCGGAACGTTGATCACAGCGGTAAAGGCGTAGCGACAGATCTGTGGGGGTTCTCCATCTAGCCCGAAAATGCGTTCGCTAGCTGGAAATTAAGCAAGCGCATGCATATACATGCGTACACATGCACAGAGAGCTATATATATTCACATATACGCGCGTGGAGCACAAAATACGACAGATATATGGAAGGCCGCCGCAACCCATGAGGAAGATCGAGAAACAGCATTGCGAAGGCCCTTACGAGGAAGTCGCGCGGCGTCGATGTATTTGGGTGCGTCGGGGAAGGTGCATTCCAGTTTGCGAATGAGGCGCTGCTTGAAGTAGAGCAATACGCCAGCCTCACAAACTCGTGGCTGGTATGCGTTATCCATTGGGTCGTTCAGAAAGCCCATTAAGGCGAAGCAGCCCGCATCATGATCGGCAGGGGTGAACAGGTAGGACAACTCGGCCTGCGCAGAAGCAAGGTGTAGAGGAGCGAGAGCGTCATTCCAGTCGCGTCCGCTACTCTAGAGTGTGCTCTTGAGAGGGGAATTTGCGCAAGCTCGCTGCCTCGTTGAACGCGTTGAGAGAGTCTGCTACCTATCTAGAGGGGCCAACAACCACGCGCCAAGGAGGACGGATACAGCCCGATAACGCCGCCCCGGCCATAACGTGGCGCGAAGTGCCTCGCTATACCACAAGTAGCACAGTAACTTGCTCGTTTCTGCATGCGATGGCGGGTGCTGCGCTGCAATTGAACGGCCTGCTGCCAGCGATTCAACGGGAGACGGACTGGCCATGCGATGGAGCGTACCGCGCAGTAGAGTCGCTGTTTCAGGAAAATGTACAGCGAAGGCGCCACAGGGCTCCCGTCTGTCATGAGTTCGCCGTCAGTCGACCTCTTCTCCGCCAAGGCGGCTTGAGGCCTAGAAGTGGAGGAAAGGAGCCAGCCGCTTCCTGTGGCATCTGCGTTGTTCGTATCGCTTGTTTCTTGCTGCTCTCTGGCGGGAGGAACTTCCCCGGGGATCTCGTCGGCTTGCTCGGCGGGAGCGGGGGGGCCCTTGACTTCTCGCGGCTTGGCAGGCTGCTGGCTGCCGTAGCTGGCGGGCTGTGGCGCAAGGGGGATGCCTTGGACGTGCGTAGTGGCCGGTGCATGCAAATGCAGCCAGAACAAGTAGGTGGCGAGGCAGTAGTCGGGGGCATGCCGCGCCGTCGTCCACAGGGGGAAGTATGGGGGCAGAGCCTTCTGGATCCCTGTGTTGATCTCAAGCTCTCTGGGCTCCCGAGTGTCTTCCACGCCACTGCTGCCGACGACACCTCCTGCGTCCGCAGCAGCGGGTTGTTCCACCTTCATGATGCTTTCCCCGCAGCCTCTTTCCTCCGCCTGAAGAAGCCCCCCAACAGGTGCCGCAGTGCCAGGTTCCTGTTGCTGCTGCTCTCGTTGCTGCTGCTCTTGCTGTTGCTGCTGCTCTTGTTGCTGCTGCTCGCTAGAGGTCAGAGGCTTCCCGTCTTCGTCCACGTCCAGCATCTCGGGGCCCATCGTGGGGGGGGCGGTGGCAGCCTCGTCGATGCGCGGCCTGCAGGGATCGCGAACTGCCTGCTGCAGCTTCTCCTCGCTGGCTGCTCCAACCGACTCCTCAGAAACTAGCCCATTCGACAGGCCCTGCTGACTCGCCTCGAGGTTCATCGGCTCGACGCTAGAAGCAGCAGGCGAAGTGCACGAGAAAACGAGGCTACCGCCTGGCTTGGCATCCGTAGAGCCCTCCGCTTCCCCGGCAAGCGAAGGGCGTCCTTCTTCGCCCTTTCCGCAAGACACAGGCCGCACGTCAGATGGAGCAGACGACAAATACAACATGCAATCTCGGGGGTCCAGCACGAGGGCGTCCAAGTCGTCACGCAGATCCCAAAACACGATACGCGACCCCGGCATAGTTCCCAGCACGTTGATCTGATCTGCCAGGAGAGACGGCGTCGTGAATGGCGTATACCTGACATGGAGGCGCACGCGCGACAACAAGGAAGGATGACGCAGCACAAAGCGCTCAACCGCGACTCCCCCCAAAAATCCCCTTTCTCCCCGTCTCAAAAGCCTACTTCTACATGCACTGCCTCGTGGCCTGCCGCTTCCCCGAAGGCTTTGCTCAGTCTACAAAAATTCGAGGGCAGAAACGCATCCGCAAACTCGAAACCAGCCCTCCCACCCCAAAGCCAAGCCCCAGCACGCCGTACGTCATCAGCAGGCGCTGGTGGTGGCGATGGTCTGCCATGTTGTTGGGATCGCGATTGATAAGCTCCTTGTTGGGCAAGCGCCACATGCACATCTGCGAGCAAGCAACGCGAAAAAGATACACCCGGCGCCCCCCTTTTCGCACGGCTAGCTAGCATCGGCTCACGCAGCATAATCGCCGCCACATTTTTCGCCACCCTCTGTTTCCTCGCTCTCCCCCCAAACGCGCTTTGTAGGCGACTTAAGCACACACGGAATAAAGGCACGATGCCTATATAACAGCCCCGCCAGTCTCTTTTAATCAAGGGAAACCTGCTCTCCAGTTTTCTCAAGCGCGTGCAAGCACGAAAGCGACGGAAAAAAAAAACGCACAGGCGCAGCGATCTCCCGAGCATCACAGTGCCCCATCAGCTCCAGAGACAGCATCCCGATTCCAATCGTGCCTTGCGTCCTTGACATGATGGCACAACTCGAAGCAATCCTCCCGTAGGCCATCTTGAACCCGCACCCATACTCGTAGCCCTCTGCAGAGATACACCCCAAAATAAAAGCCACAGAAAACTCACGCATGCACGCAGGCGGCAGCCCCAGATATGAACACCCCCATGCAGAAGACGCACATACACACACTTTTATTCAAAATCCCCACCGCGCAACAGATTCAGACAACACGCGAAGACACACACAGAGCACAAGCTCGCCGCCACAGCACATGCGCCCGCTAACCAGGCTCACCTACTTAGAGACATGTACACCTTCCAAACGCGCGTCCACCAAACTATTCCCCCATACATACGTACGTACTTGTAAAGATGTATATATACATATATATACATGAATATACATATATATATACATAAATATTCATATATATATATGTATATATCGAATCGAAATTTCGTTCGGGACTAAACATGCAGATATGCATGTATACAGGTTACAGGAGAAGTAGTGTATGGACAGGAATTGTGGATGTATCGTTGCACGTGTATGAAGAAGCGCATGTGGAAAGATGTGCGAGACGAGCAGACAGGCTGTTGTCAGTTTGAGATTCGACATTGCCTTGGCCGGTACTCAAGGAGGCAGCTCCTGGAAGGTGGGTGGGAAAGGGATGGTTGGCAGTGAGCGACGTCGGGAGCCGGGAGGCGCAACGAAAGGAGGAAAACGTGTAGCTAGCTGACTTCGGCGCCTTTCTCCGGGCTCGAAGCTGCCGTAGAGACGAAGGAGTTTGTTCATTGCGGGGTAGTCCAAGCCTTGTCCGTCATCTTGAACTGACAGCATGGGGTCTCTGTCTGGCGTCTCCTCGAACTTGATCCAGACGTTACGGCAGCCCACGGAAGGGTGCATAGCGTTATCGACGAGTTGCGCAATCGCGCCAAGCAGCCACCGCTGCTGGCTACAGAGGGCCCACAGAATGCCGGGGGTGTGCGTATCTCGTTGATACCACGAAGGCATCAAGCGCATCGTATTCACCCCGTGACTCATGAGATGCGCGTGCAAAGATTCCCCGCCCGCCACGGGGCACGCCACCGCAGAGGGGCCCCCTTGCGGCATGAGGCCCTTGTACGGATCATCGCCGGTGAGCGAGAGAACCCAAGCATCTCCCAGCACCTGTTTTTCGCAGCAATTCCCGCAAAAAAGCGCGTGTAAATCACCACACAGCAGCCCTACACGAAGAGCGGCAGCGCCCTTCCTCCCCGGCCAGTTCCCGCCGCCGCCCGCTGACTGCCTACTGCTGACTGCTCTCGAGCCGTGCACGCGATGCGAGGAGCGACACAGAGAGGCAGCCCCTCTCCACTCCTAAATCTCGTAAAGCGTCTGACTCACCTGGTGCCGCCGGAAGCCGCCATGAACAAAGAGGCAGGGTACGGGAGGACGCGAAGGCCTGGCGAGGGGGTTGTGTGTTTCAAAGAAACAAGCGACATGGCGTTGCCTAGCTCCAAACGGCTCCCCCACATAATCCGCGGGATACCTCGGTTTCACCGTGTACCACTGTTTCTTCGAAAAAAAGTAAACGCTGATTTGGTCCGTCTCTGTTGCCCGCGTGCGATCGCCTTCCGTTACGGTGGTTACGCCGCTCGTGATCAGCATGAGGCGCTCGATCGTACGCGGCTCTGCACGCTGCAGCGCATGCACGCAGCCAACCAAGAAGAACATGCATGCAAGGTAGTGATGACGAATGCGGAGGCGGAAGGACACATATGGGGGGCTGCATCCCCGAGGCGACGGCGGTATCATCATCACCATCATCGTCAAACATGGGATGCATGCACAGTAGGACATGCAGGTGCAAAGCGTAGGCGTGCGTGTGGGAAACGCTACACGGCGTTGCCTACGAGTAACCTTCCCATCCACTCCCACCTTCTACTCAAGACGCAAAACACCCCACTCCCACCTTCTACTCAAGAGGCAAAACACCCCACTCCCACCTTCTACTCAAGACGCAAAACACGCCACTCCCACCTTCTACTCAAGACGCAAACACGCCACTCCCACCTTCTACTCAAGACGCAAAACACGCCACTTGCGAGAAAAATGGGGGCAGAGAGCAAGAATCCGCCTCTTACAGGTTCCTGATAGCGTTGCGTTATAAAGATCGCCGCATAATGCGATCTGGGGCCTATCTTTCCCTCATACTCTTCTTGCTGCCACTCCCCTACAACCAGAGGCCCTGAGTGCGCCTCATTGACAATATCCTTGATCTTAAAGTGCCAAAAATCTTCTAGCAGAACTCGCTCCTTGCAAGAGACCTTCCCGCTGGCTCCGTGAGTCTCGCCTCCAAAGAGACTCAGATGCAAGTCTTCGGACCAGATCATGGAGAACCCATACCGCGGAGGAGGTCGCACACCTCCCACATCTACTTGCTTCCACGTATTGCTAGGCAGATGTAAAGCCCACATGTCGTTCAGACAGTGGAAGGAAACACGGGGGTTCCTGAACAGCGAAATAGACAGGCCAACCACGTACATACACATATACATAGAGATACATAGATAGATTTATACATATTATAGATTTATATATACATTATAGATTTACACATATATATATATATTCGTACATATATCTCCGCATACACAAATAGATACGGATACTTTTTACACATATATCCACCAAGCACAGGCAGACACACGCAGAGAGCAATACAACACTAACGTCCCAACACAGCTGTTACATGCGCGGATGCCGTCCCCCCACCACAGCGCACATCAGATTGAAAAAAACTCTTCCCCCTCCCCGCGACTTCCGCAGTTCGTCCCACGCAGCCCACACGGTGGCTCTGCCGCTCCTCAACAGAAGTATTGCAATTCGCGAGACGACAGAAACGCGACTCCACCGCATCCGCAGATCCCAACCACCCTCCCTGAGCTTACCCCGTACGACCACCAAAGATGAAGAGAAACTCTGAGAGGTTGTCTGCGCTGCTATCGCGCCAGTTGCCCGTCTCTGTCTTTGCAGGAAACACCGAAGCCGCATGCTGATCGCGAGGGGCTGGCGGCTGCCCTGCCGGATGCTTCCGAACCCACCTGCAGCAAGCCGCAGTTTCAGAGCAAGCACGCAAGGCTGACGTCGAGACAAAAAAGACAGAAATACACAGACGAAAAGACGCACCGACCGAAACATACATACAGATACACATACCAGTGCGGAGCACTGCAAGAGACTACACAGGAGTCCGTACAGGCACCGTGCGCATGCCCCGGCTGTACAAGATGGTGCATACGTATATGCAGGTGGCAGGATCAGCCGACGGAATTTTTGAGTAGGAAAGATCAAGAAAGTCAGAAAGCGAGAACCCTCTTGATCTGGAGAAGCACGCGCGTCTTTTTTTCATCAGAACACCAGACAAAGCGCTTAATGCCCCTTATGTTTCTTTGCAGGCTTCAGAGGAAGACCCCCTTCCCCTCCGGCAGGCGGGGCTGGGCTGAGCTGGGCTGCGCGTTCTCCCCGCACGCTTACCGCTTGAAGTCGAGTTCGAGGACGTAGACGTCATTGCAGAACTGATTATCTGATAGGCCGCCAAAGAGAATGACGCCAGGGCTGTGCTGCAGCGTCAGGCCGTTGGTGCTGTGCCCGTCGCGTTCAGAAGGGTGTTCTCCGCAGAAGACGAAGATGCGGGAGGAGAAGAAGTTGAGGTTGATGACGCATGCGCTCCTAAAGCTGACGCCCTCCCCGCGACCATTCGACCCCCCAAAGAAGATGGCCTTGTTGCTAAAGGATATCAGCGTATGGCCAAACACTGGGACTGGAGTTAGCGGTCGCCGCACAGGCAACCAGCGGACTTTTTCAAACACTGCCAAAGAATGCCACACACACTCACACTTTCTCATCATGCAGCAGCAGGCAGCAGGCAGCAGGCAGCAGGCAGCACACATGCAAAATCGTCGTCGGCACGAATGCATGCATGAAAGCATGCACAAACATATGCATGAATGCATGCACGAATGCATGCACAAACATATGCATGAACGCATGCATGCATTGTACCCCCTTCTCCTAGGTATCGGCCCCCGTGCAAAAAGATAGCCCCATGCCACCTGCACGCTGCCTCTCCACGCCCTCCTCCCTCGGCGTCAGGGAAGAAAAAGACTCGCAACTCATTTGAAATGAAATCAACCCGACAAAACGCTTCACCAGCAGGCTTTCTGCTACTATTATTGACGCCGCTGTGCAGGCAGCATTGCAAGACTGCGCTTCCTAAGAAAAAAGTAGACGAACCGGTGCACCCTTACCATCCTTGGTGCTTTGGGGAGGCATGCGTCTAGAATCGAGGTTACGTCGAATGACACGCAGGATTGCATCGCGGCTTGTCAGCCCCGAGCCAGAAGACACCGCCTCACAGGCGCCACTGGAGGACTGCTGCTGCTGCTGCTCCTGGGAAAGCGCAGTGGCTGCTCGAGAACATGTTCCCCCCGCAACTACACCTTGAGCACTCGTGCCGCTGGCACTTCCTATAAAAAGCCCCAACAAACAAACACGCAGACACACACACAGACGCAGCACAGCACAATATGGCTAACCTCGATAAAACACCGCTGCCTGCCACTTGCGCAGCAGACACTCCAACACCCACCACGCACGAAGAAGAGAGTCTCACAAGGCCTCAAAAAAATGCATATACGTCACAGGCATACAGCACAAGCCAAAAAGCATCCAAGTGCTGATCTTTTTCCCTCTCTTTCGACGCATACACACATCTACTGATCTTTTTCCCTCTCTTTCGACACATACACACATCTACTGATCTTTTTCCCTCTCTTTCGACACATACACACATCTACTGATCTTTTTCCCTCTCTTTCTACACGTACACACATCTACTGATCTTTTTCCCTCTCTTTCGACACATACACACATCTACTGATCTTTTTCCCTCTCTTTCGACACATACACACATCTACTGATCTTTTTTCCTCTCTTTCTACACATACACATACACATACTTATACTGATATATACACATACATACATATATCCAAATATACGCACACACACATGCACACATACATATACACAGACAGGTAAACGTACCGGAGTGCTGTGAAGCATGGGCAGGCTGGGGGCTTGTTGTTTTGCTCAGACCGAAAGCCTTTTCGATGCGCGCAAGTCCTCCAGCATCAGGCACACCGAGTCTTCCAGGCTCGTTTTCCAGCTTTCTCACAATGGTGTGCAGCACATCGTGTCCAACTACTGCCCCGATGAAGCTGTAGACTTTGGAGTGGGGCAAGTCGTGGTTCAGAAAGTCAGTGACAATGCCGCGAATGGAGTTGCGCTGGTCTGGAGTTGTTACGCTGTCACTGGCCAAGGCTTCCAGCAGATTGAAGAGCGTAGGGCGCTGGCTGCTTGCGCTCTGCTGCTGCGTGGCAGGAGGGGGGGGGCCCTGAACTACGGGGCCCCCGCCCATTGCCTGGGAAGGGGCCCCCGTGCTGCTGGGGGCGACCCCCTGCGCTCGGGAGGAGGGGGCCCCCAGAGGGGGTACCCCGTCGGCTGCGGGGACGCCTCCAGCGGCAGACGGCATCTGCGGATGGCTCTGCGCAGAGGCAGCCGCCGCTGCAGCGTTTCCACCCGCCTGCTGCTGCTGGTGATGATGGTGACTTTGTGTGGTGGCGTGAGGCGCGGGGGCCCCGGGAGGGGGCCCCTCGTCTTCGTCGATGGCAGTCAGGGAGGCATTCAGCTCTGCCTCCCACGTGAGCAGCCGCTTCTTGAGAAGCTCCATGGCCAAGACAGAAGAGGCCGCAAGGGAGAGTGGCACGGAAACTGCCACTACCCTGCGGGTGGGGGGCCCCCCACCGGCGGGGGCCCCTTGGCAAGGCGTGTGGTAGAGCACCACTTCCTCGGCTCCCTTGGGTGAAGTGGCGGCACACTGCCGCTGGACTGCCACCATATCTACGGCTTCTGATGGTGCACAGAGGAGGAAGTGGTGAGCACTCCCGTCACTGACCAAGCGACTCTGCGACAGCAGCTGCAGGCTACGCTTCGGCATGCCTCCGGGGCCCCCTGGGGGTGAAGCTGCGCCTCCATATGCTGCCGATGAAGGGGCCCCCACGGGCTGGTCTTGCAAATGTGGCGCGCTCATTTCCGCGTCTGCCATAGAAAAGAGAGAAACTCCGAGTTAGGCAACGGCAATTTTGCAAAGCAAGAAAAAGCTGCCCTGCATGGACGGAGGGCCCCCCAGATCGAGGCCGCTGCAACCAATCAACAAGCTCTCCCTATGCAGCAGAACAGAGGAAGCCTGCTGCTGGTGCGGGTGCCACAGCAGCTCCAGCGCAATGTCGCTGCAGAAGCGGCGCTCGACTGGGAATAATCCAGAAGTTACTGCGGGTTGGAAGCGTGCAAGCAGAACCTGAGGAAGCGAGAGAGCGGCAGACGAAGAAGCACACGAAGAGGCGAAGAAAACGACTGCCAACCCTCTTTCACAGGCGAACAATAAAGAGTTCTGGGGAGACACGACCGATCCGCACCGGGAAATCGCGTGCTCCCCATCAAGATGCAGAACTGGATGAGGTACAACCAGCCTTGGATCTCCCTATGATGCGATCATGAATCCAAAGTTTCGTGCTTGCTGGACAGGGAATTTCAGTTAGGGCATGACTAGGCCTCCCTTTCAACGCCGTCTGTGCGCTTCCGTCGTAAATACACCCACACACCGCCAAATTCTCCGGCCACCGATGCGCGCACGCGACAGTATACGCGTGGACGCCACGAGATGAGAAGAAAGAGGTCCTTCGAAACACGAAAGAAGGCGTAACAGGCGCAACTCGACGCGTAAAGGGCGGCGCTGCTGCAGCCACACAGGGCGACCACAACCAGGGAAGGTGCTGTATCGAGAGTGGCGGCACCACTGCTTAGCACGGCCGGAACCAACAAAAATGGAAATAGCCAGCGGGGGGAATGGAGAAGACCCTACGATTCAGGAGCCCCCCGACTACGTATGTCGCTCCTGTGCATGCTGCGGCCGTGCTGCTGCAGTGTCTGGAGAGCTGAACGGAGAGGTGCAGCGCTGAATCATCATATATGCCTCAGACGCTGTTGTGCCGTTCGCTGCAATATAAGCGAGTGTAAAAGGCGCTTCCGGACGGCGACAGGCAGTGGGCGCCAAGTATTAACAACAATGGAGCAAGCAGTAGCGGTAGGCTGGCAGCGGCGGCTCCTGTTGCTGCAGACTAAATTGCAGCGCAGCAGCTAACACCTCGCTCTTCAAGCGAAAGGGCGGAGTAAAAGAGGCACGAAAACAGAACAAACGACAAACCGCACGGGCAGGACGGTCACCCGAATAGCGCTCAATACTGTTAACGGCACGGCCAGTACATAGTCGCGAGGGGAGGGAGGGCAGCAGGGCAGGAGGGGCAGAGTAGGGACTGTTGCAACCCTGGACCTCCGCAGGGCCTTATGGTTCAGTTTATTTAGAAATAATAATTGCACACTGTTCGGATGTGAACATAGGATACAGATGATAAATTGATGCGCTCTTATCCTTTTATCTTTCACCCGACAGACAAGCTCCAGACCCAGAAAGATACGGCTCCCTCACTCGATTGCTTTGTGCTTTATTTCCAGTCTTGCCTTAACCGCTGTTATTCCCTTCGCTGTAATATTTTCCTTTACTTGAATTGTGTCCTGAGGGTACCAGGGTCTCTGCTGGGTGCGATCCAAAGTTTGTTGAACTGGTCGGGTGTAGGCAGTGTAAGTATGATGCATTGCAGATCGTTGCGCTTTCCCAAGGCACCTGCAGCTGCGCTCACCGCACCCAGCCATAGAGCGACAAAAAACTGGAATTGCCTAAATGCTGCCACAGCCACAAATGCAGCATGCATGCCAATAGTCTGTCCTGGTACTCTTGGTGGAGCCCCTAGGCACGAGCAACCCACACGCGTGTACACGTATCTTCAATTAAGCAGCTTCATGGTGAAACGAGGCATTCAAATTGCAAAGTTAGCACCCCATGGCTCTGTGGGATCTAGCTGGCTGGCTCTCTCCTGCCACGATAGAAAGCGCTCCTCACACAGCCTCGCGAACATTGTAGCGGGCTGAGCTACACGTAGACACTTCTAGTACAGGAATGATACATAGATCGGAGTTAGAAAACAATCGACTCTTTGGTCTGTATTTTCCTATCACCTATTTATCGCAGAGTAAGAATAGTTGATAAAAGAAGATGCAGTGTTGTGTGTGTCGGCGCCAGATGTTTAGTGTAACGAACCGTGCATGGCCGGAGTGTTTTCAGGGTGCAGCAACACGCACCCTTATGCCCCTCTTCCCTTATATCGGACACTCTGAAGGCCTTGGGCAGGTTAAGGGACTAGCGTTTAGGAAACACTCCACAACTTGTCAATTATGTTGTGAGTTGGGCTTGGTGACTCCCTACCGATATTCCAGCCGCAGCTCTAGACTTTTATCGTTCAGCTAGCTAGTTACTCGCTGCAACAAAAAAGTGCATACTAACAGCGAAACCAATTGCTGCCCAATTCGTAAGTTAGTTGCAGTCAAATATAAATAAGGCAGGACGAATCGCCCAAGCATTCCTTCATGACGGGTGCAATAAGTGTCCAAGCTGTTAAGGCAGCTCGCGAATTTCCAAAACAAGTGCAAATTTCTGCGGTGACGCCACTTCTGAGCGCAACGTTAAAGGAGCTTACTCTTTTGAAAGCCTCCAAAGGGTTTGTATTCGCCACGCGTAAGTTCCAGGGCCCCCTTCTTGCATTGGTCTAGGCGTTTGCATCGAAATCTGCCGATTCCTTTCCACTGTCTCTGTACGCTCACCCATCTGCAGCCATGTCTGTATGCTAGCGGCGGCGTCGCTCGCAAGCAAAACGCGTTTTGTTCGTACGGCATACTAGAGTCCGTTAGTTCCTGTTCAGTTTCGATAATCTAATACAGCATTCCTTTTCCCCTCTTTCTGCGGGAAGCTGATTCTTGCGCGACGCGCACCCTAATTTTTTTCTCCCTCACGATTAAAGGAATGGCAAAAATGGCTGGAAAAAACCAATGAAGCGTTGCGGGTGAGCATCCAGCCAACGTAATCCGAAGGTAAAGGCGAATGGCAGCACATGGACATACAGAGGGGCTTGGAGGACCTTTCCTTTGCGAAGGCGTGCTGTGCGTTGTGGGATGGCAGCCCGTGAGGTCTCTGTATATAACGAATGCAGAACTATTCTGTGGATTACATTACAAAGATTTACTAGGCACTTCTGGCAACCGCTGGCCGTAAGAGAAACCAAGCAACTCAGCAAGCGAATCCCTCGTCCTCGGCAGCTTTTGGCCCCTAGCTTTGAGGAGACGCAAAGTTTGTGATGCCTTTCTACGTGGCAGTTCCAGAGAGCGCCGTTGTGTCTGCATTTCCGACGTCCCGTCAAGGTTGCCCCAATATACTTCGAATAGTGTGTACACCAGAGGACAGGTGAGACCCGAACGAGGACTCAAAAACACTGCCGTATGGTCCACTTCCCCAGGGAAACGTCAGGTAGACTCAGTGGAGAGCAGTGCCATGATTGGTGACTACACAGTGGGTTGGCTGTGGCTTCTCATGGAGTCCTTCTCTCTGACGAGCATGATCAGAGTATCGAGATGAGGCTGCTGCCATTGTCTCGTGCGCGCGTTCGTGGGTACTGAATTGCGAAGTACACCTTATCCAAAGATTAGCCAGCAGGGAGGAAGCATGTAATCGTAGCACCCCCGTGCGCCCAGGAGCCGTCCACATTCCGTTGCTTGGGAGTTTCTACACATCTCCCATGAAGGGCACGGCATCCACCACGTTGGATGTCCCTCCTGCATATATCTCGTCACGCCCTTTTGTTGATAATTCAGCTCGTAAGGGACGACGCCGTCCCGAAAGCGCAATATTTATGGGCCCATCTATAGAGGCTGGCCAAGGATCAAAAGCCAACCCTCCGACAACGCTTCTGGGGTGGATACTGATGATGCAACTCAAATTTCATTCCTTCCCAACAAGACTACAAAAAGGGCACAAGGCCACTGAAAACACTACCCCTGCTCCCCCCGAAGCGGTTACACACCTTTTGAAAGGGCAGGCTTCCTCCCAAATAATCAAACACGCGAATCTCCTGCGTGTGTGTGGGTAGGACTTGTACCCAACACCGAGCCTGCCTCTCCTGGCCCACGCTCTTGTGGGGAGAGAGTCAAAGGGCTGGACCCCTATCCACATCCATGGCAAGTGCATCAACACGCAAGGGGAACCACTGCCGGAAACAGCCCGCACAGGACCCTTGTGGGGCCCCACAGCGCGGAACCTTTTTCTTGTAGCCAAGTGTCTGCTTCCCCCCATTTGGTGATGCCACCTGCGCATTCTTCCGAACGTACACTCTGTCCCGCTTCGCGGACTGCCATGCGGGTGAAGTTCCACACCGAAAGGTGCAGTGGCGGTGCCGCGCGCCTCCTGCTTTCTGGAAAATGGCACTACGCATCCTGCACCAAGAGTGCCCGAGGATCCAAGGCAAGTCATCACTACCCATGTCATACGTGTTGGTCTCTTGCATCCAAGGCAGGCACCCCCCCCCCTCCCCAAGCCAACCCTCTACTCGTAGAAAGCGCTAAACCCAAGGCCCCAGCAACAGCTCACGAGTACTTTCTGTAGTGCGTGCTTAGGATCTGCAACGGCAAATGTTCCACGACGGGCTGCAACCGTCCAGCTACAACTGTGCTTTAAACTAAAGGCTCGGCGGGTGCGCCTCTATTTCAGCTCCTCGCTTGAAGCTTCCTCAGTTTCGTGACTGCTTGTGGCGCATAAAGCCTTGTTCGCTTGCTCGAGCTCGGTATCGCAAGAGACTGCCCTCATTAAACCAGTCCGTCTCGCATCCGGCCCCAAGCGCCGCTTTTAAAGCAACGTGAACATCCCGTTACTCCCAGGCGGGCGGGCGCGGCAGCAACAATAGACGAGAAGAGCAGCGACAGGGCTGCGCAGCGCCCTTCGCGTGTACGTATACGTCGACCTACGTAGATATCGTTGCAATTAGGCCTTGATTTCGGCTGTCAAGGTGTTCTGCGAGGCAGCAGACTCGATGACAACCTTCTTGCCCACGTCCTCGGACGTGTCGCCATGAAGCTCCATTAGCTTGGTCACTGCGCATGCACCAACACAATGGGCCCGTCAGCCTTATACATGTGTCCAGCCCTTTCGTCTCTACGCGCGCGCCTGCATAGGCTACGTGATAGCACGACGACGGGCAAAAACGAGTAGTTGATTAGCTGTCTGCGTGGCATAGCGCTTCCCCTCTGCCCTTACTGGCGCCAGAAAACCGCCCAGAGATCGGGCAGTGCGCTAGTAACGCCCCGTGCATGCACACGCATCCTTACAGTCAAACTTGGGCTTTTTGATGACCTTCACTTTGCGGATCAGGACGTTCTGAAGAGGGAATATGCTCCTGCATGCGGCCTCGATGCTCTTTCCGATGGACTCGGGTATAAACTTCTTCACCAAATCACGCAGTTGGCACTTGGATGCCTCGGCGGCCATAATGCTCACCATCTTCTTCCTGATCGCCCGGATCTGAGACGAGCGTGCATAGCAGGTGCTCTTGATCTGGTTTTGCCTGGAAGCAGCAAAAACGCAGAACAGCAAACACAATAATGTACCAGCGCGAAGCACAGCTACTACAGCTAAGAACACGGCATGCATAGAAGGCGTGAAATACTGCACGGTGATGGACGCTCAGGATGCCATCTCATCCTAGCCCGATTGTCTGCAGACCCAATATGCAAAAGCACCAAACTGTGAAACAAAGAAACCCGTGGAAACATGCAGCGACCCCTTTTATGCCTAAACCCGTCCGGCCTCTACGGAAAAGTGCCCACCGTCTTTCGGTGAAAGCGATGCAGAACATGCGGAGCGTGTATCCGTCGAGTGTCTGGACATCTACGAAGGCTTCAATGAGGGAGTGCCACTTTCTGATGAGGGAGCACAGCTTATCCCTGGTGATATTCATGCCATGGAAGTCCGTAAGGCAGCTCCGGCCCTGGATCTCCTCGCATTGTAGCTTGATTTTTCTGAACCCTTGGTCCTCATCCAGATTGAGATCAGCCAGATTCACCTCATAGACGCGGCCCCTCAGCGAGTCCACCGCAAGCTCTAAGGCGAAGCAAAATCGCAGAAAAACAAATACACAGCAGCCAAAACTATCCCATCTGAACTCCCTGCAGCGCATGCACCCCTTAGGGAGGGAGACCACACGGGATACACCCCGCGCGATCCAGCCGACAGGCAATGCCAATAGCCGCCTCCGAGATGAGCATGCGGAATACTAAAGGCATTATGGAAAGAGGAATGCAAGCCAAAGAATGGTAAACAAAACCGTGTTCTGCAGCTGCGCTGGCAGCATCTCCGTTCCAGGGAAGGGGCTGAGCTGGCCGGCGGGGGAAGGCAATGCTGTTCCTCAAAAACGTACTAGTCCCCGCTGATTTGGTGACGAGCGTCTTGCCGAAGTTGCGCTGCTGGAAGAGGGATGGAGCCTTCAAGTCATACCACTCCTTCTTCAAGAAGGGATCTCCCACCTTCTTCTTCCCTCCCTTCTTGCCCTTGCTCATGCGCTTGTTCTTTCCAATCGCCATTGTCGCAGAGCTATAGGCAAAATGCTTCAGGGGATCCCCAACAAAAACCACAAACGAACCAAAATATCGTAAACCCACACCGAAACACCTCAGCCGTTCGCAGCCGTGGGGTGCCGCACCACCGTCGCCGCAGTAGTGCATGCGTCCCCCACGGCCCTCCACGGAGAGCTGCCAAAAAGGTAGCAGGATCATGCGCGACATCCCAGGCAGCTCACATTGAGCTCCTGGCTAACATATCTTTCTTTGCTGAAACTAGCTGTCATGGCACTTCGTAGTGCCCCTATTCACTATACGGCGCAACCTACACATTCACGACTTCTATGGGCAGTCGGGGCTGTGCTCTGAAATCTTGAGATCGCTATTTCCCGTTGCTTATACATCGGCCCATTCCTTGATTACCTACATAAAATTTAGCGAGATTTCATGTCCCCTTGCCCTTGGGTGTCTCGGCACTCCGGAGGATAGATGTGCGCCAGGACATGAAGGCTTCCCTGCAGCCCACATTCACTTTGACACCTTCCGTAACGATTAGAAAGCACAAAGTAAACAGAGAGCTCGGTGAAATGGAAATTTCGATCACTTGGCTTTGATTAAGCAGCACGTTGTATATTATTGGGCTTTCGAGGATTATTCTCAAAGCTAGCAAAAATCGCCCGCTCCCAAATAGTCGCTGATGAGGGAAATGCAATGTTGGTGTTTCCAAGCACCTCATGCTGCTTTGTAGACCCTGCACAACTTCTATGTGTCGCCGAGGAGTATTTTATGTGCATGAACACATTACATGGGTTTTTTATTACCCTGAATCTCACTTCGTGCCTTGTCAGGAATTGTGGCCCGTAACGCTGCATCGAAGGTCGCCATAGAGAGTAAACTAGATTCAATATAAATCGATTTATGTTTTTGAGCTTCCTTTAAATGAGCCCCCTCCTTATCGTGCCCGAGTCCCTTCGACTTCGCGACGTGGGGGATTGGGACATCAAGGCCGCGGGCATGTGCACCCTGCCTCTATGCACTCCAAGCAGTCTCAGCTAGTTTCATATAGCATCTAGAGCATGTACAAATTTCATTACATGCTGCTGCATCGAGCTACTACCACTCTGAACTTAGCAAAGAATACAGCCAAAAACACAATGTCAACTCTAGTGATTTTCGATCACATATGACTTATGCAGTAGAATGTGCTGCATGCGACATTTGTCTCCCTATTCCGAAGCGACGCTATTGTACTCCGTAACTAAGCATACAGAACACCTGTGTAGAGGACGATGGAAGAGTTTCTGCCCTATCGTCAACCATAAGGAAGCCCGAGACACGAAACACAGTGTTAATAAGAACAGCAGTATGGGCATTGCCTTGTTAAAATAATTCACAATGAGAAAGGCTACGCACTAGCCAACAATAAAAAGGGATCAAACCAACATGACCATAGGGGCGCCATGCTTCGCTGTGTTCCTAGCCCTACAAGACGTGAACCCTCCTGGTGTGACACAACAAAAAAGACAAGTAAAATGTTTGAAGGGAATCAAAATACACACTAGTTCAGTACTGCTTCCCCAGTTCATAGAGCAATATCTGGAAGCCGATGCAGCCGGAGCATACAACAGTCGATTTCGAAGCCAGAAACTAGGTATGAGGAACGATGTATACACAACATGCCTCGACTGCTTGTGCATAAATCTTAGTGTAGAGAACAGCCTAGCAACAATATCCAGTGGTTTTTGGAACGATTTCCATAGATCGAGGTAGATATATTCCAAGCAGAGCATGTGCTTGAAGGACAAATTATCAAGGGGTGGGACGAGTACCCTCCTTGGCGACTAGCACTGAGAACCAGAGCCACAAATTCTCTCGCAGGCAAAGAAGCCCATATCCGCTCCTCCAGTAGTCGCCTAGGTTGACGTTTCCCACTTTATTTCACCAGAAACTTCGGTCGAATGTGTCGTTGGAGCTCAATAACCTTAGAAGCCCGCTTTACAGCTCCCGGTAAATCCTCCGTTCCCACACGGGTCTTTTGCCTGTTGGGCAGGGTCCGCGAATAAATTGATGAGCTTTGATATCTTCAATAATAAAATATTGCAGTTGGTCGACACCTCTAAGTATTAAGTAGATTGATAAAGTCAGGAGCCTTAATTTCGAGAAAATTGTTAAAGTTCCTAGCCACATGGCGGAAGGCTTCTTCGAATGATCACCTACTGGTGCACCTGTGAAGCCTGCTGATCATCCAAGACCAAATATCCAGGCTAGAAAAGCACAGTTGGTACAACTAATGGTTTCATGCTTGGCCCGTTTGAGGTGTCCACATACAGTGGCGTGCGCTACTCAGCTATTTTCTGAATTCATCTGTTGTAAAGGGTGGTTGCTGACCCTGGACTAGTGGGTCTAGGCTCCCATCGGGAAGAAGCTCCTGATTGTAGCTCAATAATGCAAGAGACCGACGGGCAGACGAGTAGGCTCTAGTGATATAAACCTACATACCACAAGGAAGAAAGTCAGGTCAAGCAATTGGACGCTTGTTAACGTGGACTGGCATATAATGCAGAAGAATGTGGTTGGAGGGTTCCTTCTGTTGATCTGCCTTACGGCGGCCTATAGTGGCCATGTATTGGTCAGTGTGTAGGTGAGTCATAAAGGCCCAGCAGGTTGCACTACTAAATATCTGATCCCTAGTCCTAATAGTACTATTTGAGAATGCTTGAAGCCATCAGATATGATCTAAGAATCAATGAACAACTTCATAAAGCCACAACAGGAAACTTGATGGGAATTCTCACTGGGTCTGGCTATAGGGATGTGGTTGTCGTCCTCAGCCTCGATCTCCAGCAGCCCCATCATAAGGCTCATACACGGATATGTGCGAATTTTTCCAAAAGTCAAATGGCTTTGTAAGTGGACGGGTTCGGGAGAACTTTTCTGCTGTACGTGCTGGCAATCTGAGCTTGACAGTGCACATTCTGCTGGCGCGGGAAGCATCCTAGGCACATAAAATGACCTCGAGAGCGTTTCCACTGTAGCCTGATTTCCAATATCGCCAGAAAGAACATGAGCACGTGCCTTGCACGAAATTCTACTGCACAGCAAACGACAGAGTAACCGCTATGTTTCGAAGCACAGTAGGTCATTCTTCAGGCACTGGTGCTTCATCTTTTTGTCATTCTGGATTTTGGCAATACTTTCTGATGCATGGGTATCAAAAGCATAAGACTCACGCAATTCCTCTAGGCATCGTGAATTCTCACGGACAAAAGCAGTTGCGCCGCACAATAGTGAATCGTTGGGGCGTCGCGAGAGGCCGCCAGTAGCCACGTTGGTTGTATTCTAACTATACAGTGTTGTAAAGTATTGCACAGGACGCCGAAGCCCGCAAACAAACCTTTGCTGATCAAAGTGTTGCTCAATCTTCACAAGTTGACATAAAGACTGATGGCCGGGCCAGACAGTAAATCAACGCTCAAAGAGAAGAGGGGTGGCATTCGCCACGCTCCACCACACTGAACAGAATTTATTTTCCCGCACCTGACACCATGGTGTGAATAATAAGCAGCGATTCGGTGTTTCTGTCAGTCCGCAGCTAATCGGGAAGGTCAAACACTCGCCGTTACGTCGCTCCGCATTGGTTGTAACGAAGTAATGACAGTCGTACTCGTGTACACAGCTACCGGCGGAGTTGTAGTGTGGCCTATCAGCCTCTTTGCTGCGTCATTAGCCCCCCTAGTCCGAGACATAGACTGTGTCTTTTCAAGTGAAGCACTAGAGAGGGCAGCAATCCGAGCAAACACAGGGGGTGGAAAGTTGCAAGCCCGTAGAAGTTCGCAATGAGCGTGCAAGTGCCACACCATGATTAAATCAAATTTGCCGGATTAGGCAGAATTATGCCAGTCGAAACACGGAATCTCAAGTACGTTCTCGTATACTACTGCTTGTCTTGCATCACACGAAGCGCACGGTAGGTGCTCCTTGATGGTTTGGTTGCAGACCTAAGACGTCACCCATGTTGACAGCCATTCCTTCCTCCTCAAAATGCCCTTTAAATTCCGAATACCTTGCTGTTGCGGCCCAGCTGAGGCATTCACAAGTCCTAACGGTATCCAGGTTTACTCGAATTTGCTAGGACGATTGTGAAGCGTCATTTTGTACCACTCATCAGGATGACTGGGGATTTGTGAGAACGAGCAGTCGATCCGTGAAGCGTGTCACGGTGTTCGCTCGTATGGGCCATCGAGTATCTTCTGCTTTATAGTAATCTTATCCCGAGACTTCAAGCTACCGCCCACCTTGCACCTTTTCTAATGCCAACGCGGGGTTATGCTTCGAAGCTCTGGCGTATTCTTGCACTTGACCTTTTTCAACAGATAATTTGCTTGCCGCTTGATCTCCTCTACGTGCTAAGAGGCTTCCGATATCGGAGCATGGGGCTGACCCAGGGAGTAGCTCAATGTGGTGCGATGGACAACCAGCAGGTGGCCAGCTTGCTGGCAGCTCGTCATTATTTAGCATGTCCGCAAGCATTAGCCACTTGCAGAGCCACTCAGACGGGATGTGTGGTCAAAACTTCTCTTACTGCGTTGTCGAGCTTTCCGTGTAGGGACTCTACCTCAACTCTGCCACCGCCTGCTTCTGTCGCCAGAGGGCATTGCCTCTTGCCTGTCGTCAAAAAAACATCAAGCTATTAAAGGACCGAATAAGTTACTCAAGTTCAGACAACTGCTTTAGGAGAACCTGACATCCTGGTGCAACCACAGCCAGTGGATTAGTGAGAAACAGCTGCTCCAAACCACGCGGTGCTACCAGCTGTAACATTCATTCTAATGTTTTGGTCGGGAGCAAAGCAGCCCCAGACTACACACAAGCTCAAGAAAAGGTTCCCTTCTCAATGAAGCTTCCTTTTCCCCCTGATCATGCCCTTCAGGGCTCCATAAGAAGGGAGTTGGACAACAAGGGTACGTGTTGGTGCAACCTTGAAGCATCTCAATCATACACAGTTACTTGCACATGGCGTCAAG